GATGGGAAAAGGGCTCACTGGGCACGATGGGAAAAGGGCTCACTGGGCACGATGGGAAAAGGGCTCACTGGGCACGATGGGAAAAGGGCTCACTGGGCACGATTGGAAGGGCTCACTGGGCACGATGGGCAGTCAATGGGCACGATGGAAAAGGGCTCACTGGGGCACGACGGGAAGTCACAGAGCAAGAAGACGTTGAGAGAAAGAGACAGAGAAAGAGACAAGAGACACAGCTGGAAAATCTGTGCTCGAAGAAATGAAAGCAAAAACCACAGCGCAAGGAAAAGATAGGAAAAAGAGACACTGAGAAAGAAAAGAGACACTGAGAAAGAAAAGAGACACAGGAACGCAAGGAAAGGAAAGGAAAGAAGGAACCACAAGAAAAGAAGGAACCGCAAGAAAAGAAAGACACCGCAAGGAAAGAAGAGGACCGCAAGGAAAGGAAAGAAACCGCAAGGAAAGGAAAGAAACCGCAAGGAAAGGAAAGAAACCGCAAGGAAAGGAAAGAAACTGCAAGGAAAGAAGGAACCGCAAGAAAAGAAAGACACCGCAAGAAAGGAAAGAAACCGCAAGGAAAGAAGAGAACCGCAAGGGAAGAAGAGAACCGCAAGGAAAGGAAAGAAACTGCAAGGAAAGAAAGACACCGCAAGAAAGGAAAGAAACCGCAAGGAAAGAAGAGAACCGCAAGGGAAGAAGAGAACCGCAAGGAAAGGAAAGAAACTGCAAGGAAAGAAAGACACCGCAAGAAAGGAAAGAAACCGCAAGGAAAGAAGAGAACCGCAAGGGAAGAAGAGAACCGCAAGGAAAGAAGAGAAGCGCAAGGGAAGAAGAGAACCGCAAGGGAAGAAGAGAACCGCAAGGGAAGAAGAGAACCGCAAGGAAAGAAGGAACCGCAAGGAAAGGAAAGAAGAGAATCGCAAGGAAAGAAGGAACCGCAAGGAAAGGAAAGAAGAGAATCGCAAGGAAAGAAGGAACCGCAAGGAAAGGAAAGAAGAGAATCGCAAGAAAAGAAAGACACCGCAAGGAAGGAAAGATTTGCAGGGAAAGGAAAGGAACGCAGGGACAGGAAAGCAACGCAGACACAGGAAAGCAACGCAGGGAAAGAAGAAGGAAGAAGAAGAAGAATATGTAACACAGGGAAAGAATCAGGGAAAGCAATGAGAGAGGGCAATGGGAGAGGGCAATAGACAACAGCGATAAGGGACAACGTACCAAACACAGAAGATAAGCAAGACGGGAAAGGGGAGGAGGAGACCTAGTAAGTAGTAAGTATGTGAGAGTATAGAAGATAAGACAAGATAGACAACTTACAAGTAGAGAGTAGAGGAAGTGATAGAAGAAGTAATAAAAGGTAGGGACAGAGAGATAAGGAAGAGAGGAGATGTAATGAAGATAATGAGTGTGGATGAGTGTGGATGAGTGTATATATTGATGTATGAAAGAGGAAAGGGGAGAAGGGCAAGGATTGAGAGTTTGAAAATTGGTAGATTGGTTGTATGTAGAAGAGTATGAAAGAGTGAAGGATTCAGTTGGGGGGAGGGTAGATATATATAGACAAGAGATGGCCTTTAGATCAATCTGTGGAATATTTGCAACCTCAGAAAGTCGAAACTCAAGCTCATGAAGTGGAAACAGTAGTAGGCAACCGATGTGCAAGAGAGTTTGATATTCCAACGGTGTGCAAGGCTGTTGAATCGCATGGCCAGTCGGAGATCCTGGACCGGATGTCAGATCGACCACTCGGGTCAAAAGAACCAAGGTTCAACGGTGATCGACGTATACGCGGAAGAAAGAGTGGAGCGACCCAACGACATGCACGAGGCGAAGAGGGTCGACGTGGGTATGACAATATGACGCCAGGAAAGTATAACGAGGAATGATCTGATCCTGCAAGTTGATTGAACGATCATACATTCTGGTCGGGGCTGTGCAGGAGAACTCTTCCATTGAGTTACGAAGACCCATTGATGTGCTGCTCAGATGATGAGCAAAGAGCAGACCAAGCAGCAGTCTGACAACACCCATTGGAACAAGACGAGGATCAATGTTCCGAACCAGTGGGAGCTTCATGGTGTAGACGTCAGCATGCGTAGGCAGCATTGAAAGCGCTGGACTGCAATGTTTGCAACATCGGGGTGGCTGGCAGGACCCAAAGCATTGAAGCAGACCTCCAAAAAGCAGCGACGCGTGCGAGAAGTGGATACGTGGTGGCAACGACCACCACAAGAACACACTCAAGGTCCGATCACCCAAGGTAGGCTGAAGTACAGCAACACTGAAGCGTTGCAGCGGTCGAGGCAAGTTTTGCATTCGCACCATGACTGAAGAATATGAGAACGTGGAAGGTCGGTGACCGTAGTCAGTTTTGCCAGATAGTACCATGTCATAGATAGCGAGGACGATGCGACGCACTACTGGCTAGCTGGAGCCTCGGCGAGGACATCAACCCACATCTTCTCACCTTGAGGCCTTCGTATACCACCTTCTTTCGTGAACAAGCCCTCACCTTCCTTGCCAAATGCAATCAGTTGCTCTTCGCTACCCCATTCGCCCATAGCCTGTCAAATTCTTAGTTTCTGTAACGCAAAAATGAGGGATGACTTTACCATAAGACCAACGGGTACATTGGCATCGGTGTAGCCCATAGGACATGATATAGCTGGTGTGCCTACAAAGTTCGCCAGATAGACGTACTCCATACTTTTCAAGCTCATGTCGCTGTCGCTCACACCATATCCGCTGGTAACATCACTGGGCTTCCCAATTTTCCAACCCGCACAGGGCGTTGTAGGTGTCAGGATCACCATGCCAGGATACTCCTCCCACAACCACGCAAGATGACACATTAGGAGATTGCGCAGTTTTTGCGAAAAGATGAAATCTTGTGCTTGAGCGTGCGTCCCAACGACACTGAGGAGTAACTGGTTGTGCCACGAAAGCTTCTTGACTTTCTCAGGTGTCAACTGGCTGCGAGACTCCGAGAGAATGGTAAGGGCGTGCGCCTTTTGGCCGTCAGGAAGGAGAGGAATTTCGATATCGACGACTTCATAACCTTGTGACTTCACATAATGGTCGACAGCAATGTTAAACATGTCGAGCACGACGGGATCCGATCTGTTCAGCCAGCCTCGGTCTATACCAATGTACTTCTTCTCGGTTTTGTGGACGGTTTGAGCCGATTTCGTCAAGGGATTGGGAAATCGTCCGCTTCGATGCGAGTCAGGATCTGGCTGAGCCATGATGCGGTACGCCAGAGCCAGATCGTCGAGACTGCATGCTAACGGGCCAGGAGTCCCGACACTGTCAGTGTATTCGAGGCCGACCCTGGACGAGATGCGACCATGAGATGGCTTCAGTCCATATATGCCACAGAATGCTGATGGCAGTCTGATAGAGCCACCACCGTCGACTCCCAGAGCGATTGGACAGAGTCCCGAAGCCACGGAAAAGGCAGAACCGCCTGAGCTGCCACCAGTATAATACCCGTTGTTGTGAGGGTTGAGCGGCGTTCCCCAGGTCTGGTTGTTGTTCGTGGTATCAAGACCAACCTCATGCATGTTTGAGGCACTTCGGAGACATGTCAGCAAAAGTTGGATCCATAAAAAAGCTACTGAAAGAAAGAGCGAGATTTGGGCCAACAACCTGGCTCTTGATACAGGATGAAGGGGCCGGGTTTGGGGAGACTCTTTCAAGACGTCCAGATATCCAAGCAGGAGCAACTTACCCAATAACAACGCCACCTGCTTCTTGCCACTTCTGAACGCACCAAGCAGTACGGTCTTTCGGATCTGAAAAGTCTACCTTGCTTCCCAGCCTTCTCTTGTACCCCGTCATGTGCACTTCATCTTTCACGGCCAAAGGAACACCGTCCAACACGCTCAGTGGGCGGCCATCCCGATATCTTTGCGTCGAGGCTTTGGCGGCAGCTCGTACCAGCTCGACATTGGAATCGATAAAGGCCACAGAGTATGGTCCAGCGGGTTCGGTATCGCGCCGTATCAACAACAGGAGGTATTCAGCGACATCAGACGGCGTGAGATTGCCGGATGTGTACGCTGCATGATAGTCTGCGCAAGTGTGGTAGTTGCTGATTTGGGTAGCTGGAGACGACAGCTCCGGTAGGGCGATAGGCGTATCAGAGGACGTGGGGACCGGAATGACGGTAGGATCCAGGCGCGGTTCATAGTCGGTAAGGTGGCTGATATCCTTGACCTTGTCTAAGCCATTCAGCCTCCAGAAGACTTTCTGGACATAGCTGGATGTCGCGATACTGGCACATGTCAGTCCAAGCCCCACTGGCTGCAGTCACCGAGCATACATTGACGAGACAATCGCAAGTGGCAGACCTCGGAGCACTGGATTCGAGGCTGGCTCATTCTTATATGGGACGTCGGGCCCTTGACAAGGCTGCGGCCGATTGTATGCACTCGCAAAAACTGCCTGTTTCGGCATGTCGAACACCTTATTCAGTTGCGGCTGGAGTGAAGTTGATATCTGGTGTGCTGTTTCTGCATCTGGGGAAGAAGAGGAGCAAGAGTCGACCCGAAGCTTGAGGTATCACATGAAGCAGTGATCATTGGAATTCAGGGATGGGTCTTACTGCTCTTACTCTCAGCTACTGTCAGCCTCTGGTTTGTCCAGGATGAAGCTGATTGGTTACTGCTCAAGGGCAGCAACATTCAGAATACGATATACGATTAGACTTCCCATAACAGACTAAGTTGGCAAGCTCGCTAGATCTCCAAAGATGTGGAGGTTTGTAGATACTACTGGTCCTGTGTGCAATGCTGCATCCATTTGTTGGGTGAGTGTGGTGGGCCAGGCTGTGTAGATAGGGGTTGCGGCCAGAAGAATAAATAAATATATTCCGTGCTACGGCTCACCGCACATTTCTTTACTTGCAAACCCAACCCCAATCTCTGAGTGTTTGGGCTTCTGCAACGATGTCTCGAAATCACAGGCCGGATCACTCTCATTATGTAGATTATGGCTCTGCGAAAGTATTGTGGCGATGATGTTGAAGACCAGCTACTATTGCGAGCGCTTCCCTTGGACGAGGCTGCGAGGCTGTGAGGCTCGATTTGTACGCTAAACCTTGTAGGGTAATTTTAGAAGACACCTCAGTACTTTCCGCATCTGGGGCCGCTGCTGGCGATCGCATCTTCAATTTCTGGAACACCACTGCCCTACTGAGGACTTTCCTTTGTGTTCACCAAAAACCAAATTCTCTCTTCTTGTTGTTCTTTCTTCAATTCGTCTGAATTTCCACCACTTGCCAGCGCGCATTTCCAGGAGAACTGCAACGCGGCCCTCAGCGGCTTGCGACAACTTGGCCCATCATGTCTTCCTCCGATTACAACTACGATGATCAGGGGCAGTTCTTCCCATTCTTCATGCTGACCATGGTCGGCTTGGTCACCCTACCTCTCACGTACAACGTCCTCAAACCCTCCACAGACCTTGAGCAGACCGCCACGCGGATAATGTCTGACTTCAAGCCCAAACATGACGAAGTCATCGAGGCTCAGAGACGAAAACAGAAGAGAAGGAATCGCAAAACCAAGCGTATCATCGCGGTGGTTCTGGGATATGCATTCATGGCCTACATGGTCTATTTGATCGCTGTCACCCAGAGAACAGTCCCCAAGCTATGGGATCCGTACGACATCTTGGGCGTTAAGAGGAGCGCAACCGAATCCGAGATCAACAAATTTTACAAGAGATTGTCTATCAAATACCATCCCGACAAAGCGAGACCTGATCCAGCCAAGAACGAAACCATGGACGATATCAACGATAGATGGGTTGAGATGACGAAAGCATACAAGGCCTTGACGGACGAAGACATGAGAAATAACTACCTTCAGTACGGGAACCCAGACGGAAGACAGTCTACAAGCATAGGCATTGCTTTGCCGAAATGGATGGTTGAGGAAGGCAATCGGTGGTTCGTCGTCGCATTCTACGGCGTCTTGTTGGGAATCATCCTACCCTACACGCTGGGAAAATGGTGGTACGGAACCCAGGCTCTGACAAAAGACAAGGTCCTCCATGCGAGCGCCGGCAACCTCTTTAGGGAGTGGAAAGATGACATTACGGAAGGTGAAGTCGTCGCTGCCACTAGTGTCGGCGAAGAATTCAAAGAAGCCTTGAAAGGAGCAAGAAGCGACGCGGGAGCCGCCAAAATCGAGAACAAGGTACTCAACCATCCCGCCTTGACGGAAGCAGACAAGAATCGCCTGAAAGCCATCGACGACCCGGTTCGACGGAAAACGCTTGCCCTCTTGTGGGCATATCTTGCTCGCATCGACCTGGGGGACGCGGAACTCGAAAAAGAAAAGTATGAAGTTGCGCCGACAGCTCTTCTCTTGAACAACTCTTTTGCCTCGGTGACACTCCCATTCGGACTTGTCAAACCACTTATCGCTGCATACCACACCTCCCAGAACATCATCCAGGCAGTTCCACCCAATGCCTCACCTCTCCTTCAATTACCAAACATCACGCCAGAGGGTTTTGAGAAATCCTTTGCTGCATTGAAGGAACACGTATCTCTACCGCGATTCATGTCTTTTACTGAGCGAAACAGAAGAAAAGCTCTTCCCGGACTCTCGGAACAACAGTACGAACAAGCCATGCATGTAGCATCACAGATCCCGCACCTGCAAATCGCAAAAGCATTCTTCAAAGTCGTCGGCGAGCGAGTGGTCACACCCAGCTCTCTCGTCCAGCTGGTAGTCAAGGCTCGCGTCATCCCGCCTGGCACGACGAATGTCCCAGCAATCGACCCGCTCGATCTGGAGGACGTCGACCCAGACGAGGGCGACTTGGATGCCTTGCACGGCCGCAAACCCGCCAAATCCAAGCGTCGCAAAACTGCCGATGGCAAGGTCATTGAAGATGAATCAAAAGAAGGCTCAGTACAACCTCCATTAGCGTATGCACCATATTTAGCAGCCGACCACGCTCCAAGATGGCACGTTTTCCTGTCGGAAGCGCGCACAGGACGCATCTCTGTCCCGCCATTCACTTTCACGGCCTTCGACAGGGAGATTTTCAACGCCGATGGAACGCCCACTTTCAACATGTTGACCTTGAAATGTCCGTTCCAAGCTCCTCCACAGGTCCATGCCTTCCCGTTCGTTTTGCACCTCGTATGCGACAGCTACATCGGTCTAGACTCCAAGATCGATGTGGTTCTTGATGTCAAGGACGCAAGTGAAGCCAATGCCGTCGAGAGTGACGAGGACATAAGTGAGCCGGAAGAAGGTATTTCGTCCCCTCCATTTCCAAGAAGAGATTTGATGCTAACTATTCCCAGATTCTCTAGCCGGTCAACTACAAGCCATGAAGACAGGTGGTCTGGCAGGCTCGCCGACGGTGACCAAGAAAAAGAAGAAGAGGACTGGTTCCATCGCGCAAAATGTGCCTGTAGCTGGGCAGACTGCAGGCGTGGCTGATGATGACGACGATGAAAGTGATACCGAGGGTGAGGACGAGAGTGATACCTCGGAGACGGATACCGAGACTGAAGATGAAGACTCGTAGCAAGCCAGCACTCTTGCGGTAGAGTAGGTGGGGTTCTCAAATGTACGAATATCGATTGCCGGATGAGTGGGCAATATCGGTTTGCATAGCATGGTAGGCGTTTACTCATGATGGGAAGATGGGAAAATTCTGGTGTTGTCTACAGCCAACTCATGTTTGTTCATGCAGCGCGTGGAAGCCAGGAAAAGCAGATCAATGAAAGCACTATCTTAGCTGCGTTGCACGCACTTCGTAATGCATTGTTCATCCATCAAGCCAATGCATTCTGCTCAGTGCTCGCACCTCGTATTCCACACCAAATTCCAGCCTTCGCCATAGCTATCAATTGTCGCTCTGTGTTCTCTGTTTCCGATCATATTTCTCACACTCTCCCGACTTGACCCCCGGTTTTGCACTTGGTGCAGATTGGGATTGGTGCTTTACTTCTTATCCGTTCCAGCCATCTTATTCATCTTATCGGCGATCCTGTCCCGTCCATCATGCATGTACGCAAGCGTTTTCTTGTATTGGCGGTTTTGGGACTGCATGGAGAGTTGGGTGATTGCGAGGGCGGCGACCTTGTCTTGCTGTCAGCAATGCACATACCTGAGCCAAAAGCACGGGAACACAGCATAGATTACAGGAGCCACTGTCCTTCGACTTTGTGTAAGGCCAAGTATGGGCGGTCGGTGGTACTTACAGCGCCAACGCCGCTCAGGGCCACGATCGTGCGTGTTTGCATGTTGAACGTTCCCTCAACTACTGGGTCTGCGTGTCGTTGGATTGAGGTCTGTCGGAAATACTGCGACAGGACAGGGCTATCACAAGCTGAAGATTGCGATAGGCGAGGATATCGTGCGGTGAGGTTGTCTCGTATGTCGCGTTTTGTAGCGGTGGGTTCTCGCGAACAACCGAGGTGAAAAGGAGATCAGCGCGCCGTGAGAAAGCTGGTACAGACAGTTGTATCTTGGATTGGAGAGTCGGGTTCAGATAACGTGCAGATTCAAGATAAGAACGCCGGTGAGTGTATGGAAATAGTCAAGGGACGGAAGGTAAGAAGGGAGGACAGAAGAAAGGTGCGACGTTGCCCGGCTGGTTAATAAAGATTGTTCCCTGGTTCCGGCACTGTGTCAGCCGATGCCGCGATTTGCGAAGCAGGAACACGTCGCCCACCAGCCATCTTCAGCCCTTAGCAAGTGTTTCGAGGGGTGCTGGGGGATGTCCCATTGGAAGTTTAAACCCCGGTTTAGACCGAGGACTCCTCTCCTCCAAATTTCCCCGCACCTTGTGGACTCAAGGGCCATTCACCAGCCGCGCCGTTGAGGTTTAACCTCGATTTGGTCTAGCTGGCTGACATCTGTTCACGAGTACATTCTGAGGCATACATTTCGCTACCATGGCTAAGAGGTCCATTAGGAAGTGGTCTATTGTGGTTTACATGTTGAAATGCATGGATATCTTTCAAGCAGCCTATTCATCTCGACGCCCTTTTCTTCTGCTGACCTTCCTCACAACAAAAGCCAATTAGCCTGGAAAGGCCCCAAAGAGGACATCCCAGAGGTACCCATACTTCGTTTTATCATAGACCACAAGTGAGAGAGTCTTGCGTATACAGGCTTGTTGGCCCTCAATCTTCAGCTGCATCTACAAATGTGTCCACCTCGTTGCTATCTGTGTCAGCCCTCTTGAGTGGTTTCGTTCCCTGAGGCACCATGCTTGCATGCATGTTCATCTTTGACATATCGTGCGAAAGGTCATCGTCCATCAAACTCGATCCTCTTGGCGGATTGACTGTCGCGCTTTGACTCAAGGGAACTTGCTGGGAATAAGACGTCGGCTGCGCTGGCTGTGCAGGTCCTGGATTGACATTCCCGGCTGGCTCGGGTGGAGCAGTGCTTGATGGTCTCGAGTCGAAGTCAATCAGTTTTGCTTGCTGTCTAGGAGGCTGCTGCATAGGAGGCTGCTGAGCCTGTTGTCGAGCGGGCGGAGCTGCAGGTTGGGATGCAGGTTGGGGAGCATGTTGACCAGACTGCTGAGGAGTCTGTTGTTGAGTATGACTGGGCATGGACGCTTGCTGTTCAGGGCTTGGCTTTTGTCCAGGCACAATGGGGTATATCGCAAGAATCTTCTCCGTAAGCTCTTTGGGATCGTTCGTGTCCCTGAAAATTCCGTCAGCCACGGATCACCCTCCCCAAAAGATCAACTTACAGATGCGCATTTATGATCCATTCAAGATCCTCTTCACCTTCCTCAGCTTGCACCCTTCGGAAGAGTTTCGGCTGCCAGTCGATGCCCTTTTCCTCTCTTCGCTTGGCTTCCTCTCTCTGTCGGTCTTCAATCTTTGCCTTTTCGGTTGTGGCAGTGTCGTGATCCACAGCATGAACAGCCTTTACCGTAGGCAGCCACAGTCTCTGAGATTCACGTTCGTCTTGTTCTTCAATCGGTCGTGCTTTGGGAGGAGTATGTTTGGCATGGGTAGCGTCGAAAAACATCTTCTTTTGGCCTGTTTTGACGTCCTTGATATACATTTCACCAGACCACAGTCCAGATAGCTCATAAAGTACTTCTCCGGTCTTGTCGTTTTTGATGGCTCCTCCAATGGCATTGTAAGTCCCACTAACCCAGCCTTTGGTCTTGAACTCGATATCGGCCGTCAAATGGTTTTCAGGGCAACGGACGACAGAATGATCACCTAGTTCGTACTTCATCTTGCCGAACAGGATGCCTCGAGCATACATGTTGGGCTGTGTTAGAATGCTATACCACGTCAATATTGGTGCTGACAATGACTTCGAACGGTACATACTATTTCTCACCACCTCTTGATTTCCCTCTGTTTGTGAATCTGAGATAGGAAATACCCTCCATCAAACTGGCAGCCGAGTTTCCCAAGAACTTGCTTCGGGGCTTTAGAGTGCCATCAACCCGAATGTGGTGTTCCGGAGCCATAAAGAAGTAGGACGATTTTGGAGGATGGTGTGAAGTCTGCTCAGAGATGTAGTAACCTCGGGTGTTGTCTGGATAGTCCCAATAGCATGTGAAGATTTCTCCCAAAATGGGATTCAATGGTTTCTTGACGCCGCTGGATGCTTGTCAGTAGGAGTGGATAGACAAAGGAGCGTCCAAGGCATACGGAGGTTTGATGTGCCAGCCACTTAGGTAGAACTTGACAACTGCGACAAAGCGTTCAATCGGGTCGTCAATGTCAGGCATGGCTAGGAGAGTCTCAGGATGAGCCATGAAGCTGTAATACTCGTCAGCACACATTCGATCTGTCCTTGCAGAGTTTCCTCACTTTGTTATCCGTTCCAACATAGATCTTTCCTCGAGAATGAACGTAGGAAGAGTGACTCGAGACAGGTCGGCGCCTGGGCGCAATTGGGAGATGATATGTGAAAGGACTGCACATTATTAGAGGGCATTCGCCTAGCATTGGAGGCGCTGTGGCATACCATTCCCCTGTTCCGGCTCGACGACAGTGGTGTCCTCGTTGTCGGCATCGCGGATGTCCTCGGACGAAGAGCGACTACCTGGGAACATATGAGCTGGTGTTCTTTTCCAACCCTGCTCTCTGGCAGGCACATACCCTTGGACTCACTGCGATGCCGCAGAGCTCCTATGGAATGCTTCATCTTGTCGCACCCCCACTCTCACCAGGTATCAATCTTGTTCAGCTAAAAGTGTCCGTCGAGGGGGAAGATGTGGCAGTGGGATATGTTGATATGACGTCGACCGGGATTGCAAGGCTTCGTGTCAGCTTGGCGTAGAGGGGTCGATGCTATCGAGTCGAGACGCAGCAGAAGACCTGAGGTTCTTGTGCTGATGAAGGTAGAAGTCAAAGTTGCGGTGATATCACCAAGTCGAGAAGAGGATGCCTGAAAGTCGTAAAGACAAGATTACGGTGGTACGAATTATAGTGGGATGGCGAGGGCATGTAGCGCAGCGCAGGTCGAATGATGCACTGCACAGGCATGTTTTGACAGGCACAAGCCACAATTATTACTAGTACACCTGAAAGTCAGGAGGGACATGCGTCATTCCGTGGATAAAAAAACACTTCACAGGCACTCAACAGCCCCAAAGAATTATGCCTGATCCATCCACGTGTCCTCGGGGTCTCGCTTTTCCAGGCTCCCGAATCTTCAAGGTTCCAGATTGTCTACTAGGAAACCTGTTTCCCAAGATCTTCCAGGGCATGAGGCATCCTGTGATCTATCGTTTTGATGCAGCGTCTTTGTTTACCACAATTGGTGGCCTTGCACCCCCTTTCAGTCTCTATCCATCTCCTGAAGTCCACGTTTCCGCCCTGGGCCGATCTCCGCCTGTAACAGAATGCAGTAGGTCTGCTGGCGCCTTATAAAGCATGACGTGAAAATGCTCTGATCATGTTCCTCAGTCTTCCGAAAGCCTAAAGGTCACCTCATCAACTGGACTGGACCTTACCTAATGCATGGACACTCTTCAGACTTCTCCAGTTCTTGAACCACACAATCTGGTCTCTTTCCACCTGAAGACCGTCACTGGAGCAGAATGTCCTTGTTATGAAGTCCTCAACTTGGGTTGCCGCTCCTGGCGAGATCTTTCCTGTGTTCTCGTCATCCTCGATAGTAAATTTCGTCCATACCACGAGATGCTTGATATCCTCGTCAACATAATACGGCCAGTCGTTATACAGGATTTTGTAGTCTGTTGGACTGATAAACGGTCGGTCGCCAGAAGGCGTTATATCTTCCCAATGAAGCCGCTCGTGTTGTACGTACGACAAGACCGAGCCGTACTTCTTGTGCAGGTAGTATATATACTCCAGGTATGCTCGCAACTGGCTTGAAGTACGTTGAAAGCGTTCAATGTGATTGGTATTGACGAGGTGTTGTACTTCCGCCCAGCTGAGTCTGTTGAAGTCGTTGTCCTTCTGGCATAAGATACCCTTGTTCTTCTCACTGATGCTGCTCAAATACTCGGGCCACTCCTCAGTCAACTGCTCCTTGGGTATATTGGCATTCCAGTACCGGCCAGATATATCTTGTGCTTCTCGTCCTTCGGATTCGGTGGTCGACGAGACAGAATATGCCATTAGACTCGATATCAGCGACGCACCCACCACGTCCGTCGAGAGCCTCTCAGATAATATGAAGAGAGTACTCCATATAGTCAAGAAAATGGACAACAACGATACATCCGTAAAGACCGCCCGGGCAAAGACAGTGCAATAGGGGCTATGCCCATCTGTAGGTCACCCCTTGAAAATCAACAGGTACAGCCACGTGGCACAAGCGGCCGACCCACCTACAACCCAGCTAGAAAATGGACAGAAAACAGACTGCGGACTTTACACAGAAGATAACTGTTCTGCAGTGCAGGAGCGCATCGCTGTCATGTTGGATATCGTTTATAGTCGTACATCTGGAGTATTACACTGACAAGAAACAAGCCCCACCCCTTTCCCTATCTCTCCAGCCTCGCTCAGGCCAATTGCCACTGCGAACTACCACTGAACACATTCGCATGGCACATTCTCATATGGTGGACCATTTCCTCCAGTCCCCGGGGAGCAGCAGCACAACCGGGTTGTGTACAAGAGATTGTGGCTTGCAGAAGAGGACCCAGTACGACCTTTGCCGCGTCTCTACCTGCAGGAGTGAGCATGGCTCCGTGTGTGAATGCCAGCCCATCCTCGAGGAAAAGCTTCTTCTTGACCACGGCCATTATTGACAAGCTGCCCATTGCGCCTGCCGCGGCGAGGCTGGCCAGAATTGCGTCGCTCGTGAGGCTTGACCGCAGACGTTGGACATGATATTCCTCCAGAGCATTTTTGCAACGATCTCCAGCAAGTCTTTCTGCAAGCTCGACCACCATATCCTCCGCCCGGCTCTCATACCATGGGATGCTCCGACCTCCCCTGACATCACGCTTATAACGTATTGCGTCGACAGGGTCATGGGGCCAAATTTCTCCTGGTGCCTGCGGTCCCAGAGCATCTCGATTCACGAGCTCCGGACGAAAGAGCATATTTGCCAGGTCAACCGCTCGGATGATGTTGTTGTCTCGCAGCAAGGCAATGCGCAGGCCCAAGGGGTCTCTCGCGTCAGCATTGCGCCACAAATACTGCGCTCTTGCCAGGATGCTCGTGCGAAAGTCGCGACGGCCAGCTTGAAGCACTCGGTCGCGTCCCGCTTCCCGTCCCTGGTATTTGAGAGTTTCGATCAACCACTTAAAGTACAGCTGCTTAGCAAGGAGAGTCTCGAAATCCAGCCCACATTCTTCCCGGACAAAGTCGTCGATCATTGGTCGCCAGTGCACCTGGCCGTTTCGCATGAGTGCGTAGCGGTCGTGAGACCAAGGACCCATTTGTCCTGATTGTGGAGTAAAATGGGAGAGATGTGTATATGCTTCATGAACTTCGAAAATTTGCTCACTGCGAACTGTCCATTTTGGGTAGCAGAGTGAACACAATTCGACTCCTGCGAAGGTCTGCCATGCATCATGTGGCTGGATCGGTGTGCCAGAAACAATCGGTGCTTCTAAGCAAATGCTGCATCTTCTTGTGAGCAACAAGTAGCCCAAAAGCTCTCGCCGATAGTTAAAGTTGATCTGGTAGGGCCCACCAATGGCCAGGGTTCTGACACGAGTGCCAACAGGAGTTTCAGAGACAGCATAGTCTAGCAATGGGATCCGGTCTGTGCCCTTCAGATGCTGCATGTAGATGTATAGTGGAGAGGTGACATTGACAGAGCGAAGAGCTGGGAGGTTGACAAATGTGTTGATGCTATTGTCCAGGCCGCCATGAGTCCAGGGGTTGGCATATGCTACTTGTTGTCTACGCATATCTGTCAATATTTTTGAATTTGTATGTGACCTTGGATACTCACCCTGCAGGAATTGGTCGACTAGCGAAATCGAAAGGCGCGTTTGGGTGACGTTGGGCAAATGCAGCCTCGTGCTGGAAAAGCTCGGGCATAGCTTTCAGGGTTGGAGGAATTGAACTGTACCAGAGCTGGTTGGCTTCGCGGCTTCGTAGGCGTCTGGCCATCGTGGTGCATGTGAGTTCAAGCTGGAACACCCATATTGGGTCAAGATAGGCACAGATTTTGATTAGAACCTCCATCGGAAATTGTGGCAACACGGCGATATTGGGGTTCATGCCACTTCCGAAGTTTGGCTGATAGCCTGCTGGCAGATGATGTCTTGCCGGTCCGCGCAGGAAGTTTGATTTCAGAGGACCCTTTCGCATTTCCTTGACTGTGAGCTCCCAGCCCATCGCTGTTGTGTTGTTAGTCTTCTGTACGAGTTGCAAGAAAGACTGCGCACCTTGAATGTCTTGCCTGGTGGCCGGAATGAGTCTCTCATGGGGAAGCATTGTCTTTCGTTGACTCTGCGCCATGGTGCTTCAAGGTGTAGAGATAATATTTGATGATTTGGGAGTCCACCAGAATGCACGATTGGACAGACTTCTCAAGTACAGACTTCGAGAAGCTTTGTACAAGTTGTTGACGCGAAGGAGTTTGTTGACCGTTCTGCACTGCCCGAAAGCGTGTTTTGGCTGCTCTTCACCAGGTGCGGCGGGCATATTTCGCCAAGCGGTAGCTTTTGTGTAGGTGTGCAATAGGATGTCATGCGGTGAAGACAACGATCCTGTTGAAGAGTACATCATCCTTTTGGATCAAACAAAGGCTGTGAGTTGTAATGCTAGATCATCCTTTCAGGCATGATGTTGGTACACCATGTTATATACTTGGGGGTGGAGTCCAGCTGCACAAGGCTGAGGCTGTGACTGCCACAGCAATTATATATTCACTGGTATGGTATCGCGTGCGAGACTCTTGGATGAGCAAAACTGACAACAACTGGCAGTCGTCAAGCATGGCGCCAAAATGTGCTCAGCAGTCCTTGCTAGCAATGCTGTTGCAACAAGCGGACTAAGTGTCAATGGTCCTCCAGAGTCGAAGAGCATGGCTGTGTTCCCAAGATCCGGCCAGACAGCCAAAGTCTCACAGAAGTAGCGCAGGCAGGGGACGTTCAAGTGGTGAGATTGAAATTTCGCAAGCTGCCAATATGAGCATAGGATCGGACAGGCACCAGAGACACTCACAGTATTGTCCCAGGCTTCCAACCTGGTGAATGGTCAACCTGCTGCTAGCCTTCAAGCACTCGTCGAGCTTCTTCGCTGGCAGAGTTGATGACAGCTACGGAGCCCTTTAAGAGTTCAGCCTTGACCTCTGACCAGCCTTCAGGATTTCCACATTTCTGGGCGTCTTCGACCAAATAAGTGACGAACCCGGCCCTTGCAGAGCCCAAAGCTGTGTCCTTGACACAGTAGTCTCCAGCAAGGCCAACGACAAAACAATGGGTGATTTGTTGAGTCTTCAACGCCTCGCCAAGGTCAATATTCACGCCACCACTCCCAGCAGTCAGGTTGCCAAAGGAGTCTGTGAAAGCGGAATACATTTCAACCCTGGAGTCCATCCCTTTCTTGACGATGATGTCGATTTTGGATTGGTCAATCTCTCCGATGATATCAGCACCTTTAGTATGTTGAACGCAATGAACAGGCCACAGTCGTTGTTTCATCGTTTGCTCAGGTTTATTGCCGACAATATTTTCGACATCGATGAAAGACTTATACGGTTTGTTGTTTGGAGCGGGATGGTTTGTAGCGAATGATACATGATCTTGAGGATGCCAGTCCTGAGTCGCAATTTTCAACACAAACACCGGCGATGCCACAAGTCGGTTGATCAAGGGGACGATGTCCTTGCCACCAGAAATGGCCAGAGATCCATCCTGTTGCGGATTAGCCAAGATCCAGCTCTTAATGGCAATGCAAGCCCTTACAGGTGGACAGAAGTCATTCTGCATGTCGACAACAATGAGAGCCGGTTTAAAAGACATGGTGATGCTTTAGGGATTGCTTTGTTCGCGGTTTTGACCACTGAATTGGACAGAAAGAGGGCAGAACGGTTCACTTCTGTCAACAGCTGTCAGGAGTCTCGACGCTTCCTGATGCTGGCCGAGGCTGCAGCAACTTCCTTGATGAAGGGAGAAGACAGATCAAACAATAGATCTGCCTTGTGATCTCACAGGCGAGGAGTCGGTTGATATTGGCAAGGGATGATCACTGGAGGGCGCCCGGAAAGCGGAAAGTTTAAGGTCACAGGCGGAGAGAGCCAGGTGCCAAGCCCTATTTCAATGCCCATAATCGATCCCTTCTCGCTTTCAAAGCATTTCCCTTCCAACAACCATACAACTCAACCAGCGCATACCACTTCATCCTGCTCGTGGCGCCTTCGTGATTTGTCTCAGTCGGTTTGAACAGTCCTTGCGACTGTTTTGGTTTGCTCTGGATGAGGCGGGATCGAGAGTGCTGAGCATTTTCACTGGACTTCAATTGCAGCCTACGTCCCTCAAACGCTACAACCTACCTGCGTAGCCTAATCGATCCTGCAACTCCTCACAACCACAATCCACCAAACTCCTACGATCTTCAGAAGAGAGATTGCGAACAAGAGCAAACACTGCTACACAGCCGCAAGGAGCACAGCAAATCATGTCCAAAACTTCAGTGGTAAGCTGCACCTGCGGACACTGCGACACTATCAATATGGCTTGAATTCAACCAGACACTTGAGATCGTTGCAACGGCGGGCTCAGTTTTTATCGCTAACACATGACTCTGTCTAGGGTGATGTCTATGCCAAAGTGATCAACGATGTCTGCGAGCAATCACGTCAAGATTTCGAAGAAGGCGGCGTCGAACTGGCAACACTGGACCTTTTGAAGTCGGTAGGTTATCCCCTTCCCAACATCGAACGAGCACCGTTCTTTTGTGTTATGCATCATCAATTCCATCTCTTCATTGGCCCGAAAATATTGAAAATCTGCGGACACCGAGGATGGAGAAAGAGTCTGATTACACCGTGGGTGTGGAAAGCGTTGGCGGTGGCAGGCGATCTCGCATGAGGAGGGCGATCGAGCGTGAGAAGAGCCGGGCAGCGAAGGCGGGGAGGGGAATTCATGGTCTTTGAAGGACCTTGTTCCCCCCTTGCTCATGGGCCTCTTAAATACGCCACGCTGTCTGCCTAGCCGTTGTTCCACATCCCCGCTTAACCTGTTCTGGACCTGCTCCGCCTCAACATTTCATAAGGCTGTATTGACTGACTGACAATGTGCAACAGGAATGGCAGAAGAAACTCTCAGGCCTCAGAGTCGCTCAACTGCCATGGGATCCTCCTCCAGTGTCAGCCAAAGAACAACCCCTCCCAAGTAACGCCAAACCCATCCCATCACAGACACTGCCCAGCAATGGCAACGCCATCAACACCCCTCCGCCTCCGCCACAGGTCCCCTCACAGCCTGCTATCAAGACCGAAAACAATCCAGCACCTTCCTTCCCTCCTCAACCTCTCCCCGTCCAGACATATCAAGCCCCTTCTTTCCAACAAGGTCAACCCATGACGGCACGTGACCGTGCTGCTATGAACTTACATCAGAGCTTTGGTCAACGCGCCGGTCCACAGATTGCTCAGCTTCAGTCAACTCAGCCTCGTGTACCTTTACAATCCTCGGCGGCTGCATCATCAAGCTATATCAAGCAGGAAGACTCGCAAACGCCCTTTCCTGGAGTTCAAGATTATCCTTCCGCACCATCCTCGGCTCCTCTCAAATCGAGTCAAACTGATGGCACAGGTGATGCTCGGGACGATTGGAACAGCGAGTATGCACAACGCAAAGCATATGCCACCGCACACGGCGCTGAAGGCGATCGATTGATCAGAGCGCATTTCAAGTCCAGCCAGCAGGCGATGGAGGGTGGCGGTCTTCTCTTGGCTCTTGACGAGCGACATATGCCAAGCCAAGCAACCACACGTAAAGTCAACAGTCTTGCAGGAGAAGGGTCTACGCAACCATCGGCACCTCCCTGCATCACTCGGGCCCAGGGCGATGCAGCAGGCGACGAAGATGACGATGTGGACGACGAAGACGCTATCAATTCCGACCTCGACGACCCAGACGATCTTGCGGCAAATGAGGAGAACGGAGAGGATACTGACCAAGTCATGCTGTGTACCTACGATAAGGTCCAACGCGTCAAGAACAAGTGGAAGTGTACTTTGAAGGATGGCATCCTGCGAGTGGAGGGCAATGAGTGAGTCCTCTCTGTCCGAATAGGATACTCTTGCATTGACTAATTGCGCAGGTACGTTTTTCACAAGGGCCAGGGTGAATTTGAGTGGTAACGACGCATCTCAATCGACAATCACTCGTCTTTGTCTCCACCAGCTTAGACACATCAGACAGCATGACTGTAAGCATGACATAATGGAGGTGAGGAGCACTTGCATCATTTTGACGCCCTTGGAGACTGCACACGCTGTTGGCATGTGCCACCTTGACTTGGAGGTCGGCTGCGAAGCGAACGAACTCTGACAAGAGATAAGTTTGAGTTCAACCATTTTGGAACGGAGCGTTGCTATCCTCCTATCTGGAGAGCGGGTTCGACTGGGTCGTGCTATGCAAGATTGTGGACCACGTTATCAAGGGCCACGCAAGGGCCAACTTGGTGGCAACGGAGAGGTTCGTCCTGAATATGGCGTGCTGGGGTGTGGAAATGTGTTACCGATGTCACATGCATCATACTTCATGCGAAAGGTTGATATTGCGGAGTACTTTCAAGGGCCTTCCAAAAGCGTGGGGGTTCAAACCATGCGAGGCTAGGAAAATTGCCGGGCGGCAATATCTACCAATAGGTACTTGTGTTTGGTGTAGATAGATACAAACGAAGAAATGACCCGTGAACACTAGTGCCACACTGAGAATGTGGTGTTTTGCCCGGGAATAAATTCCATACGAGGTGTTGCTCAGAATTCGTTAGGGAGTTCTCTGAGCAACAACCAGGAATGGACATCGGCAAGTCATGATTAAGAAATGCCCATGTACATGAAGTCCCGTTCGTCGCTGATCCTTTGCGCTCGTCTGGGGCCAAAAAGGCCCAGAACAGTATGACTGCTGAACTTCGTACATCAGACTGGGGTAAGATGATCATGACCGTGATATGTAGTGTGTTTATTAGTGTGTAGTATTCCGTTGCGCCCTCTGCATGCGTCTAAACTATTCTAGAATATAGCGAGCGACGTGCCAAGGGTGTTCAAATGGTAAGTGTGCTGAAAATGGGAGGTCGATTGGATTTGGGGACTCTGCCCTTCTTCATATCGCCTTCCACACCAAAGTCTCGAACGTTGGGACCGTTTTTCACAGACTTGCCGCTCATCGACTTGAGGTCCGACACGAAGGATTTGCCCCACGCTGAACTCGAGTTCCGAAGGACATAGTCCTCAGACTTCTTCTGGTTGGCGCTGCGCTCGCTTGCGCCCATAGTGACGGCGCGACGCAAGGCCTCCACTGTGCCGTCTGTGTCCCAGGGGTTGAACAGGACGCTTCCCGTCAATTGCTCGGCTGCACCGGCGAACTCGGAAAGGAGGAGAACGCCCTTGCGCTCACGTTGGGTGGCGACGTACTCGTACGAGACGAGGTTCATGCCGTCACGAATCGAGGATACAAAGCAGATATCTGACGCAGCGTACATGGTGATTAGCTGGTCGAACGGTACGCTCTGGTGGAGAAGATGGACAGGCTTGTAGTCGTTGGACCCGTATTTCCTGTTCAAGGCTTCGACCTGAAGGTGGAGATCTGTCGCAAGGTCCTTGTAGTCTTGGACACTTTGCCTGCTGGGGACAGCGACCTGGATCATACTGACTTGCCCGACGAGATGGGGATTGGTGTCCAAGAAATGCTCCATTGCCGTGATCTTTTGAGGTATGCCTTTCGTGTAGTCGAGGCGATCGACCCCAATGATCAATTTACAGACATTGTAGCTTCTCCGCATGTCTCTAACCTGCTCTTGTCTCGACTTGTTCTCCATATGGTCGATAAATTTGGGCACGTCTATCCCGATTGGGTAGATACCGAGGTTGATGACATTCCCGTATCTTTCTATGCCGGTGGGACACTGTTCGTAGTTCCTGCCTAAGCGTCAGCTGCAAGTCTCTCAAAAGGGTAGAGTCAGTCTCGCTTACAGGTAATCGCAACAAGTGCGAGCGAAGTTCTGGGCGTAGGTCTGTGTGTGGAAGCCGATAGTCTTGCAACGTACGAGACCTTCCAGGATCTGATCCCAAACAGGGAGCACTTTGAACATGTCTCCACTGGGGAATGGTGTGTGCAGGAAGAAGCCAATCGTGATTCTTTTGCTCTGCTTCATGGCTGCTTCGGAAAGCATTCGAGGCAAGAGCATGAGATGATAGTCGTGGATCCAAACAAAGTCACCGTCCTGGATATCGGTCGCCAGCTTCTCTGCAAACCGTTGATTGACCTGCTGGTAGGCCTTCCATTCGTCTTGACGGAACTTAATGGCGTTGGATTGGTAATGGAGTAATGGCCATAGGGTGGAGTCTGTCACTTAGTTAGCGACGTGTTGTTTTGAGTTGACGAGAGAACCTCACTTGAAAACCCGTTGTAATAGGATTCAGCTAGGTCGTCATCCACGAGAATAGGTACAGCGTTATGTTCCTCGCGTAGGGCCCGGGTGATATTGGGTTCCTCGTCCGAAGGAATTTCCATCCCAGGCCAGCCGTACCAGACCATTTCGGACTCACGTTTGACTCCACTCATACCTGTAGCGAGTCCTCCGCTAGATTCCTTGAAACCATATTTGCCATCACTGTCTCTCTCGATGGTGACAGGTAGCCTGTTTGAGACCACGATCAGCCGCTGGTCGGCCGGTGGACTCATGACCAGGAACGAATCCGGACTGGGAGGGGGAGTCTGCATGGCACAAAGTTCGAGGTTGCCTGTGCGTGAACTTGGCGAGGCGCTATTGGAGATGAACGGAACAAATATCAATGTAAATGTATTGGTATCGAGGAGTATACCATCCAGCAAATTAGGACTTGGTGAGACCTATATATCAGTACATCCTTCAGGTCTCAATCAGACTGCTTGTTCGTCGGGGCCTTCATGTAGCTTACGGGGAGAAGACCCATTGAACAAATTGGCCTCGTCAGTAGCAGCTCCTGCCTGAAAGGTGGTCATGTTGGGGGGCTGATAGGACTGTAATTGGCCGCTATGCGACACTCCTGCGAAATCGCTTATTGTCTTGTCTCGCAGAGGCGAACGCAAACGAATCTGGCTTTCCTACGTGCTTCATGCGGAGCTAACAGGGTCTGAAACTGTCGGCAATGGATTTGGTGTCGGGGCTTTTCATGTGAAGCTTACCATTGAGCACATCTCCACGGGTCCTGAGTGTGTGTGTCCAGGGACGACAATCTGACGACAATCGGGAAAACAGCGGGCTTGGATACCTTGTGAATGACGTTGACCAGGCCAGTGCACTGGTACCAATAGTGAGAGGCTCTCGTGACAACGTCAGCTTTAGATCCACGTGGAGAGGAGGCTCGTTGTCCGTTGAACTACCCGACTGGGGATAGGGATTGAGCGTAGCACTGGTGGGGAATTTTCATTACGATAGCGGCATTCTTCAGCGTTAGTTCCATGCACATCATATCTGCATCCTTCCGAAAGGAGTCATATCGGATGCCATGCCTTGACCTTCGGAGAAGATAGGAGAACAATGGCAGTTGAATAGGTGGAATGATATGATCGAAAGAGGGCGGTGGAGGCATTTCTCCGCGCATTGGCGCGGAGGCGGGGAACTTGGCCATAGAGATCCCTAGGGGTCTGTGGCGTGTCTTGTCAGTATATCGTGTTGTCCTTCTGTTTTGTCGTCTGGGCGTCTTTGATGACATAAACTCTATATGTTGCAACAGGGATGTGGGTTGCGGGTCTTCGTAAAAGGGAAGTTGCGTTCCGAGGACGATGGAGAGAATTTCCTAGCTCCGTAAAAGCTCCGGCCCCGCAAATGACAGTTCAAGGGTACTATATGTCGTCGTTTGGTCTTTCGAACTCCTCGGCCTATTCCCTGGCCAAACAACCACCGTAAACCCCTGTAGTCCCTGCAACACACCTGATGTTGACGACCTCGGATACCTTAGGTAGGGAGCTACCTCTGATCGAATGTTTCGCAAAGTTATGCGATCAGCTGCAGGGCTAGGCTCAAAGTATTGCCAAACATGGCTTGTACATATGAGGCTCGGTCCCAAAAGATCGAACTTCTTGTCCTTCAAAAACCCTCACGTATAGTTGTAACAAGAGACCCAAGGACATGTCTGTTTTGCAAATGGAACGAAACAAGGAACGAGCCTCGCCCAGGGGAAGTCGCCCACCAGCCTTCTCCAGAACAGCCCAAGCTTGCCTGTCTTGCAAGGAGAAAAGGATCAAGGTTCGAAGGCCGTCCACAGTGTTACCCAACCCCGCTGCTGACAAAATCACCCCAGTGTACAGGCCAACCAGGCCCCTGTCAAGCTTGCAGCAAGAGTCGTAGATACTGTCACTTCGACTTCAAGCTCGATGCGAGAAGAAAGATCTATGAACCGTCGACAACTCATCGGCAACAGCAATTCCTTCTCAAAGGACTGCTTCTCAGCATCAAGTTGAACGACTCCGACATGGTGCAAAGGCTGGTCGAGGCAATCAGAAATGATGACTCGCCTCCAAATGTGGCCAAAACCCTTCAGAACAACATTCAAGCCTTGCACGAGAGGGGTGAATTGGCCAAGAAGGATATCAGTGAGACTGATATGATCACATTGGTCTTGAAATGTCTCTCGTGCCCACGTCCCCGGACCCGAACGGACAGTACGGCTTCCACAGCACAGTATGACTTTCTTGGGGAGCCTTCCAGCTCGCACTCAGAGTGGTCTTCTGCATCTCCGGCTACTCACGAGGACTTCTTCTTCGATGAGGCATTCCCCCTCCAACTCCAAAGCAGTAATTGTGACATGGCACAATACTCCACGGATTCAGCACATTCTTCTACAGATATTGACTCGATATTCACATCAAGTACGTTTGAGGTAGGTGAAACCATATCGTGGAACATGTCATCTCATCCGGCCACCGACTGACTCCTCGAGCAGTCACAATTTTCTTTCTCCCCGACAAGCTTAGCCAGCAACACTTCTCCGCCGACAAGCAATTCTCCCAAAACTTCGAATTTTGAAATGCCAGCATTATCGTACGAAAAACCGAATGAAAAGCTTCGCTTCTCAGAAACAAACACGATGCAAATCAACGGCACCAGGGGGCATCGGTCATTCATGCGAGGCTCGGATTGCTCATTGCGAGCATTCACATTGCCCTTGATATGTCCTGGTGATCCGATCAACGAAATGGTTATAAGCTTCCGAGATGGAGCTCGCGATCTGCTCAAGTCTGGTGTTTCTTTGGAGTCAGTCATGGGATCTGGCCTCACTGATGTGGAGTTGCTGTTCCGACTGAGGCAACCAGATGATGAATGGAATGTACCCGGCTGGGCATGTGAGGTAAGTCTGGTCACGTCGAGAGCGCTCTGCTCCCCTCTCTTCAAATCACCTTTTTTCGGCTAACGGCTTTTTCTCAGATGACGTGGGGTCTCCAAGATGTTGATTGGCACGTTCAATTAGCTGAGGTCTTCATGAGAGTTCGATTCATGAGATGGTTAATCCTTCCAAACGAGGATACCTTTGCTGGCATCCCGGGTATCCTGCGACCAACCACAGCACAAATGCGTTTTCCTCATTCAGTGGCGATAGATTTCCTCCCCATACCAACGGTTCGGAATGTCCTGGTCAGGAGGCCACAGGACTGGCACACACCCCTGATCAGATCCAAGTACAGCTGCAATTGGAACGATGCGCTCGGTCCGGCGATCGTTACTGATCCTGTCACCGGACGACGACATCTAAGCGAACAATTCGAAAAACATATTTGTGTTTATCAAAACTGGAGTGCTGGCAAAAGCATCTTGGAGACTTGGCCAGAGTTGTCGGGAGAAATGAGATTGGACAAAGCTGCCTAGAGGCTTTGCTGCATCCATCGAGTCTGCATGCAGAGTTCCGACCTGGCGAGGTCGGAGGATATCAATGCCAAATGGAGGAATGGGATCCAATTTTAACCGACACGGCGTCTTCTCGGAAGGGATATTGATTGACGGGCGTTGGTTTCTTGACGAAATCCCCTCCCCTGAGAGGCCGGGCACTAGCGAAACGGACGCCATCCGCAGTTAGGGTGTTTGATAGATCCACACGATTACAGGGACCACGTTCGCCTCGTTGTCCGCATGCTCGGCCCCAAAAGAACCGTTGGAGTTTGTTCAGTGATAACAGGGAAAGCATTGCCAAGCAGACTCTAAAACTTCGGCACCGACAATAAGCGATCGAGAGGCAGCTCTGCAAACGTCACTCCAATAAAGATCTTGCATCTCCAGCCGAATCGTCGATATGCAGGGGACGATCCTGTTGACGTAACACAGCGATGATCTCGACGACGAAAGGACAAGGACGGGGGTCAATGCGTTACACCTGCACGATCGCTAAAGCCTTTGGGGTGTGAGGATCTGAAATGTCTAACACATGCTGACGGCCATCATTCCAAGAACGTTGCCCACGCCTTTGAATAGAGGTGGAGGTGGGTTGACCGTGGAGTCCATTCGGCAGTTTATGAAGTGGAGGTAGAAAGCACCGGTATCAGTGGGCATTTTACAACAGCGCTCCACCTTGCTTTGTATGATAAAGGATGGGGAAAGGAAATGTACAGCTTACATGGGTAGAGACAATCAGATGGCGCTGAGCCAATAGCATGCGCTGGAGAGAAACCTCCGGGCTACGACCGACGCTGAGGAGTAATCGTATATTTCGATCTCAAAGGGCGACCCCGATGTTTGTCAACGTCCGACGACCGAGAGTTTATGCACCTAGAGACATGATCAGAAAACTCTCTGGTCCCTGACCGTTATACATTTAACCGTTCAGTCTCACTTGCCACCACCGGCAACACGAATGTGGGACAAGGTACCCTGTCCTCGTTCTCATACCCCTCCCAAGCCTTGGGGATCTGAAAACATGTGAGAATCTACTGGTGGAGACCTGTCACTGGCCTTTAGTACCTTTGTTCCCTCAGACTGCATGACTGCCGACAGTCATTTGCTGGTACGAGTTTCCCCAACTTCGCTTAAGGTGCTTAGGTTAGACTTTAACTTTAAATTGACATCAGGAGCATGTATGAATCCGCCGTTGTACGTCCTGCGTAGTCCTTGCCCCCTGGGCCCCTAAAGGGCAGCCTAACCCTGCTGAGGCTCCCCATGGCATTCAGCCACCCCGGAGGGAGCTGCCGACCCTTGGCTTGGGTTCCGAGGACTCCTGCCCTAAAATAAATGACTTTCCGCGGGGTGGGCCTCGTCGGATTCCAATCTATCTAATCTCGTCATATGGATGGATATGAAACCACTAGCTAGTCGTCTTCACTAACAATCACCATCTTTGATCTGCTCTGGGTGTTGCCATGCAGCCAAAGCAGCCGTCTACTTGGAAGCAACAAGCATCGTCATCCAAAAGTTGCGACTTGTGCAAGCTCAGGCACCAAAAATGTAGCAGAACAAAGCCGTCATGCCACTACTGCCAGATGAGACGTGTGGAGTGCGTGTACTCCGACGTCCCAGCCAACAAGGTCACTCTCTCCGCTATCCGCCCCGCAAGAAGTATCCCAAACACCACAACGTCAGTCACAACGTCGACAACAGGCAAGACCCGGAGTGATAGCGACTCTCCTTCTGATGCCGAGATTGCCGGTCGGAATACGATACTATCCAGAGATCTAGTGGGTTTGCAATTCTTAGGATCTTTGTTGGCGCTGACTATTCGCAGGAAGCCTTGAATCTCACGCCCTCGCCCAACAAGACCACCGACCTTGGTATCAGTCCAGTACCGAGCGCCTCATCGGCCCCGATTAGGCCTTTAGAGATTGGATCCTGTAAGGAGAGTTCTACCCATTACCTCGTCGACAGTTTGGCAACGCTCTGGGCGGACAAGTCCAATAAAAGCAAAGATCAAATCCTACAAGAGAATGTTTCCATAATGTCCGACCCGACTACTTCGCCATTCCTTACCGTCTGTGTGCACCAACCCAATTATATTTCTCTAGAAGAGCAACTACCAGAGAAAGCTGTTGCCACGGGATGGTTGACCACGTTGATGAAAGGTCCGAATATGCTGTTCCGAGTTTTCAACGAGGATGAGTCGTGGAGACTTCTGGATTCGATCTATGCAAACGAGGACATCAGCCATTCTTCAAAATGTTCCATGTGGCTGCAACTGGCTGTTGGGTGCAAATTCACAACAGGGTCCCCTAAGGAAAGCTACGACACACTATTTGATAGTGGCTGCCAGTACCTGCAGTGGTGCCTCGAGCAATCAGACGAGATAGCTCCTCTCTGGGTCGTGGCTCCAATGATGCTTACTGTTCTTTACTACATGGACTCGAAGCCCAAGACTTGTTGGCTGACCCTTGGTGGTGCGATCCGCCTTGCTCAAGTGCATAAGCTAGACCGAGCCAGGGAAAGCTGTCCACGCTTGTCGGTTAAAGAGTATGAGAGGTGGAGACAGGTTTGGCGAGCCATGATCACCTTCGACACGTACGTAAAATACTCTCCGCCTACCATGAATGGTTCACATTTACTGATCGCCTATAGGTGGCTATCTAGCACACTCGGAAAGTGTCCGCAGATCAACCAGGACACCACGCAGGACTCATTTGTCCAGGTAAGGATGCCGGACAAAACTGTGAAAAACGAAGATTTCGGTGCTGATGTATTCAGATGACCCTTGAGGAATTTGCCCTCCCAAACGACAGCATCGAATTCAACATTGCCAAATTAAGTATGCTACTCGCCCGGTTTTTGACAAGTCTGTGCGACGGCAAAATGACTGCCAATACTCAAGAAGTATTCTTCCACGCCATCGAGGACTGGGCATCCAACCTACCCCAGAATCTGCGTTACTTTCCGGATGACAATGACCCACAAACGTCACAAGCTAACGCGGTGGGCTCAGTAAGTTGGCGCTCATGATGGGCAGTACTCGGACACTGACCCCACCAGCTCTACCTCGAAACATTCTACTTCGCCTCAGTGATGATATTAACCAAACCGGAGCTTTTTACGTCGCTATCCACGGGGCGGCAGCAGAATTCCCCGCACAGTAGACTATTTTCGCAAGCATGGTATGTCACTCCATCTGCCGAATGGGACTTACTAAGTCTTGTGCAGCGTGGATGCTTCCGTCCAGATCGGCCATGCATCCACAATAATACTGAATCGCGGATTCCTCTGCAAACAGTCTTGGTTCATTACGTGAGTATTCCCTTAGTGTCAGATGATACCACGTGGCTGATGGAAACTCTTCCAGGACCCTTGTGTACCATGCTGGACTAGTGCTGGCCTTGAGTCTTTCGGTACAATCGACGTCTCCACGCTACAGCTTAAAGCCCAGTGGGAGCCACAGTCCAGAAACTCAGGGCCTGGAGGCGAACCTGAATATACTGTCATCTTGTGCACCATTCAATGATGTGGCTGCGCAATTTGATAAAGTACTAAAATATTTTCGAGCCTTGATTGACAGCTATGAAGAGGCCAAATCTGCTCGCATGAGCCACCAAAGCGACGGACGCGAACTATTTCGAACGCCACCCTGGCCACCTGCACCGTCCTCCTGGAGGAATCAGAGCATATCTACCACTACTCCCACCTCTACTCTGTGGCAGACATCACCGAATGTGCCGGTGATGTACTCCCTTCCACCATCCTCACCATACCAGGTCCTGGCCGGGCCAGACTCCTCTATTCCTCTCAATCTCAACAACGAAGTTTCACAGGCTGCCGCTGCGAACTTTTACCCCCCACGAACGATTGTGGACCCGACATATATCGGATGGCCAGCCACTCTACCAAATGATGCGTCGGCTTACTCCTTTGTCAGTAAATCAAGTTCACGCTCGGGACAAGGATCCATAGACTCTGGCTTCGAACACTATAAGCCCTATATGCAGAACTTCTGGGCCACAGAACCCTTCGACCCTGGACAACAGATGGGCGACCCAGGAAAGGCGAACTCAAATTCTCAATATGGGTAACACCATGACAGGATACCGTTACTAGATTAAAGCACTAACATCTCGGAGCTTGCCAGGACTATATATCCATTATCCCTAGGATAATGAAAGCATCAAGAACGGTCTGCACCAGTCTAGCCTCGGTCGGTTCGGTTGTTGGCCACAGTCAGAAGACGCCATTCCTGGAAAAAGTCAAACCGACTACCACACGGCCGCTTGTCATCGCTGTCTCGTGGTACCGGTTCCACGCAACGTTGATATATCAATCAAGTTGGTGACAATCCTTGCTCTTGCTTGAAAGACTTCACGGACCTTCCTCTCCTTATTCAACCAGCTTTTGTGGCAATCGGTCCCGCATACTGGAATGGACATTTGGTGTCCGGGTGATCAAGATATTGAGGAATGATTGTCCAGACGCTGCTAGGTCAGACAATGTTGCTGATTTCCACAAAGGTCTTGTGAAGATCTTGTGACAGGGATTCGTTGTTGGGATCGTGCTACGACAGGGAAGCGAGGTCATGCCTTTGGCAATGTCGACTTGAGGAGAAGTCCTGTGCTGTGTTAGGACTGTCGAGGATCGACGACGGAGCGGCATCAAGCGATGAGCTCAAAAACCCTATTGCTTTGTCATGCAATATCTGTCATGGGCTTGTAGGATATCTCAATCAGGCTGTTGTTGTTAGTGAGCATGTTGTGAGCGAATGAGACGGACCTTTCATCAATGGCGCGAGTCACTACAAGTGAAGAGTCGACAAGTACGATGGGTGAAGAAGCGCATCATGCAAATTGATTTGGCCAGGGAGCCAGAAGCTCGGAGTAAGTGAATTCGATTGTTGTGCGGGACTTTCTGCCACACCCTCAAGTCACGCAGGCTGCGGCGCTGCGCAGTCTATATGGTTCTCTACTCTCACTTACGACTCTTCTACTCCGAACCAACTTTCATCTCAATACCTTTCCTGCTCGAACACGCTCATCATTGTTTCTTGTCAAGGTGAGAAGCCCCCCTACAGGTTCTGCATATTGTTCAGAAGCCTCTTTTAAGCCCTGCTTCGCTGGTGCAGCTCGTGGGTAATTGGCCCCATATGAGATGAGACTGAAACCGACAAACGGCGCTCAGTCTAGGACAGCTTCACTCAATCCCCTTGTCGACCCTCGAGAGAATCTATGTCGCTGACCACTTTCCTCTTGTTACTCCTCCGCTTCCTCCTCGACCCTGGCCACAGGCCAAGGGTCCGACTTCGACGGCGTCAAACCCTAACTCATTCAGGCTTTTTCGCTCTTTGCAATATGGTAGTCCCTGGTTCGCCTAGGCATCCGTGCAAGTCCCCTGTTCGGGGTTCCCTTTATTTTACACCATAAATATGGTTTTCATATCCGGTTCACATAAGCGCCAGGCTTTGACGGACCACACTGCGGAAGGGAGGGTGTTGTCCTCTCGGGAGATTCAGAACGGAGGCCCTCTGGGATTGGCAAAGCACACCCAGCACTGGGGGCTTCCTCAATCGTCTACAACCTCCAGGGTTGATTACAACAAGACGACAGAGTCTCTGATCGCCTCGGAGACGATGCCTTCCAAGCCGGATACTTTATATCGTCCCGGGTTCCAATCGAGCATTTCTTCTACAGGGTTGACCAATTCTTCTTCAGCCTCTGGTGCTGGCTCACTCGCGTTGTCCAATCGGCTGCATCCGGACCACCCTTTGCAAGGCTCACATGAAAGTGCAAACATATCAAGGGGTTCTTATGGATCTTTGCGCGACACCACACCAGGCATAGCCATGCAGTATGATGTTCGGGGCGAAATGAGGCCACAGGGATGCACATTGGAATGCCGGAATGAAATACGCACCCTGCGCCGTCGTCTGGAGGACCGACAAATCGCATACGATCGGCTTCTGAATGACTACAACCACCTGCAAAACCAGTTGGAGACGGTTCAGCTGGTCAGAGCCACGGACCGAATACCTCTCGAGCAGCACAGCTACGATATGTCGATGGCGGAAAGCCGGCGGGATCGACTTCATGAGGACTTTGATCGTCTTCCGAGCCAGCCTGAACGTCTGATCCAACAACACAACCACAACCGCGACGATGCGAGCCAGATTGCTCCAGTCGACCATCTAAGGAGAAATGTTGACGACGGAAGTCAGCGAGTGGAGTCAGACAAGCTCTCCCAAGATCAGCGTGTGGAAGAAACGAAACCAGCTCGTTCTTGGGAGACGCTTCCTAGTCAAAGATTTTCGTACATGCTGCCAAAAGCACCAAGTCAACGTGATATTGGCGTCCAGCAATCTGTACCGGCGATCAGCCGGACCTCGCCTGAAGTGCAAGTGGGCAACACTGATGACAGATTCGAAGGAGATTTCCCAGAGCAAACCAGCCACACAAACGGACCGGATGCTTCCTCTGCGCTGAGGACCTCGCCTGATGTCATGGACCGCGATAGTCAATCAGAGCAGTCCGAAGCAGTTGTGAGAGGTAGCAGTGACCGCCGATACCACGTCGCAGAAACTGCTGCAAATGTTAACAAAGAGTCACGAAGCACGACAAGGCCGGACCGCTCGGAGACAGGCGGAAGACCGGATTACGCTGCGTTGTTGTTCGCCAGCATGGGCATGGAGCTTCGAACAATCGATAACTCCCATCCATTGCGAGCTGACCGAGAGCTGCCCTCTGCGCTTGCTGCTAAGCCTGAGCAGCACCCACCTGGGCAGCTTTCAGCTACTCCTGCAAAGGCCCCCACATCACATCGGGCTTCGGCGGAGGTTTCGCATCGGGGCAGACGTGGCCGTCGCCATCGCCGCGGGCGTGGCAGTGGGCGTGGCCATCTCCAGAATGATCCAGTGGTGATGCAGCCGAGAGCTCATTCTCCACCACTACCAGCACAACCCCCTGTTCAGGTGGCGCCGCGTAGACAACTAGGGGGCCCGATGCCCCCGCCGCCGCCGCCGCCAGACTGGGACCGAGCAGCACAAACATCTGACAACTACGGAGGGCGTGCTGATTCAAACAAACGGAAGTCATCGCCATCCCCTGTGGCCCCAAGTCCGAAACAACGACGATGTAACAGCTACACTTAGAGCTGTCAGCGAGCGGAGGGTAGCGACAGCCAAAGCGCAGGTACATGCGTGCCACGGCATGATGGTCAGAGGACAAAATCCGCGCCAAACAGAGTTCGTTTTTGAAAAAGAAGATCGATCTTGCAAAGAGCCAAAACGGGCTGGACGATGCACTGCAATGGTCGTCGACGAATGCGACAAGAAGTCAAAGTCCACCTGAAAGAAGGGATCGCGAGCGCGAAAGAGGTTGCGGCAATAGCAATTGACTGAGCTCCTGGTGGGAAAAATCGCTGACCAGACCAGACCAGACCGTGTTGGACATGAATTTGGGATTGAAATCATCTTGTTAGTGCTTGTGCTATGAGCAACTGTCTCAACCTGCTTGCCGAATTTGGCAGCTCCTGAATGTCTCAGGATGTCATGGCTATATGATCCTTGGTTATAATAAGCATGGGACCAGAGCAGTACCTTGGAAGGGGTACGGTCATTTGGGATGTGAGCAGCATGATTCAGAATTGTCAGGTACAAAAAGATAGTTCCGATAGCACGCTTGAACGTATGATGGTGGATTGGTATACAGACTTTTGTATATGCAGAAATGCCAATACAGACGTACCGTCTCAGTTTGAGGTTTCAAATCATGGAAAAGCAACAGTGAATTCTTGCAGTGAAAGCGTCAGTCAGCCGCGTTAATTGACCACTGACGTTGGTTGCGGAGTGACGTAATTGGCGAAGCAAAGCAGGTGAAGTGTTTGTTCCACACTGTCCCTGCCTGCCTGCCTTGGAGGAGCCTCTTTAAATCTGGCCAATTCTTCCTCTTCCTTTCCACCTTTGACCATCATTAACCAGATCATTTGTTCCGAGCGAGTTCTTTTGCTCGCATAAAACTTCTTACCTGCTCAATATCCAAGACTGATTGATATCACACACCCGCAACCATGACGCTCTACTATAGTTTGGTCAGTTTTCTCACGTGCAGCTGCTTGCTCTAGATGACCAACGCTGATGCTCCCGAATAGGTCTTCGTCCTTCTGGTGGCAGAGATGGCGCTTTTTGTAGGCCTCATCGTCCCTATGCCTTTCACCATCAAGCGCAAGATGTTCAACTTCATATCCGAAAGTCCACTGGTTGCAAAATTACAATATGGAATGAAGGTCAGCGAAAGTCCGCTTCACGAGGAACAACTGAACTAAACTGTTTAGATCACCTTCATTTTCATCCTCATTCTGTTCCTTGACAGTGTCAACCGTGTCTACCGTGTTCAGGTTGAGATGGCATCTCTCATGAACGACAGCTCCGGTGCAGGGTATGACGCTATCCTTTCAGCGGCAGTCCACCCAGCTAACAATAAGATAGGAGAGCAGCTGCCATCGGTTCCGACCGTATGGAGGTTCAAGCTCGCAAGTTCTACTCGCAACGCAACATGTACTTGACCGGTTTCACCCTCTTCCTCTCCCTGATTCTCAACCGCACCTACGGCATGATCCTCGATGTCCTCCGTCTGGAAGAGAAGGTCAAGATGTATGAGGGGGATTCGCAGGCCGGCGGAAAGGAAGGAGAGAAGCTTTCAGGACGTTATCGTGCAGACCAGATTGGCGAACTCAAGAAGCAACTCGAGAAGAAAGACAAGCAAGTGGAAGCCATGAAGAGCCAATCTGAGGGCTTGCAGAGAGAGTATGACCAATTGAGCGTCAAGTACAACCAGACAAACCCCAGCACTGGTGAGAAGAAGAGCAACTAAGAGCATGCATGACTTAACAACGACAAAACATGCAGAGATTAGGCTTTTGGAAGCTAGGGTGCAGAACTGAGTCAAGGTCGTACCTAATGACGGTGACTACTTTCTGGAAGCATATTTTGGGGGTCTAAAAAGAACACTGATGGCAAGGATTCTGGTCGAGTGAACGACCGTGGCTTTTGACCGGAGTCAGGCGGATGAATGTCTGATTCATCGTGTAAATGCGAAGATGAGAATAGATTTGGTTGTGTGTTTTTATTCTGTTTCCCATGCTCGCCTAAAGTGAACATATAAGCATGCTCTAGATGTCTTGTCTGATAGCTGTCCCGCAACATGTCCCACACGCGACATTCTGCTATGCGGAGGCGATACAAGCTAGAGAAACGAGCCTCATCCATGCACACCGTACATCCCTGTTGTGGGTGGCTTTTTTGGCGACGAGGAGTAACTGAAGGTCAAGCCCGCAAATGTGGGGAGCCAATGACGTGAACGACATTGTTCGCGTCTTGTTCTTCTTTCATCTCATCACCAAGCGATGGGACCACTCGATTTGTCCCTCGGCTAATATCATGAGTCCTTGCTTGGAGTAATGCAAACCTGTAGCTCTTGCAATGGTCCGCAGGTGGCCGTACGAGGGCGGTGACACAAGCGAGCAAAGCCGATGCCGCTGTTGTTTACCTGAAGGTGAGTCTTCTCTTCATGCCATCCTTCCTGTCAATCCAGCCCATGCTGCAATGTCGAAAAGTTCATCTGGGAAGATGGATTCTATTCTCACGGTATTGACCCTACTTCTTGCGTGCTGTGTCGCCTCTGTTCAATCCGATCCACGTCCATATGCACCATTCCTGCGAGGTCGACAATTGAGCAGCAACAGCAATGCCTCTTCTCTAGAGGTCAATTTAGGCTATGGAATCTATCAAGGCTACAACAATGCTACTACAGGTCTGAACCTGTGGAAAGGGTAGGTGCTTGACATTGGCATAATGTTGTGCTAACAGTGAGGTTTAGCATTCGTTATGCAGCACCTCCCACGGGTTCCAGCAGATGGCAGGCTCCGAAAAGTCCAGCGACAAACAACGGTTCGGTGATTCAAGCTAACCAGTTCGGCCCCATTTGTCCTCAAGGCCAGGACACAACTAACACATTGGTCCCATACAACGGAACTGGAGCAAGTGAAGACTGCCTATTCTTGAATGTGTACGCCCCAGCAAATGCTTCTGGCTTGCCTGTCCTTTTCTACATCCATGGTGGAGGGTATGGCCGTGGCAATGGTCAACAAGATCTCTCGGCCATCATAAATGCTAACAATGATTCCTTCGTCGGAGTTAGCATTCAATATCGGGTAAGCACATCACTCCCTGTTCGACTGAATGCTGACTAGCCTAGCTTGGAGCATTTGGCTTCCTTGCTGGAGATGAAGTCTTTCGGAATGGAGTTGTCAATGCTGGCCTGTTGGATCAGCACTTCGCGCTCCAATGGGTGCAGAACTACATTCATCTCTTTGGGGGTGATCCCAGTCATGTGACAATCTCCGGTCAATCCGCAGGAGCTGGCTCGGTCATGCTCCAAGACATGGCTTATGGTGGTTCGCAGGGCCAGTCATTGTTCAGAAATGTATGTGTGTCTGAAGATCTGGACTCAGTAGCTAATTCCGCCAGACCATAGCATCCTCACCTTACTTGCCGATGCAATACGGATACAAGGATTGGCAACCATCACAGGCGTACTATGCCTTCGCGACTATGGTAGGATGTGCGCCAACACTACCATACGGCGCTCACCCAGGCACAATCTTCGACTGTCTCGTCAGCAAAGATACTAGCACGTTGCAAAATGCCAGTGCGACATTGTCTGAGTCGGGAAAATACGGCACTTGGTGTTTCCTTCCTGTGACGGACGGTGTCTTCGTTCAAGATCTTCCGAGTCGGCAGCTCTTACGCAAAGAATTGAACGGGTTGAATCTTCTTGTCAGCAACAACGCACTCGAGGGCCCGGCCTATACTCAGCCCAATATCACGACCGAGGACGACCTTGTTGCCTGGCTACAGTTGACGTTTCCCCTTTTCACGAACGATGACATTGCCAAGGTCCTGCTCTACTACCCGAGTTCGAATGCATCGACAGATCCAAACGCGCCGCTGTTCGCTACGACTGGCACGAGTGACCCTAGCTTCATCAATCAAAGCAGTGTTGCAACTGGTCAACAACAGCGTGCATTTGTAAGAACGAAACAATTTGGTGTGGCAGCGTCGTGACTGACTTTTGACAGGCCATCTACTCGGAGACCACGTTCGTGTGTCCGTCATACTGGATGGCGGAAGCGTACAGCGACTTTGGTCGTACCTCGTACAAATACCAATACTCGGTGCCTATTGCAGTTCATGGGTCAGATCTTACCGCATACTTCGGACCAGCAACTCCAAACCAAAGTCCCGATTTCGTCAACGCCGCGATGCAAATCTGGGGCAGCTTCATCACGCAAGACAATCCATCTATCCCAAGCAGTGTAGCCAACGGAGCGTCGTCCAATAGTACCCAGACCAACGCAGCGTCCGAGTGGCCTCCGTTCACAATTTACTCACCCTATCAGATGGACTTGAACATTACAGGAGGGACATCGTTTCCATTCAACCTATCGTACATTCATGCTAACTTGACAGAATATGGTGAACCCGGCTTGGTCAACGACATCACCTTGGTGAATGCATACACTTGGGAGGCAGGCCGAGGATATCGATGTGACATGTGGAGAAGCCTTGCAGCCATAGTGCCTGAATGAACGTGGTGCTGGCTAGCGGAGCACCGTATGACCGAAGATACGAGATACGAAGCATGTGTTGCAGTGCAGGACTTTCTTTTGCTATTGCACCCGCCATAGCATTCTCGTTCACGTTTATTATCGTTATTCCGCCGCAACGGCAAATCTTTTGGAGTGTCTGAGGCTGCCAAGTAGCCATTCCACCCCTCCTATAGCATTGTGATAGTATGTAGTAGTGATTAATTCGAATTGTCGGATGTAAACCCATAGATACTCCCGTGTACTGCTCTTTCGCTGCTGTAGGTATGACCCGGGGGTGACTTGAGTCCAAATCAGCCTTGCTTAGTCATGTTGCATCCGCGCCCGCCTTGAGGCTGCCCATCCTGTGGCTTCGCACGCCAGTAATGTCAATCTTGCACGAGTACAAGTGCAACCTGTATCCTTTCTGATTAAGCCTTCGCTACTGCCAATGCCTTGGTAGGCAATTATTTGTACAGCCTTGAAAGCTGAGGGCTAGCACATTCAAAAAGGCAGTGAAGTGTCACGATCCAAGGTCAAAAATGATGCCCCTGAACTCGTACTAAAATCCTAGCCATCTGAGTGATCAAATTGTTTGGAACTACACGAAGTTTTCTCTTCACTGCAGAAGGCTCTGACAAACCCAGTGTTGGCATCAGCATCTCATAGTCACAAGTGGTCAATCGACGTCTCTCCATCACTCGAAGGGTGCACAGACGAGGTCGTACCAAGGCATCCCCTTCAGCACATCTCCAGCAAGTCTTGTCACCGGAAGCAAACGAGCAACCAGGAGTTACGACTTTAACGACGGGAAGCGGAAACAGGAGAGGCTACGAAACCGCAAAATAGGACATTCTCCAGCAGCTTTTCTACTTGGTCCCACCTGGAATTCGGGTTTCTTCATCAAACCCTCTTACCTTGACAATCACCCAATACACTTTCGCCAGTCTTACCAGCATCATGCCACAGGACCCCAAACTCCTAGCTTCCGCCGTCCCGAGAGTCGGTGTCGGCGTCTTCATCGTCCACCCACACCCCGCCTCACGCCCCTCCAATCCACGCTCCAGGCCTGGGCGGCTGAAAGGGTGGAAATTCCTAATGGGCGAACGCCTCGGCTCTCATGGATCCGGCACTTGGGCCCTACCAGGAGGCCACTTGGAGTTTGGCGAGACGTTCGAAGAATGCGCAGCCCGCGAAGTCCTCGAGGAGACGGGACTGAAAATCCACCAGATCGAGTTTCTTACCGCAACGAACGATGTCATGCCTGGTGAGGGAAAGGCCGGGGAGAAGCACTATGTCACGGTCTTCATGACGGCACGTGTAATTGGATATGAAGACTTGAAACACTTGCCGAAAGCAGTGGCCGACGATATCCTGAAAATAATGCCGGAAGCGAAGGTCATGGAGCCGGATAAGTGTGCTGGGTGGGAGTGGGTAGATTGGGGGAGTCTGGGGCACTGGGCGGGACTTCAAAGGGGTATGGACGTGGGCCGCGAGATCGTTAGGAAGGAAGGGACTACTCGGAAGCGTAAGAAAACTCCGGAGCTCGAAGAACTCGGAGGGAGGCGTTTGTTCTCGCCGATGGTGGATTTGTTTGAGCAGCGGCCTGATGTTGTTCCTTGGACAGAATGAATGCGATGCACGGCGTGAGGTTTGCTATGCCATCGTGTGTACCAGAAGCAATCGCGGGGTCTTGACAGAGAGGCTGGACTGGCGGTGCAATGGCGTGTTCGCAACAACACGAGACGAGGTTGTAGCTGGCCTCGCGAGGGTTGGCTGTATGGGAGCAAGACTTAAACGCAGCGGGATGGGCTTGGGCTTAAGGACCACAACGGAGGAAGTCTCGTCGATCAATTTGCTCTGACTAATATTGTGTTCTCGGAGAGCTCAAGAACAGCAGCCCAAGCAGTCTAGAATGCCGCATATGGTGTATCAGATTTCCCCATCAACTCTTCGCAGTCCTGGATAGCAAGCATTATATTCTCTGTACTTTCGCCGTACCGTCTTCTGTTTCGAGGTATGGTCATATAACACTGTTGAATCAGGTGCCGCCTCGTCTTTTCGTCCCTCATATATCCCTGCTTTGCACTATGTGAAGAACCATGGTTGCCAATGGTTTGAGTATAAAACAATAAAAGGGTGTATCGTAACTCATCATGGATGCCCCTCCCGTCGCCAAGGAACCAACGTTTGTGGCCGGATAGCACTTGAGACCTCACTAACGTTATCGCAACATCCTTGTCGGACCCGTTGGTGCATGTAGCCTAGGTTCCATCGTCATTGGTATACCTGTCGTTGGTGCGTCGGTCATTGGCACATCTTGTCCAGCGATTGTCCGGATTTCTGTGGGCGATACTTGAGATCCTCTTCTTAGCGAAGGCGTGCTGGATCCAGAACTGGGTTTGGAATAGGGGCCGCCGTTGCCATTGACTTTGTGGTGTTGGAAAGGAGCTTCATCGTTGTACCTTGGCAAAGGAAGGGTTTGGTGAACGGCCGGGTGATCAGACGTTGGCGTGTTTGGCTGTTGCCCGGGTTGAGATTGTCCATTGGTTGGCCTAGGTGAGAACAGAACACTGTCTTTCCATTCTGTGTATGCCCTTGCCGTCGGAGATTTAGGATAGAAAGAGGGACATGGCACGCGACCAGGATCCTCTGCCGCTACCTTTGCGAATGCTCGGTGGTACGCAACCTCACCCAGAGGATCTTCATGAGGTGACTCTGGTGATTTTGCTAGGTCTTCTCGATATCCTCGCATGGTCCATGGATGATCGTGATGTTCAAGTGGAAGTCTGAAATGTGGATGAGGACGCTTGTTGTCGCTGCTCATCGCTTTCACCCTTCCCGACCGACGGACGATCGTATCTAGGCCTCCTATCGGTGATATCAAGATTGGGCGATCATTCAGGGGAATTGCGGTTGAAGAATTGATCTTCCCTCATCCGCCGAGGAATGTCCACATCAGAGAGGTGGCATGTGAGAGGAGAAGGGGTGTTACGAAGCCTTCAAGTACGGTAGATGAGAGTGGATCAGGTAGCTCGTAGAGGGGTCGATAGGTTCAATGAACAATAATCGATATATTCGGTTAGAAAACTCGGTTATGAAAATGGACGTTTTCCGGGACGGCTGCTCCCGCTCCAGAAGTGGATGGACATCGCACTCTTATAAAGCAAATTGTCGAAATATCAGAGCACAAGAAATGTACATGGAATGGCTAAAAGCCAGCTATGCGACTCGACCGTAGTGAGAAGCGTGATGCAAACTTTCAGAAATCCCCAGGCAGCCAGTTTGAGACCCAATCGAGCTGCAGAACAACGTTACACAGCAGCCCAACGTCTGCCAGAGATACTCCGCTTTTAATTGCTGTCGCTTCCAGGTGGTTTCTCGGTACCTTGCTGCATGATGCACATCATATATGGGGCATGGTCGCTTTTTATTACGTGCCAACGTGGATCGTCGCAACCATCGATGATTTCCCCTGTTTGGTCCCCATGCGTTCATGTTCGATGATCACGAGCCAAACTTCTTTGATAGAACGATCCTCGAGCTTCGGATCCACCGAAGCATACATCTTGAGGGAGGAAAGAAGGGAGCGAAAGAGCAGTATCACCAAGAATCTTTACACGGTACAACATCTCATTTGTTGTCCGGACCGATCAGAATCCGACCAGTCGGTACTGAAGCGCAAGGGGGTTACATAAGTACCTCAGACAGGGAGCAAGGAATGGCCATGTTCAAACAACATCTGCCGGCATAACGGGACCGTATATCAGAAAAACAATGACTATTGTGATTCGTACCGGAGCATGCCGAGGAGGAAACCAGCCAATATGCACAGCAGAAAAGGCGTAGGAAAGAGCTGTCTTTGTAGCCTCGTACTCCGTGCAGGGTGTCATTTGCGGGCACACCAGGCATTCTTATAACGTCAACAATAAAGGGTGTCAGAGCCATAAGTTAAGCTTAGCCCTTGAATTTCTTCGGCCGTTACATGCAGCCCATTCTCAACTCCCATTCCGGCTACTGGTGGCAAGTTCCCTCTGGACCAAAAGCTAATCGGCGCCTAAACCACAACCAGAAAACCTCTCTTGGTTATTCTGTGTCCCTCATTGGTCGCCCAAAGTCCTTATCAGCGGGACTTTGCTGGGCGTTCTTCATCGGACCCCTACCGTGACAGTAGGCACATGTCGACTTGCCCTCGCTGGCCATTTCCCTCAATCTTCCTCTCGCCGCCCGCCGCCGCGCCCCAGTCCGTTGTCCGAGACTATTACACTGACCCGTTGCTTTCCTCCAACCCAAATCAAATATCAATGTCTTTTCCTTTAATATATTGTTTCAACGGTGGAACGACACCTCGGAAGACTCTTTGTTGCTGCTCATTTTGACGTACATGTCCGCTCCTTTGATATAGACTCGAAATTCACCTCAATCTGCAAGCCTCAGCCTCTACCGCTTTCAACCACCCCACCCTCCCACGCCTTTGACAGCCTCATCTCGTGCCCTACAACCCGTGGTTGCCTGCCATCCCACAGCGATTCTATTTGCTTGTTCGGAAGGCGCCTCTGAGATCATTCCGTCGGATGCTCGCCTGACATTGCCGTGTTATTCAGCTCCTCGCATCGCACCGACGTTAAGCGCGGGCCTCGACCTGAGATCATACAAGAATATCCTCGGATATCACGCCCGTCTACCGACATCCAGCCTCGTCTTACCAGCTCTATAACGTTGACACGGACGACAACTCGTCCTGGGTTCCCTCACAGCCCATCTACTTATCACTACCCAAAATGGCCACAAACTCGACCACTCAGACATATACAATTCCCGGAGAGAACCATTTCTTTGCGCGACAACAACATTCTCCAGCCAGTTCACCGTCACCAACCTCTCCTCGAATGCAGGAATATCTCCAGCAACAAGCGCCGAACCCGTACAAGCAGCTTCGGCCGCTAAAGTCGCCTCTCTATGTTCCTGCTGCTCTCAGACCTACCGAGCACTTTTATAACCCCTCTCCCATGACACCACCAAAGAGCCTGCACGGGTCATTGGACAACCTGCAAGACAATGAGAGACGCAGCGAAAGCCCAGAACAACAAATCTACACAGAGTCAGATCCTTATGATCATATGTGGTTACAGGAAGAAGAGCTTGGTGACGTGGCTGGTCCCCCAACGAAGGAGCACTGGAAGGTATGTTACTGCAGTATGGTTTACTACAAACGAGAATGCTAACGCTCTCTCCTTGCAGCCAGACGAAGCTTCATCAATATGCGACTCTCCTGAATGCCGCTCGACCTTTAATCTCTTTGTTCGCAAACATCATTGTCGACATTGCGGCCACATCTTCTGCTCCTCACACAGTCCATACACTATCCCTCTCGATCAATACGCCAAGTTCCACCCCGACGGAGTTCTTTCGAGAGCATGCGAAACTTGCCATCGCCAATATCAACGATGGGACACCGCCAGATCGATCCGACGCAAGAACAGCCAGAACAGCAAAGACGATGGCAGCAATGAGAGCGGGCCACCGACACCTCTGGCAGGACCAACAGGTCATCGCAGGATGATCTCGGGCGGGATTCGTGGAGCTCAACCAGCAGAACAAGCTGCCAACAGCGTTCCCAAAGACTGGCACTGGTCGACTTTCTGAATGATCACGTGCCATTCTCGGAGTACTCCACCAATAAATCGACTTTATTAGCAACGGCCTTGACCGAAACCACGGTAACGTTGCTTGTCCCGGCGCCTGGCCCGAGTTCTGGACCCTCTGGGAAATTGTCGCCCCGAGCGGCACCACCGAATTTTGGAGGCGAGCCTCCCAAAACAGGCCAGACTATCGAGGCTGTGGGATTCTCGGTTACATACGGGTGGATCGTTCGTCTAATTAGGCTGCGATCTCATGAAAGTGTCCGGTCATGACTACATTTTGAGATTGATGTGTCAGAGTCCGGCATCATATGACCGTTCTTTATTCTTGGGCTCTCCCGGACGTTCGATGGTGTCGTTCAAGAGAACGAAAAACGAGCTGGACGGAGACCGGCTCGGTAATGGAGTACGACACAATTGCCGACAATATCCATGGTGTGGTTGCACGACATGAATGAGACACCAAAAATGCAACAACGTGTCTGATTATCCTTGGATTTGACGATGTGTCTGAGTACAAGTCAGCAACCTCGGCCGGATGGAAGGCGAAAATAGACGACGAGAAGAACGTGGAAAGAGTCCACATGGTGATTTGTCTGTCATTGTGTGACATCCAATTCTATCGAATTTTAGCGAGCGATACCGATCTCATACGACGTTCTGGGAGGTTCCCTGTCCTTTTTTGCACTTCGAGGCGCGACAGGGTTGCCTGAATATAGATGGCACTCTCTTGTGAGTCAGCGAGGCCAGAATTGTTTGGATAGAGATATGCGAGAGGGAATATTGCTTTTAGGCGATGGATATACCCCCGGTACGAGATTAATGGTGGCTCATTCGGCGTCCTCTGGAGTTATGAAATCGTTTGGTACATGCAGATATGAATTCGATGTAGAGTCTAGCCAGCGATTGATATGTGCAGGTCAGAACAATCTACCTTTTATCGAGTCATCGGTGTTCTTTTCGCCTCTGATTCTATCTCACAATTTCTCGGGTATCAACGCTAATGTCATGTTTCATTCCACTCGAGTCCCCATTCTAACCCATCAACTGTCCCAGATCTTCAGGTGGCCACCTCGTCTGGGCAAAGCTCAAACACCGCTTGATACTCTGTAGATACTTTCTCGTGACCTCATCGGACATGATGTGCGCCTGCTTGGCCTCGCTGCTCTCGTGCAGTTTCTCGCGTGCAGACCGCTCGTGAATTCCTACCATGGTCACCCCGATGGGCCATGCGGCTTTCCCGATTGAGAGCGTCAAGTACTTGTCGTTGGCCTCGACGTAGCGCCTCCGCTGGGCCGATCGGACGATCTGGCATATGGGCTCAAGGAGGCCGTGGTCCAGGTCGCGGCGTTCGAAGCGTCGGAAGAGCGGCGTCAGATCTTTCAATACAAGCAGGTATGAGTTGGCTGCTGCTTTTCCGGAATTCGAGGCCTTGACATCGGCGTCGCGTTCGGATAAGGCGATAGACCATTCGCGTAGTAAGAGGGTGAAGTATGAGCCTAATTGCCGGTAGAGGAAGTCGTGCTCGGGCGTGCCGTTGGCAGGAAGGGTTTCGGGGAGGAGCATGTCTTTCTCGGGCACGGGTTCGAGAGTCGTTGGTATAGGACCATCGCTGAGTTTGGGTTTCGTTACGGGGGTCTTAGTTAGGGTGAAGTATCGTTTTAATCGTGCGGTGTGTGTTTCGTCGAAGAGTGAGGCTGGCTCGTTGAGCGAGCGTAGTTTGAGCCGTAGGTCGTCGTCGGGAATGTCCTGGCCTGCGGGTGTGTTGTCTGCACCGTCGCCATTCTCGATGCCTGGAGTGTCTGGTAGGTCTGGGAGACCTAGACGTTTTCGTCGTTTGCGTTCTTCTTCTTTGGCTTCTTCTTCGCGCCGCTGGCGGGATTCTTCGGCTAGGCGGCGTTTCTTTTCCTCGCGGGCGGCATCACGCTCGGCCTCTTCTTCTTCGAGTTTGCGCTTTTTGGCTGTTCGTTCTAGCCGTTCGGATTCGATTCTGGCTTGTTCGGCGGCGTAGGCGGCTTCGCGGGCGGCTTCGAGTTCGGCGCGGCGGAGATATTTTTGTGAGGTTGGCTCGGGTGAAGCAGAGGGTGCAGTTTTGGTTTTGGATTTCGCAATTTGTGCCGCCATCAACGCTTTGAAGTCCATGGTCGCAGCTGTGTAAGACGAGAATGGGTATTCCGATTCTATGAGGTGGTCAGAGAAATTTCGTTGTTGAGGTTTGGACTTTGGAGCGAGAAAACGTGGGTGCAATTGCAGCCTTGCGATTAAAGTTTAATAACTTACCTAGCTAACGTTAATGGCTTCCCCAACTTTCGCCATCACAAGTGTCCTTCTGTCACCTCACCTCATCTCACATCTTATCTCAACGTCTACATCATTCAGCATGACCATGGATCATGATGGATACGACTTGAAAGTCCTAACTTCATGATATGTTATCTGTGTACATGATATGGGAGCGATCATCTGTCTCATTTTCCTCACATGATCCAGTCAGGCCTCCCAATCCCGACAGATATCGTTTCCTCGTACATAGGGTAGAGTGGTAGTCCCAGCCATGGTCTGCTACGTCCCCGAATCATCTTGCGGCATCAACAAGCCATTCAAATTATGACAACACCCCGAGACACCGCAGCAGCTCGTCTGGTGGCCGTTGCAAAAGTTCCGAGGTGTTCGTGACATGGGTCAACAGCTGAAGTATGTCCGAGTACGATCGGCCAGCATGTTGGCAGGCTGTCCAGGTGGTAATGTATGGCAGCGACGGAGCATTGCTCTGGAAGGCAGATGCAATGGAGGCAGCTTTTCAAAGCCAAATGGTGCTGCTGTTACATGATCGTTAGTGAGTACAACAATGCCATGCGAAATCGATTTTACTATTGACGGCAACTGGTCGGCCGTGCCAGCGGTGTTCGTACAGCGGGAGAATCGGACTCTCATGCCGTCCGTGAACAAGCTTCCATAGGCCGAAGATCGTAGGAGGAAGTGCCAGGAAAAGAGCAACAACGCCCACTATGGTATCTTGAGAGAGTGCCATCAATGAGCATCAATCAGGGTATGACCACCAGCGTATGGTTGCGTGTTCAGATGTGATCACGAAACAGATTCACCTCTGATGGGCGAAGCCGCGAAGGCTCATTGTCTCTCTTTATCTTGAAGACATTCATCTTGTTAGACATGGAGCATACTCGACCTTTATCTGTGACCCGTGTACAGGCGACTCGAGTGTTGGTCCTTTACGATAGTTCGAAGGACTTAGGTGAATGTTTCCCCACTGTCATAGTGTTCAGAAAGGACGAGGCTATGGAAAGTGGCGAATGCTCGCCGGCGATTGAGCGAAGAGTGAAAGTACGGTATCCACCTTCTGTTGAGCGTCGATGGCGCACGCCTCCGGAATGAGGTACGGTTCCAACAACCCCTGTCCGTACTTTCGTTATGAGCCAGTGAGATGCCCCGTCTTCATGCAGCTTGACCATGTCTGCCACTCAGGAAGCCCAATTAAGCGAAGTCGAACTTTCGACACTGACCTATCATATGCATCACCAACCCAAATCAGTCAAACCAGCCACCTGCGAAAACCACCAACTAATGATCAGCTTTATTACGGCTACGGTCGCCAGCATTTATACATCTGTGCCGGTCTCGTCTTCTTCCGAGCCATCATGTCTCTCAAGTAGAACGCATTTTGCCAAACCGAGGGACTCGCTGTTGTTGGGACAGTCTCTTCGATTGGTATCCAGCCTGATGTTTGTCTACATCCGCCCCACAACGCCGACATCCAATCAGCCTTACGGCTTCATCCTGAACATTCATAGCAATCTGAAACGCTCACTCAATCTTGACTGCTAAGAGCTCGAATCTTGCGCCAATTTCGCTTTCTCTTGTTGAGTATGAGCTCGACCAGCCCGACTATCGCTGCACGTTCGGGCAGTTCAGCTGAGCAATGGGAGAGGCGGAAGGATACAATATACGACCTCTACATTCGCCATGATCAACTCATAGAGGCTGTACAAAAGTCGTTGCCTGATCGAGCGACGGTCGCGCAGGAACACTGCTGCAGGACTCAAACAGAGCATGTTTGACTCCACAAGCACCCACACAACATGGTCGTATCCCTGAGTCGGGATAAATTTGGTATGTGGACAGCGACATGAGCCAACCCGCGGCGATGAGGCATCTGACGGCCTCACGAACCTTGGGCATTGTGCTCTGATCCAGCGATTGGAGAAGATGCGTTTCAATATCAGAGCTTTGATCTGAGCAGCCGGCCCATTACAGGCCAGGCAAGCCGTCAGCGAGTTTTCGAAAACTTGGGACGAACAGCGGATATGAAGCAAATGAAGTAACACCTTTCCTTCGGTTTTGCAAATTGTGCATTCATGCCGGGCACCATATCGAGATGGACAGAGAACAAGCAAGGCTTTGGACGGCGGCAATGATGATCCTTTTTCTTTATCCTATGTGCTGATGTGCATGTCTTTCTCCAGGGCAAATCCCTTTGAATTCAGACATTGGCGGCTTCTCGCCTGCACTCCTCCCAGGCTCTGCACTACAAGTGTAGACTTACTTCTGGTTATACTTGTCACCAATGCCTCTCTGCACCGCCGGCCGCTCGGCAATACGATCAATCCACTTGAGCAAGTGTGGAAAAGGCTTCATGTCTTCCTGTGTGAAGCCGCTGCGCTCCCAACCCTTGACCCAAGGCCACGTCTTGATATCCGCAACGCTGTATTTGCCTTTTCCACTTCCGACAAGATAATCTCTTGGTTCGCCGGTGTATTGTCCGGACAAACGGATTTCGAGTACGCCGAAGACACGGAGGGTTTCGTTCTTGTATCGGTTTATGGCGTCTGAGATACCACATTAGCACCACATATTCCTCAGGTAGTATTAGTTTGGGGCAGCGTACAAGGAATCTTCTCCGGCGCCGCCTTTGTAAAGTGATTGACCTGTCCCTGATACGGGGCACCGCCGCCATGCCAGAAGAACATCCACTGCAGTGCCTCATTGCGCTCGAGTTCGTCCTTGAACCCGAATGTATCGTCCTTGTCGAAGAACTTGATCAAGTACAGAATCTGGGCTGAGGTCTCGATGACAGGGAACGGAGGGGATTGGGAGTTGTCGACGAGCGTGGGGATGCGGCCGTTGGGGTTTAATCTTAGAAACCACTCTTTCTTCTGCTCGTTTGTCGAGATGTTGATTACTGTCGTGGTCCATTCTGTATCGTGCTTTTCTGCGAGTTCTTCGAGCATGATCTGCGTGGCCTGGCCATTGGGGGTGTTCTGCGTGATCAGGTGCAGGCCTTTGGCGTTCTTGACGTCCGAGGGCGTCTCGGAGATGTATAGATTGTTGGACGACATTGTGTGAGCTGTGCGAGTGTTGAGGCTGGAAGGGTGTTTACTGATCGTGTTCACGCTGACTCGGACTTGCGGAGTGGACAGGAAACGAAAGGCACGAGAAGAAGCAGGCCTAATGAGCTTACTAGGGGTTTTCAGGAGAAGAGAGGATGCAAGCATGAAAGATGAAAGGTCACTTGGCCGGCCGGTGGTGTTAGCAAGCAATGCTCTGGCCGAATTGCGCAATACAGGTAGTTACTCGTGCATTCCACGACTGTAAAGGCATTGGACCAGAAAATGTATTTGTAAGGTGAGGGGTTGACGTCGTTGTTGTCCCCGCATCAGTAGTGATGATTCCATCATCATGATCGTTGGCCATTTAGGCGAAAAGATAACCCGACGGCGGAAATATGTTCCCTATCTCCCCAAAGTATTTCCTTTTCGAGGCCGTGACGTCCAACATATCCTGCTTCCACGCGACAAGGAAAAAATTGTTCATACAAATCAAGAAGGCCGTCCCCATTCCCTCTTCAGTTCCAAGGCTGTCCTGCCGGTGGGCCAGCCGTGGTCCTTTTTCAACCTATCCAAGACCCCCAGCAGAGCTTGTTGTTCGAGAGGATCGTAGAAATACTCTCCACAGACAGCAATTGCCATATAAGCTTGGACCATCGCGGGCCGTGATGATGGGTTCGACATGGCCGTACCGCATAGACGGATCACAATATCGTGCACTTCATCCGTGACTCGTCGTTGAGCCGCGGTGACTCCTGGACCGATTCGAGGAATATTCGGATTGTACACCGTCAACAGGATCCGGGCTAGATCAAGGAAAAGCTGCCCAGTAACATGCACTTCCGCCATGTACCATATATGAGGGAGACATTCCCCTTTGGACCGATCAGGCTCCTGGTAATGGATTGGCGCAAATGACAATGGCTTCGCTTGATCCCATTGATCTTCAAACCGCTTGAGTTCCTTCCACCGCTCGATTTGCGTCTTTCCAGAACCACTTTCTGGGCCAAAGCAGAATTGCAAGACGTTGGCACAATGGAAGAGATGCCGGTCGGCCCAGATGAAATCTTCCACCTCGTCAAAACCTTGGAGGATCGACCATGTTTCCAAAGGTAGGCGGACAGCTCTCTGCTTGAGAAAGGCAATGGTAGTCTCCTGTCTCAGGGCAATCCGGAAAGCTGCATGCTGAAAACTCTTCAGATAGGAGAGAGCGTTCTCGTGTATACCTGCCGCCGAGCCAGGCCTGAGGTATTCCGAGTTTTGTCCGTTGTCCAGGATATACGAATACGGGTTTGCTTGAGCTCTGACGAAGATCTGAAAGGTGTGGAGAAATGTCTCGCTGTCCTCGCCGGTGAACGCTGTATCGATTTCTTCGTAATAGCGGAGGATTACTGAAGCAGCGAGGAGGTTCTCGTCCCTGACATGTTCCGGGTCATTGGATAATCTGATTAGGTAGGCAATGCACGCATTGTGGTAATTGAGGGCGGTCTCCTTGGTGAGTTTCGGTAAAAGTACATCCTGATATCTGATGACCCCATCTATTGTTTTGTACTGAGACACAGAGGCTAGGTGCCGTGATGCCGCGGTGAATATGGCATTGAGTAGTGGAGGACACCTTCTTGCTCGTTGTGGTACAGTAAGGGCAAAATGTCTTGCTGGGTCACCCACGTCAAACTGTCGTCGTCAGCTTTACCTCGTTTCGCAAGAAAGACACTGAAATACCCAAGTTGCAAGGTGCTCAATGTAATACCGCATCAGACAAGCACATTGTGTGGTGGTATATTGATTAGGCCAATAGAACTCTTCTTTCCAGATTGCTGGTGAAAGTAATTCTTCTGGCGGAATGGCCGCAGCAGCTGAGTCCGCAAGGCGCCTATATTCCGCTTCCACCACCTTTGGAACATAGCGTTGTTCAGGCATGGAGGTGTAGCCGTTTTGACTGAGGGGGCTGAAGACTTTCGGAGGGTGGTTGTAGATTCGATATTGTGAACGGATAGGATCGTAAGCAGCATGCGGCCATTGCTCCGCGTTGAGAGCAGCCTCGGCGGTAGTAAAATCAGTGGTACGTCGTCGTTTTATAGGTGCGTGTACAAGAACAGTTTCGTTGTTTGACGCTCTAGGGGATAAGAACAGAGGTTCGGATGGCGGTGCGCTGTGGACAGTGGGGGATAAGTCTGCATTGTGGGAGGTTTCCACTCGCTTGTACGCGATGGTATCGTTCTCTTGCTTGGTTTCTTCGACAACTGGTCTGCCACTGATGACCGTGAGGTCATCTTGGGAATAGTAGTTTTCCAACTCTGGGCCTTGATCAACAAATTGGAATTTCGCTAGACGATAACAAAGGTCAGTATGGAAGCTGATAGGCCTGATGGAGCAGAGGTGGCGGAAGTCGCAAGGGACACAACATGCACGCGAATGCCAACGTGCCCTTGGGCAGTGTCACATCGGACTTCGTGGAAATCTCACGGTGTGACTGGGACGATGTACGTCGGCAGGAGGTATAAGAACCGGGCGGAACACATGGATAAGAACCCCCCCGAGCTGTCCACCCCACGGCTTGAGGCAGCTGCATCTGGGTTACACGAACTTACCATTTCTGGTCTGATCAAGCCAAGTTTGATCTTTGGCAAAAGTCGCATCGTACCGGGCGCTGGAACCATGGCGAAATTTGAGTTTCCCTTTCCCCCTCCGACATTTTCCCCCCAAGCGCTCACATTGTTTGCACTTTGGGTAGTTGTCGTCGCCTGGTGGGGGTGTCAGCCTGGTCACAGACTCGAAGTGATGGAGGCAAGAAGGGTTTTCTCGTCGACCGGGCCTTGTGCAACCTCTGCCCTCTGGTCTGGCATGTGCTGGGGCAACTGGCTTGAGGCATAGTGTCGGACGAAGACTGGGATGAAGAAACCAATGTCTACTTACATTTCAAGTGGCGGTCTGCGGTTCAGTCAGCAAGTCAACTGCAAGCGCACACAAGAGACAGAGACATACCTCTGCATTCCTGACATGGATCCTCTATTTTGTTTCCCGAATTTGGCATAGAGAGTCGGTCATTGAACATGCGTAGGACGAAAATACAGAGGTGATGGAGTTGAGAAAGCCATGGTTCAAGAAAAGGAGAAACTTGCCATTATTGAGCATCAGAGGCAAGTTGAATAGCAATCAAGAAAGTCAAGCCTCCTAGGCTGTGTCCCTGCTTGTCACCGAATCGGATGATGAGAGAACCTGGAATTCAACGGCGGGGTTGACGATTGTGGTGTTTTTGATGCCTGAAAAATTACCAGGGGAGGTTTGAGCTGCAACTAGACTGCCGAATGTTTAGCATCAAGGCTTAACTAACAAGCGGCCTCTCTTAAGCCAGTTCTAGGCTCGTGCCGGGCAGCCGTCTTCTGATTATGCACCGTCTCCGCACCTGAAGAACAGCCACTTTCGTCTCCAACGATCATATCACCTTTCTGCCTGACACCTATATCATCCTAACCATTTAAGGAACGTGCAGAAAAGCCACGAGTGCCGAAACGCCATCTATTCCATACGGACAAATGATATCCGTCGAATGACCTGCAGTAGGTACTTGATATTGTTTGCTTAGATTCTTCGCTATTATCATTTCGTTCATATACAAACAATGACAGCATGAACTAGTCAGTAGAAAAACAAGCATAAGCTACTTCATATCATCCAGAAGAAAATCGTCATCGCTTCGCTTTTCTATCCGTCCAACGTGGACTCGTCCATTGACAACCGCCAAACATCATCATGCACCGGGAAACGCTCAGCTGCAGTCAAACTCATGGAAGTATCTTCGCTCCAAACCATGACATGACAAGTGTAGGCCTAATACTCATATACCGGAGCCTTGAAAAGGACATTGACAGCCGACTCTCTTGCATTCCCTCCAGATGCAGATCCAGGCTCTTTATTGTTGCCGCCGGTAGATGGAGCACTCTGCCCTAATCCCTTCCCTCGAACTTCTACAGCCAAGAATGCCGCAAACCGGATTCGACCTTCGTTCGCCCCAGGCGGCGGGGCGACCTGTGACGGATCGATCGCCATGCTTTCTCTGGCATTGCCGCGCAGATCATCAACATTATTTCCAGAGTTCTCAGCCACACCAGCACGGCTATCGTGGCGAGTTGAAGGCTTCTTGCCCACGATACCTCCGAGGAAGCTTGATTTCTTGGATTGTTTCTCGTTGGTATTCCTGATCGTCGTCTGGCTATCTCTAGCAACATTTTCCGGTCGACCTGGAAGCCCTCCACCAGGTTGTTGCGACGCTGCCTTTCCAGCAGCTTCTCGGATCTCAGCCTCGACATCACGTGGGCCGTCCTCCGTGCTTGCAGTGCTCATCCCGTCACCTTCTTGGCCTTCCTGCTGTGCTTGTGCTGCTTGCATGGCAACCAAGCGCTCATCTAAACCCGGATTGGTCAACGCTGTCAATGCTGGCTCAACTTTCATGTACATGTCGTTCACGGGCGTGTTGGGCATGTAGTATTCGATAGAGATATCGCGTGATTCCAGGGGAATATTGGCTGCAACGCCGATCGCCTGGCCAACAATCATACCCACACCTTCAGTCAGTCCGGCAGGTGGTGGATCTGTCAGATTTGCTTTCAATGACTCGGTAAGTTGATGTGTGAACATTTTGGTCAGATTTTCCGTATACTGCTCCGCTTGATTTGAGCCAAGAACATCCTGGAGACCTTCCACCGTGGTCAATCGCCAAGTTGTGATCTTAGTTGTGAGGTCTTCTCGTTGTTCGTCGGTCAGAAGCAAGCCAGCTTGCCCTGAGCGGCGAAGATTTCTCTCAATGTTCTTCAGTTGTCCTGATAGACCTGGATCGATCCCTGGTAGGAAAGTGCGCTCGAAAATGCTCTCATAAAGCCAACGGGTGATACATGCTCGGCCCACAGCGGTCATTTCCTTGGTACCGATGGTATGAGCATCCTGGTTGCACACATGACGAAGCCAGGGAGGAACTGCACGCCAGTTTTTGCGGATGTTGAAGGATAGATTATTGATCGCCTGGCTTAAGCGTTCGAACCTCGCAGTATACTGGCCATCATCCAGCGATGTCCGTGACATGGACAAGCGCTGATTCGCTACAGTATTCTGCAATTGAGTGACTTGAGCTTCTCGTTCGAAGTAGTAGCGTTTGACTTTCGAGTACTTGGCTTGTAGTTCTTCGTGACGTTGAAGGAGCTGATTATAGTCTAATTGGCTGATGTCCTCTCTGCTCCTGGGAGGAGGCGTGCTTCTGCCTTGTTCGGAAGATTGTTGTGACATCCTGACTCTGGGATCTTGGTTTTGGTATTGATTATGTTCTTCAGTGCGATTCTCCCTTTGGGACATTTGTTGGCGAAGGCTTCCGTTGCGTGGATCCCCTCCTGCCATTCCCGTTGACGGTTGACCCTGGACTCCGGACTGGACGGAGTACCTGTTTGTGGCAGCTGTCGAGGGTCGTGAGTCTTGGAAGAATTGAGAATGAGAAGGGTTGGCTGAGGGTGATGGCGGACCGAGAGATGTTTGTGATGGAGGTCCAAGGTGTCGATATTGATCGGACTCTAGATTGCCGTGTCGAGGGTGCTCCCACTGGTCCGAGGTATTGGACGATTCGGTTTGGTGGTAGGGGTGGTATTGCTCTCGTTCTGGGTCGAAGCGCGGAGCGTCTTCCTCGTAGTCGACTTGTTGATGGAGATCCGCAGGCAGGCCTTGATGTTGAGGGTGATCTGATGGTCTGTTCGGGATAACAGTCTCGGTGGGAGGATAGAATGCGGAATGCCTGTTCTGGCTTGACGGTGAGATTTGCTGTGAATACGGTTCGCGGGTATTTTGATCGGGAACTGGTGACTTCTTCAGCAGATGGACAGATGCCGAACGACCAATTGCCTTGCTGGTGTTTTCCTTTTCTTTCTCCCTCTCCCTATCTTCGTCCCGGGACTTGCCCTTGATCAGTCCCGTTATGAAGTTCTGCTTGGGTTTTTTCTGTTTTTCCTCGCGCTCGATGCGAGCCGACTTTGATTGTCCAAACAGTGTTTGGCCAGGAATGTGAGGAGGTGGTTGTGAGATCACAGGTGGTGATGTTGGTGGGGGAAGGAGGTTCACGCTAGGTCGCTGCGCGCCATACACCTCCCCGGCCGAAACACTCTGACTTCGAGCGAGCTGCTGCTGGGCTGGATAAGGCTGGGAGGGAGATTGAGGGTCTTGGAATTGATACTGGTCGTCGGTCAGGGGTTGCTGATTGTAGCGGTCAGGATTGTGATCAAATCCGTAAGATGAGCTAGGGTGAGGCTGATGGTGTGGATGCTCGGTTCGGGGTTCTTCGATCGAGCTATGAGACTTGTTTGTCGACTTGAAGAAAGGCATGGATACACGTTGGCCGTCGACGGAGTCAATTTACGGATATCTTCTGGTCGAACAGGGAAGATGGTGATCCAGAAAGACCTCTGGCCTGAAAGGACGGGCAGAAGGGAGCGCGTGTCAGCTCAGCCAACGGGGGCTGATCATAGTCAGGTTTTAGCAAGCCTGATTGTAGGTAATTAACAAGACCACTCTCCATGCGGAGGACTTGGCCTGCCTAACTATCATGGTATACCGTCGATTCAGTTTCTTCAAAAGACTGTCGTCAATCCATGCCCAACGGCCGCGCGAAGTTAACACTTTACGTATGAGCTCTTCGTGATGCTATCTGTCCTGATACTGTGATTGTCGACAATCACGGCCACTCGGCGATTCCAGCTTCATCACATTGCTCAAGATGAGGTATCAGCCACTCAACGATCCCAACTGGAACGTGGGGTATTGGCTTCGATATATTTAGCACACTGTGCATCCTGTTGCCCCTCAATGTCTTTGATGTCCAAATCAGCCTGACGGTAAGAGATTATACACCGAACGGTCCACGACATCCCACAAGGCTGTACAGAGGCCGAGCTTTGACTCGACATGACACCGCTGGCTTGGACATGCTGTTGCACGTGTTCGGGCCGTCCTCTCTTGATATGCATCAAGGTGAATTTCGTATCTCAAACATCCCTTCGAGATAGGTTTTCTCTCAGTAGCACATCTGGCATGGGTGGACTCCCCGAAGACAAGTCACCGCATCTTTGATTGTGGTCGACTTGCACTGAAGACGTTGATATGCAGCGTTCAGTTGCTGGAAGGGTTGGTGATAGATGGGCACCGGCATTCAACTCTCACTCAGCTTCGTCCTCGAAACTTGGGATGATCACATCCCAGCCTGGATCTTCTTCGATGTCAATATCTGGAGTGCCTGCGTCGTCCTTCATTTCTTCGTCCTGCATCTCCTTCTGCGCTGGTTTCATTCGATATGCGACCCAGGAACCGTCGGTGAGACCTGCACCCAAAGGGCTCTCGTTCAGAATACTGTTTTTCCCTCCGACCTTCTTCTTTATGCCCTTGATGCCCGTAACTTCCTGCTCTTTGATCTCCAGTGGTACCCAGCCCTTGCTCGCATCCTTCTTGTCGGCGAGGACACCAAACTCAATCTTTTCGGGACTCTCTGGAAGTGGTATTGACGAATTTGGAATGGTCTCGATCTGTCGTGACCGGAGCGCTCCCAGTAGGAGGGCCTTGACTTCCGGAAAAGGTGTTGTCGGCAGGACAGACAGAAGTGTAGTGGATTTGTGGCATTTAAAGAGCAACGTGATCATTTCAGGTGTGGGCAATTCCGCCAGGTCATCGCTTGAGATTGTAGTCATTTTGGAGACCTTTGAAGGCTTAGCCGGACTGAGAGTCACACTAACTGGTCAAGAGACAGTGGATTGTCTGCTTTGAACGGCCGTTTTGATGTGAGAATGTAAAGTAAATGTTTAACGCCAACAAGCCCAATGACGGAGTGCAAACCTGTGAGACTGGAGGTGACCGCGTTGAACTGACGCGCCGCAGGCAAAAATTGGAGAAGCGAGATAAAGTGCCACTAGCCATTTCTAGGTGCACAGCTTCAAGTATTCATGTCTTACACAAGAACAATTCAATCTTCCTGTCAGATCAACCAACATCCCGGCTGGGCTTCTTAGTTCCTCGTGTCCAATACGGCTCGGGCGCCATGAGGATCAGTGGTGCCACTGTAAGAGCACCGAGAAGTGAAACCCAACGTTGACAGTAAGAAGTGATCGTCGACAGCATTCAGCATGTGGCCATTCACTTCTGCGCAGGCTGGTTTCTCGGAATCAATACCACCGCAACCAGAACACCTTGCACCACAAGCTTTGCCGTTGCAGCCCATCGAGGAGCTCTCGACAACGCAAGATGCTCAGCCTCTGACCATCACCGGCTGGCCTGATTCTAGACTGTCGATACAATTTCCAATCCGCGCTGCCCTAGTCATGGGGACAGCTTTTGTTTCTGGCTTTGGGCTGGGATCGTCTCAAGGTGGAACAAAGGCTGCCTTCCGCTATCGAGCCGAGAATGCCCATCGATTACCTCAGACCCAGACCGGTTGGTACCTTTATCAAAAATCGAAAAACTACCATGCCATGCTTGGTGGCGTAAGAGAAGGTTGCCGATTTGGCGCTATATGTACGGGCTGGGCGACGTTGTTCATGGTCACTGAAGAAATGGTCGACCTATCGAGATCACGTCTTCTGGCTCGACGTGGTGATGATGTCGCAAGCGGACAACGGGATGCCGCGAGCACAGTCATTGCAGGCACGAGTCTGGCTGGTATCTACAGTTGGAAGCGAGGCCTTGATCATTTTGCGACCGTCCGTACAGCAAAGACCGCTCTCAAATTCTCGCTCATGTACGGACTTGTTCAAGATCTTTTCGCGACAGTAAGGGGCGAACCGCCAGCCTATGTCACATGGATGAAGAGGAAGATATATCCAGATACCGACACAGAGAACAGTGGCTAGAGTCATTGTACTCATATATCTGCAATGAGTCGGGTCGTTTTCAACTTAGCGAGGCTTCCAGGGTGAGTCTACGCCGATATAAGGCCATTAGAGACACGAGAGAACGGGCAGTCCAGCGTCTGGCACAGTCATACTGTGACTGCAGCCTGCTGCAATGTCGTCTGGAATCAGTTCTGTCGCTGCAAGCGATCATTTTCCGGAGCCCTTGATCCACGTACGGCCTAAATAACCGCCGTTGAAGGTACCAGCACCGGTTGATTTCGAGATATGCAGCAATCAATAAGGAGATCTGGCTTTCATGCAAGCAACAACAACGAAACGAACGGAATGTCGCCAGTGCGAACGACTCAGTCTGGAACCGGAGTCGTGTCCAACGATTGCGGACCAGTTCGGGCAGCCTTCCAGGTGCTTATTAGGCCGGAGCACCTGTCGATCCACCCGGGCACTTGCCGAAAATGCCCCCTAGCCTTATACAGGCATGTTGGCTTACTGGAAAGGCTCGCACCTATTCCGCAAGCCTAGCTACCAGACATGTGAGCTTCGCTAGCATGTGCGGTATGGCAAACCAGCTCGGGGCTATCACGCAGGAAAGTTGGCTTGCTGTGAATATTCATAAAAGACTGTTCCATTATATAGGTATGGATGGCATGGTATAATCCTGAGAAACCTTGAAACCCGGAGTATCGGGACTTTTGGTGCATCCACCACCCACCTCATGTACTTTGTAAACCCTTGAAGATCCCGTCCCTGTTCCGGGAATCTACCAGCACGTGCAGGCGAAATCTGTGAGGTCGCAAATGATCCTCTCAAGCACAAGCAATGCAAAGGAGTGGAGGCGGAGACATACCTTTCATATCACAGACCAGGTGAGCAGCTGAAGGGGATGTTCTTCCGCTGCCTACCTAGGTACTTCATAGGCTCTGGCCCAGAGCCTCTGGCCTATGGCACCATTGAAACCGTTAGGGCTAGTTGATTATCGGCGAGTCGGCTAGCAGATTTCAAGGGCCTTAGGCGGCTTTTTTGATGTTCCAGAAGCTCGTCTGGGCCTGTCTTCCGCTTACTCCACCTGTTTTACCCTGTTGCGGGCCTGCTAAGTTGCTGCTTCCTTTTGGTCTGTTGGCTGCCCGCTAATCAATATCCGTCATCCACGGCATCGTGCATATCCTGGGCTGCTGCTGCTGGTGTTGGTGCACACCAGATGCTGCTCTTTCCCAGATGTTCACCGTCTCTGGAACACCTTGTATCAACCGATATCCTCGTTGACGATCTGACACTTTTCACCAGCTTCTGATGCTGCAGGCCAACAATACCGGGCCCCGCCTCCACGATACCTCCCACCACACTCCGTCGCAGCCCCGACGCTTCTATCTGGAAGCTCTTCCCGTCTTCGACACTGCCTCCCTCAACCCAGATCAGAGAGGGAACTGATATCCAGGCTCGGCGATTTTGGTGCTACCAAAGTACTGACAACGGATATTGCAAGATTGACCTCCGCTATACCACAAAAGATAAGAGAAGACAGTTGGATTATGCTTGCGGAGATGGGATGAAGAAAGTCATACTACGAGCAGCAGTTCATTTCGTGTGAACAGGCGCTCAACACCAATCATTCCTCCAATAAAAGATGCGGCGACATCATGGTCGGGCGCTATCTCCATATCACGGACGGACAGCGTCCCCTCCGTCTGCCGAGGTGTCGCTGGTTCGCAGCTTTGACTCCAAGATCAATCCGTCGCGTCCTGTCAGACAATCTCCTTTGGCAACGTCCCAGATACAGGGAATGCCATTGGATTTGATTGAACGCATCCGATCATTCCCTCTGTTTCAAGCCACACCGGACAGCTTTCTAGGTGAAATCGGACTTCTACTCAAGCCTCAATTGCACAATGCGAATGACTACATCATCACCGAAGGTGAAGACGCCAAGGCGATGTGCTGGCTTGTTCGAGGCGCTGTAGCTGTCACTTCGCGGGACGGTGAAAGTACCTACGCCGAGTTGAAGCCAGGCGCGTTTTTCGGGGAGATCGGGATCCTTATGGAGCGTCCTCGCACTGCTACGGTGATCGCGCGATCGAGATGTCTGGTCCTTACACTGAAAAAGGAAGATCTTAAGAAGATACTGCCTGCGTATCCAGATGTCGAGCGGGCCATCAGAGAAGAGGCGCTGGAAAGGTTGACACAATTGGAGAAGAAGAAGAGACAAGTACTCCTAGGTACAGAAGATGTGCCGTCAACGGCTCGGAGAGGATCCAAACGAAGGGCTGCGTTCGGCGAAGATGTCTCCATGGACGATGGCGACCTAAATTCGATCAACTCAAGCAAGAGACGCAAGTCCCCTAGCCCTGGCACAAATGAAGTCTCAACACCAAGCGCGTTGGGACATGGTCTCGTCAACATCAGAGCCACTTTGAAGGAGATGCCTCTGTTTGCCTCCTTACCTCCAGATATGCTTCACTTTCTGGGTCTCAACGCCTCGCCGAGGAGTTTCCCACCTTTCACAGACATCATCAAGCAAGATACACAGGGACGCGAGGTCTACTTCATCGTCCGCGGCGAAGTTGAGGTACTTGATGAAAAGAGTGTCTCGAGCCCGAAACTTCACCAAACCAATGTCCCGAATGGTGTACCACCAACACCTCTGGTCAAGGCACGTCTCAGACCTGGGCAGTATTTTGGAGAAGTCGTGAGTTTGTCGCTCGCCGACCGCCGAACAGCCACTGTTCGTTCTGTTAGCCAGGTTGAGTGTTTGATGATTTCAGAGGATGTGTTGGCGGACTTCTGGAAACGCTGTCCTCCAGAGATAGTACAGCAAATTGAGCAGACCGCGAAGCAGAGATTACAAACAGCATCTGACACTGACATTTCCATGAACGATGCAGAAACAGAACCCAAGATTCATCAGCTAGTGATCGCAGAAGCAAAGGAGAAGGCCACCAAGAAGATTAGTCAAGCACCCAGAGTGACCTTTACAGATGCGGAGCTTAGCAGCTCTATACAACCTGGTCCAGGAGAGGAATCGAAAACACTCGAGCCATCAGATCCCGACCCATTCTTGAGTGAAGGGCTAGAAAAGGTCAAATCTAGGTCCAGAAGAGGCTCACTTGCGCCGCCACCTCCCGATGAGCAGCCGAAGGAATACAGAAGACGATCTCCCAGGATATCACCTGTCGTCACTTCGAGCAGTCCGTCCCCACGAAGTTCGGTGTCCGGGACGCCATCTCCTACATCTGAGCAGAAGGGCTTCAGTTTTCCTTTCACAGACCCTTTCTCACCAGGAGGTCAACCCAAACCACGGTCGAGGTCGCGTCGCGGGTTGAATTGTGGCATGATTCCAGAAAAACTCCTCCCACTAATATTCCAATATCTCGAACTTCACGAACTAATGCGATTGCAACAAGTTTCAATCCTTTGGCAAAACATCCTCAATAATGCACCCAACCTGCTACATCGCCTCAATCTATCACAATATAATCGGAAGATTACAGACCACGTTTTGGTACATCGCATCTGTCCTTTCGTGGGCGCAAGGCCCCGTTTCATTGACTTGAGCAATTGTTTCCACGTCACAGACGAGGGCTTCAACGCTTTGGTAAATACATGTGGTGCCAATGTCCAGGCCTGGCGCATGAAAAGTGTCTGGGATGTTACTGCTCCAGCAATACTGGAGATGGCAAACAGAGCTCGTGGACTGAAAGAGGTTGACCTCAGTAATTGCCGCAAAGTGAGCGACACATTACTAGCCCGAATGGTAGGTTGGGTGGTGCAATCACAGCACCAAGTCCCGAGTCAGCGCAACAAGTTGACCACGCAACGTCCCACTGTGAACACGAAATCAATTAATTCTGCTCCACAACCAGCCCCTGGCACAGTCATTGGCTGTCCCGAGCTGTCTTCGGTCACCCTGAGCTATTGCAAGCACATTACCGACCGGACAATGGCGCATATTGCAACACACGCTCATCAACGCATTGAATCGATGGACTTGACCCGGTGTACGAGCATTACAGATGCCGGTTTCCAATTTTGGGGGAACGTCAAATTCGAACGGTTGAGAAGATTATGCTTGGCAGATTGTACTTATCTCAGTGATCAAAGCATCGTGTGGCTTGTCAATGGTGCTGGTAGTGGTTTGCGACAGCTTGATCTTGTAAGTTCCTACCGAAAATTGACGACGTGGATGATATACTGACTTGGTGTCTAGTCTTTCTGTTGCGCCCTGTCTGATACCGCCACAGAAGTGCTGGCTCTTGGCTGTCCGAACCTCACGCATCTCAATCTTTCGTTCTGTGGTAGTGCCGTCTCTGATCCGAGCTTGAGATCCATTGGTCTTCATTTGAGCTGTTTGAAAGAGCTGGCCGTTCGAGGCTGTGTACGCGTGACGGGACTGGGTGTGCAGAGCATTCTTGAAGGCTGTCAAAAGCTCAAAGTACTTGATGTAAGTCAATGCAAGAATCTGCAGCCTTGGCTTGTGGCTGGGGGTGTCGAGCGATGGCGTTCTACCAGTCGAGACGTACAGTTTGTGGTTGTCAGCACCGGGACGAAGCTTGTACGCTGATATGGGGTGGACTATGTATCTGGAGTTATCTATTAGCGTTTAGCTGGGAGTTGGTCGAGGACACAGGCATGTACGATGTGACGACACTACTTTTGCGATAGTATTTGGGGACATTGTCACAATACTTACTTGGACAAGACATATGATGGAATATCAGGACAGGGACACCATGGGCAGAGGGTATGTATGCGACGCGAGGAACCGGAGAGATACCCCTTCAATATGAATTCAAATCTACCAAGATTCACCATCATATTACAATTACAGATCTTCAATTACTACCTAGGTGGACTTCCTCATGACGTCTTCCAGCAGCGCAATCATCTCCGTCTTGCGTTGTTGACTGCACCAACTTCCCTCGATACTATTCCTCACAATCGTCTCCCACTCTTTCTTGCTCAAGTCGAAAGCATCCTGTACCGCGCAGTAGTTGTCCAAAATATACCCGCCAAAATACGCCGGGTCATCACTATTGATGCTGAACCGTACCCCAGCGTCCAGGTACTTCCGAATCGGCAGTTCTCGGACATGCTTGACGCATCGCAACTCGACGTTACTCAACGGACACATTGTGACCATTATCTTCTTGTCGACGAACTCCTGCATGACGCTCTCGTCCTCAACAAGTTTGATCCCATGATCTGCTCTTTGCACGTGTATTTCGTGCAGCGCTTCAGCCATATATTCCACACCAGCCTCTTCGCCGGCATGTGCGGTGCGGTGGAAGCCTCGCTTTTCGGCGTCGAGGAATGAAGCCTTGAATAATGATGGCGGATTGCCCTTTTCTGTAGAGCTCAGGCCTAGACCCTTGATGACGCCAGTCTCCATGTCCGGGATACATTGGCGGTACATCTCCTCGCCTTCCGAAGCTGGTAAGTGTCGTAGAATACAGACTATCAGTTCGCTCGTAATTTTGAAGTCGTGCAGTGCGCGTTTCTGGGCGGCAGTGAAACCCGAGATGACGGTTTCATAGGCGATGCCTCGGGCGGTATGGGCCTGGGGATCGAAGAAGACTTCGGCGTGGGCGACGCCGTCGGCATGAGCGCGCTTGAAGTATGCGTACGCCAGGGACTCGAAGTCCGAGGGCGTGATGAGCACGGACATGCCGATGAAGTAGTAGTGCAGGAAGTCGTCGAGGGATGTGAAGCGGCGGTAGCGTGCGAGGAGGGTGGAGATTGATTCGAAGGCTGGATCTTCTGAAGGAGAGGGGAGGGAGATCTTGTTGCGTGCTGCGAGGGCGAAGAGGAGCTCTGGTTCGAGCGAGCCTGTGAGGTGGGATGTTAGTGGTTTTGATAAGTGATATGAGTGTCAACGTCAAAGGGGAGTCAAAACGATAGGCGCTGGGCAAGGCAGAAAAGTCTGATGTTCGACCTAGGCCTGAGGGTCGACCACCAGTGCTGTCCGCATGGACTTGACCTCGTACAGTACGGTCGAGGGTTTGTCTCGCAATCTCGCATTCTGACAACGCAATGGGTGTTGCTGTCACCACTCGCCTGGGCACCACCACGGCCATTGACACCACTCTGAGGCGTGACTATGATTCTGCTGGGGAGTGCTCCAAACAACAGTGAGACTGACCTTCAATATGCATGTGGTGCTCGCATTTGGGCAGCGCCTGGAGGAACTCGTGCATTGAATCTTTGCACATCTTTGCGGATAGCCTCTTGGAATTCTTTCGCCCTGGTCCTGGCCCCGAGGTTTCTATGCTCCTTGACTCGGTCCCAGGCTCAACTGCCTTTCCGTTCACTCAGGCTTTGATGTTCACGGACAATTGTGTATCGAACCCTCTGTCAAATGACCTGCTCAATATTCTTGTTCTTCGTTGGTGAAGTGTATTAGGTGACCTTGGGGTATAAACGATTAGAAAGATTTTATCCGACCAAGTCCAACTTTCCTTCCCTCTATCGGTATAGGTGCAAAGGACGAGACAACGGCAGCATATAAATGTCTACGGAATGAAAATTTGGACAGCCTGGAAGCTTACTGTACAATGGAGGTCATCATCGGCATCCTCCGAACGGTGATATTGCTGAATATGGATCGATACTACATGGGAGAGTTAAATTCTGCAACTCGCGCATACACCCGGAAAATGACGTCAATCTAATGAAATCCTTATCTGGGAGTTGATACTCCACGGACCATGATGAAGTACAAATCAGCCGCACAAATGGCTGGCGTACATTTACGAGTTGCCGAAAACAAGAGTGGTGAGGCTTGTGAAGAGTCTCAGGCAGCCCTGACATTGAATCCTGAAGTGTGAGATCGATTGGCTGACTTGATCGATCACTCCTGAAAGTCTCAGCCTCGTCTCTCATACTGGACTGCACTGCGACTCGATCGAGCGTTTGTTTGTCTGATTTTTCCCCAAGCCGACCCCTTTGGTTCGAGCGTCAATGACAGCCTCCAAGCACCGTCCCACGCCTTCAAGATCACCCATAAGTCCTACATGGCCTCGGTCAGTCTCAACTCGACCTCCCTTCACACAGCGATAACCTTCTGGCAATTGGGCGGCGCTGGCGAGAACCACGCCATCTCCAGCAGCAAATGCTAGATCGTCAAATGCGTCAGTGTATTTGATGGCTTCCTCGTTAAGAACCCTTGCTCCATACACTGTGGGAACAGTCTTGCCGAACATGTATGCGTGTGGTGGATATGCGTTGTTCTCCTGGTGAGTAGGATTGCAGACCAATTGTTGTTTGAATTCGAGGTTCTCGGCTAGAGTACGACGCAGATATTCCTTTGCAAGGGCTTTGGGTGTTGTGGAGGCTGTTGCAATACTAGGTCGATGCTGGGATTGTTTCATCGTAGGTCCGACCACTTCGTCTGTACCATCACCTTCCATCAGTCGTTCAGCCTTGCCTGCCTTGTCCGCCACCCTTGACGCGGATGCTCCTATCCCTCCTGTAGGCTCAGCAGATGGCGAACTTTGTCCGCCAAACCACGAACTTGCCTTATTTGAGGCTATACTATCTGAAAGAGCAGTAAGGATACTCTTGCGTCGGTCTCCCTCTTTCTGGGTCGGATGTAGTGGAGGATTGATGATTGGAGACAGGCGATATTCATCCCACGTGTCAGCGTCGAAGAAGTCCAAGTCATACCTCTTATTCGTGTTCTTTTGAATGAAACATCGACCGCTTTCCGGCAAAAGAGTATAGCTTGTTCTTAGACTAAAGTTGACCTGGGCAGTAAGGACCCTCGAGCTGAGGAGCACATCATCACCATTGCGCATAGGACCAAGTATGTTGATGCAGTGTTGCGGTACCCCAGCGTAAATTACTCCGGCGAACAACTCCGGTCTCTGGTTCACTGCGTGCCGGGTAATCAGCCCTCCAAGGCTGTGAGCCAGCACAGTAGCCCCGCGCTTGTCCGGAGGAGTGTTCGGGTGATTGCATGGCAGTGACTCTAGAAACTTGATAAGCCTCGCACTGAGGAGGTGCGGACTAAGTCGCCAATCGTAACCCCAGTCATGAACCCTCAATTTGCCTTCACATGCGTTCGGACATTTTCTCATATGTTTGAGCAACCTTCGGCATATATCGATCGGCCCAATATGTGATAGCACGCCAGACGGTATAATGGTCTCCTCCATCTTCTCTTCGTCTTCAGGCAACAGGCCAACCTCAAGATCGACCTTCCGGAGATTCAAGCCAACCTTTACAGGTACCCACACCTGTCGATGTGGAGGTTGAGCTGACCTGAGAATCGAGCCACGGTAGCCACCCAGGACAACTAGATCGCCTGTGGTCTTGGACAGCGCATGTGTCAGTATCGGGTGCGCTCTTTGTTGTGGAGTCTCTATCTGCACGGCATGTTTCGCGTTCTGTGAGCCTTTGATCGAAGTATACTGGCGATCTTGCGCCCCTGTGCTGTCTCCCGTGGCAGCAACGATGTCGGGTCTTTCTGCTGCCCCCGAGTTAGCCTGGGGCGAGACACGACGTTTTGGCAACGGCCTCATCGTCGGCATTTTCGGGAGCCGCAAGGATGAGTTCTGAAAGCTGTCTGCGATTGCCTTGAACCGAGAGTTTGTCATGCTGGTGACATCTGCAAATGCACTAATGTCGTCGAATGCAGACACTCCTGAAACCTTTCTTCTGATGTATAGTGAACTTTCAGAATTTGAGCGAGGCCGGCTCCTAGTCGAGGCTGGGCTGACTGGTGACAAAAGTGATTCGACATTACCATCGAGGCCGTGAGTCGGCGGTGACACAGATTCGAGATTCAGCTTTGGTCGACCTGGCTGACTGGCCACTGTCGAACTGTCTCCAACCGGCTGGTCTTGGGGTTCTCGTACAAAGAATCGGAACGCTGATGGCGTCTCTGGTGGTGTGCTTTTTGAGCTCGCAGAACCTTCATGCCAGGCGTACTTGATACTGGGCGGAAGAAGAGATACGGAACTGATGTTGAAAGAAGGGGAGGGAAGGTCGGGCAGAAACTTTTTCAGATTAGACATTAGTGAAGTTGGACCGGTCGAAGCCCTTCGCCTCATATCATTTCCCACAGCATGCAACATGTTCTTTGAGAACGGCACCTTGTGTGGATATGGTGCTCGAGTGTTTTCGTCCGCATCGTCCTGATGTGGTACGTCTGTGCCGGAAGGCTCAGTGAGTGGTGGGATCTGCCCATATTCCGCTGATGCCGGTGAAGTCTTAATATGCGCTTCAGGTTCCGCATTCGCTACATGCTGGTGGTCATTCTCGTCCGCGATATCCTCCAAGGTCAATATACGTTGGAAGGAATCCAACGGCAAGTTTAGCGCTCTAGCCTTTTCAGCAACTGGTGTGTCGGGTGACCTCATCTGAGTCTGTGTCCGACTCATACTGACACCAATCATGGCATCGTCATAAAGACCTCCAGTCTCAAGTCGAGGACGCCTTGACGAGCCTGCGGGCGCGCTACCTTCGTCAAGAGAGTCTTCATGTTCATAGAGAGGTGATGGCCGATCATGGTCATGATTTTGAACCAACATGTGGTCCTGCATCCCAGGAGCACCGGCAGACTCCATACCTGGGGGGCCTATTCACTATTCATAGGAGGGCGGGGTCTGAGGCCTGGACCTGTCAGCATTGGCTGAATAGAGTCAAAATTGCGGACACAGGTACGTAAGTCGTATCATTAAGACCGACACCGTTTCGAGAAGCCCACGTGGTGATTGGGATTTGGTGCTTAAGGATGGATTGGGGTCGATTCGTTACTGTAAGTAGAAATCTGACAGTCGGCCCCAGTTGATCGTTGCTGACAATCAGCCCTATGAGGGAAGATGATGAATACCCTGTCAAGAATAACATCCGAGGAGTAAAAAGATAGAAATACGAGGCGAGAATTATAGCGCCAGGGGTCTGTAGGTAGCTTATTCATCCAAGCATTGAAAATGATAGAAGAGAAAATTGGATGGATCGAATGCAAAAGAAAGAATTGATGCTGTCTCCGGTAGCCGCGGATGCGCGAACTCTGAGATGTGCACAGGAAGGAAAGACTTGTGCACAGCCACTTTCTCTGGCCGAGCAACAACCGGAACAAAAAGTATCATGCAAGCACTGTGCTCTGCAAGTATCTGCATACGCAAATCAATCATGCCATATGGATAAAGCACCATTCGCAGAATATCTGGGGTAAGATCAGGTACCCGATACTTGTACGGAGTACTGACTGGAAATGCCAGTAAACGAGCTGCATGCCTACCTGGTAATATGACGACAACCTGCATTGCCACTCCGTACGCTGTGTTTCATCAGACTTGACGTGACGGTGGCACCACGCTTCTTGAAAAGTAAGGATGCCATACGTAGCTTTTGCATGGTCTGCGGAAGGTCTTGCGTGTTCTGTTACTGAATACAAGCACTGGTGTCTACCAGGTATGTAAAGAGAAGGACATGGCATCTCGAAATAATGAAAAAAAGAGGGTGAGCGACACCCAACGTACTAACGTCACTACGTCATAGTATCAAACATACCAAGATACGCGATGTCACGTGGAAAATGCTTGTTTATTGCTTGGTATCGTGTTTGATGGGGTCAACCCTTCGAGTTGTCTTGGCTTGCATTGAATACTGAGATACTCAATTCCAGAAGCAGCAGGATCCAGTTGAAAGACATCAAAACACCGTCAAATTAATATACCCCTGTCCTTATACTACAAGCAAGGCTCAATCTCCCTTGACTGATTCATTCCTCAATATTGTCGTACAATGACGACATAGGTTTGTGCTTGACACGCGTCTCCATCGACTTGCCGTGTCTACAAACTTGATGAATTTTCGCTGTTGTCTCTTTCTTCGCTCTTCGAGTTCGGGACATGGAAGGTGAAACCACACAACATGGACAATCAACGAGATGATAGCGACTCTGCCGACTACGAGACCGGTCATGCTGGCAATTTTCCCGCACCACAGGGGATAGTCAACGTTCCCAGGCATGAAGCGGCCCAAGAATACGTCACAAAGGATGAAGAGGATGCAGTGATAGACTACAATGTACGTTCAACCTGCTCATGGCTACAAATCGCACTCGCTCACTGCTTCAGGCTCCCATCAGTTGGTGGGTATTGTCTACGTTGTTCCCACTTATCGCAGGAACATTCGGACCCCTGGCCTCGACCTTCAATATCTGCGCACTGGCAATCACCTGGAGAACCACTGTCGCCCCGAACTCTCCAGAATCCGAGGGCACTCATATCTCGGATCCAGCATGGCTCCTCGCAGTCAACGCTGTCAGCTTGGCCATTGCGGTCGTAGCCAACCTCTTCCTCTTGGGCCAAATGACTGACCGCATTTCTTACACACGAGCCGCTCCATGTTTCATCTCCGGCTGGTATGTTAGCTCATTGCTTCTGTTGGGCCTCATTGCAGCGACACCGACCCATTTGCCACTACCAGCAAACACAACAGCAACCTATTCGCAGGCCTTTTTCTACGGAATCTTCGCCTGCGTCATCTATTTCATACTGGCCTCCATGTTGCTAACGACAGCAATCAACATGAAATTTCGTCCACCGCCATTCAGCCACACATTCAAGTTGACAATGTCGCAGCGCTCGCTCATGCTTCAAACCATGCTGTTTTGCGGCTACCTTCTCGCGGCAGGTGCTGTGTATTCCCGTGTCGAAGGGTGGGATTTCCTGGATGCTGTCTATTTTGTGAATGTGACTTTGTTCACGATTGGCCTGGGAGACTACCATCCACTTACCCACCTGGGAAGGTCGTTGTTCTTTCCCATGGCTATTGGAGGTATCTTGTTTGTCGGTTTGATAATTGCATCGATTCGAACTCTGGTCCTTGAGGCGGGCTCATGCAAAATCTCGGCTCGTATGGTCGAGAAAGCGCGCCACGACGTACTGGAGTCAGTAGATCCACAGACAGGCAAGGTCAAGCTTTCCGCATTTCGCACGAAGCAACTCAAACCAGATCCCTCCATGTCGGAACTCGACCGCCGAGAATTGGAATTTGACATTATGCGGCTGGTGCAGAAGAAGGCTGGGCGAAGGTACCAACTGCTCGCGCTTGCTATTTCTGGTTCGTGCTTTTTCGTTCTGTGGTTTCTCGGAGCCGTCATTTTCTGGCAAGCTGAAATGGCAACTGGTGGGGAGAATTGGTCCTATTTTGAAGCCTTGTATTTCACCTATGTGTGTCTTCTGACCATAGGCTATGGCGATTTTTACCCTCAGACGAATTCTGGCAAGCCCGCTTTCGTATTCTGGTCTTTGATCGCACTCCCTACACTCACGGTACTCATTGGTGCCATTGGAGACACCATATCCGATGCCGTGGCGTCCTTCACATTGTGGTTCAGCAGACATGCGCCTGAAGGACTGAAAGCATTTAGGCAAGCAAAACAGGCAGCTCAAAAGAAACGCAATCGCGAAGGTGAAGAAGAGTCGGCAAAGCCCCCAGGATTCATGAGTGATGACTCCGCCGGGAAGGGGGACTTCGAGGATGAGAACATCGCCAAGGCTGTTCAGGCACTCGGTCGTGGTGAACAGAACAATGCTCAACAAGGCGACAAGCCACAAAGTGAGGAAGAGGCGCAAGCATTGCTCTCAGCATACCGGTTGCACATTCTCATGCGTGAAATGCAAAACGTCATTCAACATCTCGACAACCAACCCCCCAGGAAGTATACTTATGCCGAATGGACATGGTTTCTGAAACTTCTTTACGAGGACGAGGACGAATCCAAAGGTCATCGTCTGCCGTGGGATCAGACTGTGGACGTATCAGCGCCACTAAGAAGACAGCACGAAGAGAAGTGGAGTTGGCTTGGCCAAGAGAGTCCATTGATGAGCATGGAAGACGAGCCGAAATGGGTTCTCAATCGGCTGCTGGAAGTTGCACAACGAACAAGCAAGAAAAGAGGGGACTACTTATTGAAGACCTGGAAGGAGAACCAGGGCCGAGCCCTTCCGGCTAGCGACAGTTGAGGTAACCGCTGAATGAATGTTATGCTACTCACTTCACCCAGAAAGGGGCCACCACTCAGCTCTCCATCTTGAATTCTAATCACCATACCCCAGTCATGACATCAAACGGCCGGTGGTGACCTAGAGCAACTTGGAGTCAAGAATTTGAGCCGAGTTAATGCTCCTTTACTCTTGCGTTTGCTTGTCATTGCGTATATATGCCATGATGTCGGATAATGCCTGCCCTCATTCAGCATTGAGCCGTCCACTCAACTACCCGATATGGCTAGACCAGTCCCTCGACTACAAGTCTTCGGCGGCGACCATCGCTCTAGCGCCTGGCATGGCCTTGCAAAGTTGTTGATGCATGACAAGTATGAGCGGGTTGAGGCGATTCGTCGGAGCAGACGTGAAAGGGCGAAACGAGCCAGAGACGACGCTGCAGCTGCTGAAGCAAATGCTATCAATGGCGACGCAACTGATCAACCTGCAGCAAATGCCTCTGGCTCCGAGGGAAATGATCAAACAGGTGATGCGCAGAATCCTCCGAAAGATGACGCGCCCCCTGAACCCGGAGTGGGAGACGAGCACCAGGCAGACGCAGGTGACGGCGAAGGTGCCGAATATCCAGACAGGGTGGGAAATCCTGATCCTGAGGCAAGTGGAACAGGTGAGGACCATGAGGGCATTGATATTACAGCCGACAATCAACCTGAACAGGTCCAGAGGCAGACAGCCGGAGCGGAAGCCCAAGGAAGTGAGCACCAAGCCCATCAAGCCGACGAGCTCAATACACCCACCACAGGTCGTCGTTCTGTGCCAGTCCATACGGCCGCCTCTCCAGCACCTTCCAACCTTCCCCCAGCAGCATCTCTGAGCGGATCACCAACTCTCGTCCAGCCACCAACAGTCGCCACTCAAAGTCCAGCGCCGTCTCTACGTAGCCTCTCCTCGCGAAGATCTACTCGAGCAGCTTCTCACGGGTCATCGCGCACGGCGCCTAGAGCAGCTTCTCGAGCACCATCCCGACTACAATCTCGACCCACACCCTGTGCAATTCCACGACCATCTCCACGAACGACATCTCGTCAACCAAAACCTCAGAGCATCCCCCGGCCTGATCCTCCGCCTACACCTCCACCAACTCCGCCACCAAGTCCTCCACCGCCACCATCTCCTCCTCCCCCTTCTCCCAAAGCAACGAACCGACCTGCCTGCCCTCCAGCACCTTTGCCATTGCAGTCAGGACCTCTTGTCCAGACACCATCACCACTATCGTACGCTCGTGCACAATCAGCATTGACTTGGCCCCCTGTTCTAACAGCCCACAGGGGCGCACATGCAAATACGAATGCCAACCTTGCTGCACAGTACAGGGTAGCGCATTACACATACCAACACCACCAACAACCGGCGTATCAGTGTCTGCAATTCCACCAGTCGTCGCACGGTACGCAGCATCATACATATCTTGACCAACAGGATTACGAGGACCAACAGAACAACATCTACAGACGGCAGACTCATGCGTACATTCATACGCAGTACGTGCCTTACATGCAGCAGGCCACTCCGCATGTTTGTGCATATTACGTCCAGGCTTGAAAGCGAATACACGGTCATCTTACATAGATAGCATCATGAACACGAATGGCATCAAACACTTAATGTTCAAGTTTCAACTTCAATGTCCATATTGGTGTCTTCGTCGACTGAAGGTAATAATTGCATCATAATGATCCGCGGCTCTGGATAAGCTCAAGGTACACAATATTTCGATGCTGGACATCGTTGATGAAGCGACCCACCCAAGGTGTTCATGTGCTTCTTCCTCCAGCACTGTTATGCAGCCCACTGTACTTCTTCTCTTTTGCATATTTGTGCTGTACTAGACAGTCGGTCGTCACCCTCTCAGTGCCTTACAACTTTCGACAAGAAGTTGAATGCCGTTTAACCAAAATTCCGACCGTCGCGAGTCTTTCAACTGCTTTCTCCTCATGGGCTCGTCGGCAGCACATTTTCCAAAAATATGTTCATTAGAATCGTGGAGTGCTCAAATACGCCACCATGTCATGGCGTAGGAATGGAGCGTGCATCGTAGGGTGACAAAGACATGTTTCAGCACTTGCTGATCACACACGCGGCCGTTTCGCCTCTGGCCCAAGAGCGGCACGCTCTTCACGTATACGAATAGCCTCGGTACCATCGTCAATCAAGGTTTCTCTGAACCAAGGATGCTTGAGTGCCTCTTTGGCGGAGATTCTCTGCTTCGGGTCATACACAAAGATCTTCCTCAGCAGGTCAAGTAATTGCTTGTTGAAGGAAGTGTTGGCGGCAATAAACTCCTGTTAGGGGCATTAGCATTGAAAAGGAAGAAATGAACTCAGGGTTAACTCACATGCAAAGGCTTCATGGCCTTCACATACTTTCGTGACGCCTTTGAAGTTTCGTTGTTCGGATATTCCAGCTTTCCACGGTTGAAGAACTTGGCCGCCGTGTTGGCATTGGCACCACGACCTCCAGAGCAGACTTGCTTGACAAGTTTGGGGTCAATCTTTCCATTGCACACCACTTCCATCATGGCAAGATGTTCGAGATTATCGTGCGTCTGGAACAAGGCATCTCCAGTAAAGAATTCGACAAGAATGCATCCTATGCTCCAGATGTCACAGGGAAAACTCCACCCAAGCTGCAATATGATCTCGGGGGCTCTGTAGTGCCTCGTAGATACCACAGAAGAGTGATATTCATCATCGAAGGTGGCAGATCCGAAGTCTATTAGTCGGATCTCACTGTCCAAAAGCACTCTCCTCTGTTTCGCCGTTCTGGCTGTCGTATGCGAGGAAGAGGGTATCGTGCGATTGTAGGTGAAAGTCTGATAAGCGTTGTGGACCAGCAGAATGTTCTCTGGTTTGAGATCTGTGTGGATCAAGTTCAGGTCGTGCAGAACTGGAGCAGGTTAGCATAGTCGTCGCAAGCAAAGGTTGAACACATACATGCTACACTGGTGAAGAGTTGCCGAGCAAAACTCTGAATCTGAGAGCTGGGGAACGGCACGAAGCCATTGCCTTTGAGGAAGTCGAAGACACTTTGTCCTAGCAAATCGGTGACAATGCAGATGTGGTTTCGGAAATCGAACGAATCTCGCAGGTGGATACACTTGTTTCTGTTGGTTTTGTCGTTGAGAGCCAGGGTGGACAGCACTCGCAGCTCAATGCGAGAGGCGTCACGATATTTCTGTACTGATCTGATGATCTTGACGGCACATTTCGTCTTCTTTTTCTTGTCAAAGGCCTCGACAACTTTTCCAAACGTTCCTTGACCGAGCAGTTTGATAATGTCATCTAGGAAATTGTCAATATGTGACCTGGCTTGTAGAGGGATTCAGACGTACATCGGTCAGTCAGCGGAGTGTTGTTAGATACGATGTAGTGGCCATCGTCATCGTCCACTTTTTGGTGCTTGTGCAGAGTCTGTGAATAGTCAGCAACCATGAAATCAACTCGTGAGGGCTGACGACGTACATCTCGTATCACAGGCACATGGACATCTGCGGCCTTTCGTAAGGGCTTTGAAGGAGGAATGTAGTCTGCAAAGGCATCTGTTGGATCTTGCTTTCTCTTCGCCTGTGATCTCGTCTCTTTCGGCGGCTGCACTCTTTTCCTTTTCTGGCCCACCCGCACATCTTCGTAACTGTTGTGCGCAGCAGGATTGCTCCCATAAGACTCTAGCGATGTCGGTGCGGTCACCGTCTGGAGGGAAGTCGTCCGATCAGCAGAGTGGTAAGAGGCTGACGATGACGATCCACCAAATTTTGCAGGGTGTGTAGAATATGTCGGGCTGTCTGTATATTCGACTTCATAGCCTTGATCAACTTTTCTCTTTCGGGCACCATTTGCGTGTGCAGTGTTGTCAGAAGGTTGCTGCCGCTCTGACGTATTCGTTGTGGCTTCCGGCTCAGGGCTATCATCGTCGATGACGATTATTTCTTTTGGGATCCCATTTCTGTAAAATTCGTTCCAATTGGGCTGCTTGTGGGATTCGGGCAATGTCGAGGCTGACTGAGAAGGGGCCATGGATGAGACGTTGGAAGGCGGTCGGTAGGATGCGGGAGACTGTTGTACTCGCGGATATTGGGTGGAAGTCGGGTAGGAAAGGTAAGAAGTCGTCATTCGTTGTGGTGCAGGCAATGTGGCCGTTGTGGGATACGTCCGACTTGACGGTGAATAGAGATTTTGATGGGCATAACCATAATGTGCTGGGACGACAGTAGTTGCTATCGTGGAAGGAGTCGACATCTTCAGATCATGTATGCTCTGTGGGTGGAGACTGTCCGACAACGCAAGTGTTGTGGATTCGCGCCACGAACCGCAGTTTGCAACATGCGAGGAGAATGACGAGGTGTTTTCGGTTCGATTGCGTTCAATCTCGAGTCTGAACGGTGAGATAGGACGAGGAGAGAGTAGAAAGAAGGATCAAGATCCAATAGTAGTCATTTGGGACCCTAATGAGACAGTGATCGAGGGAGGACGTGAGGTTGGTAAAATATGAGCGTCGCGGGCCCCAACGCCGAGGACGAGCCTCTATTGGACCAAATCGATGGTCATGATCTGTTATTAGGATCTCGAGGTCGAATAGAAACGAGAAGTAATGCCACAGACTGTAAAGAATAGAGTCGTTGTGGGCAAGATGGCAGAGGACCTGAGATCGATTGACGTCCACAGGATGCAAAGGCGAGGGAAAGAGGGCGAGCGAGTTCAAGCCTTAGGACGGTTTTGGGGTTAAAGCCGCCGTGTCGAATCACGTCTTCCGAAGAAAAGAACTTAAGGAACCGTCTCAGTAAGTGAGAGTCTCTTTCTGCGCGGCACTTTCCTGGTATCACCAACACCACCTGATTTTCTTCTAAGGGGCTGCTTTTTCTTTTCTTAGACCAACTCGAGTTCAAACAACTATCTATTCATCACTACTAGTAAAAGTCTGCTACATTTCCCCAGGCCTCCTTGAGTGGGTGAAAAAACAACGGTAAGAGGCGTAAACGCCCATCAATAATACAGACGCCATAGGAGTCGGAGGGAACGCAGGGTCTTCGCCCTCGCAGATCGCTGACGTTCGTCTCCGCGACAATTCTGTGCGTCTCCACGCCTGCAGAGATACGCACGCCTCCGTTGTGTTTATGACACCAATCTCCTGCCTAAAACGTTCTGCCAACACTTCTCACTCAGCAACACATACGGACACTCGAGCAAAGACTCGTGAAAAGATGGGATACAAGAGGCAATCGCAGACTCGGCCATGAATCGGTTTTAAGAGGAATCGGTGATGTCCCGATTACCGGGACGGCAAGATACTTGTGGCCAATGCTATGACCACATCAGGTCGTTCCGTTAGCATGCAGATAAACGCCGGTGACCCGAAGGAGAAAAGAATATGCATGATCATAATTCGTCGATAATATTCATCTCAGCCTGAGTCACTAAAAAGAAATAATCAGTACATCTAAGACCATGCTAGCCAAAGATGCTCTCCATGCTCCTGTGCAATGATAATGATAAACCGGTCTTGCTTGCAGATTTTTGGGTTGAAATTCGATTATCTTACAGTTGGGCGCGTCTTCTCCTCTTCAACCCGACCTGCCCCAAACTTGATGTCCCCAGCTAAGGCAGCAATATCTAGAAATGCATATCGAGAATCAATTTTCAGGTAAGCTGAACCCTCGCACATAAGACCTTGATGCTCGCCCATCACCTTCAAGCACAAGGAGAACATCTCGAGCCTGGATCTTGGCGTCCTTTTCTTCATCCCATTGACCAAAGAGTTTCTCCGTAGGAACTGCTTTCGAACGGTCGGGAGCAGGTGTACCTGCGGCGGTGCTAACACCGGATGGCAAAGGCTTCCCAGGGGTCACTGCTGGACTTCCACCACCACCACCACCTCCTCCTCCCCCTCCGCCGCCACCCTTCATCCAGTCGTAGGTTCGCTGCTTTTTGCCTCCAAACCGGTTGCCGATAAGACCAGAGACCGCCATTCGTGCTGCTTCATTGGCAGACTTGTGTTGTTGCTGTTCGGAAAACTTGGACTCCTGTAGTTTCCTTTCTTTCTTCGTGGTCTTCTTCTCCGATTCTAAAGCTGCGGCAAGCGCAGCGTCGGCCAATGAGTCGGCGCCGGCTGCTCCGGGCGATCCTTCTGCATTTGCTGCCGCTCGACGTTTTGCTCGTTTTTGCCGTCGCGCTTCCTCGGCGCTTCGTTCCGACTTGGATACTCTGTCTAGTATGGCAACAATTCGTGCGGGTCCAGGAACATGATCTTCTGACAACGATGGTTCGCTGTTTGCTTGTGAGTGTGTACCTAACATGCGTCAGTCAACCCATCGCAGCGGAACGTAATACTCACGCTTTAGACTGGCGCTACCAGCCGGACTTGACACACCATCAGGTACATCAGTAGCCGGCTTGGTAACGACTGCTATATCCTGCCATTCATCGGGCACCTTTCCTTTGGAGTGCTGCTGCCGTTCCTGTGATAGTCGAGCAGACGCACTGACCAAACCGGTCAGTCTGGTCTTTGCGGCCAGACTAATGATCTTCATGATATCAGATAGACGTTCCCCTTTTTGACCAGTATCGAGAATGGCTTGCCCCTCGTCGATGACACGTGAAGCGCCTTCAAGGCCATTTACCCGCACCATTGGGGGAGGTGCGTGCTTTTGCGTGTTTACCAGAACGCCAGATTGTGGATCGACGAGATGCTCGGTGATGCTAATGTTTCGAATCTTTTCGTTCAAGACGCCGCCCAGCAGAAACATGTCCCAGAGTGGATTTTGGCTGTGCCTGGAAGCCTCCCAGTCCATACGTTCATCCTGCCGCTGTTTGATGTCTTCTGCAGATGTTTGATATGTTTGAGCTCCATTCTGGCCTTCACTCTGTCCTTGTTGGGCCTCGGACTTCTCTCCATTTGTTTGTAGGTCGTTGAACGAGTTCACATGATAGTGAAAGTTTGAAGCTTGTGACGGAGGCGGTGGCCGTGTACCATAGTAATCTGGCCTTACAAGCATCCTCGCCTCTTCTTCGATGTTGATTCCAGTACCCGACAAGATATCTTCGTAATTCCGATCTTCGGCTTTGTCGGCTGGCCGCTGTGGAGGCGGCATTAGCCCTTGCCGCGGATTCGAAGGAGGTGCAGTGCCATTCATCTGGATGTTCCCTCCGGGCGTTGTCGGGCCATGTCCTGAAGGCGTGGGAGGATAGCTCTGGGGTGAGAACGGCGATTGAACATCAGGAGATAGGCGTGGTCTTTTCGCGGCAGGCGGTTGAATATATTGCTGAGGCGAAAATGTCTGAGGTGAAGGTGAGGAATAAGTCATGCCCATCTGCGGTGACTGAGGACCGAGAGGGCTCGGTCTGCCATTCGCGGCGGCGAAGTCGCGCGGCAAGGGAGTCTGCATCTGAGGGAGCGGCGGGCGCGCCGGCGACGGTTGCGACTGAGCCATGGTGGGATGGATGAGGTCGTTGTTTTATATGTGTCGTCGCGAAGGGAGAGTCCACCACGCCGTCTGTCTTGCTCTCTGTTTTGTGAGTGAGCGCACTTCCACGCTCGTCTCCTTCTTTGTCCCTAGCATGCCTGATTACTTTTATGATTGCATTCGAGTGAGATTGTGATGAGTTGGGCGCGTTGGGCGGGGTTAAATGGTGTGTTATTATGGTGCAATATGCGAATGAGTCTACCAAATCTACCAAAGGGCAGCCTGCCATCATGCATCTTTCTTTGAGCCGCGGCGCACGTGACCTGCTAGGCTTTGTTTCCCTTGGTCATTTCAACGCTTCGTTTGCCGATGACATTCCTCCTTCTCGTCGTCTTCTCTTCCCGTATTTGCACAAACGAGATCGCTGCATTATTTGAGGACTATCTTGCAGTGCTTTGATGTCAACATGCCTCGATGGTGAGAGACCATGCTAATGACCTGCTCCGGCCCGCTTCAGGAATCTGACGACTAATTCCCGATCTCTTAACACCCTGTTATATCCCTGCGTTACTGGCCGCTACTTTTCGTCACAGCGACACCCATAGCGCGCAATTATGGCGACGAAACGAAAGGCTGCCGCTATGGCTACAGCCGAAGATGACGACCCGGTCGACCCTTCGGATGAGCTGGTTTTTATCGGACTCGGCGGATGTCAAGAGGTGGGAAGATCATGCCATATCTTGCAGTACAAGGGGAAGACTGTCATGGTGAGTTGCTCGATCCACTTCCGGTCTTGCGCGCATGCTTACCAGTACGCAGCTTGACGCCGGTATGCACACTGGTCGAGAAGGAATGTCGGCCATGCCGTACTTTGATGATTTCGACCTCAGTACTGTGGATATTCTTTTGATCAGCCAGTAGGTGCTTTCCTTTACCCTTTCGCTGCTCCTTTGCTCGCTCAGATATATGGGACATCACTGCTGGAGGTTTGAGTGGCGCATTCGGAAGCCTGAGTTCAAGAATGTGACAAGAGAAATGAGATGGCAGATCGTCCAACGATCTGTATCTGTAGGCAGACAGCAATACAATTTTGTTCGGCCAGAATCCCTGCTCTTGTCTTCTTCGTTCCTGTCACTTTCTTGAAGCTACATCTCGTGTCGAACGAGATAGATTTGTTGGTGTAATTGGTTTGATCTGTGGCTAACAAGGTGTGCTCCATAGTTTCCATCTGGATCACGCAGCTGCGCTTCCTTACGTCCTCGCGAAGACCGACTTCAGAGGCAGAGTCTTCATGACACATCCAACCAAAGCGATCTACAAATGGCTCATACAAGACTCAGTCCGGGTCAGCAATACTTCGTCCACCTCGGACCAGAGAACTTCGCTATACACGGAAGCCGATCACATTAACACCCTTCCCCAGATCGAGACTATCGACTTCTATACTACGCATACAGTGTCAGGTGTCAGGATAACACCATATCCAGCTGGCCATGTCCTGGGGGCTGCCATGTTCCTGATCAACATTGCTGGACTCAATATCTTCTTCACAGCGGATTACTCTAGAGAACAAGATCGCCATCTGGTCGCTGCTGAAGTGCCCAACAAGACAACTGTTGGCAAGATCGACGTCCTCATCACGGAATCGACTTTTGGTATCTCAAATGCACCTCCTCGCGCCGAAAGAGAAGCAGGATTACTCAAGGGTGTTTCCAATATTATAAATCGAGGAGGCAAGGTATTGATGCCTGTGTTTGCTCTGGGTCGAGCACAAGAACTTTTGCTCATACTGGAAGATTACTGGCAACGGCACCCGGAGCTACAAAAGATTCCGATCTACTACACAGGAAACACAGCGCGAAAGTGTATGGTCGTATACCAGACTTACATCAATGCCATGAACGATAACATCAAACGAATCTTTCGGGAGCGTATGGCCGAAGCCGAAGCCGCTGGAAACGCCAAAGGCGTCAGTGCTGGGCCTTGGGACTTCCGCTTCGTACGAAGTCTGCGTAATCTTGATCGATTCGACGATGTGGGCGGATGCGTTATGTTGGCATCTCCTGGTATGCTGCAGTCAGGCATGTCACGCGTCCTTCTTGAACGTTGGGCACCCGATCCGCGCAACGGAGTGCTCATGACTGGTTATAACGTCGAGGGCACCATGGCGAGGACGATTCTATCGGAACCGGAAATGATTCCAGCAATAATGAGCGGCGGACACGCCGGTGCAGGGCAGAATATGGGTCGAAAAGTCAGGGACGACGATGCGGCGGTGATGATTCCTCGACGATGCACGGTCGAGGAGTTTCAGTTCGCAGCACACGTTACTGGGGTTGAGAACGTCGAGTTTATCGAACAAGTCGCATCACCTCATGTCATTCTTGTGCATGGAGAAAGATCTCAAGCAGCAAGATTAAGGTCAAGATTGCTGGACCTTAACTCGAGACGGTTGGCAAGCAACCCCAAGGCACATCAAACCAAAGTCTACAGCCCCGAGAATGGCGCCGAAGTCAAAATCCCCTTCAGAAAGGACAAGATCGCAAAGGTTGTGGGCAAACTCGCTCAGATACCGCCGCCAAACTCAGCTGATTCTGATGACTCGAGGGTTGTCAGCGGCGTTCTGGTGCAGAACGGGTTCAAACTTAGCCTTATGGCGCCTGAGGATCTTCGGGAGTATGCTGGTTTGACCACTACTACCATCCTATGTCGACAGCACATCACTCTTGCCACAGCAGGAATTGAGCTCATTCGCTGGGCTTTAGAAGGCACTTTCGGCAGCATTGAGGAGACTAGTCACGTCAAGTCCGAGGCTAACGGCCACACAGGCCAGAACAGATCTAATGGCGTTAAAGACGAGGAGGAAGCGGATGAGGAAATTGTGCCGGAGCCACAACGGACCTTCCTCATTATGGGCTGCGTTGCCCTCAAATGGTCAGGCCGAGAGAAACAGATCGAATTGGAATGGGAAGGGAATACTATGAATGACGGTATTGCTGATGCTGTTATGGCAGTATTGATGACGGTCGAAAGCAGCCCTGCAGCGGTCAAATACTCGTCGTCCAAGTCCTCACACCACCACCATCATGTGCATGAGCAGAACGGAATCTCATTCCCGCACAACGAGCACAAAAACATATCATCAGACGACAGGTTCTCCAGGCTATGCATGTTCCTGGAAGAACAATTTGGCGATCATGTCGCGCCTATCGAAACACCGAAAGTGTCCGTTCAACCAGACACTAAGGGCACGCCAGCAGCAGATGCGGAGGTGAAAGAAGAGCAATCAGACGAGGAAATTGACATCGAAAGCGCCCAAGCCGCCGAGCGCGCGAGACTTGCAGCCATGGGTATCCCGGTACCAGGACTGGAGATAAGAGTCGACAAGAACGTGGCGAAACTCTGGCTGGAGCACCTCGACGTTGAGTGCGGCAACGCTGTTCTACGTGATCGCGTCAAGGCTGTGGTTGAGAGGGCCGTGGAGACTGTTGCCCCGTTGTGGGCAGTACGGGAACAAGTCAAAGTTTGAATGAGCCTCAGTTGATATGGCTCGGCAGTATGAGCAGAATCAACCGCGTGGAGACTTCTTGAGCGGGCATCCCACGAATGCCACCTCGGATGTGACTTAAAGTTACTTGGAGCCCCCAGACGCATTGCGGGGAAAGGGGTCTGGCTAATATCCTGACTACTATCCGGCGACTCGTTGAATGTACCATTAGTCCGCATTCACGCCTCGGCACCACAATGTATATTAAGGATTCTGCCAGAATCTCGTTATCACGTCTTACACTTTTGCTCCTGAACGATCCGTGCGAACCTTCTGCATGTATACACACTGACCATCAGGAATATACCGACCAACCACTATGGCTCCGCATCTCAAAACAGCCATTGTCACAGGCACGTATCACTCTCAAGGCATCATCCATACAAAACCACTGACAATGCAGGTGGTTGCTCTGGCATCGGACTCGGCCTAGTCAAGCACCTCCTCTCCAAACCAGACTGGCGTGTAGTGTTGGCAGACATCCGTCCTGAAGCATACGACGCAATCAAGTCATCTCTCGATCCGGACCGCCACACATTCATCGAGACCGACGTGTCCTCATGGCCGTCGCAAGCCGCGCTTTTCAAACAAGCATTCACTTACTCCGATGGAAGAATCGACTTCCTCGCCGCCAACGCCGGCACCGCGGAGAAAGTACACCTCCTGGATCCATCGCTTGACGACCTCGACACCGAGCCCACACAGCCAAGCATGCTCGCCACCGAGGTGAACCAGTTTGGCCCCATCTATGGGTTGAAGCTGTTTGTGCACTACGCCCGATTGACGAATCGAGCACTAAAATCAAAGCATGCCACGTCCACTTCCGAGTCTTCGTCGACAACGAATGGCACATCCGTGTCAACATTCAACCCGAAAGTGGTAATAACATCATCCTGTACCGCGCTCTACCCATTCCCCGTCGCCGTCCAATATGCTGCGTCAAAGGCCGCAATCTTCTCCCTGGTGAGGAGCGTCGGCAAGAACCTCCTGGCCAGTGACAACGTGGCTGTCAACTGCATCATGCCCGCTTACGTCGACACCAATCTAACACCAGACGAAGTCACGGCACTATGGCCTAAGGAATGGGTAACGCCCTTATCAACGATGAACAGGGCATACGACGAACTGATCGATAAACACGGTCGTGTCGAGCAAGATGGCAAGAGCGATGGGAAAGACGGGAAAGTCAAAGCTGGGAAAGCGGTGGAATGTGCGTGCGATAAGCTTTATTACCGGAATGGTGTCGAGTATGCAGATGAGTCGCAGAAGTTCTGTATTGAGCAGAGTTTTTATCCTGATGGACTTTGGATGCGTGGGATGATTGAACGGATGAAGAAGACTGGGTCTATTATTTGATAGTACATCGAGTTCTTTAGATTTCAGGCGTTAACCGACGGATGGTCAAACAAAGATTGGAAGCCATTTCTGATATTGCACCTGGCAATTGACATTGTATTGAAAGAAATTGCCCTACTATGTGAGAACCGGCCGCCCCCTAAAAATGACAGCCTCGTTCCTTTCGCCTTTTCGTCGCCGACACTTGCCACCATGCTCCCAAAATCACATTTGACCGCCAGCCTAAGTTAATTGTCGTACATTGCGGACCAATTAGAACTGTCGTTGTCCAGAACATGCAAATCCGGAAGACGTCCTGATCGCTCGTTCTTGCTTGCATGGTTGGTGACCGCATAGCCACTATCTCGATGATACGCTGCTGGCCCTGGTCTGTCCACCGCTTTTCCTTTTCTCGAAGTGCTGCCAATAGCCCGCATCTGTTGACGAATGCCGACATAAGTACCAGCAGCTCGAACTTGATCACGGATGCCGACATCAGCAGCAGGAGCAGCAGTCTCACCGTACATTCGGATAATTTCAGTCACGGACGATACCGCGGAAGGCGCAATCGATGTTGAAGAGCCTGCAGGAGTAGCAGTCTCACCGTACAACCGGATGATATCAGTCACGGACGATACCGCGGATGGCGCAATTGATGCTGACGACTCTGCAGGGAAAGATTCGACCAGGTTGACATATGTATCTGCCGGATTTCGGACAGACTGCATCTCAAAGCGTTCGGTCTCCCATGACGTCCTCGAACCACTGCTGGACTCCCACTTCGGGCTGAAATAAATGTCAGCATCCTGAGGTTTCCACTGTTGTCTTGGAGGTACGTACTCCTCTTCTCCTTGTTGCTTTTCCTGCGTAGAGGGTCTGAGACGGATGTAAGATTTCTGGGCCTTCAGCTCTTGGTTTGGTAGGACGTACGCAAGTGGCTTCAACAATTCTTGGGTATCCTGCTCTTCTTGCTGGTCTTGACGTTCTTGCTGCTCTTCCTGGATTTGTTCCAGACTCGGAGCGACCATTCTTGCATTGTTACTCACCGTGTCAACGCTGTAGAAAGACTCTGGTGTGGCCATCCGGACAGCAAACGAGTACGGACTATGAGCCTTGGTATCGGTATCTGCGAAATCTGCGTGAAATTCGTCGCTGCCATCTCCTGGAGAAAGATCCTCTGTATCCACTGTGCTAATTGAATGCGCCACGTGTGTCAGATCGCCGACTTTCTTGATCTTCAGCTTGTTCGCTCTGACATCGTGGATTTTCGCGCGGGCATGCTTCAGCTGGACAGCTTCTGCCTCATTGCGTGAAAGGAGTGATTCCAAGTCAATGGTATCGCCGGTGTACTTGGCCGTGATTTCAGTCAAAAGTGCAATCCATACTTCAACCCAGACCTGTAATCTTGGATTTCCATGCTTTGCAACATGTCGGCTGGTTGCACGAGATCTGATGATCCATCTCAAGTCGAGAAGCGTTTCCATATCCCCACTGATGAGAGAAATGATACACGCTTCGCATTCCTGGTGTTTCCATTTCAAGTCTCGCACAGAGGCCAGAAATGTGATCTCGTACTCTCTAGTCGACAGCCATAAAACATGTACACTTCTCAATCTCGTCAGTCTTTGGCGCTGATCTGCAGTAAGCAGTTCACATTGTGATATCAGGTTGTTCAGACGGGGACCGACTTCTTCTTGAAGGCGGTGGAGTAGTACTTCGACGAGGTCAAAGTCCAGACCTTTGTGCAACTTGCAGAGATGTCCAGCGCGAGGCAGAAGAAGCTTTTCCAGACGCCCAACACTGTATCTCGACGGTAATGACTTGACTTCTGTAGAAATATGCTTTCCTGCATTTTCGAGAGGCCGAAACTGAAGAATCTTTGCAAGCTGCGGGACGAGTTTCGGCGGGATATCTTGGAGATGCATCTTAGCTATTGCACAGGAGATGAGGTTGAATGCTTACCTTGGTGAGATGTCGCTGCCAGGTACACTCCGCAAAGCCTGCAAATGTCCTGCAAGCTATGGCTAAGATTGACGTCTCTTGACAATGGTTGATGTGGTGAGGTTATCGCAGGAACTGTGAAGGCATGCTGCGAGTCGAGGGATCTTATCCTCTCGTAAGCAGGATCTGGACGTGACCGAACAAAGACTAGGCACAAAGAGTGTAGGGCAGTTGCAAACCCACACAAAGAGTGCGCGGTAGTTGTTTGTAGACAAGAATCCACAAAGACTTTGAAGCATGTCAAAGGCAACAAAGACGTCGACAATGTCAGTCTTCATCAGACAAAACCGAGCACTGTGAAAAGGGGAGCATTGAAGCGCTGACGATGGAGAAAGATACCAGGTAAGTTGGATATGCCCGGACAATCAACGGGACATCACGGTTTCCGTGTAATGACTTTTGTGAACTAGAAGGACAAGGGCAGAAGACCGAAGTTGATGAAAGATTGTCAGAGTCCGACGCGGCATTGCAATTCGAGGAAAACAAATTCGAATTGAGAGTGAATGACATGCGGCCATGGGCCCATGTTCTTGTTCTTTTATACACATTAGTAGTAATATCCAGCCGTAGTGATTAATAACACCCGCATATGCGCCTGGCCTGAACTTCATTGTGCTGTGGGCGGTCTCCGAACTCAGAATGGATATGACAAGCGATCGTAACAAGTCTGGCCATGCTGAAGTCAAGCAACTTATGACAATACATATTCGCATCAGTGCATTCCATCAGCGTGAAGGATGGCAGTGCTTCTGCTGTGCAGACTTCCGGCAACTCGGTCTGAGATAGATTTGGCATCAAAGCCACTCTTCCGTCTCGTGCTTCGTCGCAAAGACTGCTTGGCCTCTTGTTCTTCCTTTTCTTCTTCGACAAGAATCCTCGCTCCACCATACTCCTTGTCGTCAAGGACCTGCCTCTGACTTGATTGGGCTTGTTGTTTCGCTTGTTCGAGGTTGATTTCAGGAGAATTGACCACGGAGGTCTTGGCCGCATCTGCGTCTACTTTTCTTTGCGCCGAAATCCTGTCGCGTTCATAGCGAGCTGAAACATCGCCGCCTTTCCAAGCCGTATTGAGAATTCGGTCCCAGAATGTGAAGAAGGGCTGGGAGAAGTTCGTCTTGATACCCCAGCTTTGGTGGTGAACATCATGGTAGGTAGCGTTGTTAGACGTGACATGCTGAAGAGGGTCCCAAGGGAATGCATATCCGCAGTGATCATCCACAGTCTTGATAGTCGAACACGTGAAGAACCACATTCCCTGTCGAACCGTCATGCCCGTCACGAGATAGGCCAAGCCTGTACCAAGAGTATCAAGCAGGAAACCCTCCATTGGATGATTGTAAAGAGCGCCGAATGCGTAAGGAACGTATAGTCGGTGATGTCGAGAATGGAGGGTAGTGTACAGGAATTTGTTCATGTGCATGGCACGGTGGAGAAAGTACTGCCAGGTATCCACGATGAAGATAGCTACCATGAACTGGACCAACGGTACTCCAATCCAGTAGATGAATTTCGCGACAGAGGCCTCCCATGGTGCCAACGACTGAAATGCATAAATGCCGCCGGAGACAGCACCTGCAAGTTGAGGGTGTGTGCTGTGCCACTGCTTGCCTAGAGTCACCGCGTCTAGGCCGACCACGGAAAGCAAACTTGGAATATATCGTTGCGCCACCCGCAAACGCTGAGCCCAGTGGGCAAGATCGTAATCTTCTCTTCCAACAGTTTCCACAGGATCGAAGTAAGCCAAGGCCAGCCCAAACGTCGTCTGGATGATCTGTTGCAGGATTACATCTCTTAAAACTTCATATCTCGTGACGTGATTGCGCTTCAATACTTCGGCTGGTGTGTGTAACCTGTACTGAGAGCACAAATCATATGTGTCGAGTATATGGAAGAATAAAGAGACCACCCAGTACGCGATAACAGGGGCAACTAGCTGTAGGACCACATCTGGCACGCCTGAGATCATAGAGGGACGGGCTGTGAGGGTGTAGGATGGCAGAGGAGGCAGTTCGCCCAACGTAGAGTTCACCATGCTGGCCACAATACGGTGTTGTCGAGATTCGGAGATGGATGTTCTCGAGGTTCTCAGCGTAGTAGTGCAGTAAGACGCAGTGCGGAAAGCCCGGCTCGAGGTGTGAAGGAGTGACAGGGATGACGGCGCTGTTTCGACCGAAGCGCACGAGGTATTTGCGGTAGGCAACAAGAAGCAAGACTGACGTGACAAGAGGAAAGGAGAGTATGAAGTATAAGAATCAGTTGGAATGAGGAATAGAGCGCAAAAAGGAAGGGTGGAGTGACGATTTCAAGGAGAGTTGTATGGTGATTTTGCGGGATGATGATGAAGAAGCGCAATATTCGCCTCCCTCTCCCTCATAAACATTAAACGAGAGATTAGATTGTTACTAACAGGGTCCGACGATCGCATCTCATTTCGCGCCTGAAAAATGCCTCGCCACTGATGACCGGGCTTCATCACGTGCAAGTCACGTGGAGAGGGCTGTCGCCAGGTGTCGGCTGAGTTTCCTTCCCTGACCCAGACATGTTCTAGAGCCAGAATTTCCAGATGTGAAAAGAAAATAGCCCCTCTACAACAAAAGTGTCTGCGCTTCCCTTCTTCACGTCGACCTTTTCAGAACTCCTACACCTCTTTCTTCCCCTACTTCGTCGCAGCTTTCTTCCGGCAACCCTTTCAAAATGATTATCTACAGAGTATGTCACCCTACCGTAGAGCTGCACAGATACTTCTGCCACCACAACACTGCCCCCGCCTCAAGGAAAACTCCTCGTACTGACCGCTGAATGCAGGACCTCATCTCCGGTGACGAGATCATCTCGGATACCTCCAAGATTATCGATGCAGGCAATGGCTTGTGGGAAATCGACGGCCGAATGATCAAGAAGGGAGCTGAGAACTTCGGTTTGTCTCTCTAGTGGGGATGTTGACACATATGCTGAGACGCGCAATAGTTCTCGAGGGTGCCAACCCATCCGCTGAAGGCGAAGATGATGGCGAGGGTGGTGGTGATGACGGCGACAACCAGCCAATTCTCGATCTTGCAGATCAGTTCCGCCTACAGAAAATCGAGGGTGGAATGAGCAAGAAGGCATATCAGAGTGAACTCAAAAGTCAGTCGAACATATTGCCGGTCTAAAACGCTCCGGACTGACACTTGATGCAGAGTACATGAAAGGACTTACCGAGAAGCTCAAGGAGTTGGGCAAGTCCGAAGAAGACATCAAAAAGTTCCAGTCTGAAGCACCCGCCGCCGCCAAGAAGATCCTTGGAAACTGGGACAACTACGATATCTACCAGGGCGAATCCATGGCAGAGGGCAGCATGTACGTGCTGGTTGATTTCCGTGAGGATGGTATGACACCTTATGCGACCGTCTGGAAGTGGGGTTTGGAAGAATACAAGGTGTAAAGCACCATGGTAGCGATTCGAGACCGGGAAGATCACCCGACACGACTTTGACGATGGACTCAAGCATGCATTTGAACGCGAAGCATATCAAAAGAAGCTAGAACTCTTTCTGGTCGGAAAGAGTAGAGGATGGTGGTGACTGGACAAGACAGAAGTCGAATCTACTGTCACAAATCATGAGTTGGTCCTCCAGGTAGCAGAGAGAGAAAAACATGTGCATTCTTCAAAAAGCCGTTACGAGTACCGATTCAGGAAAATTTCCGCTGTGTGGTGTTAGACTTGTGATAAAGCCCGAAGTGCGCTCGCAGCAGCAATTCAATGATAGTCTCCGCGGGAGCAATTGATGAACAAGGGTTGACAAGAAGCATTTTGACAAGAGTTGGTCAAGCCTGTCACGATGCGTTGTTCTCCGTAGAGTTTGAAGTAGGAAACCCTCCGTCAACTCGACATATCCGGATGTTGTTCGGCGGCAATGCTTGTACTACTGTTCCTTGCGTGGCAGTTCCCCTTCTCCTCTGTTGCATCTGCAGACCCTGACCGAATCCCTGCAAGGCCTCGCTGCCTCGTTTCTCCACACTCTGACGATCAATCCTGCGCCCTCCAATTCTCTGGACCGTTACTGCCATTCTGCTCGTGTGCCCTCTTACTGCTTTACTTCTTCCTGTCCTCTCCCCGAACTCTGTTCGCCTCGACGAGCGTCTTTTTCAAGTTTGTCTGCCTTTACTCCATGTCACAATAACATATGCCTCATTTCTGCCGATGGCGCCCTTCATTTATAACTTACTGATCTTCTCAACCCTCTTTTCCTCCGCCTTCACCAGTCCAACCCTCGAGTCGCACAACTCGCTACGGCGCGCAAAGCCATCCTACTCTTACAAAGAAAGGCAAGATGGCCCTTTCCGGAGATTCCGAGACAGTATAGTTGAGAAAATATGGTCTTTACCGAGTAAACCTGTACAACAATCCTTCACTCCTTCAAATCCAATTCGGCTGCCTGAAAATTTCAAAGCCCGTTATGGAAACGAGGTCGTCCTTCGATTTGATGTGCGGACCGAAGACGAAGCAAAGGCCTTGTCAAAGGCAGCCCAAGACTTATACTTGGACATTTGGGAGGCCACAGACGACTGGGTGGACATAAGAATAGCAAAAGACATTATACCACCATTCCTCGATCTGCTGCCTTCCACTGTACACGTTTCCTACAGACCTTTGATGCACGACTTGGCCCGGGCCATCTACGACACATATCCAGACAGGCCTTACAGTGAAGACCACTCGATCGAATCCAGGCTCACAACACCATACTCTCGAAGCACATGTGCAGGCCCGCCTCAGGACCTCTTCTTTCAAGACTACCAGCCTCTTTCCGTCCTTTATCCATGGCTACGGCTGATTGCTTCGCTATTTCCAGCACATGCGACTTTGATCAGCATAGGTCAATCCGCTGAAGGTCGAGACATTCCGGCCTTGAAATTAGGCAGACGATCAGACAATAACGGTGACCCCCATACCAAGAGACGCACCCTCCTAGTGGTTGGTGGCAGTCATGCGCGAGAATGGATAGCAATCTCAACAACTGCTTTCGTGGCATACAACTTGGTGACGCGCTACGGGCATCCTCAATACTCTACGGTGACAAAATTGTTGAACCACTTTGATGTTGTCTTCGTCCCTGTTCTAAACCCCGATGGCTATGAATATACATGGACCACGGATAGATTATGGCGCAAGAACCGACAATCAACCTCGCTTCCGTTCTGCCCCGGTATCGATCTGGACCGGTCATTCGGCTTTGGATGGGATGGTCATGGCGATTCGACCAACGCATGTAGCGACGACTATCCTGGACCAAGACCGCTGGCTGCAACCGAAGCCCAAATCCTGACGGATTGGGCCCGAAATGAGACGAGAGATAACGACGTCGAATTCGTGTCGTATCTGGACTTTCATTCCTATTCGCAGGAAATTCTCTATCCCTTCAGTTACACCTGCGACGTCAATCCACCGAACTTGGAAGACCTCGAGGAGGTAGCGATGGGCATTGCCAAGTCATTCAGGCTAACCAACGGCCGCTACTACGGCGTCGAGAGCGCCTGTTCAGGAAGCATCACCTTCCGAGACAAGGTCAAAAAGACGCGAGTACAGCTTGAATCCCAAGGTGGTTCGGCATTGGACTTCTTCTACCACGATCTGGACGTCAAACTTGCTTTCCAGGTCAAACTCCGCGATACAGGAACGTACGGTTTCCTGCTACCCAAATCAAACATTGTACCTACTGGTGAAGAGGCGTACGAGGCAGTCATGGGTCTAGGCCGATGGCTCCTGGGCAACCATGGGATTGAGGGCATTCATCAGTCCGAGTCTGTCTGGGGTGAAGAGACTACCGTCGAAAACGATGCCAGTGTTCAGGTCGACCAGGATGAGGAGGACGCCGACTTTTATGAACCTGATTACGACTTGCGACGGAGGAGGCGGCGTTAGAACAAGCCGGTATTGTTGGCGGCGATATTGACTTCCTCCATGATATACTCTACGACAGCACTGAATAATGAAATCTTCCTGAATGATGTATATTGGGTGAGGATGGGCATACATACTCATGTAGTAATGCGCTGGGCATGTATTTGCCGTACGAATAGCTGGATACCCTGAATTACCCATAAAAACTCATTTCAACTCGATGTTGTTCATTAATGTTATGCAATGCTATGCCTTGCCGCTGCTCTGCTGTCATATGTCTGCCGTTCCAGGCCCAGGCGCAGGACCAGATCCTGCCAGCCCCAGCACAATTCAACCTTGACTCCGTCCTCATGATTGAGATAAGGCCTTCCGCTGATTCAACGGGACGCTTGTCCCAGCACCAACTCTCACATCCCCAGCTGTATTGGACGCGTAGTACATCACATACAACATACTTAGTCCCAGTCAGCAAGAGTAAGAGTGAGTGTACCGTCACACCCTTCCTTTGTCTTGGCCACCGTCCGCAATCCACATCCTTCTCATCCTCATCATCCCTCCTATCACCGCAAGCCGGCCCACCATCAATCATAGTACTGCTTTACTGCACTCAGCAAGATCAATAACTCATCAAGCTAACATGTCCATCGCCCAGCGCGGCACAAGCCAAAAGCATCCGATGAGGATGATACGCCGTCGCCACAATCGGACTATGCGCACCGCGTCCCGCAAGACTGCCCCCCACAACCTGCGCAAGACGACTGGGCAACGGCTCAAACAAGCCCAGCGCATCGCCATTAGTATTGTAGCTGCGAACCTCATGTTTCTCCGTGCCCACAGCAAAAACAGGCGCATGTTCGTGGACGCTGAGACTGCGCAGTAACGGACCACCCGGCAAACCACTACCAGTACCACCAGCACCACCACCGTGACCGCCGTCCGCACCAGCACCGGCTCCAGCGGCATGGCCTTGACTGGGTGTCGTCGCACTCAGCGTCAAAACAGCCTTATCATTTCTCAAATCCCAGAGCTTGACTTCGCCATTCCTCGAGCCCGAAATCAACTCCCGCACCCCACCGCGCTGCATATGAATATTCGTGATCCACTGCCTATGCTCGCGCCAGATCTTGACCATAGCAGTCCTGGGGTTGAGACGTTGGTCAAACACCCTGACCACACCATCCCCGAAACCCGCGATGAAAATCTGCCCAGCGACCTGGTCGCTCGTCAGACTCGTCACGCAACTCGAGCTTCGGGCCGGTATATCGCCGACGCAAAGCTCCGTCGCGGCATTCCACACTTTAATCACTTTCACGTCACCCGCGACTAGAGCCTTGCCTTGACCCTGCTGCCAGTCGAACACCAGCCCGGCATTCTTGTTGCTAGGGACCATTTCCGTCAACGCTCTAAACGCCGTGATGATCTTGACTTCATTTGAACTCCCATAATTGCGGTAGACTTTCAACATGCCGTCAGAACTCCCCACCATAAGCAGCGGTTGGTCGTCTTCGTTCATGAATTTGGCGTCATTGATCCTGCTTCCGGCTGGGTTCCCGTTGCTGAAGCGGCTCAATTGCTCATTCTTCTGGAAATCCCAGATCGTCACCGTGTCCTTGTCGTCGGTCACGGCCAGATGGTCATCGAACTGATGGAAGACTAACCTCATGGGCTGGTTGTGGTTGTTGAGGAATCCCTCCAGACGAGTCCATCGCGAACTACCTGCCACACCCTTAAGTGGCTGGTTGTCTGCGATGATTTTCTCGTTGCGGTTTCGTCGCCACAATCGAGAATTGTAGTCTGCTGAGCCTGGTTCGTCAGGGTCATTAGGTCGCATTTGTGGTTCGCGGAAATATTCTGTCGACCATTCTAGCAGCGAACTTTGCAGGGGTATCCACTGTTTGAGCTTGGGGTCGAGAGGAGCAAACCCAGCCGAAGTGGGTAAGGTTGCTGATTGATAGGAACCACCAGAACCATGAGCATCGGATGTCTCTGGTGGTCGACTCCATTCTGGCGGAAGGCGGCCTCTTGGGGTATTGACCGGATGGATGGGCTCTTTTGGTTTGCTGGGGGATGCTTGAGGGCTGGTTTCTGCAGAGCCGTTGGCACTTTCTGTAGCGCCGAACGCAAGATTTCGCAGAGACGTGCCGGCGCGCTTCAGGCTGAGCGATAGATAGCTCTGATTCTTCCGCATTTGTGGTGGTGGAGTGCCTGGTCGGTGGTCCGTCTGTCTCAACGCGCTGAAAGATGGGATTTTCTTGAGTTGGGGTTCCTCCCGCTTCGAGAATCGGACAAGGTCATCGATCACATCCAATGCCATCTGACCCATTGGCGAATTGATCAAAAGCTCGTGTACAGCATCCACGACGATGGAAGCATTTCGCGAGATTTCTGGGTGAGGGTCGACTGACAATATCATAATCTGCAGCCAGATACATCCATATATCGTGTTTGCTGATATCGAGGAGAGTGGATTATGGGGATCGTATGCATTCGTCTCACCATCCTTGTACGGATGTCTGTCTCTTTCCTGCACAAGTTGCTCATACGCCACCACAATGAATTTGTTCTGGTAGCGATGAACAAACGCAGAGAGGAAAACAACCAACTCTTTTCGCACCAAAGTGCTTCCGTCAGAGGTCATAAACAGTACAGACGAGGCAATACCCTCCTCGATCTGTGATAATTGGTCCGTCAGATCCGGGATCCCCAGAAAATTGGTCAGGGCATGGAGCATGGAAGCCCGGACTTCTGGGACTGGATCAAGAGATAGTTCGCACAGCCTTGCATGAGCCATACAGCGAATACCCATCCATTTTGCATCAGCATAATCACACCACAGCATACTCAGACACAGACATGACCACTGTCGTAGCAATGGATTCTCTGGCTCTGCCATGTTAAGCAGACAGGCGTTGAAGAGTTCAGGTAGCAGACAGACGGTCTGACCAGGAGCATACTTCCTGCAAAAGGTGGCCACGATGAATGCACACATGGCTCGATGTTCGCTTGCGTTGCCAACAGGAATGTCGGAGCGAGGGTTCATGATGGAGATGAAATAATGAATACCGTTGTCCTTCAACAGATCAGTCTGAACAGTGTGGTCGACAGCCATAATTCGAGCCCAAATGAAGACCATAACAGGTTTGAGTTCGAGTGACGCCGCTTGCAGGAGCTTGACAACATAAGGAAAGATACCGATACTCAAAGCCAGATGAACCGCCCAAGGTCCCAAGTCTAGGAACTTGCTCAACAATATCAAAGCGCGTAGGCGGTGCACCTGACTAAGAAGCACTTGTAGTACAATCGGTAATTGATCTGGAGCACGATCTTTGGTCGGACCAGAGCTGAGGTAGACCTCAAAGGCTGTGAGTTGCTCGGAGAAGAAGGTCGAATGCTGATACTCGTACACACGCTTTCCTTCCTCTGCTTCACGCAACATAGGTAACTGTGCCAGGACCATTTCCATGGCAAGGTCCCAGCTCTGCCACAGTGGATGACGGTGCGTTTCAGGCAGGGTTGGTGATGATATAGGATGGCAATGATTCGCTCGCATGATCCGTTCACTGAGTAAGAAGTTGCGGAACAGCGCAGCCACCATGAGATCCTGGCGGAAAAGCTTCTTGAACAGTGTCCTAGGCAGAATGTTCCACGCGATAGTATCGGTGATGGCTGTGAAGATCCAATTCAATTCGCCTAGGGGACTTCTTCTGTCTTGAAGACGACCCGGCACCGGAATCTTCCCTTCCTCCAGTAGTGATCCGTTGGGAAGGGGATTCTGCAACACAAACCACCTCAGAGCAATGTCTATAGGAGTTGTGAGACAGCATGTGAATAAGTCTGCAGGAAGATCCGGATTTGTCGGTAGCATCTCAGTCTTATCACAGGCAGCCAGCTGTATGCAGTCACCGTAATTTTGTATTTGCGCGCTCGGATCCCGCTTCTTAAGCTCTTCATTCTCCTTCTCATGCTTAGCGAGGAAGGTGTCGAAATTGGCCACAATGTTGCCGGCGTGCGAGACATCGTAGACAAACAAACTCGGGCCGCCTAGCCAGGACTGAAGATCATAAATCCCAACCGGGATGTATTGCGTGTAGTTCTTGTTAAAGACCCAGATCTCACCCGAGGCGGTCGGAAGAGGCACACCATGGCCGTTGTAATGAAACAAGACTCGCTCGTCCTTCGCGTTACGCCGCAACGAGATACAGAATCTTTTCGTTTCGTCAATGGATGGGTCCAAGTACTGCTTATACCTAGTTCGCAAACTCAGCGACTCATACTGCTCTTGTAGCCGTTTGCCGATCTGCTCCATCGTTTTTGTCGAACCGCTGCTGCTGCCAGTCGGATCGACCCAGGCCTCGAGCTTCGCCGTTGGATTGGTCTTGATCACATCCGGAGGATCCACGCCAATGTTCAGGCAGATTGCTAGTGCGGCAGAAACGGTCTTCATCCTATCTTTCATGCGCCAATCCACGCTGGGAAACTTCTTGGACTCCTCTGACTGCGAGCCATTGCTTTCATGGCGCTTTTCTGTGTAATACATGTAGAAGGTTGAGTGTAACAGTGACAGGTACTCGTTTGATGTGTACTCATCGTCCCAGCCATGTCGGATGTGTGCGAGCTTGTCGTCTGAGGCCTCGGGAGTTACTCCCTCTTTCCGCCGCGGACCAAGGTCACTTCTAGTACGATGTAAAGGTTTTGCACTGAGGTAGTCTGCAGACTCGGGTATTAGTCTGGGTGTCGTGTGTCCATTGAGGTGACCCAGTCCGCCTCCATTTAGCTGCGACGATAGTTGGTAGGTGGCGTCTGTCATAGATCGAGTCTCATCCTCAGCCATGTCTCCCCTGACAGGTCGATTATGCTCTTGCGTTGTTGGCCTGCGATATGTCATGTCTAGTCCCAAGCCAACATGTGTCTGGCCGTTGTGCGCAGCCATCTTGGGAGATCCGGGCGTACGCCGGCCGATCAAACACGCATCTCAGACAACAATGGGACCTCGAGGGTAAGGTGTAAAGACGGAAGCTGATTGTTGGGTTCAGACATAACCCGCAGGTGTTGTTTTGTAGGGCATGCGCCGTAGTGACGACGGCGACGATGTGACTCTGTGCATTCAATTCTGTGCTCACAGACTGCCTCCACAGGATGCACGCGTGAGGAAGCGATACTATTGAAGAGTAATGTTGCTCACATACTGCAAAAGATTGCAAAATGGACTGATGTTGCGTTGGCCATGTCGATGTGCAGCCTGCGGTCTTCCGTCACAGCGTCCTTCTGCCACCGCCTGAGAATAAATTTTGGGTGAATGCGGGGATCAAGGTCAGCAGGCCAGCCCAGCCAAAGCCCGGAGATGTGCCAGCCTCGCCTATTGAGAAGCATTTATCCCCAGCCTGACATTTTTTCACGTGGGCCGTTGAGCAAATCACCATCTAAACAACACAGCCTTGCGCATCAAAGACTCGGCCATCCACCATCTTCATGGGTTTGCTTAACATTGCCCTTCCCACCAGGATCAGGAGAGCCTCAACAGTAATGTTATAGTAAACTACCTTACATTGAGCTGCTATCCAGTAGAACAGCTTCTCAAACTAATAAAACCCCGTATTTTCGTCACTGTCATTCCTTCACTTCAAGCATGGTTTCTTCTTCAGAACCGACTCCCAAAAATGCCAACATAAGAACTAATTTATTTGCACAAAAACATGACAAAGGCTCAAGGCTCGAGTATCGACAGCACAGGATCAAGCAACAGCCGTCCCTCTGGCGCTCTTTTCCTCTTCATCCAGCCTTCTCCTCCAGCTGGCCAGGTTATCGCTGAGCTCAGTATGCACCTCTGTGGTGGGAGTTCTTTCGGATTCAAACTGTGCGCTGCTCCGGTAGTTGTTTCGGCTGGTATTTTCCCACTGCGATCTCAAAGTCTCGAGCTCTGACGCGAGGTTGTCCAAGGCCACGGAGCCTCTTTCATCCCGTGACAAGTCATCGTGAACCGAGACATCCGTCAATGTCGAATTACTCTCCTCGCGGCTGTGACCGATCCCATTAGGCAGCGGCTGCAATTGTGACTGTCGTCGATAGTTGCCTACCGATTGACCAAGTTGGTCAAGCAACATGGTGACTCGGTTCTCTGCCTCGTGGGCCTGTTTCTCAAGCATCGAATTCTCAGCTTTGAGTTGTTCCAGCTCTTTACCATATCGTTGGGTAGATTGCGCGAGCTGATCGAAGCTTGCCTTTTGTCGATCACGTTCTCCTTGCATCGAAGCAAGACTGGAGTTGAGGGAGTCGATGTTCGATTGCAGCTGGCTGATCTGCTGGCTTGTTTGGCTCTTCATCTCTTGCATGGACGATTGCAATTGCGCTCGCTCTGTCTCCAATGCCGAAGTGTCCACGGCTCTCTCCGACGCGGCGCTTGCGCTCCGCGCAGATTCGAGTTCACTCGTCAATTGAGAATTTTGAGTCTTGTATTTGGTCAGTTCCTCTTTCATCTTCTTCAGCATCTTCTCTGTGCCCTTTACGTAGTGGACCGCAGACTGATAATCATTCTCGAGCTGCTCCAGTTTCTCCTTGTAAGTGCTGTCGGCTTCCTGCATGCGAGACTCGAATTGACTCTTCGTCTCCTCATGAGCCTTGATGCTAGTCTGCAATTGTTGATCAAGCTCTCTCAAACGTGTCTGTTCTGGCGTCCCAAAACGTGAGTTTGGCGACTGATCAAAGACAGGTGATCGTCTCATGTCAGAAGCACTGATGCCGCGAGCACCCAAAAGATCTTTGAGTGCACGGTGTTGAACAGCAAGCGCGCTGGCGTCTCGTTGATTGATCTCAAGATTCGATCGCAACTCACGAACTTCGGCCTGGTGTGCTTGGGCATCTCGCATCGCCGCCTGCAATTGCCGACGAATCTGGAGGGCTTCTCTGTTAGACTGCTCCTGGTATGCCTCGAGTCCTGCGATCCTCTCCTCAGCAGTACGTAGCTTCTGCGCTGCCTTGTCGGCCGCATCTTGATTCCGTCTAGCCAATGCTGAAGCTTGATCCGCTGTAGCTCTCAGGGCTTCCATCTTCTGGTCAGAAAGCGATTCCTGCCTCGAATTTACGTCCCGAGAAGATACCTTGGCAAGGCCAGCAAGCAAAGCCTCGCGGTGGGTTGCCGCTTCTTTGGCATGAGTATCGGCGAGCTCTTCGGTGTCGCGGAGGCGTTTCGATGTGTTTTCGAGTTCGGTAGTTCTTTCTTCATGCTCGGCTCTGAGTTGTGAAAGTTTGCGCTCTGCAGTCTCTCTTTGACGACGTTCATCTTCGATTTGCCGCTCATACATGCTCGTCTTGTCGCTTGATGCAGCTACAGCCGCCTCCAGAGCCGCCATCGAAGCGAGATGACTCTCGAGACGTAAGGAGGTATCTTCATGCGTGCTCTTGAGGCCGTCATGCTCGACACGAAGGTTACGCAGTTCCTCTTCGAGTTCGAGTCTCCTTCCTGCCTCCGCCCGTGCCGAACTCTGAGCTTCATGCAGCTCCGCTCGTAGAGCATCAAGCTCTCCAGGATTCCTGCTCTTGCTTGACTCCTCGTACCGAGCCTGTGAAGCTTCCAGCTGTTGCTCGGCAAGCTCGCGGGCTTGTCTCTCGGAGTTGAGGTCATTGATAAGACTTTCCAATCTGGCTTTGTGCTCAGATTGTGCTCCCAAAGCCAACGCCAATCGCCGGGTGAGGTCTGTGAAGCGTTCCTGCTCATCAGGCTCGTGCGCAGAGTCGGGTTGAGGCGTGCTCCGCTGGCTTCCACCATGAGCTGCGAGTTTGGCCCTGGCATATGCAGCTTCGGTGACGGCTGCATCGCGTTGGTGCTCAACCTCGGCAACGCGCTTCGCCATTGACGAGGATTGTGCTTCGATAGCTTCCTGCATCCTAATCATCTCTGTTCGCATCATCATGAATGCTTCCATCAACGGCCGATCATCGTCTGGAACTTGATTGACGGCACGATCATCGAAAGTTGGACTTGATGATCCTGCAGCTTGATAACCTTGCTTCCGAGCCAATGCTAGTTCCGAGGCGTACCAGGCGTTTGACTTCTTCACAGCTTCTAGTTCCTTGACCAGAGCCTCCTGGTGAGCGTTGAGCTTAGGCGACTTTGGTTCGTCGAGAATGCTCCTCCTGGCTTCAGCTGCAGCCTCACCATGGTGGCGAGCAGATGAAGATCGGCCAAGAACACCATCTTCCGTGCTGTCAATGGAGCCTTGGGTTCGCTGAGAGCGTAGGGACCGTTGTCTGGCAACCCCACTGCTCACCAAGGGAGCAGCTTCACCAGCTTCCATGGCCTTTGCTCTGCTCTCCGTCCGCTGAACAGGTGTCCGTCGACCATGAGTACTCGGACTTCCCTCTCGGCTAGGTCTGATGTTCTCTTTCTGCACCTCTCTAATGGATGGAGCCTGGACCATCGTCTCTGTGGGAATATTTCGAACGGAATCGGGCCCTGTCGGCGGACCCCTGGTGTCTATCGGAGGAGGCCCATTAAGCCTACCCTTTGGACCATTGGCCGGCGACTGCACCCCATTGACTCGAGGCGCCGAAGCTTGGTTTTGTGGCGGTGGACCTGCGGGTGCCTGATTCATAGACGCACGGGGTTGGGGTAGGCGCGAAGCTTGTGAGGGACTTGGAGCTACTTCTGCTCGCTGAACGGGCCCACCATAGAACTGCTCGCGGGAGGTGCTCCTTTGTCCCTCTCTCGACGTGGATCGATTTGGTGGCAGAATACTCTTGACGTCCGTACTCGGTCTTCTGGTAGGGCTGTTAGGGCCCTTCATGTCTGAGGCAGGCGCATCGTTCGGGTATCGAATTTTGGCGGTGTCGAGAACATAGACCATGCTCAGTTCAGCTGGATCGCGCGGAGCCGAACTGGGCTCACCACCAAGAACAATGATCTTGTCTCGATATGAGGTCATGCTATGACCAGATCTCGGTGACGGAGAAGGACCCATATTCTGGAAAGTGTACCACCTCTTCGAAGTGATACGGAACGCAGCAAGATCACCCAAGTCGGTTCCTTCTTCGGTTCTGCCGCCAAAAATGTACATCACGTCGTTTACCAAGGCCGCGGAATGGCCTTCTCGCGGTGCTGGGATATATCCTATACAGTCTTGCTGGGTCCATGAGTTAGTTGCCGGATTGTACGTCCAGACGTCGTTGAACCAGTGCGTTCCATTCGTGCCTCCGAAACTGTGCAGGAATTAGCATCGCCAGCCTAGAACCCCGCAGACTTCGCTTACAGGTAAAGCTGGTCGTTGTAGCTGATGACCGTATGATTCGTTCTCGGAGGTGGTACCTTGGGTTTCGGGTGGGGAGCATCTTCTGTGTTTTGAATCAAGAATTCCCATTGATTTGTGGGATTCTGCAACGCATTGAGGTCGAAAGCTACCAGGTCGTTGAAGAAGTATCCCTCAACCTGGCCACCGAAAATGTAGATTTTGGAGCCTAGAATATTAAGCGTATGCCCGTAGCGTCCGGCAGGTCTGGGGCCCGGTGGCGATGCCCTTGACCATTGTCGAGAAGCTAAACACGTCAGCAACACGATCGGAAGGAGTCTGCGGCCATAAACTCACAAGTATTAAGCAAGTACAGAGTGTCATCAAGCACGTCAGAATCGTCCATCTTGGTATCACCGCCGAAAACAATAAAAGCATTGCCCACAAGTAAACTGGCGTGCCCGACACGCGGACCGGGCCCTTCAGAGACAGTCGCAATGGGAAAACACGAGAGACTACCGCCACCAGTTTCAAGCATCCATAGGTCGCCGCGAACCATGGAGCCATTGATCAGACCTCCCATCACGTAGATGTCGCCGTCCTTCGACGCGATCGCATTGACTGCTGCGCCATATCGAGGGAACGGATTGGCCTGTGGAGTTGGGAAGTTCAATTTTCGTTGCGACCAAGGATACAAAGCGGCGTTTGGCACTTGGGTCATTGGACCAGATTGAGTCGCGGGTCGTGGCTGTGAGGACTGCCGTTAGCTACAAAAACACGCTCCGCGGAAAGGGAATGTCCATACCCCAGATTCTGATTCTGATCTCTCGCGCGACCGAGGATATGGGACGCCATTAGGCAGATTCGATCCCATGGAGCTGATGGAGTCGTTTGCACCAATGTTGGTTGGAGGAGACATCGGTCTCTCGATGGCGGCTCTGTCTGCATTTCCACCCTGTGTCTGCTGCGACACTGGAGTGCCATCGGATGTGTGGATATTTCGACTCGCAGGCGGCAGGCTCGACGAAGCTTTCTCGCTCTTTTTCGATTTGAACAGGAACGCCATTGTGATTTGTGTCGTTCCCTATGCCGCCGGAGAGTTTGTAATCGTACTACGAGATATTGACAGGACCATCCATGCGACAAATTGAACCGGCGCGAGATGAAAAATTGTTCGAACGCGAAGCAGATTCACAGTAGGCTGACCCGGTTCGGCGGCGCTGGCTGTTGGCAGAACATGAGCTTCGTTCAAGCACAATGGCCTTGGTCTTCGAGTTGGACACGAGAATGAGCGAGAGACAGTATCGTGGGACTGCCGAAAGCTCTCGCAGCTGGAAATTCGGGTGGTTGTAAAGATGGCCGATGCGCAGGCGATCTGATTTCCCGACGCGACTGGATGGATGAGCGCGGTGAGGCCGGAGGAAAGAAGGAGTGTCTGTGCGCAGGTGACGCTGGGAGGTCGGGGTCGTCGAAGGTTTCGCGTGGTCAGAAGTTAGGACAACGATTGAGGACGGTCAATGCGATTACCGACCACCTGACAACAACAGAAAGATGGACGATGATATCTGGGATAGGAGAAAATGTTGGCTACACTTTGTAAAGATTACACGGTGACTTAGTGAGTAGTGTAGTAGTGTATTAGGTATGGCTGCGCAGCCTCAGTCGGACAGTGGTCGGAAATACAGTAGAATATGGAGACTCAAGTTCCTGGAAGTTGGCCTGTTTCAGCGACTTGTTTTGGGTTTAGCCACCAACGAGCCGAGCAGGGAGCGCTCAAAGCTGATTTCCATCCTTTCCGGTTAAGACGGCCCTCCAATGATCAAGCCTCTTACCCTCTCTCCAGCCATTGTCCGCCTATGAGAAGACGCATCGGGGTGATCAGGCTGCCCCCTACTCGACAGGTTCGTTCCCCTGAGTTAAACTTTGGGGGATTCTCGAAAAGGACCCTATTATTCAGGTTTTCTAACCACCTTGACAAGTAAACCTCCGCCCAGCTGTCAAGATCCCGCCATATGTAGATTTGACTGCTAATGCGCAATTCGATCCCGTCCGCTGCCATCATCTGATCGGTCTCTTCCCATTACCTATTTTGGTCTGACTTCTTTGTGCTGAACCTAGATGATGCCCGGCGCCGGCAACTAGATCCTGCAGTGATCCTGATCCTGCATGATCCTGGCGGCCGCACAGATGTTTGCACGTGATTCCACCTTATCGTTCACACAGCCCTTATCAAGTCTACCATTGGACACTTCGTAACCTCGACTTGACGAACCACAGGCCGTCACCCAAGTATGAACATCATCCAGTAGTTGTCACAGTCAAGTATCAAGAGAAACTCTTCCGTCAGCTCGACAAGCACGGACTAGATTGTGGTCTACAGCGTATACGACACATATAATTAGAACTCTTGAAACCAAGCCGCGCTGCACACCACGAATTGGCCTTGTGCTAAGGACAACCATGTCTTCTGACGAGCATCGAAGAGAAGAGCCGGACCTCAAACCATGGATCGCCGGGATGCCCAAAGCTGAGCTTCACGTCCATCTGGAAGGCTGCCTTACGCCACAACTAGTCCGCCAACTTGCAGAGCGCAACAACATCTCTGTCCCCTCATCACTATCCTCTCTAGACCAGTCTTCAGGCTACTCATTCCACGACCTGACCACCTTTCTGGCCGTCTACTACCCAAACATGGCGGTGCTGCAGACGGAACATGATTTTCGCGATCTAGCTCTGGATTACCTCACCCGCGCCCATGCACAGAACGTCAAGCATGTTGAACTCTTTTTCGACCCGCAAGCACACACCTCGCGTGGTGTTCCCTTTCCGACCGTCATCCGAGGGTATCGGGTCGCCTTGTTGTTGGCGCAGCGCACACTCGGTATATCTGCGAGCCTGATCATGTGTATCCTGCGAGATCAGTCTCCCGAATACGCCATGGCCACGCTGATGGAAGCTTTGCCATTCAAAGACGCCATCATCGGTATTGGGCTGGATTCGGATGAGCGAAACAATCCGCCCTCCAAATTCGCTGCGGTCTTCCAGCGAGCGAGTAAAGAAGGCTTCCTCCTCACGGCTCACTGTGACATAGACCAGGTCAACAGTATTGACCATATCAGACAGGTCATACACGAGATCCAAGTTGATCGCATTGACCACGGGACAAATATCGTTGAGGACGATTCTTTGGTTGATATTGTCCGGGAGAAAGGCATCGGCCTAACATGCTGTCCTATCTCAAATTCGGTAGTCACGGACGACTTTAAGGGCAAAGAAATTGTGGATCTACTTCGTCGTGGAGTCAAGGTCACCATCAATTCGGACGACCCGGCATACTTTAGAGGATATGCAAATGAGAATATGGAGAAGATGGCGACCGACACCGATGTGACCAGAAAGGAGCTTGTTCAGCTCCAAAGGAACGCGTTCAACATTTCTTGGATCTCGTCCTGGCGAAGAAATCACTTTCTTTCGCTCTTGGATGAGTATGAGAACAGAACCATACCAAGAATGGTGAATGGCGTGTAAAACATTGTATGACTGCAACACGACTAATGGGTATCATGTGGCGAAACGTAAAATCAATACAATCGGCCGGATTCATTTCTCCATGGCCTTCGCTTCGAGTGCCACTTCATCGAAGAATGTCGCTCGCAGCTGTACTATCGCTGCCACCTCGAGGATGAATTCCTGCAAGATCACAGCGTTTGTCAAGACATGGCTCAGGCTTGCATAAGCCCGCGACCCAGTGTCATTACGACTAGATGGAGTGCTGGATCCAGAATTTCTACCGTCCGCCAATCCAGTGGGAACAGCTGACATTTCTAAACTGGAGTCTTGCTTGCGTCCGGCATGGACTGGTAAGGATTCCGATGCTTCTTTGGGTGTCTTCGCATTTGACACGTTGACCTGGGTTTTGAGGATTGAATTTATATCAGGAGCTTGGGGGAAAACGGGACCAGCATCTTCATCGGCCTGCAATGACTGACGCAGCGGAGGTTGACCGACGGTGCGTTCCGCCAGGTTTGCACGATTTCCTTCCGATTTTGCGATGGCATTATCGATGGAGCCGAACTCGGTGGTCGTGACCTTTCTGCCTCTGGGAGTCGTTGGCCGAGATTGTGGTATTGAGACTGCACTGGACGGTGATTGACCCATCAATCCCGTTGCGAGGTTATTGGGCTGTTTCAAGGAAAAGGCTGGCGCATCTTCTTCTGAGAGTTCGAGTCTTCTTCCAGATACCAGCACATCCCATCCAGGGAACTGTGACCTCCAGCCGCGGACTTGTTCGGTGAGCTCACTGATGACGAACGTGATGTTGTACGTCGAATTATCCTCGGCTTGACCAGCCCTGGGTGGCAGGAGCCATCCTTGTAGATCCATATGCTCACATGCCGTCAAGGAGACCAAGGCTTCAGTAAGGTAGAGATTTGTGACCGAATCGTTGGCAAAGAAATTCTGCAGCAACATAGCCACAGCTTCGAATAACTTGCACCCACGGGTAATTGTCACGACTCGTCCATCGAGTAGCTGGTCGTCCGTGTGACCACAGATGAGACAACTATGCTGCTCTAGCAAAACTTGTCCATCCGATAATGCAGCTTGGTAAGAGCCGTCTAAATCAGCGTCCTTGGCTACAGCTTCCGAATAGTCGAACAACTTGCAGAGATAGCCATTGAGTTCATCGACTCCCGTTAGCCTTTGTGTGGTATTGACCGGCTCAACTTTGAAAAGATTGGTAACGACATGAAAATGATGCCTTTCCACGATAACTGATAAGAGCTTGAGACATGCATTGACAGTTTCTGAATGGCTTGATTTCAAGCTCAAAACCAGAAGATCTGGGAGATTGAAAAGATTGGGAGATGGACTGTCTGTCATGTCTGCGAGGGTTTTCAACTGGTCAATCGATTTGCTTCGGCTGATAGACATGCGCTGTCGTCGGTGATTCTTTTCCTTTGAGATCTTGGATGCGCTGGGTGAGCCCAACAGGTAGCGTAGTATTCGGTCCACAAGTTGAGGGTGATCAATAGCACGTAGCATTCGCGAGAGGTGGGTAATGACTGCGGCTGTCGAACCACCTTCGACATCTGAGGATTCAAGCAGTGACGGATATAGGAGCTGCTGCACGAATAATACCTGGAAGTGATCCAACAAAGTATCGCTCACTTCGAGGGATTTGCAGTGGTTCAGCGTGTCCTGCCAAAATGCCAAATAGGAGAAGAAAGCCTTCACATCCTGGTGCCCAGATCTGGATGACTCTGCAAGCGAATCGAAGCTCTGAACAGAATCTGACAAAGCGACGATTGGGAGTATTGACGAGTCTCGCGTCAATGCCGTCGACTGTCTGCCCAACCTGCTGTATAGAGCACCTAGGCCGCTAGCCATCTGCGGTGCCAAGTCGCTCTCAATCATCCATGTTTCCAAGGGCTTGAACTTGGAGGCTGTCTCCGTCAAATAGAGCAATGCCGTCCGGGCAAAGTCACCGACCGAGCCATCATGGTGTACGTACTGGACCAGAACGAAGAACAACGGGAACTGACTCCTCCTAGTCTCGTCTGTGCCTTGTCGGCCTCGCGCGGTCTCTCGAACCGGATGAAACCATGCGGGAAGTATATCTGGATCCAGTCTGATCTTTGTAGCAATCTCGAACAACAACTCAACAAGATCGGTCTCCAGGCGCTCTTCAACAATCACCTGTCCTCCTATTGTAGCGTAGCAAACGAGATCCAACAAGGATCTCGTGAACAATTTGCTGTCCAGCAATCCCTCGGCCTCGCCATTGATGAGGATATGGAAGAGCTGAGCCGAGACGGCGATGATATCGGTGTTTCGAGAAGACACTGCTAGCTTCGTGATGATGATATAGGTTTGGCTGGAAACAACATAGCGTAAACACGAGTGCGGTGCTGCTCTTCGGGATTCATCGTTAAGAATGTTCTCGAGTCGTTGAAGGAGTCTGGTGGTGTAACTCAGGGCGGCGTCCTCTTCGCGTTCGACAGCACCCCCACGCCATATCTGCTGCATTCATGGTCAGCTCGAGATTGATGCAAGAATTCAGATCCTGTACCGTCAGAGTATTGCAGATGCTTTTGCAGGTAGAGAGGCGTTCAGCGGGTGTATTTGTTCTTTGTTTGGTTGGTGACGTGCCGGAGCCTGCGATCAGGCGCGTGAGCTGCAAGTCAAAAGGTCAATTTAGATCCGCTCAACCTCGTACAGCATGGCTTAGGTCGCCGGATTCAGGAGACTCACAATGTCCATATCTTGTGACTCATCCTGCTGCCGGGACAGGGAAGATACCGTCAAAGTACAAATGTTGCGACATGGATGGATTTAATGAATCTGACCCCTGGTATCATGTGTCAAACGCGAATGCCTGGGCTGGCGACTCCAAGACTGGTCACTGGAACATCGCCGCTTCCCATCATGGGAGCATACCAGCTGCCTTATGAGGAGTCACAAACACGATGCCTACTTTTCATGATATTTAAGTGGCACTGATACATTACGTTCTATGCACTTTTGGGGTTTTGAACTTGGGCATCTGGATGAGTGTTCATTACTTTGCCTAACCAGCCTTGCTCCCCGGAGCCTTGCGCGTTACATGCGGCCAATGAGCTACGCCGGTGTGGTTCGAAGGACTACTCAAGACAACGATGATACAGAGACCACGACACCCGCAGATGATCGCGAGAGGAGTGAATCTGATTGCAATAGCAAACGTGCAGCCAATCCACACTCTTGGGATGAAGACAGTCGGGGCAAGACAAGAACAGATTCTGAGCACGGTCACTCCCTCATAGCTATTCTTCCCATGACCAAACACAGGGGATCGTCGGTATCGAATTGGTTCAACGGACTGTTTACAACAATCATTGGTGTCGCGACTCTCGGAACAAGCATAACCTTCTCCTACGTTCTGTCCAACGGTACTGCGACCCCTCCCTCCACAACAGCAACATTCAATCAACAGCAGGTTCAGGATTTCCTGGCAATCAGTTGGCTGCTCTTTCTGCTGACTTTGGCTTTCGCATCTCTTGGATCAACCCTCTTGACATTTTTCAAGAAACACTGGATTGCCGACTGGGATGGCGTGAAAGGCGAAACCTCGCAATGGACTGTCCAGATGTATGCGGTCTGTGTAAGCGGTCTCTTGGGCGCCTTGACAATCGGAGCCTTCATGCTATTGTGCTTAGTGGTCGTGGCGTATTCGCCGGTCGTTGGTTGGGTGTCGCTCTTCTTTGCGATCTTCTTCGGTGTTGTGATTCTTGTGGCGGTTGTCCACCAGGCACCGTGGCCTTGGAGAGATAACACACCCTCACTGCCAGCATGACATCACAGTCTGTGAGGGTTTCGTTGGCATGAATCATGGTACGATTGGTGACCAGGAAGCTCGAGATCATGTAATGCGTCAAGTAAATGACTCGATGCGTGGTTTGGATTTCAGCAAGATTTGCCAGAATCTGACAAGTGTTTTGCTGTACAGTTGCGATTGATGAGACTCGGAATCTCACCCAGCACAGCGTTTCGTCGTAACGTGTTCCATAACAATGGTAGTAAGTGTGCCTTTGTCAACAAGCAAGTTGGCGTTTCATTCAGTATCGTCGTCACTTTCGGCTTTCCTCTTCCTGCCACCTTTGCCCTTTTTCTTAGGTGCAATATCCTCATCACTCTCTTCACTCTTGGCCTCAGACTTGGCCCTACCTTTCTTGGACCCTTCATCAGGAACACTTTCACAGATCTCGGTCAAGAAATCAAATTGACCATCCTTCATTAAGGCGGCTTTGAGGTGTTGGGCTGTGACCCGCTTAGAACTGTTGGCTCTTGCCTCTGAGGCCCCTTTCATCACAAGCGTAATCATAAACAGCTCGAGCGCTTTAGCTGAGAAACAGTTAGCATAAATCCGGGAACAAAAGAGGAGGAGTCACTCACAAACAGCTGTAGGTGTTGCTTGGGCGACTTTGCCGACATCTTCATCCGCTTGCATGATGCGTTTTATGCGTGCAACAGGAAATTTGGTCCTTACATCGATACCATGCGAAGGGTCCGCCGTGGCTATAGGCATAACGGGTTGAGTGGTGTTGACGGGCTCGGTCTTGAGTTGCATGCCGGCTGCCAGACCATTTGGATTGTAGTCCTGGTCAAAGTCCTCGGCCTTTCTTTGACGAGTTCGAGGCATGTCGACGTACTGTGGAGTGGGGCCTTGAGGATAGTAAGAAGGCTCTTGATAGTGTTGCTGATAAGGCTGCTGGCCAAAGAATGATGGGTCGGCTGATGGTTGATTTTGCGACTGATCGTAGTACAAGGGTTGAGAATTATCGTACGGTTGTGGCAGGGTTTGAGAATGAATTACTGGAGAAGGCTGATTTGCTGTGCTCGGAGTCCGAAAAGTTTGGGGTGAATAAGAGCCCGAGAAAGATGACTGAGGTCGAGCGCCAAAATAGGAGGTCGATGGTGTGGTAGTTTGTGGGGAGAAGAAAGGTGAAGCGTCGTAGGAGCCTCGTGCAGAGACGGGATAGCCTGGAGGAAGGGCTGGGTCTGGATGGTATGATGGAATTCGAGCGAGTCTGGGCGGTGGGTTGATGCCTGACAGATCGGGAGACTTGGGCCGGTAATTTTTGTTGTGTTCGTCACTCATTGCTTGGTGACGGTGCGCATGAACAAAGAGATGCGCGCTGTAATGCTGATGGTTGTGTAGGTTTGGATTGTACTGGCTGAGGACATTTTGAGCAACAATAACACCGATTATAGCAGCCTTATTGCGGACGGCAATGTGAGAATGGCCTTCATATTGGTGACATTGGCGGCAGGCGCGTTGAATGCTGACACTATTTGATCCCAAGGTACCGGAAAAATTGATAGAGCGTGTTCCGACACTGACGCGACAAAGTGGTACGGACGGAGACTCGTAGAAGCGAGAGGTGAGGGGCTTGATCGATACTTCGTGGGATGCGAGGGGAAATTGTGCCTTTTTAAAAATCTCACATTGTCGGATCATCCGCGCTAAAATAGCAGCCACAACTCGGACTCGAATGCCTAACCCGATTACGTCTAGTCTGCAAACACCCAATAAAATAATTCCACCACCAAACCACACTCTACGTAAACTCTTCAATCTTCGACACTTGTTATTATACTACTTATCTCGCAGCCACATGTCACCTATAGTCTGGCACTGTCGACTGGCCTGCAATGATTGATGCATACATCGCCGACTTCACATACATGCCCTTAGAAGACACCTCTCGTCTATAACACCCCACACGACATGAAAGTGCGCTGGTCTGCAATTTCCAGGACACATCCCTCGATCCACGTCGCATGAGTACGAGGATCGCTTCATTTTGCCGTATGAATAGCCAAGTGATGACAGAGCAATGTCGGAGATGTCTTTGAGAAAGAATTCTTGCGACGCGACAACCCGAGTGCTTACTAGTACTCGTGGTCGTCGTTGAGCAATCTACAAAGCCATTCATGAAGGCCCTTTTAAACTTGATCTAATCTGATGGCTACATCCTCATACCGGCACCGATCCTCTATGTCGTCTTTCCTATACTGGAAGCCAAACTCGACGACATGATAAAGTCGGTCATGATGTCCAATCCCTGCAGTCGTTCTTCCCGAGTTTCGCCCAGGAACAGGCTCACTACTGGCCACGCATGAATCCCTGCTTCTAGCTCTGAAGCTTTGACCACGGCGCCGTCCTTCTTCATGTGGTGGACCATTTCTGAGATGCCAGGTTGAAACACCTCTTCTGCTCCGTACACGACACGGTAACCGTTCAGTGGCGATGCCTGTTTCCACCGATCCGTATTCAAGCCGGGTGAGATTACTCCATCCGTCCGTGTGGCGTTTCCTGCATATTGTTTTGCATAGAGATGAAGGCTGTCTCTGTCTAGATAGTCACTGGGTGTGTTCTGGTTCAGCTCCGAGACAAGGTGCGTCCAAGGAGACAACAGGATTGCCAAGCCCGGTCGATGCAAAGACCGAAATTGAGGATTCTTCTCGAGCTCTCCAGGTTGCAGTAACATGCTCAAGATTAGTGTGGCCCCAGCAGAATCGCCGCTCACGCATATCTTTGCCGCTGAACCATCTCCGAATGCCTCTCGCAAGAACTTATATCCAGCCCGTGTCTCGTTGAATTGCGTTGGCCACTGAGCATCAGGTACCAGAGTGTACTCGAGTGCAAAAACGGCTGGGTTACTGAAGCCGCTTTCTTTCAGCCGAGTCAACCAGGCCATCAAGAACTCCATATAAAAATATGCCGAGCCCATCGAGAACCCACCGCCTGGACAGCATGTCAACAGAGCTAGAGCAGCCTCCAGGCTGTGTGCTTACCATGGGCATAATAAATAATGATGTCTGGCTCAGAGTCTGGATCCCCGATGATCCAAAGGCCTCTCGCGCCATGCCTGATGATATCCTTGTAGAAAATGGGAGAACGGATGTGACCATGTCGCAGCAGGCGGAAGCGAAAGAACGGAAGGGCCACCCCTTTGGAGAAGAAGACTCGTCCTACACTGGCAGGAATTTTGGCAAAGGCGTACCTCACACAACGTATGACCACGTCCTGGAACAGACTGGCATGCTGAGTGAAAGGCGACTGGTCTTCCTGCTTTGCAAAGTAACGCTCCTGAACCAGTTGATATGGTAGACGGATGACTGCCAACAGTGAGTTTTTGTGGGTGCAAAGATTAGCCTGTCAGCATACCTAGGAAAGGGACTACTTTGAGCAGCACAGAAATCAACGAAAGCCAGTCCACCTGAAATATCAATTGTGGGATCAGAAATATAACAAATGCAACGCAGTCGATTCCATTTATCGGACCCAAGATCATGGTATGTCAATTTGTACACTTTTGACGAAGTATATTCAGGTCACCAGCTGGATGTCTTCAACCCCAGCAATAGAGGCGTGTTAAAGGGAAAGGAAAACAGAATAGAGGCAGCCTGAAACAAATGAAACGCAAAAGGACAAAAGAGCGCAAGGTCTATGAATCTATTGAGGTCTTCCTGACATGATCCAATCGTGGTTGGTGATCTCACCACTCGGTTGAAGATCTGTGATATTCGACTAAGCCGCATACGAAATAGTAGAAGCAAGGCTCGGATTATCTCTCCTTCCGGCGCCATCGGGGACGGTGGATGCCTGCAAGGCTCAAAGATAGAGCCTAATGGCCTAGCCGTTGGAGATCTCGGCTGGCCTGGCTTTTTCAATACTGTGGTATGTCCAGGTGCAAACTGCGCTTCACGACTGCCCTGCGACAGGAAACATATTGTTTGACATGCAAACAACGATATTGACCATATGATCCGTCACCCTCAGACTCTATCATGGTGACTGAGTGAGACATCCACACTGTGATCCAGATGTCGAGCAATGGCGTTTGATCTCGTGCGCGCTTTTTCAACCTCTTCCACTTTTTCGACTTGCTCGCCTGTCCTTCACAGCGCGATCCTACCTTGGTGTTTCTGCCACCCAGAATGGCTTCAGTGACGCTAGATGCGTCTCTGCTCGAGATTGCCAAGTAAGCCATAACACGATACGTGATTCGCTGGTTGGCTAACAATCGCAGGTCGTTGGACGTGGAAAAGGCTCCGGACAAACTTCGTTGCGGCGCATGTCACAAACTCAACGTGAATGCCTACAAGACTACGTGTTGCGACACATATATCTGCGAATCATGTAAGTAACACTCTCTCACTTCCTGACCTACGCTCATATACCACAGGCTTCAACGAGTCATGCGATCAAAGTTGTCCGAAGTGCGATCACAAACCATTCACAGCCGAAACTTGCAAGCCAAACAAGTCCATTCGTCTTACCATCAAGTCATATTTGAAGGCGGCGGAAAAGGCCACAGCGGAGGCACCTGAGCGGGCAAAACCCACCGCGGACGAGACACCTCAGGCGGAGATCTCGGGTCAAAGTGCCAATGACGAGATTCGGGAAGAGGAGCCTGCGACGGAAGTCGACGCTGAACAGGCGGTGGGTGTGGCAGAAAATGGTGACACCAGTGCCCTTGATGTGCAGCCTTCGGTCGAGGTGAATTTCAATCCAGTTTCAAATCAGCCTTAATCTTTTCTAACCATGAGAATGCAGGATCTTGATGCTGACGCCTGCGATAACTTTGACGACGAAGTGGACATTCAAGTCGACCTAGATGACGATCACCAAGAGATCCCTTTACAGCGCCTCCGAAGCGTTGAAGCCACTCCAAACGAACAATCTCTCGCTCCAACAGGACCTAAATCGGATATGCCTGACATGTCGAATGGCACTCCAGACGGTATGGGCAGCATGGATTTCCAAAACATGATGAATGGTTTTGGCAACATGGACTACAATCAAATGATGCAAATGATGGCCGCCAACGGCATGGGCGGTCTGAATCCAATGATGGGTAAGCTGACGCAGATATCGAACGCATTTACAATGCATACTAACACTTGTCAGGAATGCCTATGGGGATGAATCCAATGTCAGCCGGCATGTTTGGTGGGTTTGGACCAAATGGAGGCATGAATGGTGCGCAAGGCATGAATATGGGAATGAACTTCAATCCCAATCAAGGGATGTTTCCTGGATGGAATAACCAAAACAACAATATGTGGCAGAATAATAATGCAAATGCATACTCGAATGGCATGGGTGGTGACTTCGGTTCCAACTATGGTTTCAATATGGCAAACTCTGGCAACTTCCAGCAGTCATATCCCAATGGTGATTTCCAGAGTGGTTACAATGGTCGCGGTTATGGTCGTGGCCGTGGCCGCGGTCGTGGAGGTTTTAGAGGTCGTGGTAACTTCAACCAATATTCTCAGTACCAACAACAAGGATATTACAACAACGGACCTGGCCAGCAGAACTATCAAAACCAAAATGGGGACAGGCCCAATGGTGCATTCGATGAGCAAAAGACTGACGGCGACAATAAGATTGAAGATTCGACGCATGAAGATGACGAATTCGCACCTGGTGGTCAAGAAGAGGTTCAAGAGGCACTTGGAGATGACTATCAAAAGTCCTCAGTAGAGGACAAGAAGGTTCCTGATGATGCCGTCACGGAAAAGGAAGAGCGCAATGAGCTAGAACAAAATGGCGAGTCTCGCGATGAAGCTCGAGACGATGAGCCTGCTCCACTAGACGACGGGGTCCCCGTGAAGACAGCTGAGTTTGATGAGAACACTCCTGTTGCTGATGGACACAAATCAGTCCCAGAGGCATACAGTGAGGATCTCCATACACCCATGCCACCACCATCCGCACCATTAGGCCCATCAGCTCAATATGGCGGTCGAGGTCATGGTAGATTCTCATCCCGTGGACGTGGTTCGATGTCGCAGCCAAATGGTCATTTTGCTCCATCAGTGAAGCCGTTCACACCGCCTACTGAGCCAAAAGGGGCCGGTGTTGTAGGTGCGCCTACGGGTCCTAGAGCGATGCGTGAACCTCCCGCAGCACCTGCTGCACGGCCAGCATCTCGAGCTGCCAGCACGGGTTTCCAGATCATTGGTAGGGCTTCCATGGCTCGATCCCAGCGGTCAGAGTCACGCGATGTTGGTAGCGCCCACAGTAAGTCTCCTGCGCGAGATCATCATGAAGACAGGTTCGAAGATCAATCTAGAAGAGGGTCAAGGCAAGAGGTAAATGGCACGTCCCGGCATGATAACGCGGAGCAAGATGACTACGAACACCGCGACAAAGACAGGCGATCCAAGAAACCGAAGCGAGACACATACGACGACTATGAAAGGGACCAGCGGGAAGGGTCGTATGAACGGTCCGACTCGGCGGACAGAAAATCGTCAAGACGAAGTCGTGGAGACAAAGAGAAGACATCCTCATCCAGGCATCGATCTTCTCGCTCCAAGCGCTACGATGACGACGGAGTCAATGGCGACTATGAGATGAAAGACCATGATGATTCCGCCCGGCATGACCACCATGATGACAGCAGGAGCAAGCACAGAAGCAGCAAGTCATCCAAGTACGATGATAGAGACCGAGACCACGAACGCGACCGTGATAGAGAGAGAGACCGAACTCGTGATGACGGTCGAAACGAGAAACATCGTGATCGAGACCACGATCACAACCGCGATCGCGATAGAAAACGTTCCCGACATGACCGACACCGCGAAGACAATAAAGAGCACAACTACGACTATGACTACGAACGCGAACACGATGGTGAGGAGCCAGATTCTCGACATCGGTCTAGGAGGCATAAGCGGGATCATCGACGAGACGGTGAAGACGCTCCTATCGAGAATGAGCGATCTCATCGGTCCAGCGCCTCGGCGACACCTGCTGCGGTGCAGCCAGAGAAAGATCCACATACTCTTGAGCGCGAGGCGAGGAATCGCGAGAGAATGGTGAAAGAGCAGCAGCGTAGAGAAAAGGCCGCGAAAGGGGCTGGCGGATCCGGGTCAGGGTCGGGGCGGCGCGTCACGTACAAGTATGAGGACGAACTGGAGAGGGGGTTGGTCGAAGGGGAGAGAGCGAGGTGGAGATAATCTAGGCATCTTTCCTGTGTTCTGCTCGCATGTGTGGGCTTTGGTGTGAACTCCGTCAGGTGTGAATTTGTGTCTGGGATGGGGTGGGATAGGAAGGTGGTTTTTGGCTTGCAGACTTGACGAGAGATGCCAGTGCTGTGCTGCAGCAGATACCTATTGTATCTTCACTTCATAACCTTTTGCGAGAACAGAAAAGATCAGAGCATATTGTCAATCTCCATACGGAGTACTTGTGGCAGATATCGGAAAGCGCTAAGATATACTACAGTAAAAGTCATGAGCGAGATACTCCGTACACACTTCAGTCCATACATAGAGGTACTGCACTCCTTCAAGCCACAGGCCACTGCGGATTGCAGTAGGAAAAACCGCATCTCGTCAACCATACTTAAGCTAGACCCCTCAACACAGCCAAAGATAACAGTGCCAGGCTTCCGATCGCTAGCGCGTTGAGCGACAGTCCCTTCGCGCTGGTAGCGTCGCTGCTCGCCTTCGTCGCGGCCGCAGTTGCAGTCGGAGTTGCAGTGGTACTGCCGCTGCCACTGCCACTCGCACTTGAAACAGTGCTGCTTGCACTCGTTGATGTCGACTGTGTCGAGCTGGACATTGACGTCGATGAAGAAGACGTTGTTGACGAAGCCGTGAGAGTAACCACGCCTGTTACGCCGCTGCTCGAACTCGCGTACGAACTGCCCGTGTCCTCGCCATTGGTTGAACTGTAGTCGATGCCTGAGCAGTCTGGCCGCCAGGAGCCTAGCGTGACGCCTTCCTCGACATAAAAGCATGTACCGACGCTGACGTCGAGACCTGCTAGTGACGAGGCGGAGGGGTCGCAGTTGGTAGATTCGTAGGTGCGCACTTGATGAAGTTGTTAGTGATGGGTCATAGGGAAGGCACATAACAAAACAAAGTTGGAAGTATGAACAGATCGTCGCATGGGGGATGGCTGTGATGGGAGTCATAAAGTAAGATCAGCACGTTTGGCATACATGTACAGCCCGAGTCGATTCCATTCACGTAGAGCGCCACCGTCCCGTTAGGCGTCTGATGGCATGACGTGTCGGACTGAAGAGTTCCCGCATCGTTGTACTGTGCAAATGATGTCCCGGCGTTGCAGGAACTGTGTTCGAAAAAAGTGATTTGCGTTGCGGCGTGGACGAGATGCGGCGCGAAAAGGATGGCAAGAAGAGCAACGAGCGTGGGGGAGGTGCTGGCCTGAGAGCGCGGTTTTGGTGACGGTGAAGTCGACATTGTGCTAGACACGACTTCGGTTGAACAGACTTTGGGTAGTCGATGGTAAAGATCCGGTACTTCAAAGTTGATATTGCCAGGCCTTCACTTCGTTATGAAGCCGGAAATCCAAAAGCGAGAGGCAGAGTAGTCTGCAACTTTCATCGACGACCCTAGGGAATCAAGGTCTCTGCACCACGATCACTTCTTCGCATTTCTTCTTGCGACGCGTTCGCAGAGAAAATCGTTTATGGCTCGGGAGATATAAACGCACTGGCCAGGTGTTGGTGGTGTTTTGCAAATTTGGCAACATGCCAGTTATATTGACAGCAGCCACCCACCGCTGGTCACTTTCGTTCTTTTCCCAAATGGTCTGGAATTTCGCTTCGTTATTCATAATTTCTGTAGACAGCAGTAGGTAGCGTAGACCTTTTGAACTTTTCTCTTGACCTCGCAAGCTGGCATAATCATCCCCAATTCGCTTCATAACGATCGCCTTTTCCGCGACTTCGTCCACATCGCGATGAAATCGATCTTGTCCTTGACTCCTAATCCCACTCGCTTGATGCGTCCCAGTCTAGCTAACGCCTCTGCGATCCTGTCCAGGAATGCTCTTTCCTCTTTACTAATAGGACCCTCGAGATCTTCACTGCCAACAAGCGTGTCTGCATCACTTGCCGCGCTGTCTGAGGCAAGGGTGTCCAGATAATTGGTGGTATAGGTGGAAGTCTTTGCGACTGGTGGTTCTGACGTCCTCTTTGAAGTGTTATACACGGCCTCTGCGATGCGAATGCGTATACAATGACTCGGTTTACTGCAGAGATTCCACAGGAATGAAATATAGGAGTGAGGTATTGGCGTCGTGACATCCGCAGCCGTATATCTCAGGCTGACGGCAAACACTTTGGTTCGTGGTGGGGTGGTGAGGAGACTCGGACTCATGGGTAATATTCCCCTCCCATTCGACGTGGTGCATTCGGGGAAGATCACCAAGATGCGATCCGGATGGCGTTTGAGCAGCGTGTCAATGTCCACCAGTTTCGCACGCTCAGGGGGACTGAGCCTTGGATGACGGAACGCTCGACAGACTGCAGAGAACAAAGATATGGGTTCGACCATTCGAGTATTCGGGTAGGTCGCTGCGAAGATCGGGTCGAATATGGCCGCCAGGTACAGAGGATCGATGGGAGAAGCGCATGAAGATGCGATGACTGAGCCAGCCTGAGGTATTCTGGCACTATTCTTTGCCAGGGACCTGTCTGTATCAGCACGTGCCGTAAAAACTCAGCTCTTGTCAGAGTGTGCATACCCTTTCTTCACACCATCGATTTGCAAATCTATCCACCATATTCCCGGTATGCCTAGTATGCACCATAACGACGCTTTTCTACCCAATACACCTATTGGCATCCATTGCAGGACGAGGAAGTAAGACAGCGCAAAGAAGGCGAGTAGTGGTACACGGCAAATGAACAGGAAGGCGTGAAATGGTAGGGCGATCCCCGAAGGTTCGGTCGGTATAGTGAGGAATGGAGCGATGCCGGACCCTAGACACGTACAAGTCAGTGTCTCTTGCGGATAGGTATATGTGCCCAAATGTTATAGGAATGAGTACCTTTGTCACGAAATTGCGAGAACTTCTCCATGTTCGGCTGGAATGCGGAATGTACCTCGAGTGACTGCACAACGGTAATGCAGAGGCGTCAAAGATGTTAAATTCGACAAACAAACTGAGGGCGCATGTTGGAAGGGATATGTGTGAGGTGTCGACAGATCATTTGCTCATATAGTCGGGTCGAATGATGGAACCGACCTCAGGCGAACTGCCGGTACATTTGAAAGAAAAGTAGAGGTCAGGTACCAGTGCTGGAATTGGGGAAGAAGCGCGTGGTGGCAGTGGCAGTGTGGACTGTGGATCTAAGATTCCCTTGTGGGAGTAGTTTTCATCATCAGAGGATCATGCTATCGATTGATTGACTCGGACTTCGTATACACAGTAGAAGCAGAAGAAGAGAAGAATGTGTGTGGATAAGATGATTTTCACATGCTCGTGCTCAGCTCAAATCAATAATGATCGCATCGTTTTCTTCCCCTTGGCGATATTTTGTGTACAGTAAGTTAGTCCGAGTACAGGTCGTCGTTCAGGTCATCCCTGTCATCTACCAGAAATGATGTACCACAGCAGCCCGATAAGGCGCCAGCAATACCTACTTGTCTTTTGTACTTTAGATCAGATCCGTTCTTCCGCTTCACCTTCACATGCTCCCCTGGCACTGACACCTCAAACTATCGACCGTCAGGCACATCCAGCAAGGTTCCTGGAACCAAAGAGGCACAAACCATGCAAGGTAATCAAGTGCCGGTCACTTCTTGATTGGACTCTGCCAGACACTGTCCACGTTGTTATGTCAAGTCCAACAAGCTGAGGGAAAAATGATCCTGTTGGCCTGTCGCCCTGCATCTCCTGGCGAGCCTTGCATAAACATGTGCATGCTTGATGTCCCGGCATGTGACGAGGACCAAAACAGTGGGTGCATATGGAGACATTACGAGGCTTGTTCGAGATGATCATGTGAGGCTGGCATCAAAGTCTGGAGATATTACCTAACGAGCCGACATGCTCCAGAAGCAAACACTGCCCCTGGCACTTATTCACTTCTTCTGCAGATTGCACCCTCGTCATGGTAAGTGAATAATATCACCTGGACTCGGACCAGAAGCCCTTCCGGAACGAGCTGTGAATATGTTGCTACTGCATTTTGCGGGAGCCCCTCTGCAGGTGAAGATCTCGTCGAATGACTGACATCCAGCGACGGTGCTTTCCGAGCATCTCTTCCCTTCCTGCGACAGTTGTCGAAGACACCTACATCGATCGCTCTCTCGCAAGGACATGTCTTGCTACAGCAAGAGCTTGAGAAATGTACGCAAAGAGCCTAACGCGAAACGCGCGAAGTCAGCTTCTATCGGCATCCATCATATCCAATCCCTCCTCCAAGCCCTCTGACTGGAAGAACCCGACCCTGAATGGAAAGAAGAACAGGTCAATGGAGCTACGAACGACATCAGATCATAACAAAAGTGTCAACAGCGCTCCTTCAAAGACGTCCGAAGCTAAATCCATCAAAGAGTTTTCTGCATGGGCTGAATATATGGACGAAGAGAAAGACGAGGACTTCATCAGGTGGAAGAAGGAGATGGTAGGAGAGTGTCAGGAGCAGCGGAGTATGGGGTCCAATGCACAGAAGCGGGACACGAAGAAAGAAAATCGACCGTATTGACCCCAAGTACGCCAGTCTTCTGTGTCGCTAGGAGGACGGGAGCAAGAACCTATTCGAACCCATCTTCCACGCCATCCTCAGTTCACAAACTAGGCGTCGGTGTCGATCTGATGGCTTCAGGTTCCGTCCCAGCCGCTTGTAATCGACACGACTCCGGCCTTTGACTTTATCGCGAGTGGCGTTGTCATATCAACAACCCGGCGATGTCGCCTGTCCTCCGAGATTTGGGAACTATTTTGTGTTGCAGAACCGCAGTCTGACAGGATTGATGCCCAAAGGATGACTTGTTGGCTGCTGTGGCAGGGCTTTAGGGCGCGCGAGAAACGAGCAAGGAAAGAACCAAGATATATAAGTCTGGATCTCGCTTGCGCGGTCTCATGAAGGACATGTGAGCGGTCCAATGGTTTCACGGAACATCAGATGTTTGCGAGGAAGATTCTTGATGAAGACGAATACTCCGGAAGGACGATCCAGGAGGATAGGTGTAAGGTGGAAGGGACGGGGTGCGATCGTCGCTCATGTATCCATTAATACTGATTCGGACCGACCAAGGCGGTCTCGGCCAGCCGACGATGCCTTGGAACTCGCATGGCTCAAACGCTTGTATGGTGCATACCAGAAGCAAATACTCCGTACTCCATCTACTGGTGCTTCCATCTTCATTCAATATCATCGGCATTCGGCAAATCTGTTTCTCCTCCGCATTTGCAACAAGGCGGAGTTTTCCACCTTCCTTATTGAGTATACTTCATGTACACCAGCTTCATCTTCTCCTGCAGACTTGCTTCTCATGATGTCCCGAATGACGAAACAGTAGAGACGCAGAAGAGACTCTGACATTCACCTGATTAGTTGTTGTAACTTGTTAAAGTTTCTAGCTTAGCACAGCAACATGCCTCCATCCATCAATGTGGCCGACATCAGGGCCCAGTTTCCTGGCCTCGCACAGAAGCAGGTCTTTATGGATAATGCAGGAGGCTCTCAAGTCCTTCAAACAGTCATAGACGCAATCTCAACCTATCTTTCCAAGACCAATGTTCAGCTTGGCGCATCCTACCCGGTTTCTCAGGCTTCCACGGCCAAGTTTAATGACGGTCACATTGCTGGCGCAAAATACATCAATGCATCACCAAAAGAAGTCGTGTTCGGGCCTTCGACCACGCAATTGTTTCGCAATCTGTCGATCGCCCTCAAGATAGAGTCAGGCTCTGAAATTGTCCTGTCGAGTCTTGACCATGAAGCCAACCTTGCTGCCTGGGTTCAGCTGGCGGAATGGAAAGGACTGACCGTCAAATGGTGGATTCCTACCAAGAATACAACATCAAACCCAAGACTCGAAGCCGACGACTTGAAAGCACTTTTGACACCAAAGACGCGCCTTGTCTGCTGTACGCATACCTCCAACATTCTCGGTACTGTCACAGACGTTGCGGCCTTGTCCAAAGTCATCCACGAAACCAACCCCAATACTCTGTTCTGTGTCGATGCTGTAGCTTATGCTCCGCATGCACCGATAGACGTCAAAGCATTTGGCGTTGACTTTTATTCTTTCTCCTGGTACAAGGTATATGGGCCACACGTTTCTATGCTGTACGCCAGTGAAAAGGCACAGGCACAACTGCAAAGTCTAGGTCATTATTTCAAGCCTGGGGACACCCTGGAAGAAATGCTTGGTCTTGCTGCCGGAAATTATGAATGTGTTCAGTCTATTCCTCAAGTTGTCCAATATGTTGACAAGTTGGGGTGGGGTCCGGTTGCTGAGCAGGAACAGGAGATTCAAGAGATCCTCTTGTCTTACCTGCGCTCGAAGCCAGAGCAGATCAAGATATATGGAGAGCCATCTTCGAACAGGAAGCTCCGCGTACCGGTCATCAGCTTCCGCGTCAGAGATCAGAGCTCGCTTGGAATCATCGATGGTATTGAGGCACGGTCAGACTTTGGCTGCCGCAGTGGGCATTTCTATAGTAAGCGCCTGTGTGAGAATGTTCTCGGAATTTCTGACAGCGATGATGGCGTGGTGAGGTGTTCACTGCTTCATTATAACACTGCTGATGAAGTGCACGGATTGGTTAAAGTGCTGGATGAAGTAATCACTGAAGGAGCTGGAAAGGTTGATCCGGAGGCCAGCAGGAAGGACGTCGCAAACTGGTAGTAAATGTCTAGCCTTGTTATTGTGTTGGGCGTTACCTGACAAAGGAGGCAGACAGAGGTGCACCAAGACCTTGTGTTTCTGTTGGATATTCTGACTTGTTCAAGACGATAAGGGACGATATTTTCGAGCTACTCAAATATCCATATATGGTACATTGGAAGTACCAAGGGTGTAGTGATGTGAGGTTGGTGGCTACCATAGAGAAGGCGTGCCAGTTCTCATTGGTCAAATGAGACGGGCAATGTTTATTGCTAACCGCTTCTGTCCATCACTCATTGCGCTTCCTCACGACGACAATCACTTCAAATCAACGACATCATCTTCACGACATTGCACACTCCGAGTGAAGCAGCAATGTTGTCCTCACGTCTCTAAAAGATACAGTCTTGCCAACAACAACATCTATCTGGTCTGCAAAATGGCGGACACCGAGAACGTATGAACATCCACCTCATTCATACCACCACAATTAACCATGGACTCACAGTTTGTCTCTCAATTGCCCCAGCCCACTCGCTATGGGCAACAATCGCCCCAAAAACAATTGACAGAGCTAAGCGGCTCTGCAAACAACTCCCGCACCGCGATGCCTCCTCCTACCTTCCCGAACCACAAGCGGCAAGGCTCGAATTGTTTGTCTTTGGACAAGAAGAGATGGGACATGCTGACGACAGCCGCAGTACCTGAGCCGGCATCCAAGAGAAAGACACTCACCGAACGGGCTGGAGAACCCTTGAGAGCTCCTGCTGCTCCGAGATCGAGTGCACCAGTCAATTCCGCAGTCATGTCGGCCGTCCATTCACGAAACCCCTCTGCATTCTCCCAGTCCACCCGAAGTAACTCTTCTCAATCCCGAAACACATCAGCTTCAACTACCTCGTCAACATTTTCAATGAGTGTTGGTAGTGGTATTCGACCACCCGCCGTTCGCCCAACATCGAGCCTTGCCCGCGCGAAGTCAACCCTTGCGAAAGAGAGAGGAATGGGATTGGTCGACTCGAGGCCCGCTACATCACTGGGAACTCGTGGAGGAAGTCAGGATGGACCCAATAACAAACGTATGGTTACAATTTCTGATCCCCTTCTGAGATTTGCTGCCCCTGCCCCATTGAGGAACACAACCGTGCATGTCCACAAGCGAAGTGACCGAAACGTTTCTCCCACGAAAAGATTCGGCCAACCCGTGCGACCGCCACCCATAAGGCGTGAGACGTCACGAACTGTGTCAATAACTGCCCGCATGGCCGAGCTTTCATTGCGTCCCGAAACTCCCAAGGCAAGACCAGCTCGACCAGACAGTCCTTCGAGGCTGCCTCGACCGTCACCATCACCAGCACCTAAAACTCCTCCGATGAAACCCCCTTTCATCCCACAACCATGGCCAAAAGACCCATTTACATCCCCTCGTAAAGCTGGAGGCCCAAAACTAACCAAATTTTCCGATTTAGAAGCCTGGGATCCCGAGGAACAGTACAACAACATGGAGAGAATGTATGAAGACGTTTGCACGCACTACAAGCAAGCAGTGGAAGACAACGTCGAGACAAAAGAAATCAACACTGCCTACAGAACAACGATTGCGAATCTCGAACAGGAACGGAAAGACTTCACAGAATCCATGATCACCCTGAGATGCGAATTGGAGAAAACCAAGTTTCAGCTCGAAGCCGCGGAACGATCAAGTCACGATCTCAAACGGGACTTTGAGGAAGAGGAAGAAGGTCTGAAAAGAGAACATAGGGTCGAAGCCGAGACTATGCGTCAGGCGCATCGAGACGATATGGAGCGGCTCAAGGCCGACAATCGAGAGGAGATGCGAGAGCTGAAACGCAGGCTAGAAGACGAGCTCGAACATGAACGAACCCAAAGATTGCAGGCATTGAGTCAGGTGTCCACGCAAGGAGCACTTGAGAAACAAAGACATATCATGGACCTGGAAACTAAAGAGCAGGAGCTGAGGATCATTTCAAGCGAGGTTGAACGACTCAAAGCCGACCTTGAAAGAGAGAAGATGCTCAACGATGAGCTGCGTCAAAGTCTTAGCTCAGCCGGAAATAACGCTGTTGCTATGGAAGGCGCTCGTCAAGCACTACAAGCTAAGATCGAATTTCTCGAATCAGACAGCAAATCCCAGTCCGAAGCGTATGCAGATATGGAGAAGAGGATGACTGAGGCTCTAGAGAAGGCAGTGGAGTGCGAAGAGAAACTTCGGAAGGAAGAAATGCTTCGTCGAAAGCTACACAACCAAGTACAAGAACTGAAGGGCAACATTCGCGTGTTCTGCCGTGTTCGACCAACAAATGGGGATGATAACGAGGAAACAGCCAAGTTCACATTCCCCGAATGTGATGAGGAGTTGAAAGACATCGAAGTCAAGGGTCCCGAAGAGACCAACAGTCTTGGGAAGGTCACAACAAAGACTTATCCGTTCTCTTTCGACCGGGTGTTCGATCCATCAAGCAACAATGCTGAGATCTTCGAAGAGATCAGTCAACTCATCCAGTCCGCGCTGGACGGATACAATGTTTGCATCTTTGCCTATGGCCAGACAGGATCAGGAAAGACATATACAATGTCGTCTGATGACGGTATGATCCCTCTTGCCCTGAGGCAAATTTACAGCACAAGCAAGGAACTTGGAAGCAGAGGGTGGACCTATACAATGAAGGGCAGCTTCGTGGAAGTTTACAATGAGGAGCTGAGAGACTTGCTCGGCAAAGATGGCGACAACGAGAAAGGAGCCAAGAAGCACGAGATTCGTCACGACATGGCGACTTGCGAAACGACTATAACAGATGTGACCACTCTCAGCCTGGACAATCAAGAGCGAGTGGAAGGTATACTATCTCAAGCGATGTCACGGAGGTCCGTCGCCGCAACAAAGGCCAATGAGCGGAGTAGTCGAAGCCATTCCGTGTTCATTCTCAAGCTATCCGGGCACAACTCCATCACAGGCAAATCCTGCAAAGGTACGCTCAACCTGGTCGACCTGGCTGGCTCTGAACGTTTGTCACATTCCAAAGTTGAAGGCGCTCGCCTGAAAGAGACGCAAAACATCAACAAGTCGTTGTCGTGCCTTGGTGATGTGATTGGGGCCTTGGGCCAGCAACAGGTGGCCGGGGGTGTCAGCGGCAGAGAGAGTGTCAATGGGACGTCAGCCTCTGCTGGAGCACATATCCCGTACCGCAACAGCAAGCTGACGTATCTCCTGCAATTCAGTCTGGGAGGCAATAGTAAGACGTTGATGTTTGTGATGGTTGCACCGGAGAAAAAGTGTCTTTCGAAAACGATCACCAGTCTCAAGTTCGCTGACAAAGTGAGCCGGACCAGGATTGGAGTTGCGAGAAGAACAAGTGGAAAGTGAAGGACAGCAATTTCTTGTCTTTGGAGTGTTGGATTTGATGGTCTTAGCGGGCGTCTTCGTGTTTTGCTTAACGACTACAATATCATGACTTGGAAAGAGGCTGTGAACTAGGATTACCATACAAGATTAACTTGTGACGCTGACCTAACCTTCTTGATGTTTAGTAACCATTGCCGTTCTAGATCTATTATAGCTTCGATGGCCTTTCTTTCCTCTGCTCGCCCTTCAGATCCTTCACGATATGTCTGGAGATCCACTCGGCAATACCCATCGTACTGACCATGGGGTTCACGCCACTCGCAGAAGGAAAGACACTCGCATCCGCGACATACAGACCCTCCACGCCCCAGACTTTACCTTTCGAATCGACCACGCCAGTCTTACTTGACGAACTCATCCGGCATGTACCCATCTGGTGGGCCGAGCCGATCATGCACGAGTCCGGCGTCGATATGCCCAGCGCGCGCGCTGCATCCAGCCATGCTGTGAATGAAGCCTCATCGTCATCAACATCCTCATTATCGGCATCCTCGGGCACTGACGTCGATGGCCTAATCCACCGATCAAGAAGCGGATGGACAGTATCAATCTCCAGAGCACCCATGACGAACGCGATCCTCGCGCCCTCAAGTTGTCCCTCGAGAAGATGTTTCCTATCGCGCTCCGACGGTGTATACGCAATGCGTACTCTCTTTCTCGCAGGATCTTTTGGATCGATATAAACTTTCCCAGTTCCCGTGTCGCGAGCGATGGAAATGAAACCCGTTGAGAACCCGTGCTTGGCGATGGCCAATTTATACTCGATCGCCGAGGACGTTGGGTCCGCTTTACTCACGCGGAATGGTACACCGGGCAGACCATACCCTGGCGTAGAGCAAATGACTTCGATTTTGGCACCGTGGTGCGCACCGTCGAGGTTATCCAGCTCGGTTACGGCAACGGTCAGAATCGCACCTTCCCAAGGGTTCGTGCGCTGAGGCCACGTCGCCCAGACTTGTGTGGAGGGGTGGAGGTGCAGGTTGCTGCCAATGTGGGAGTTCTTGATGCCGCTTCGTTGCAGGACGGCGGGGGAGTGCAGTGTGCCGGCGGCGACGATGACGCGCGAGGCAGAAATATTGAGTGTACGGGTCATCTTGCGGTCGCGCGATGTCCATGTTGCGCGGACGCCGGTTGCCCTTGTGCGATCTGGGGAGAAGGTGATTTCGTCGACGAAGGCGCCTTCGACGAATTCGGCGCTGTGGGATGCGGCGTCGGGGAACCAACAGTTCGCAGGACCTTGCTTTGTAGCACTGGCGCAGCCGTATGTGCAGTAACCGCAGTGGTGTCGTTTGGACGCGGTGTTCTGGGGCACGATTTCGACGGCCATGCCGAGACGGCGCGCGCCTTCGAGGAGGGTTTGATTGGCGAAGTTGTGCTCGATGTTGTTTAGGGCAGAAGGGTCGTTGGACCGCGCGACGCCCATTCGCTCACAGACTGTGTCGAGACAGTCTTGGTACTCACTTGATAGGAAGTGTGGGAGATTGTTGGATGCCCAGTCTTTGCGTACGCCGTGCTGTGGTTGCAAGGAGGCTGACCAGTTGACTGTGCCGCCGCCGCCGAAGGTGCTTCCGGCGAGGACGAGTGTGGATCCGTCGTCCGACACGACTGTGCCGCCGTTCTCCATGAGGTGCTCCGCGGCGGTGCCCATGTCCATTGGGAAGTGCGTCGAGGCGAAGTGGTAGGATTTCTCTAGGATGAGACATTTCAGTCCTGCACGGGAGAGGTGCGAGGCTGTCACGCCTGCGCCACAGCCTGAGCCGATGATGACGACGTCGGTGGTTAGGGTGGTCGCGCTGGACGCCGAGCTGAAGTCGTGGAAGGTGAAGGCGTAGCTGTCGCTGCGCTCGATGTGCCGTGGGATAGCAGGGAAGTCGAGAATGCGTGGGATTGAAGGAGAGTTGACGACATAGGAGAAGCGCGCGAGGGTGCTGAAAGCGCGGTAGACGGCACGCAGTGGTGCAAGGCGAGAATTGGGCCAACTCAGTACGATGCGCGTGCGTGTTGCAAGGTCTTGGGTATGGATCGGTGATGAGGAGCCTGTCAGCAGGTAGGAACCGACAGTTGTGTTGAGCGTGGAGAGGATGAAAGCCAGGCCCTGCGCGTCCGCGGGAGGGACGTAGAGCTTGAACTTGCGGGAGACGGTCTCTTTGAAGGCCGAGTTGGAGATGATGTCTTCGGAGAGGAAGGCTCTGGCGTCGTCGTCGGATGCGCCATCGGGGAGATAACGTCCAAGTCGTGAGATGGCGTTGTTGATGTCAGTAGATGATACTGATAGTGATTCGGTTGTAATGGAAGGGGCGAAGACTTCGAGTATGGAGTAGAGAATGTCCCACTGGACTTTGGTGAAGACTTCTTCCTCTGGGGCTTCGGTGAGAGGAGATGGGAGAGACGCCAAGCTGGAGAGATTCTCTATTTGAGACATGACTGCTGATGAATGGGAGGGTGTGTTTCCCAAATGATTAGTCTTTCTGTAATCGAGCGACGGAAGATATAATAGATATGTGCCGTAATTTGCTGATGGACAGCTGGTGGTGAGACGTCCTGCCGTCGGTTTGCCTCTGATCACGGATCACAGTGCCCACGGGCAGGGTATCATCGGATATTGCGCATGGCAGTTGTCCAACATATCGGGATGTCACGAAGGAGAGAACCAAACAGGAAAGTAAAGTAAGCAGATACAGGGACTTCAGCCTCAAGGAGCAAGAGGTCTTTTTGAAGTCTTACTCTGGGGTTGATTTGGGGCACTTGGGCGGGATGGGTATTGAATGGAGTTCCCATAAGCTCCCCACACGGGTCATTGACAGACTTGAGGCGCCCATCCGGCCTACCAAGTCGAGTTAGCCTCCGGTTAGCTTTGCACGCCTCGCATCCAGGTCATATTGATTACCGCGTGAGGATGCGAGTGCAGGTGTGGTTGGTCGGAAATGATCAAACTAGGCTACGTTGTTGGATCTTGGGCTTGGAGTTCACCATAGTACTGTAGCTTGCCACTTCCGTTGCAGTCTGTTGATAATGTTCTTCTGGTCCAACTTTGGATGGAGATGAGATGGAAAAAGCATAAACCAGATACGCGATACGGAGAGAGATACGGTGCCATTCAAGATGGGCTGGCTGGATATGTGCCAGTAGCCGAGGTCCAGATTTTCTCTACATAGCACACGTGCGACTTCATGAATGATCCAGGGACCAGAACCTTCACTAAGTGATCGAAATGACCAGGTCCCACAGGCGATGTGAAGGATGGAGTCATGCATGGGTGGCAGGAGATGTGTCAGCGCCAGGATCAATGGGAATCCCCAATTTACATCCTTCGTAAGCAGCTAGATATGGGGTACTGGTGGGTTGGTCGTTCTTTGAGACACATTACATGCCTGCGTGGCAACGCAGCATCAAGATAACCCGCTGATAACCGGTGATGGGCATATTGCGTATCTCGTAGTCTTCGTGTTGGTCATCCCTCTGCTTGGGTGTCATAGGCGTTCGATTTATGCTTGGGCTCAAATCGGAAGTCCTTGTGTGCAGGCCCGAGGAACATCTCGCTGTCGTCCAGATTAGCTTCAAAAGATAACAGACGCTTGCAACCCTTTCTTACCTCAGCTTGATCCAGTCTTTGAAGTTGTCACTGGCCATCAAAGTCTCTAGCTCATCTCTGCCCCTGTATCGTGGAGGCCGATCTTGAATGTTGGGCGGCAGATACTCCAGTAATCCGACCGGCACGTAGCGACATGCAAAACTCAACCATTCCAGCAAGAACCGTCGAGTCTGTCCAACACCAATCTCATCGCTTCCCCATGCTTCCAAACCATACCGACAGAATCGTTCGATAAATTGCAGTCTTTCCGACGATGACTTGTCAAGGTATTGGCCTGCTGCAATCTCTTCGAAAAGCCAAGGCTTGATCAGTGCTCCTCGGGCTGCCATGACTCCATCTACTTTTGCGTGGTTGATGTGGTCATAGTAATGCTCGTGAGAATACACGTCACCGTTTCCAACGAAAAAGACCTTGCCATTCCTTGAACGTTGATGTCCATTGGGTTGGTCGCGCTCGTCCGGTTCGTGTATAGTATCAGCCAGGGCGTCCGATTTCGCATTGAGATTCTTGATCAATGCCGCCGTCTCGGTGATGTAATCCCAGTCAGCCGACTTCGTGTATCTTTGCTCTCTTGTTCGGCCGTGCAGTGTAATGGCTGCAACGCCGCAAGGAACACGTCCGCTCTGCTCGCTGCCCAGGACAAGTCTTTCTACCAGCTTCTGCGCAGTTGGCTGCTTGTTCTTCGTACCAGTACGAATCTTGACCGTGACGGGTGTCTCGCCGGAGACGGCGTTCATGCCTCGCAACATCTTCTCCAGCTTGGGAGGTGTGTCCATGAGTGCTGAACCTGCTCCGTCTCTGTAGACCAGGTCGATGGGACAACCCACGTTGAGGTCGACCACGCGTAGACCCTTTGGAAGTAAGGTTGTCAACACTTCTGTGGCTTTAATGGCTAACCACGGTTTATTGGCAGCAATCTGAGCCCCAAAGCAGAGATCTTGACTCTGTTTGTAGTCGTACACGATGTTCTCGCCGTTCTTCATTGTGAATGTTGGTGGTTGCACGTCCGATTCGTGTGCTTTCATCAACGCCCACTCAGATTTCTGGCCCTGCAATATGGGTAAGGACATGGCCATCTCAGAATAGGTGAACACTGCTCCTAACGAGCTACACAATCTCCTGTATGGTAGGTTGCCCTGAGTTGTCAAGGGAGCAAGGACTGGCGTCTCGACTCCAAAATACAATTTGCGCTTCTCGGACGGCCGCAGCGGAGGATCTTGGAATGACGCTCTGGCGTCTCTTTTGGCCTCCCCACCGGCTTCTATTGGACCAGGACCAGGCTCTGGCGACGAAGAGTTGCGCATTGTGCCATTATCCGGCCCGACTTTGTTGTCTCGCCCGCGCCCTTGAGCAGAGGTATTTTGAGATTGCGACTCGAGCCACTTCAAGAATTTATCCGACTTGGGAGTTGAGATTTTCTTCTTGGTCAATTGGATCCGTTGCTCAGGAGTGAGGATATTCGCCACACCAGCCTCTTCCTCCTCGGTCGAAGTTTGTGAATACTTTGCCATTCGCTCTTCGTCTTCTAGCAGTACAAGTTCCTTCCGACCATCACCTCGGTCGATCTCCTTCGAATGAGACCCGACGAAACGACATTTCCAGCCCACGGGGCACCTGCCTTTCGTGTCCCAGACCGGGCAAAGACCATTGAAGGTGGTTAGATCTTCACGCTTGTGTTCCTGCAAGTACTTGCGTACGTTATGCTCGTAACGACATTTGTCCCCGAACGTACACGGGTCGGGCGAGAATTCAGGTTTGTGGACGCGAGTAGAACATAAGCCTACCTCGTCTCTTGAATTTCCAAAGTCGCGAGCTTTGTTCTGTCCAGTCTTTTTGTCACGACGTTTGTTCTTTGAGTACATTTGACCAGCAGGTTGTCTGTCCTGGTGATGAAAAGCTTCGGCAGCGTCATCGTCAGCTTCGTTCCCCGTCGGTTTTGGATCCAGCACATCATCTTGTGCCTTGATTAGATAGTCCTCTTTGACAGGTGCTGCTCCTCTACGACGCTTGTCGTCTCTAGCATCAAGCTTCGAGTCTACAGCGTCCGTGTCATCAGCCTTGCGCTTGGATGGAGATTGTGCCTGAGCAATTGCAGTCTGAAGGTTACCAGAGGTGGCAGAATGGACATCTGAGCCACCATTCACCGGTGGCTGAGCCTGATCTGAAGTAGTCTCGGCCATTTCTCGATTTCAGCTTGTCAGGCCTCAATTTGTGTCGGAGCCACTCATCTATAATGTGAGGGGTTACTGCCGCAACGACTAGCACGTATATCAAGCAAGCAATGAAGTAAAGTTGGTTGTCAGCGAATCGAAGGTCAGGTCAAGGCAAGTTACTAATGTGTTGTCTCAGTTCTCAGACAGATATAGCAGGATTGGCGAGCCAATCAAAAAATTCAGCAGAATTATTTGCCAAACGAGTCTAAGCTAAAAGGATTAGTGCCTATGCACTGTCACGTGAGCCTCATGGGTCTGAGAACTGAGACAACCAATGTAGGAATGGCGCCTGCCAAGCCGAAGTGAATTCGGAGACTCCGAAGATTTGCCGCCACCTATTCCTCGAGGCCCTCTCACTAGCGCTCTCTGCAAAGTAGAGAACCTGAGAAGGCGATTACTATGTCAAACTTGCACGGTATTATTCATTCAGGTCAATTTGGTTCAGGTGAGAATGCACTTGTTTCCTTCTTACCATCCGCTCATGATCTGCCCAAGAACTGCATGGCATGGCCTCAGGGCGACACCAAGCGCCTGACGCGCAATCTTTCATGCAGGGTCATCTTGAAAAGGCCGGCGACCATAGTACGAGGTCGTATTGTTGCACCGTGGATTTCAGATTGATAATTATTGTTTATTGCTCGCGTGCCACTGGTCCTGTTTCGGTAGCAGTGGACACCTCTCGTCTAGGATGGGCTTGCCCAGGTGACCAGGTGAGAGGGGGGCAACGGTGGGCATCATAATACAGACGAGTTCTAGAAGGTCAGTGTCAGCTTGCAGTTGTACCACAGAAGCGTCAATTTGGCAGGATACACTGGACAAGTGCCCTTTGATCTATGTGTCTATCCGTGGTGCATGAACACCCTGACACGACTATGCTAGCTGAGTAACACAAGCGTACCTTCGTGGCTGGTGTTCCTTCACTTATAGACTCGAGATTTAAAGACCATGATAGCTTTGGCACAGAACGGGCCAATTGGCGTTGTAATCGTAGTCACTCGGTAATTGTCTATGCTTCCTATAGCTCGTCATGATCGGCAGTTCCGAAGCTCATTTATTGTCTTGGTGATCGACGAAATATCGCCGGAGCCCGGGTGGATTTCGTTTGGCAGAGCTTCGAATGCCTTTGGAAATGGGAAATGGACAGTGGCCAAAATGTACATTTTCAACAGTCAAGAGTACTACATCGTACATCGAGGAACAAAAGCCCTTCACGGTGACAAGGCTCCCAGTTGCCACGCACGGATGTCTCGGCCTCGCCATGCCTCGGCAGGCTACAGCCTCGAGGGTGTCAGCCTTACGCAGTGTGTCCACGTACCTGGGCACATGTCCGAGATGAACGGGTTTCGCCGGAGCTCGCCCACGCTCGCCAGATTGGGCACGATTAACTAATAATGAAGATTTCACGGGCGGCACCGTGTTGACTTCAGCCATAGACAGCGATTTTTGTTTGCTTCTCGGGACAGTTTTCCTTCAGACACTCGGGGCTCCAACGTCGACGCTTTACACGGGAGGGGCGCCCCCCTCGACCCAGATTGCTGGAGTCCAAGGGCAACGTCTTGCCTTCATCCGGACATCTAGCGCTCTCCGTCGCCCGTACCTGCGTCTGATCGAGTGATTTATTAGTCATGTTTTCCACTTCCTTTCCAACAAATTTTACGCTGCTGGTATGTGAGGCGTTGGCAGCAAGTCGTTGCGGCAGCCAAAACAGTAAACATCCGGAACGCTGAGTGAAAGCTTTGCGTCGATCGGCCTCATTCCAGATGTGCCGCCGTTTAGCTCTTGTCCTGTTCCAATCATTGCTCAAATGGAAACAATAACAATGCCATAATTGCAGTTATTCCGGGGCAGGAGGCCGAAATGACACTGACAGTAGCTCGGTACGTCGGTCCGTATCATTTATCGAGAAAGTGGGTGAGAGAACTCACATATGCGGGAGTCCTCCGTAGCCCTTAACTTAGGCTTTCGAGGTCTGACCGCCGACCTGCCGTACACCGACAAATGGCGACAAGGCTCGTTTAGGCCTTGGCCAAACGCCTAATTAACCCAAATGTCAGTCCTTTGCATCACCATGAACGAATCATGATGGCACCTCAACCTGATGGCAGTCTTGCAGGCTTGATAGCAACAACTATCTTTCCTTGATACGAGGAGTGAGATAAGTACCTTCGTAGATGGCATCAACCTGCTAGGTTAATCCTTTCGCATAGGATTGCAGCGATTTTGCATATTAGCAGTCGTCATGGTCTGACGAAGGAGGGATGCCACAGCCACATCCGAATGCACTAGGTCAACATCCAGCTTCGAGAAGCCCGCGGACCTGACTTGCCACGTGACACATCCATGGGATCTCTGGAAGATGCTGCATTCCATGTCTGTACGAGTCGTATTTGGTGATATGAAGTTGTTCATGCACACCACGGACACGCACTCTCTGGGCGCCGCAGATACGAGTACATGAAGTATCGGAACTGGTTGGGGGCACGCATCCTACACCCACTCTGACTAGGAGTAGTTTGGACTAATACCGATAGGGTGATAGTCGCCTTTGTGGAAGAAAGAGCCCTGTCCGACGGTCCTGCAGATGATATATGTGGGTAAAGTATCCAGACTGACGATTCGTAAGGACCTTGCCGGAAGGAGCACCTACGCTGGATTGGCAACGCTTCAACCTCGAAACTTCGAAATTGACTCCCGGACGGCCCACTAGGGAAGGATTTGGTTATAGTGCAAGGTTCTTGATGGAGTCTTGTTGAGCATTGAAGATGAGGATGGATTTTGTTTTGTACAAACCATAATTCAGTAGTCCATGAGAGACTCCAAAGGCGTACTGTGTCGGGACCCCTTCCATTGCTGAAGAGATCCGTAAAGCAACGATCGATGAAGCCACCCCAGTAGAAGAACCGTCATTCTACCTGTCATCTGTCAGCTTTATTCTCTTGGACTGCCAACCAGACTGGGATGTAACAGCAAACAATTGTGTCGTACGCATGCCAACGTTTGGGCATGGGAAAGCTTGCGCCCAACCAGGCAAGCATGCCGTCTGGCAAGATGCCTGGTTCGAGCAAGAATCAGTAAGCCTGCCTCGTCGCCTTCAAAGCTGTACTGTGTATGCAAGATGACAGCCAAAAGCACGCCCTTTTAACACATCGATCCGACTTAGGCTAGTCCTCGGATATATGCTGAATTTACCGCTTAAAGAAAGGCTCTGTGCAGTGATTGCCTCCCTATGGATGTAATGGCTGTCGAGCATATGCGACATCATGCGTCAATGCTCGCTACTAGTTGACTAGTGACCGATAAAGTGACGGTCTTTTGTTCAAGCGACAGCTGGAGCAAACAGCCGACCTGGGGAACCAAGTCAGCCAGATTACCTGTAACAGCCATGACTTGGTCTGCATCTGGTCAGTCAATTCGATCATAAATCTGGCATCCTGGTGTTTGTTGTTGAAGATATCCCGCCCTCCGATGCAGGCAATCACACGCGATGGAGCCTCCAGCGAGCTTGAATCGGAAGAGAGAGTGGGACGGTGGGTGGGCGAGGGGTCCGATGGAGGATGGACGGGCAAATGCATAGCGGAAATGATGGAAAGATATCCACAAATTAATCCTGGGCCTAAGAGACCCTTGGCCGGCTGTAACTGTAGGCCAGGGCTGCCACTCGTAGGCTCGCGCTCATCATCAGTGCTTTCGAGTTTCGCCCAAAAGGCTAAACCCTCGGGCCTCACTAGTTGGTTGGCTACCACCAGGCTACCAAACTGGTCCTGACTCGACTCTGCCATTATTACACTTGGCTTCCTTTCTCATCGTCTTCTTCCTCTCAATACTAACCTTACCACGATATCCTTTGAGAATCACCTCTACCTTATCCCAGGATATACGCCGCCATACTGTGCCAGTAGCCTCGTGTCAAGGCTCCTCTGTGTCCCATCCGTCGCTCATTTCCGCCGCCGTCAGACTCGTTTCACACCGCGCCTCACAATACCCGAGCCCGGGCCCATAACGTCACCGCCTTCTAATCAACATACGCAACAAAGGAGGCCGCTCCTTAGTTCTTTGTAGATAAGGAAGACCATTGTTGAAAAGTCTATGTTGGATTACGAAGAAAGTCCTCCGCCACTACATCACTCGCCTTCTCCGAGTGATCAGTCGCAGTTCACCTCCCGAGATACAACTCCCGTTACCCCGGTCGGCAGCGGGCCTACGCTTGGAAAGAAGACAGAGAAGGATTGTCTTCCGTGGTCCAAGAAACCCATCAGCGTTGGACGGACTACCACAAGGCTCTGCCTCGACACATCTCTGCTCGAGCCTGACTTTAACGACAGCACCTTTCCGACCTTTGGCGCATCGCCACCAGCCCGGGGCATGGCGAGTGCTGCCAACCCACTTAACATATCGACAAGACAGACTTCAACCTCACCGCGCGGCAATCAGCCGTCCAATTTGACCTCAGCCTTGCAACGTAGTGACAGTGAAGAGAAACGCAAAATGGCCAACCTCCACCCAGAAACCGCGCTCAACCGGGCAATCCCCCAAATGCCCTCCAATGCCTCCGATGACTTTGCAAAATTCGAGCGTGGTGCTCGACCCATTTCAATGAAGGGAGCGTCCAACAATCAACAGGCCAGACGCGAAAGCATAGCACAGAGCCTAAACCAGGGCATGAGCTGGGGAGGAATATCTGTAGGGAGTTGGATCAGAGATGAGTAAGTCACCTACGCGAAAGCGCCACGTTGTGTCCTGTATCGTCCTGACGTGAATAGTATGATGATATCCGGGACCTCACCTTTCACCTTCAACTCGCCGTCTTATCACTCCTCATCTTACCTACCCAAACTCGAAGCCAATTTCATGAAAGATTTTTCCTGCTGTGGCCTAACACTACCAACTCTCCATGATCTGCTGCAGCACTACGAAGAAGCCCATGCTCAGAAAGATCCCATGCACCCTGGAAACAACCAACAACCCTTGCCTGACAGCCGAGCAGCACTTGCAGCTACGACCGCAGCCCAGGTCCAACAAGAAGCTCAACAGCGAAGCCAACAGCAAACATCTCAGAATGCTCCAGGTCGGCCGTTTGGTTCGCAGCAGGTTGCTCCACAAAACACCCAGCGGCAGACGGGCTTCTCTAGCACGCTTCAGACAATACCTGACATGGACACGGTTGAAGATATGGAGATGGATGACATTGACGGAGCCGACGAGACGACACCACCACCAAACTTGTACACTCAGAATCAAAATCAAACTTCACCTCAAACCTCATTCAACACTTCCGCGCAACCACAGATTCCCCAACTGAATACAAACATGATGCAAGGACATCAAGCCTATCGTCAGTCCACTCCCAACACCCCCGTGACGGCTGGTCGATCCACCTTTCAAGGCAACAACGCTTCCTCCACCCTCATGGCCAATCCAATGCAACAGTTTCAGGATCTCCAAAGCGCATATCGCGGCACCCCGGACTCTTCAGCACCGGGCACGCCTGGCGAGCTGGATGATGGGCTCATGGACGGCATGGATGACATGACAATGTCTAACAACAACCTATTCAACGGTCTCCCTAACTTTGGAAACTTTGGTTTCGGCATGAATAATGATATGATTGATCTTTGTATCGACGAGCCAGCCAAAAGACTCTTCTCGAATGGCAATCAAGGTATGCAAGGACAGAATGTGATCCACAGTCGATTGGGGTCCGGGCAGTATGGTCCTGATAGCGATATAGCCCGGACCATCCGTGAACGTCAAGCTCAGGCTGGATTACCCGATACCACAACGAACATCGCTCCTCACGAGGAGCCGAAGCCGTTCCGGTGCCCTGTCATTGGTTGCGAGAAAGCGTACAAAAACCAGAATGGCCTCAAATACCACAAAGCTGTAAGTCGTGTCCCTGATCTTTCATGTTTCCTTTGGTCCTAACCCTGTATGCAGCATGGGCATAACAACCAACGACTCCACGAAAATGGGGATGGCACATTTTCCATCGTCGACCCAGATACTCAAGCGCCATATCCTGGCACACAGGGTATGGAAAAGGAAAAGCCTTACAAGTGTGACGTTTGCCAGAAGCGTTACAAGAATCTGAATGGACTCAAATACCACAAGACGCATTCTCCGCCATGCAACCCAGAACTACAGCTGAATGCGAACAAAGGTTCAACATTGGGGATGCCCAACATGATGGGTGGCGGGAACATGGGAGCTGGACTCCAAGGAGATCTAAGCATGATGTGAGATGATATCTGGGTCACTACCAGTGATGAACATATCCTTTCCGACCCCGTTGGCTAGCATTGGCTGCCGCCAGGAGTCTATTATACCCAGTTTTGCGTACTAATGATGCGGATCACGGCCTGATCAGCAGAGAGGCCCTGCACGCTTCCCCGGGCTTGAAGAAGAGGCGGAATTGCCTGTTTATGAACGGAAGATTCTTGCAAAATGTTTTACTTAATGATCGGTGCATTCACGGAAGGCAATCTATGCAAGAGGCTATCGATGACGGCGTAGAGTTGTGTCTTGGATACGAGCACAGAAATCAGCATAGAGACTCGGTTTGTGGATTACGAAAAAAGTCGATTTTGCATGGGCGGACAGCGGCGTTCAAGTTTCAAAAAAAGACGAAATAGAAGGACGAGGACGCTGGAGGATCTGAGATACCCCCTTTTGTTCAGTCTCTCGAGTCAGAGAGCATTATCTGGGAGGCATGTCTCAAGTTCCTGGCGATGGTGATGCACACAGGTAGTTTCTACTACCAAGAGTGGATGTGTCGCGATGACAAGGCTTTATCACAGGAAGGCTATCATCATGCAGTTCTGCATAGACACTTCCTGCTATGAGGAGCTTTGGAGTTTATGGCGCCAGGTTCCAGCGATTGTCTGGCAACAAGACTAGATCGGGCTCTTGTAAATTGAAAGGGTACTGGACATCGCTGCTGCGACTTCTTAGATGCTTCTGTAACTTCCATATAGCCACGTTCGCTGCCAGAAAAAACCATTGTGGTTAGACTTGCGAACATCCAGTTAGGGTGCTATCTTGTAAGGACGAGAGATCAATGTTTTGAAGCCGTGTCGTGACTCGCGTGATCAAACTGGCAGGAGTGTATCTTTTCGAGACATGTCAAAAATGTCAATGGATGAATTCATGGCGTTTGTGCCATTTGGCCTCTTTGCGGGAGGGCGGCGCAGCAGCGGCTGCTAGTGGAACCAGTGGGCATCGAGGACGTGATTCGACGCGCGTAAAGTAACGGAAAAAAGGGCGCCGGAGGGCAGGGCCCAAAGGGAAAAGAAAGGACATGCATGCCCGGCGCCCGCTCCCTGTCTGCCCCTGGCGATTTGTTCCCTTCTTTGGCCATACGGAGTGCTGTCTCTACAAAACACTGCAGTCGTTTTGAGACCGCGGCCACCTCGCTTCACTCCTTCGAGCATCCTCTCTGCATCTTGTCGCGCCCAGTCTTTCGTCCATTCTGCAACTCGTCGCTCGTTCTGCCTCATTACAATCTCGAAATCCCATCGCAATCCTCCAGCAGAATTATTCCGAAACACTTCCAGCACAAGCCTTGGAGATCGGCCACCTGTCCAACGGCCTCGAGATCATTGCCCTACAACCTGCATCGTTCGGATGCGGTAACTACTCGTAGTCGGCGCCCTCAGCCTTCCTCCGATCGAGAAAATCTACATCTTGTCCAGCGCGACATAAGGAGCGGAAACATCCCACCCCTGCCATAATCGCGATCGGCGCCAACCGCCGCAATCATGAGCGACGCGCCCATTTTCAACATGTTGGAAGATAAATACATTGGCCTCGGTCTGGCCATCACTTCGACGCTGGCAATTGGCACGAGCTTTGTCATCACGAAGAAAGGACTGAACGATGCGGCACAAAGACACGGATTCGAAGGAGATGGTTTCGCATATTTAAAGACACCACTATGGTGGGCCGGTATAACGTCCCTGATCTTGGGCGAGGTTGCCAACTTCGCTGCATATGCCTTTGCACCTGCGATTCTGGTGACACCGTTAGGAGCCCTCAGTGTGCTCATTGGAGCCGTTTTGGGCTCCTACTTTTTGGCCGAAGAGCTGGGCGTGTTGGGCAAGTTAGGCTGTGCCATCTGTCTCCTAGGATCCGTGATCATTGTGTTGCATGCACCTCCGGACAAGGAAATCGAAACAGTGGATCAGATCTTAGCATTCGCTATCAGACCTGGTAAGAACATGCGCCGATGTGTCCATGTGAGAGGTGCAGAATGCTTACCATGAATTGCACAGGTTTCATCATCTACTGTTTGGCCGCCATTGTATTTTCGACTGTGATGATATACAAGGTGGCACCTCAATACGGCAAGAGGAACCCTTTGATTTACATTTCTATCTGCTCGACAGTCGGCTCGATCTCTGTCATGTCGGTCAAAGCGTTTGGCATTGCGCTGAAATTGACCTTTGCTGGGAGCAATCAGTTTTCACATCCTTCGACTTATGTTTTTATGATTGTAACGATTGTCTGCATTTTGACGCAGATGAACTATTTCAACAAGGCGCTGAGCCAATTCTCGACGTCGATTGTAAATCCTCTGTACTATGTCACCTTCACTACGGCCACCCTCTGTGCGTCGTTTATCTTGTTCCAGGGCTTCAACACCACGGATGCGGTCAACACCATTTCTCTGTTGTCCGGCTTTCTGGTCATCTTCTCGGGTGTCTACCTACTCAACTTGTCCAGGGGCGATCCAGACGGACATCGATTATTGAATGGCAAGATTTCGGACGATGATGGCATTCCAACAGACCCGCTTGCTCAACTACAAACGCGAAGAAGCATGCAGTTGAGGCGAAGCCTGGATCCACATCGACGGAGTAGCAGTCTTACTTACACCCCTGGAGGAGTACGGACAACGAGCGCCGAAAGTGCGGGATTGATGCACAGTTACGATGTTGAGCAAAACGCATTCGGGTTGACTGATCTAGTAGAGGATCCGCAAGAGGTACCAGGAGCAAACGGGAATGCAAGTCGAAGTCCTCCTCTTAGCAACGGCGACTTGACAAAGGTATATCACAAGCCACATCAAAAGACTTTGAGTCGATAACAGCAAAAATGAGGGCGGACTAAAGATATTTTATTTTCCTTGTAACGTTAACCATGCATCGGAACGGGTCTCAGCGATGAAAAACAGCATTTGCAGGTATGGGAAATGGACGACGGGCCAGGCGTTGGATGCATGAGCTGCGTTGTTTGAGGATAGCGTATCAATTGCCCTTAGATACACATGGAAACACTGGTCGCTGTAATGTGACAACGTTTGCTCAGTCAAACACTGATTGGGACAGACAACATCATTACGTAGAGGTGCCAGGGAGTTGTATAGGTATGTATATATGATGATGGTGGTGACAATCACCCTGTGTTGGTTGCGATAAAAGATGACCAACAAGGCTTCGAGGCACGTGGTCAATATGATTGATTGCAGTGATTGTTGCTGTTGAACGAAAATTAAATGGTGGAAAACCAAGATCTGAGCTGTTTTGGACCTTTCCACTTCTTGGTTTGTCCCTGGTTATTTCTTAGCCTTTTATTCTCTCGATTCCTGTATGAGTGTGTCCCCTACAACTCCTGTCTTTTATCTTTCATAAGAAGCTGCGTGATTCCGAACAGGCGATACAATTTCGGTGAATTGTGGCCCCCAGGCGGCCAACTCCAACATCAACACTATGGCATCATATTCGTCTAGTCTCTCTCCCACCACTACACGCGATGCTCAAACACCCAGGACGGGACCACAAAAGGGTACGCTATCCTGTTCGCTATACCTCACACATTGACCATGACAATCGTCTATCTACACCCTTCCAAGGCAAACGTTCCTTTTGTACCTGCAATTTTCCATTATCCCAACCCCAGAAAGCAAACGCACGTGAACCTGCCTGAATGGCCATATTGTCACGCGACACCAGCATCGATGCGTTTGCTGGGAGGACATTGGCTTTTAAACTCCCAACCTCTTCTCGCGATGTCTCTTGTTGATCTACTCGATGAAGCACCCGGCGCTGACTTGCTCTATCTCTCTTGAACTAGGTGTGACCATCTTTGACGAGCCCGAAACAATCGAGCCAGCCAGACTCGACGATTACGATGCAGGACCGTCCCCTAACCTTGTCGGCTCACAAAGCCCCAAACTCCATCGTGCAAGTATGTCGGGCAAGAAAATGACCGGCCGCCCAGCTTGCAATCGTGGTGGTTCTTCCGCCTCACTGTTTCAACCCATGTCGTATCTCAGCCTCGACAAGACCGAGTCCGAGCCAGTGGGAACGCCGACCGAGCCCAAGACTCCGGCGGATTTACGGACTGTGCTTTCACAAGTCGTCGATTGGTTTCAGGAAGAGAAAGACAGACGCCGGAAGCATCGCCATCATCGTCGTTATCTTCACCCACTTCATCACCGAACACCAAGTCAGCCTACCGAGGACAAATCTGACGATGTTCCGGACGACAATGACGCTGACATCGCCCTGGACAAGCTTGAACAAATCCTCTCAGGATTTGCTTCCTCATCCCTAGCATCTTTACCCAAACAATCGCACAAATCGTCCAGCTCTCCCGCTCGAAAAGGGTCGATAGCTAAGAAGTTCAAGCGAGGCTCTGTCGTCCCTGCATCTTCCGACACGGAGTTCTTCGGGGATGATGTACTGGTGCCCAACGTGGAAGCCCACTTGGACAACTCAAAGACCATGGCTTTCACTGGTGGTGCCGCCGACACGGAAGATACCGACAACGGAAAGAAGAAAGACTACGAACATTGGGTCCGTTTCAAGCAGGACATTGTACGTTTGACACATACTCTCAAGCTCAAAGGCTGGCGACGAATCCCTATCGATCGAGCTCAAGACATTGAAGTTGTCCGCTTGAGTGGAGCCCTCACCAATGCAGTCTACGTGGTTCGGCCGCCGCAGAACATGTCTGAGTACGAAAATCCTGCTCCTACTCCTTCTGATTCCTCAGCCGCACCCGCACCGGTTCCCAAGCGCCGTCCCATCCAGCTGTTACTACGAATTTATGGTCCACAAGTCGAACACCTGATTGACCGGGAGTCTGAACTCATGATACTTCGCCGTCTCGCCCGAAAGAAGATTGGTCCTAAAATGCTGGGGTCGTTCGAAAATGGCCGTTTCGAGGAGTTCTTGCATGCAAGGACGCTGACCGCCGAAGATCTGCGTATGCCCGAAACATCCAAGCAGATCGCCAAACGAATGCGAGAACTTCACGAGGGAATCGAGCTACTCGAGTCGGAACTCGAGGCTGGTCCTGCCGTGTTCCTGAATTGGGATAAATGGGTTGACCGTGTCGAAAAGGTCATCATGTGGCTCGACAATCAAGTGCATCTGGCTGAAGCGGAGGCCAACGCCGGTACGCCTCGACGCGGCTCCGTTGTGAACCCAAGGTACATACGGAGGGGTCTGATTTGTGGTGTTGCATGGCCGGTTTTCCGCAAGACGTATGAAGCATATCGCAGACGCCTGATATCCGACAGCGGCGGAATGGAAAAGATCCGTGACCAACTGGTTTTTGCACACAATGACACTCAGTATGGCAATCTTATGCGACTTGAACCGTCAGGCACATCACCCCTGCTTCAACCGGCGAACCAACACAAGCAGCTTGTAGTTATTGACTTTGAGTATGCTTCACAAAACATGGTTGGAATGGAGTTTGCCAACCATTTCACAGAATGGTGCTACAACTATCACCATTCCGAGTACAGCCATGCCTGTGATACGAGGAGATATCCCAGTGAAAGTGAACAATACCGGTTTGTGCGGGCGTATGTCATGCATCGACCGCAGTTCGCAGCGGCGGCGAGCGCGACGCCGAAGATGGAGGGGCGGGAAAAGACAAATATCAGCGATTTTATGCTCGACGCGAGGGCACCACCGGGAGGTTCAGGGACAGGTGCGGAGGTGGACTATGACTCAGAAGAGAAAGAGCGAGAGAAGGCTCAAGAGGAGGACATCCAACGCTTGCTGAAAGAGACTAGAGTCTGGAGGGCAGCCAACTCTGCGCAATGGGTGGCTTGGGGCATCGTGCAGGCCAAAGTACCCGAGCTGGACGCGCTAGAGAAGAGAAAGAGCATGAAAGGTCGGGCTGGCGCGGCCGTGGACAAGGCAAAAGAGATGGCGGGTGCGGCGAGAGATTTCTACACGCAGCAAAGGGAAAACTATAACAGACGCCTGCATCCTTTATCCGATCCAATGAACGAGGAAGATAAGAGACTGCGAGAGGAGAGCCAGCAGGACAGACCCGAAGGTAGGATCCAAGAGGAAGCGCATCGTGAGGGCGATGAGAATGTCGCAGTCGCGGAGAAGGGTGAAGGCGACAGTGAGATTGTTGAGTTCAATGGTGAAGATGAAGAGCCGCACGAGGACGAGTTTGATTACCTCGCTTACGCGCAGGATCGGGCCATGTTCTTCTGGGGTGATTGCGTGCAGATGGGCTTGGTCAAGTTGGAGGAATTGCCCGAGGATCTGAGGAACAGGATCAGGATTGTGCCGAATTAGGGGGGGCAACTGTGTCGTGGCACCCCACATGTAGTAATGTTGCGAGCTTGCTCTCAGGTCGTCTCTGAGTGTTTACAGATCAGATTTTACCAGGTATCTAGATACCATTTCCGTGGCTTCGTAGAGTACAATATAGTACAGTAAGGTAGATAGCTACCTAGGTATCAAATCTTGATCTTGATTCCGGTGTGATCCAAACCCAACGCCACACCCGTCACGGCCGCCGCATACACCATCAACACGCCCATCGCGCCAAGGGGGCTCATATCGAGTGTATTCACGGTCAAGTTGACCAGTCCGGTCAGTAGGTTTGCCAGCAAGAAGATGACAAGCCCATTATTGTTGAAGACACGGAGGATGCGCGACGTGGCGAACCTTACACTTTCGCTGTCGGAATATGAGAAGGCAGGCCCACATGCCTCGACCAACGCGAAGAGAAAGAGCTGGGCGTTGTTGAAAGCCGCGACCCACGTTACATATGGCGAGTTCGCGAGGCGACGGGACACGCTGAGATTGAACCCGATATAGTGGGTGGAGAGGATGAAGAGGGCAGTGTAGACTGCTGCGCGGATGGCAAGCGTGCGAAGGACAATGCGGCGCTCGAGTCTGGTGGCATGAAACCACGGTTGGTCCGCATCTTTGGGTGAGGCTTTGAGCGGTACTTTGGAACCGAATTGGACGACATCAGCGCCGCAGCCGCGCCCGGCAAGAAATATGGCGAGATATCCGATGAACGAGAAGACACCCTCGCGGTTCTTGGACAGCCAGTCTGGACCGCGCGGCGAGACGAGGATGTACCGCCGGAGATCGAGCTCGGGAATATTGAGCAGGATTTCGTACGTGATGGCCAGCAACACGGCGAGGACGTCGTATGCCGATGCGCCCAGCATACGCCGCGGGACGCCCACCAGGGTATCGGCGATCTCGACGAATGGCGGCAATAAGGCTAGTGTGAAGAAAAAGTTCCAGTGCACGCCGTACTCGGTGACGTGTTCTGCGTAGTCTAGACCTTTGACGCTCCAGAGGCGGATGAGCCCGAGGACCAGTAATGGGATGGAATGCCGGATTGACGTGACGAAGCGTGCTGTGAAACTTGATTTGTTGGGTGACGACGATTTGAGCAGAGCACGCGCCGAGACCAGACCGGCTGAGAAGACGAAGGAGCCGACGCCCAGGTCCATTAGGGATGTTCCCCAGGTTTCGACCTTGGCGAAGCGTCGGGGGAAGATGCGGAAGTCGACAGACAGGATAGACAGGCATGTCACTATCATCATGCTGCCGCGATAGTGCGTGAGGAAAGGCCGGACTGGGAGTAAAGGGGCGTCATTGGCAGTGCTGGTCTGATCTTTGGACTTCGACTTTGACGGCGTGGTTGTTGACCCGTTCGCGCGGGATTTTGTGTTTGGATTTGATGACGCTGGGGTGAGCGTGAGGAGCAGTACTGCTGGGGTGATGAGAAAGATGCTCAGAACCAAGGGCGCGGAGCTGTAGAGCGTGGTTGCGAAGAGAATGGCGCAGACATTGAGTAGGAAATCCGCGGCCAATGCGATGGGCGTGTATGGGGTGAAGAGAGATTGACGTTTTTGCAGAGCTGTCCATAAGAGGACAGCCGCCTAGATAGTTCTGGTACTCAGCATTTGTCCGTGTGTTAGAGCAATAAGTCACTGATAGTAAGGCTGAATGTATAGAAAGACTAGGTTGAAGGGTTGAGGACGTACACTTGCAACGAGGGTGACCAGGTTGATCTCGGTCAGCGAGCTGCCTGACAGGTTCGAGACGAATGCCTCCTTGCGGGCTTTGTAGCTCGCTGCTTGATCTGGAGTCATGATGCTCTAAGCCGAGTCATGTCTATAGTAGAAGGGAGGTAGCTCAAGGTGAGGCGATTGATACTTGATACTGTCTCGAAGCAGTAGAAACTTATGCCAAGTCCTTCCTGTCTGGGTTTACTGACATACTAATGTAGTCGAAGTTAGAGAGTCTGTATAGTAGGTGTGAATGGTCTGCCCAAGTTATCCCTACGGTCGATCATCCGGGCCTTGATCTTCATGTGGAGAGGCCAAAATATTTGGAGATTTCAATGTTTGCGACTTTTTCAATTTCGTGCCAGCACGAGAGAAGAGACTGACAGAGCGCAACGGCAGGCCTTCGCTCGCAGTCATACGTCTCCCGTAATGAGCTCGGTCACCTTGTGATATCATTCATCAATCATGGACTTGACCGCCGACTTCAAGACCTTTCAAGGTCAGGTTCAAACAGCCCTCGTTGCTGTGACGAGGACCGCGGGACAAATTGCGAACGAGGATCTGGGCTTCCACCGATCGTCCAGCGAGAAGCTATCACGCTCACTTGACCGTCAGAATGCCCATCTACTTCGCTTGACCAACAAACTTCTCAAAGCCGTCAGCAAAGATACCGGCAACAAACCGCCCACGCTCCAGAACCAGGATGGCATTGACGACAATTGGCGTCGTGTTGTTGACGTGGTTGATAATCTTCTCGAAAAAGCCGACTCTGCACTTGATGAAGTTTCCGGTGTCCTCAAACGACAAAGTCCTGCTCCTCAAGATGGGACACTGTCGCCTAAGCAAAGTGGAAGAGTTGGCAGGGGTTTTCAAAGAGCATTTGCGCCAGTCACGCAAAAGCCGCAGCGCTCGTTCGATAGAAAGGTCAACAATGCTGACAACGCGCCTTTCAAGGCTCTTCTCCAGAACAAACCGCATGCGATAGTGCCGCTTGAGGAGTGCATCGGCGATGAGCAGACTGGGTGAGTGCCGACACCTCTTACGAGGGGTAACGAGGCTAATTGAAATGCAGTTACAAACACCCATATGCACCAGAAATCGAGAACTATACCTATCCCGCCTCAGTATATCAGATCCAGCCTCCCATACCATTTACACCCGCAGAGGACAGTCAGCCGATATTCATCGATACTGAAGAAGGAGTGAAGGAGATGGTGCAGGAATTGAAACAGGCCACAGAAATTGCTATTGATCTTGAGCATAATGACCAGCGCTCTTACATCGGCATGGTCTGTCTCATGCAGATCAGCACAAGAGACAAGGATTGGATCATTGACACGCTGAAGCCATGGCGTGAGAATCTGCAAGTCCTCAACGAGGTCTTTGCGGACCCCAAAATCCTAAAGCTATTTCACGGCTCCAACATGGATATGATCTGGCTGCAGCGTGATCTTGGTCTCTACGTCGTTGGCCTCTTCGACACCTACCATGCTTCGGTTGCTTTACAGTTTCCGGGAAAGGGGCTCAAGCACCTGTTGGAGCGATTCGCAAACTTCGAAGCACAAAAGCAGTACCAAACCGCAGATTGGCGCATCAGACCTTTACCTGTCGAGCTAGTCGACTATGCACGCTCAGATACCCACTTCCTACTAAACATATACGATAACATCCGCAATATGCTCGTTGAAGCATCAACTCCCAACGAAAACCTCATTGATTTCGTCCTTCGAGAATCCAAGAAGGAGGCTCTGCAGGTCTACGAACGTCCAGTCTATGACATGGAAACAGGTCGTGGCCCCCTTGGATGGCTCGGGCTTCTGATGCAGCGATCTGTCAGCTTCAGTCCTCAGCAATTCAGTGTATTTCGAGCCGTACACGAATGGCGCGACCGGAAAGCAAGAGAGTTGGATGAGGGTCTTCAGTTCATCATGTCCAACAACATGGTCTTCCAGGTTGCCGAAAGCATGCCAATGTCGGCCTTCAACTTCCATGCCTCTTGCAGGGGTGCCACTAAAAACATTATGGGCTACCTCCCAGAACTTATCGAGATCATCAAGAAAGCCAAGGCCGAAGGCACTGAAGGTAAATCCGTCCAGGAAGTGCTGAAGCACAGCGAAGAGGTCTATGGGATTATTCCACGGCCGGGTCGAGGTCCTAGGAAGGAGAAAAAGGAGCCACAAACCACATTTCAAGGACTTGGTGCCACTCTACGAGACCTGGCAGCAAGTGGAGATGTCGGTGCCGCAACGCCAACCCTCAACCACGACGGGCCTATGGATGTGGATGTGCCTGTCGCCGAGCGGTCTTCGGCTTCTCACTTCTGGGGCAATGTGGCGCCACAGTACGCACACTTACCTGCTGACGCTGTGACCGCAATCAATGCACTGGCTGCTGTTCTGCCGCTTGCAGCAGCTACCGCCGAGGCCAATCTGGAAGCAGCTCCTACTCAATTGCTGCCTGAGCCAACACCGTCTGCCGCCAAAACTATCACACAGAAGCAGACCGCTCCTAAATCCTCCGAGATATTTACACTCAACGAGCTCTCCCGGTCAAAGAAGCGCAAGGCGGCTGATGATGAGGAGGAGGAGGATGTGGACATGATTGCGCCAACTCCCAATGGGTCGTCTCCGGCTGACGCATCTGCATCACCACTGCCAGACAAACCTGAGTACGAAACCCAGCGACAAGCGAAAAAGCAAAGAAAAGCTGAAAAGAAAGCGCGCAAGAAGGCCGAGAAGGATGCCGCGGATGCCGCGGCCGCAGCAGCTCAGCCATTCGACTATGATGCTGCTGAGTCTTTGCTCAAACCAGCTGCACAAGCGACGCAACAGGATGGTCAGGCTGCGAAGAGAATGAACCCGTTTGCAAAGGCGCTGGATGCAAGCACGGGCGCGAGACGTGGAAAGATGGGCAAGGAATTGGCTGGAAAGAGTATGACTTTCAAGTCTTAGATTTCTGCGGTCATTGTACAGAAAGGCTTTGAGAGCACTATTGGACACATCAATAGCCTGGGTGAACGCCACATCGCCATATGCAAGCTACGTGGCATTACTATGTGCAGAGTCTCATAGCCAGTTTATGCTTGATTTGCATGGTCGATTCCGAGCTCAGCATGTATCAGTTCCATGCGCACTCTCTGCTCATCAGAGATTTGATTGCATCTGCCGCTTGTCCTCCCTTGAAACCCCACCAGCTTAGGTAGTTGGTCATCCATGTCTGTATCCGCGGTCTTGCGCGTAGGAGTTCAGGACCAGCCTCAACGACCACATAGCGTGGACTTTTCAACCACCACGTTCCAAATAAAGCCCCTCTTGCACTACGGCGTCCAAGCAATGCAATCGGCAAAGTACTTGTCTGCTGGATCACCAGGTCTCTGAGAAACGGTCTTCAAGCACCGTGTCCCAGCCTGCAAGTCTCGATAAATACAGAAACAGGCTCTTTTGCAAGCCCGCCGCAGAGTCCGACGTGCTGACCCCGTCCCCAGCATTCCTGCCGAGTCCAGAATTGAAATCCCATGGGCCGTCTTTAGATCCCATTCCGTAAAATGTAAGGTGCAACGCTCTAGGTCTTTCGCGCACGCTGTCGAAGAAAGCCTTCCATTCACCATCTGGTCCGGCAATTTTGCATTTTTCCAGCGACAGCGTCTGAAGAGCAGCGCAGGAGGCGATAAAGCTGGTGAAATATGATGTCCAGAGGTTGAAGGATTTGAGATCGAGGAATCGAAGGCAGGGAAACTCTCCATTGTACCCGAAAAACGGCAAAAGGTCTGATCGCCTCGGTGCCATCGGCCAGCTTCGACGCAGCAATATGATGTGCTGCACTGTCTTGCGGACTTCCCACAGAGCGTCAGAGACGAGTACAGAGGCTTTTCCATCTCGTGCAGAATCGTCTGAATGACCACGCATGCCGTAGGGTAACTCTTTGATGATCAGGGTTTCGACTTGTTCCAGTATCGCTGTCCTCCAGCGTAGAGCACGCCAGTTGGCTGTCGTGGCATCCATCAGCTCGCACTCGATGGAAAGATTCTTGATTGGAAGTGAGGAGGCAAGAGCGCCGTACACTGCTGTCAAAAGGCAGTCTCCGCTGCTTCCAGCCATGGCATCTATCAAGCCGACGTTCTCGCAACAGGTATGGCATTCTCCACAGTCGACTTGGACGAGCGGGTAGGGCATCTGTGATGTAGCTTGCGATGCAGGACATAGTTTGATGGTGTCTACGTACTGGGAGAAGCGCAGCATCTTCACCCATACTTTTGCCAACCATCCGTCAATGGCAGAATGCTTGTCTTCGCATGCGCGTTCCATGTATGACTGATAACGCATCAAAATCTCGTCTCGGGAAAGAGGGTACCGGCCGTCACATGTTTCTTGGAAGTTGTTCCGGACCAAACGCGCACTGCAGCGCTCACACAAGTTGGAATCTGTGATCTGTGCGTTGTGCAGGTCTAGCATTTTCTTGAAATCCGAGAACTTGAGGTTATAGAAGTACGGCGATGGAAAGAAGTTGATTTGGCGTATAGACGGCCCGATGGCACTGAAGTCTGTCTGCTCGACTCTCAACATATTGTTCTTCGTTGCGTAGAGGTTGATACTGCTGAACAGGACGGTCTTGATAAGCCCCATCTGTGCGAGTTCCCGACATGTCAGGCGCAGTGAGCATAGCACTGAGACAGCTTTCCTACTCAGGCACGCGTGTTAGTGACCATCAGAGGAGATTCAAGAAACAGGACCAGTCTTACTTGCACAGGGCGTTATCCTTAAGGTCATCGACCAATTGCATGGCAATGGTGCGTAGCACTATGCTTGGAAGGGTCGCCATGACTTCGGCGCAGGGTATCTTTGTTGATGGGACCAAGGTTTCAAGAGGTCTTGACTTGTCGAAGAAGTGAGACTGTTTATGTACCTGGGTATGTAGCGGGGGTGAATATTCTAGATGACTGCCTTTCTCAAAAAGTCAAGCAGGCGGTAAGTGAGGTTGAAGTGAAAAGTGACGATAAGGCTGCCTTCACTTTCTGGAAGGATAAGAGTGAGCGACAAGTGAGGAAGGTGATTAGCAAGGACAGATTGGGTTGTTTCTTCGTGCATTCACTGAAACCATAAGTATTTCATTTGAATAGCCAGACATTCCAAAAAGGCCTACTCACGACAAAGATTGAATTCAGGATACCACCAAGGCCACCATTGTTTTGCACTTGCTGAGATGCCATAATAGCACCAACACCACCCCGGCACAGAACAGAGCACCTAGGTGTCGATGCGATGGTGTCCTCCTCCGCCTCCAGACACGACGCTGCGCCCATTGCCCACTGCCCATTGCCCAAACTGTCGCGCCATATTCAGGACCAGCCAAAACAAGCAGCGAGCGTAGTGTTCCAATCCCCTTTGTTAGAAAGGTAGCGCCCGAGACTCCATTCTATTGGCGAGGGTGCGGAATGAACTTCATGTGAGGTGTCGAAACACACAGCGTTGATTCTCTTGCCAGGATAGTTTTCGTGAAATCTGAGATGCAGGGGAGTTGGTCTTTGGCGAATCGCGTCGAATATGATCTTCCATTGATGTACTTCACCACTTGGCTGGGAGTGACTGATCTCGATCCAAGTCAATGCCTCAAAGCGAAGTATGTCAGCGGCAAGCCTTGCAGATGAAAAATCCACGCCATCAAGCCGCAATCTGCGAAGATACAGGAAGTTGAATTTGGCGATGGCGATGCGGTCCCAGTAGAAAATTTCTCCGTAACGGTGATTTTGCACTAGCTCAAAAGACCGTAAGGTGCTATGGGACGTTTCAAGCATAGTCTTTGCCCAAACTGTATCATACCGTTCTTCTTCCTCATCCCCTGGTTCTTCCTCATCTCGTGGTTCTTCCCATGCCGGAGGCGGCAGAGGACGAAATGAGAGTTCTTGTAACCCTTCAAGACTGACAGAATCCCAATATTTTGGAGCCTGAGTTATTGGAAGCTCGAAACCAAAAGTCAGCGATTTGAGTGATCTTCTGCTCGATATAAGACACTGCGCTACTGCACTCGCGAGGAGGTCGCCAGGAGTGAAAAGCAGCTCGCTCAGGAAGCTTTGCGATGAGCCGCAGCAGTCGCGCCTTGACGGGAAAACGCCTCGCTGCAAACTGAAGGAGCCTGCTTCGCAGGTGTCTGTGACTGAACCAAGACAGATGGACTCAAGCCTGTTAAATGCTGACAATGCCGACGTCCAAGCACATTGCAAAGTACCATTAGTGATGAGATTGGCGTCATCCTGGGTGCGAGTCTTGTATGCAGCGTATCGAGAATGGCCCTCTTGCACCGAAAGATCCAGCACACGACCTCCACTATTTTCATAGGGGTTGTAATCGCAGACGTGACACTTTTCGGGTTCCCTCTCAAAGACGGATTGCACAAATAGTATCAATCTAAAATGCTGAAAGTCGACATCGGAAGAGAACGGTGATGCGTAGAATCTGATGCTGCGTACAAAAGGGGCAAACGCTTTTGCGATATTGGTCTGGCGCAGTCGAGACAGATTATCATTCGTGGCATGGAGATTGAGCTCTTCGAACAGGGCGGCTCTGATAGTCCACATTTCGGCAAGCTCCTGGCACGTCAGTCGCAGCGAGCAAAGTGTCGAGATGGTTTCCCTTGACACAAGTCAGTGATGGCATCGTACTGCAAACATCAACTCTCTTACTGGCGCACGTCAGGGTCTTCGAGGTCCTCAATCAGTCTTTCTGCGATGGTGCGTAGGACCAGGCTTGGAAGCTGCAGATCCATAGTGGGTGGCTATTGACTTCCAGGTTGGTTCCCTGCACATGAGGGTTGGTAGACGGTTATTCAGTAGGATAAGACAAGGTAGCCAACTCGTAAATGCTACGCGCAGTGAGGGATAAGGCAAGGTTGAAAAGCTGGAGTACTGGCTTTTGAAACCGAATCGAACACAAGGCGGGCTGGGAAGGCTGGTACATTCACTGCCTCAATCGAAAGATAGTGCACCTTGACAGTGAAGAGCTGGCAAGCCTGTTTCCAGAAAAAGTGGCACGGTCTGACCGTTGTTGCTCTTCAAGTTCAAATAGATACCTTCCCTTCTTGTCGTCCGAGAGGCCTTTGCAGACAACGATGTATCATTGATCATTGGAATGAGGAAGCCCATCAGCTCTACCGTCGGCTCGTATTAGGTTAAAGTCAAGGTAGTCACTGTCGCGAGCTTGCTGGACCATGTACTTATATCCTCGTTGTACGCCCAGTCAGACGGCGCCAGTTTTTCTGGAAACAGGCTCGCTGGCACGGAAGAATTTCTAGCAAATCTCGTCATGAACAGGGCGAGCAAAATATGAATCGTAAATTCCCTCAGCAAGGCTATCATGCGCCCGTCAACTAAAGGATGCTCAAAGATGCTGGACTCACTCAGGAACGCCGTCTCTAGTACACACACCCATTTGCGTAAGTAATTCTTCATTCGGTCCTCGACAAGTCCCTTGTTGCCGAGGGTTGATGAATTGCATGAATCAATAGACCGGGGTTCCCACGAAGAGAAGTCCAATGTTCACTGCGCCGGAGAAATCAATGCTGCCTTCTACAGCGCAAGCTCCGCCTGCATTCGTTTCAATTCTTCCTCCTCGTCCTCTTCTTGAGTTGTTTGTTTGACTATCTCGAAGGTCAGCAATGTGGATAATGCTTGATGGCTTCTTGGGAAAGACTTACGCGGAGCATTGGATACACTGGGCAGCCGGCTGACTTCGCCTCCAACAGGTGTAGGACCAGTCTTTAACATTCTTTCGTCCATTGCCTCTTGCTCCAAACCTTCCAGTTCCTCCTCAAGATCAGCCTCATCAAGTGGCTCGCCAATAGGTGCGTTCGTGATCGCACTGGCAATTTCTTCCCCAAGTGCATGTTGTTCACGCAGTTCATCCATCGTCTGGTCCACTTTATCTATCGTCAGATTGCCATGGATCTGTTTCATTGCTGCACCAGCATTCTTCATTGCATTCAGGGTTTCCTGGTTGATGTTGGCGGCCTCAATAGAGTATATTTGCTGTTCGATCTGTGCGATTTGCGCTGAAGTCTGTTCAAGAGTTCGTTCATGCAGCTTCTTCCGTCGAAGAGCAGATTTGGCGGCTATGCGGATAATGTTAGTACATATGGCTTACATTGTACATGTGATTCCCATGAATGTGCCGGGCTTACTTACCCGTCTTGTTCGTGGTAACATTTTTCCTGGCAATAGCATCTTGTTCTGCCATCTGGTTTTCTAAATGCTTCTCTCTTTTCTGTAACATGTCCAATTGTTGCCGTAACTTGAGAATGGCATTCTTTGGGGCATCTTTGCGCGCCTGGGCTCCGGCCCCTCCAAACCAACTCCACATATTGTCCGCTGGAGTGTAGGACACTCGGCTCTGAAAAATGTAGGCAGATAGACGTGCGGTCCCTGATAGTAGTCGACAGTATATTCGAGGCTGGTTGGTTTGTACACCGTTGTCTGATAACAAGTCTTCGAAGGCCTTTATTCGTTATCGCGTGTTCACCGGAGACGGAATTTCGCAGCGCTGAGTAAGAAGGTTGCTTGTAGAAGAGAAAGACTGTAAAGGCCTAGTCAACGGCAATCACGGACTGGAGGAGCCTAAGGACTGAGAGACGGAAGTAGAAGGCAGACGTGGTAGGCGGTTTCTTTGATGAGAGCCTGGCACTTGATCTGGAAGAGTCTCCAGGCATGACATCGTCAGGTTGCTTCATTCAAGCGGCCACTCCCTCATGGTAAGCCCAAGATCGAAGGTTTGCCGAGCGCAGGCACGTGCCTAGACGCGCTAGTGGATTTCAACCAGTCACGGGTGCGTGACTTGCTAACCGTCAATATTGTACACAACAGTCAACTAACTAAGATTCAGCCTAGCATGGATAACGTTGCACAGGACACTATTGACTTGCCAGACCACCTGCCTCGAAGCATGCGATCCCGCTTCGCTTGAACAGACTGATCAGTCATGTATCGTGAGCAATGAGCGAAGTTGCGACTAACGCGCCGGTCGCGTCCAAGTTTGTCTTTCTCTACGAAATAGCTTCTGTTCCTCCAGGAGCCAAGGTGAGGTTTCTTGGTTGGTATGCATCCCAGCTGTGTTGCCAGTCGAGCTGTTGACTAGGAAGCACAGTGTCGTGGACTATGATACAGCTAAAGGACGGCTCCTTCTTGAACACGCATACCCAAAACAAATCATTCCTACACCTCGCGTCTTCGTTGACATCAGGCTTGTTCTCGAAAGCACGAATCCTTCAGCCTTGTTCTTAGGTAGTTGGATCAATGTGATTGGCTATACCCAGAATGCAGATTCAAAGAGCCGGAAAAGGGAACTACAAATGCAATGGTTGGAAGACGGGTCTGGACTGGTACAGGCCATCCTTATTTGGAATGCTGGCTCACTCAGACTGGATGATTATGAGACTACAATCGAGGAAGAGAGGTCTATCCAGCAGCATCTACGTTCAAGTAGCAAGTGAGAGTCTCACAACCCCAAATCGACCATCCCGGTCGATGGAACACTGGCATCATAAAATGGGGGAGGTGATCTTGTATCGAATGCTACCAGGCCCAATGGAGCTTGACAAACCCCATACAGCCAGGCTCGTCCCCAGTTCGCTGCAGGATTCCACAGCATTCTCGATCCTTGATTCCAAAATCTGCATTTGCCTTGTGGAGCTTTGCGAGACCTTCTCAGCCATGTCTCAACAAGAGACCACCACACTACGCCATTTGCGTCTACTGGATTGACTGTTATTGCCATGTTCATCCAGCAAGCTCTTCCTCGCAGACGGCGATTTGCTGTTTCGAGGCGTTCCAAGCATGATGCCAGGGTCCATTGCAGGTGTTGAGCAACCTCGGTGCTTCATCGCCACGGATGCATACTGTGAGCTGTGCTCGGAAACACTGTACCAGCATCGGTGGAGGCAAGAAGGCCTGTTATGGGCCATCAATGATCAAATTCCGTGTGAAAACTCTGTGCCTTGTCAGTATTGCAATGTCATGGACGAGACCAGACATATCAGAGTGCCAACATCCAATCTTAGCGGTTCGTCATTTCCCACGATCAACATGTCTTACTATGCATTTTCTCTGGACGGCTTCTCTCACCTCCGCATCGCGGCGGCGCTGTAAGCCCGCCCACAGCCCAGACCATTTTCTCTGCCCATCTCGCGTCGTCTCTGGAGCGCTCATATCTTGATGAAAACCCACCTTCTCCGAATCCCTCCTCACAAGAACGCACCACCACCAAAGCTCGTTCCAATGTCACCCAACGACGAAGCAGAGCCCCAGCCCTCAATACTCATTCATGATGACTCTTCTCCAGTCTCTCCTAACATACCAACCCTCCTCGTTACGGATCAGGTGATGGCCACCGACACCGACCTGCCGTCTACGTCCAGCACTCCACCAACATCAGAACAGAACGTCACTCCGGCACACTTGTCGAGTTCCGGTTCAACCGCAGGCGTACAAGTCGGCGTCAACTCCCTTCCACGACTAAAGACACTGCTACACCGAGAAAGCGATTTTCGTAACAGCTCGACCACAGAACTGCGAGACCTCAAAAATGACATGATGTGCAACTGGCTCCATCAGCAACAGCTCGAGCGGATGTGGTCGACCAATGGCATTGAGGAGGGCGTCATGTTGAAGAAAGCAAAAGACGACTACAAATGCGCTCCAGAAGACCTTCGCTCCCGTCCGGACGGCTTGTTTGGTGCAGTGCAAAAGCTCAACGTCAAGGTAAACAAGCATAGATTTCCTGACACTCCTGAAACATCTACTAACGCCTTTGATTAGTGCGCGATGACAGTAAACACGGCCATCATCAAACTCTTTCTCCATGACAACTCGCTCAAGTATGTGCCCCTGGAGTCGGGGCTGCGCCTTCAAATTCTGCCCAGCATCTCGTACTTGCCCGAATGCCAGAAGCACCACTTTGCCGCCTTCATCCAGGATTACAAGATCCTCGTGGTCTGGGATGACGACCCCAATCATCTCTTACAACGCGTCCAAAACATCGAAGAACAGCTCATCAGCATGGTCTGGAAAGAACAGGCCGATGACGACGAATCTGCCCCTCCATACACAAGCGCAATGCCCAGCACGGTCAATCTGAACAGCGGCGAAGGAGAGCAAGATGTCGAAAACACAACGGTCCTCCCACATCGACGAATCGTTCTAATCCAACCCATACTCACAGCCATCACATTGATCCTGCTCATCAGCGCCATCAGCACCGGCTGGCGAGCGATGGCGATCGAAATCAAAGTCGACAAGAACTGGTTGCGGCTCGCATTTCTGCTTGTCGTCCCTCTCCAATGCTGGCTAGGTCTGTTCTTCATGCAATCCACCGCATCATGCGTAGCTCAGATTTTGGGTCCCATCAGCCAAATGTCGGCCAATACCAAGTTTTTCTCAGGCCAAGCGCCACCCCGTCTACCACTCACTGCATCCTTCCCGCACGTCACGATCCAATGTCCAGTATACAAGGAAGGATTGAAGTCAGTCATCGACCCAACAATCAAGTCTATCAAGGCAGCCATATCCACATACGAAATGCAAGGAGGCACCGCCAACATCTTCATCAACGACGACGGCATGCAACTCATTCCGCCTGAGCAGGCCCAGGAGAGACGCGAGTACTACGACGAGCACAACATAGGCTGGGTCGCCCGACCAAGACATGATTCCAAGCCAGCCAATGATGAACGCGCCTTCCTCAGAGCGGGCAAGTTTAAAAAGGCGTCCAACATGAACTATGCATTGAACGTGAGCGCTCGAGTCGAAGACAAACTGTTTCAGGTTGTCCGCCACGACTCCTGGACAGCAGAGAACGAGCGCGAAGCTTACGACAACGCTTTAGCCGAAGTCATTCGTGAGGATGACGGACGTACACAGGCTGAAGGCAATGTTCGTATAGGCGACTACATCCTGCTCATCGATTCCGATACCCGCGTGCCGGTCGACTGCTTCCTCGACGCGGTCAGCGAGATGGAACACTCTCCAGAAGTGGCGATCATCCAGTTTGCTTCAGGCGTCATGAACGTCACGGACAGCTGGTTTGAACAGGGCATCACCTTCTTCACGAATTTCGTGTACACGGCCATTCAGTACGCTGTGTCGAACGGGGACGTTGCTCCATTCGTGGGACATAACGCCTTTTTGCGCTGGTCAGCAGTGCAGGATGTCGCATTCACGGAGACCGACGTGAACGATGGCACGACAAAAGAAAAGTACTGGTCTGAAGCCACTGTTTCCGAGGACTTTGACATGGCTCTCCGGCTACAGACGAGCGGATATATTCTGCGTCTAGCTTCGTATACGGGTCAGGGGTTTAAGGAAGGCGTCTCTCTGACCGTCTATGATGAACTTGCGCGCTGGGAGAAATACGCATATGGCTGCTCGGAGTTGATCTTCCATCCCTTCGCGCAGTGGTTCACCAAGGGCCCTTTCACACGTCTATTTCGCAACTTCATCGCCAGCAACATGCCACTGCCTTCGAAGATCACTATCATGGCGTACGTGGGCACATATTATGCTCTCGGGTCGGCTTGGTTGCTCACGCTACTCAATTATTTCCTTATTGGTTGGTTCAATGGCCATCTGGATCATTATTATGTCGACAGCTTCACTATCTACTTTTCCCTGATCGTCATATTCACTGGCATGGGTAATCTTTCGCTGGCGGTCATGAGGTATCGCATCGAGGAGAAGACTTTGGCTTCAGCATGCCTCGAAAGTTTGCGCTGGATTCCGCTACTCACGATCTTCTTGGGTGGCATTTCGCTGCACGTCTCTCAAGCCATCTTGAGCCATCTGTTCAGCGTGGATATGAGCTGGGGAGCCACGAGTAAGGAAGCCACCGACACCAGCTTTTTCAAGGAAGTCCCGGTCGTCTTGCGCAGATTCCGTTTGACGTTTGCCTTCTGTACCGCTCTGAGTCTGGCATTGATCGTCCTGTCAGGATTTGGACCAGTTGGCAAGTTGGTTCCGTATGATTGGCAAATAACGCTCTTCACTGCCATTTGGCCTCTGGCAGTAGTCATTGGTAAGACTCTCCTGCACCATGATTCTCCCGCGCCTTTCTGACAAGAGTGTTTCTAGTCTCGCATGCATTGCTGCCGCTTGTGCTGAATCCCGGTTTGATGCAGTTCACATTCTGAGTCTGGAGAATTGGTGAACTTCATATTAGTGAAGCAGGATCGAATAATTGGATGGGGGGGTTGCTTTTGACATCTGATCATTGTCAGATCACGTTGGACGTCAGGGAGACTCCCGAAGCATATACCTTAATGTCGTACTTTGTTTCTCAGGAATGAGCCTTGTGCACTTTCCATTTCGATGGTGATGTTTCTGGTTTCCTCCCCGGTCTTGATGAGGTCCGTCTAGCAGGGTCCTCTAAAATCAAGTGTCGAACCATCCACTTATCACCCACTCCTTGTTGACATGTCGTCGCGATGGCGGTGGATTGAGTCCAACAGGTGGAAGGATGGCATATGGATGAGCAGCAGGCGGAGGCGCCAACATAACATGGTTGCTGGGCGTGACCTGATCAGGTGCGTCTGAAGTGTCCTCGCGTACTGGTTCAAACTTCCACTTTTCCCGCTCCAAGAGATCCAGCCGTCCATAGTAGAGCCATGCAGTGCGCTTGAGGGCAAACATTGCCTCGGCAACCATGAATTTGCTCAGCTCTGTCGTCAATCTCCAGCCGAATTGACTGCGAACGGTGTTGGAATCCTCACACCGATAGCGAATTTCGACGTGTTTCATCCATTTGACGCCGACGCCTAAGCCGTGAGACATATTGCTCAGAAGCTCTTCGAAGCATTTGGTGCAATGAAAGCAAACGGTCAGTTTGGATAGGAAGGGGAGTACTTCGTCTCTTGTTCGACGGCAGACGAGGAGCATTTGAAGACCATTATCGCGGATAAGGCTTTCCCTGGCGAATAGTTGGGCTACGAGGATGCTTGCACCGGGTCGTGAGGAAGCTCCAGATTGCTGCGCTGCTGAACGGCATGGTGAGCAAATATCAACGTCGAGGACGTCTTTTGGGATCAGGTGGCTGTAGATTTGAAGGCGGGTTTCGGCGGGTAGCCGGAGGAAGGCTGGAGGCTCAGTCATGGTGGTCTTGGTGCAACGAGAAGTGTTTCCATAGAGACAGGTTATTCCTCGGTCTGTCAGGGACTGAGGGACGACGCCTTCTGAGGTGGAAAGAAAGGTGAGGCGAAGGCGCTTTGGTGGGCAGTTGATGCTTGTCGGTGATTTGAATATTCAAGTAAGTAGGTGAGGACCACGACATTCACCAGGTCGCCTTGGCGGCGCCTAGCATATGCAGCCTCACTGCATGTTTCGCATGTCGATGGAGGGGAATGTGACTCGATACTCAAGCCCTGCACTGTCCAGGAAAGAGAGTCTCCTGCATAGAAGAATGTGTCTCCAAAGTATATTTGTCAAGGATTGATCAATGTTGATATTTAATACTTAGCGTCATGGGACGATTAGCTAGTATTACTATCTTGACATTGTAGCATTTTCATTTACACCTAGTATCCAAACAGAAAATCATCGATAACGAGGACAGCCAAACATATGTACAGCGGGCTCGTACGTACAAGAGCCGCCGTTTCCTTTGAAAGTTGCCAACCATATCCATCCCAGGGCATGAGGATGACCTCACCCGCACCGCGCTTCCCCTCTCTGGCGCATTTAGATGTCCTTCAGCGCCTTGAGCTCTTTCTTCTCAACAAAGTCGTCGAAATGGCTGACAGCGGCGGATCCTCCCAGAAAGACCGTCAGAATCCATTGCAACCACGCCAGGCTGGTAAGCTTGACATTGTATTGCTTGAGCTTGGTATAAGCGAAATGGGCAGTGCCTGCACCATGGACACCGATGAACCAGTAAAAGATGATATCTTGAACAGTCTTGGAGTAGGTGGCGGCTTTGACGCTTCTAGCCAGTATATGATCGTGGATGACTACATCTCATCAGAACACTATACCCGCGGTACACGAGAGAACGGAAATGAGGTGATTTTTGCAGTGATGACTTGTGAGCGAAGTGGAAACCTACCGGAGCGGGGTTCAATGAACTGCCGTCGAGACGACAGCACGAACAAGGCAGCGCCTACCAGTGTTGCGAGCCCCTTGGAGCCTCTCGGGAACTCATAGTCGTCAACGGCAAGGGAAGTGGAATCATGTGTGGCCATTGTGATGATGTACATATAGTATCGGGTGGGTTGGGAAAGAATAGGACCACTCCAGGACTCTGGGAAGATGGTAGTATATGTGTATCGTCTCTTGCTGAGCGCTGGAGTCCTGAGGCACTTCCTCTACAAGGTTCCCCGCCTTTCTTGTGGGGAGAAAAGTGATACGACGTATGGCGATTGGTGCTATTGTCCCAGGAGGAGTATCACTTTGGTATAGTCAACTGAGGAGCACGCATATCCCGACGATAGGCCAACTTGAATGAATGGATGAAACGGTGAAAGGGGAAACGCGGCAGCCCACGGTACTTGAAGGAGGAGGAGGAGGGGAGGAGGGACAACTTGTCTGGGGTTCTATTGGGACCGATCTGGAGGGGATCAACGAGAGTGGAGCACCGCCAGATATCGAGACACTTGGTCCGTTACAGTATGGTTCCCGTGTCCAGCCACACCTTAATTTTCCCAGCAATGCCCACTCTGAACTTTTTGTAAAAATCATCCTACCGCGCAGACACATACAGTCGATCGATTCAATTGATCCACATCAAGACCTCTCCTACCTGGCAAAATGCCCCCATATGAGAGCGACTCCTCAAGCGACGATGGGGAAGACTACTCAACCACCAATGTCACCCTTGGATATGCCAGCGCAGATTCAACCGGCGACGACGTCAGCCACTTAGGTGGCTATCCTACCTGGCTCGATGCTAAACAGACTCCTTCCGCTGCGCTTTCCAAGTGCAAAGTCTGCAACGGATATATGTCGCTGCTCCTGCAACTCAATGCCGATCTTCAACAGTACTTCCCTCACGACGAGCGACGCCTCCACGTGCTGTCTTGTAGGAAGAAAACATGTTCAAAGAAAATTGGTAGTGTCAGGGCTTTCCGAGAAGTGAGAAAGGGCGAGACGCGCGAGAAGAAGGGCAAACAACCAGAGCAGGTCGAAACGAAGAAGGCGACACAGGATCTCGGCGCTGCTCTATTTGGTGGGTCAGGCCCGTCACCCTCCATGAATGGTGCCAACCCATTCTCGACATCCAGTACCAGTACCAGTACGCAGTCGCAAGCAAACCCTTTCTCGTCGCTGGGATCGCCTTCGGCGCTGGCCGCAAAGCCGCCGCAGCGTCCAGGGGATGAGATTCAGCCGCCTACAGAATCCTTCGCAGACAAACTTAGAATAACAACAAAGCCCGAGTCGAGCGGGAAGGAGAAAGAACCCTCAGAAGCTTGGCCCGACAACTCTCAGTTTCCACCTGCATTTACGTCCTTCTACCTCGATGCGTACCCTGAAGAACTAGAAAAAGAACAGGCCACAGACTCAAAGGCAGAATCGTCCAAGATCCAATATGACACGGAAGAGGGCGGTAGCGGCACAGGTTTTGAAAAAGACACCTTCGAATCCTCCTTGGACAAGACGTTCCAGAAGTTCTCCGATCGAGTCGCTCAAAATCCCGAACAGGTACTACGCTACGAGTTCAAGGGCGAGCCATTACTCTACTCGGGCAGCGATGGTGTTGCCTCAAGATTCGTTGTTCCTCACGGCAAATCAGGCGCGGTAAGAGGGATGCCCAGGTGTGAAAGCTGTGGCGCGCAGAGAGCGTTCGAGTTACAGCTTGTGCCTGGGTTGATATATGAGCTAGAAAAAGATGAGGCCATGGACCTGGAAGATGGAATGGAATGGGGAACGGTGATCGTCGGCACATGTGTGAACAACTGCGGTGTGCCAGGACAGGTGTCGTTCCGAGAAGAATGGGTTGGAGTCCAGTGGGAAGAAAGAGTTGCCGGGAAGTAAGGTGTCAGCTGCGGACCGGTGCGCAACGAGACATCTCATCTACCGCTGAGATATCGAGTGGTATGGAAAGGATTGATTCTCTTTGCCGTTGGATGCAATACCCACAGTGAGGTCTGCTATTAGCAGCCGCTATGCAGCCGCTGTCCTACGGCTCATTGCTCCGTGTCATCCATGCGTCGTTGCGAACATCAGCCACGAGTTGCCAGCGTTTCAAAGAACGAGTGTCTTTCTCGAAGACCAAGGGCACGCAACAGGCACGAGACCGCCGGGCGGCTAGCTATCAGCATGCTGCATGGTCGACCGAGGAACCTTGGACTCTTCTGCCCGGATCTCCTACCCGAATCGGTTATCACGACGATGCATGGCTCACGCTAGACAGCAAGCGAATCTATATTCGTGCGTTGGCAAAAGGACTTCATTTAAAAATCAGGTTTCCTCTCCGAAGCTTACCATTACGAGTATCAGGCCTGGGAGGCGGCTCGATGGAAATTGGGGCGCTACTTGTACCCAGCCCCGCGAATTGGCCGTGGCCCGATTATGGCCGTCCAGACATGGATAAGCCTTGTCTAGTTGATCGCGCTAAGTCGCGTGTGGCGCGTGTCTCCGTGTGTTGACGCGTAAATCGAAATTCTACGCGACGTCACTTTTGGGAGAAATTTCCGTGGCACGATTCTCGTAATTCTAACTCTAGTTGATCATGCGATCTTTCAATCTTTGGAAATGAGATAGACGAAGTCACTTGCAACTAGTAGTAGTTGATTGTTGCAGGAATAGCTACTGAAGAGTGGCTTGTAAGTCGTTGGTAATCGGAGCTCAAAGGCCGGGAGAATAATGGCGCCTCCCACCTTTTTTGTGGCTCCTGTTCCCGTGTCTGCATATCAGCAACAGCAACTTGAACAAGCGAATGATACTGTAGGATTCTCTACAGAACTGTCTATACGAGTAGTAGACATCTAGGGGACGGAACACCGAATGTAAGCAGTAAGAGCCGCATGATCACCCGATCATCAATCGACCACCCTGCATCAACGACGCTTGGGGTGGACGTAAAAAGAGACGTCGGACAATATGTCAGAGACAAAAGTAATCTTGAAGACATACCATGCAGGGAATAACTTACTGGAGATCAGCAAGAAAACGAAAACCATCTCAGCTCTTGGCCGTCTACTGATATGCGGCCCATGTCCCGCAAACAGGGGGGAAAAGAAGTTTGAGTGCTTGCATAAGCTTTCCGCAATCATCAACGTCAAAAACCCCTTGAAGCCATATACTGTGGTGATAATATGGAGATTTAGTCAAAGTACGGAGGTGACTACTGCAAGCACTCTAACTACCCAACAGTCATGACGTGGCATTCTGCGAGCAATCAAACCTACCTAGGTATTCTTTATGCTCCTGAGTAAAAACCTGGTTGACAGCATCAACTAAAGGTTGTGGCGCGGTCTATCAAAAGCTATCCCGCATAAGTAATTTGGCCTTTTGACCGCCTCCAAAACATATTGTCAGGTGCCACAAGCACATAATCGTTGATCTCTGAGCACACGATACAGCAGTGCACAGCCTACGAGGTCAGAAAGAACACCGCTGTGACTTCAAGACGCTTAGATGTTTGTTCATTGATTTGATTCTCAGCTGTACTACATACTGTCTGAAGTGTACTATTCACATCAGCTAAACTATGGATCTTGAAGCGATTATCTGCTCGCACACGATGGACTGCTATGGCCTGATGACCATGCTGAGGATAAAACGTACGCAATGCAACGCAATGCACCAGCCCCGACAAAGCACAATAGAAGTATCCCACACATTGCCCCTCCTTGTAGCCATTTCCTGGGTGAATCCAGGTCCTTGCAAAACAGCAGAATTTGTTGCCTCCTTTTTCGAAACAACAACAACAATTCAAACCAGCCCTTGCATATTCCGAGCCATTTTGTATTAGCTCAAACCAGGTACCTAATCATGGTATGCGCCGTTGTAAAAGAAAATTTGTTGTATGCTATTCATAACAGTCGGAGTAGTTCGTGACAGCCCATCAAGGGATCTTTTATCATTGGTCGTAACATCCGGAGATCGACCTGCCGCTCCAACGACAGGAGATTCTCAGTCTGAGAGATATGGTACAGTCCTATGACCGTGGAATAAGTTCGTCACCCAGCTGCAGAGCGAGACCTCTGCTCGAGGGTGTCTTGCGCTGAAAGGTGGGACTGTCCGATGGAGGTTGAAGGGTGTCAAAGTTCAAGCCCCTTCGAGCAAATCGATTTGGGGTCTTTGCTATGCCTGGTGTCCGACCTCCCCATTGAGGTTGTGCCGGCGAAGGCGTGACATTGCAGAAGTCGGCCAGATTGAAGTTCTGACCAGGGGTCTGTAGAGCGCCATTGAACAACCCTAGATGTGTTCCTGGAGTGGTCATGACCGAGGAAGGTAGATGTGAGCGTTGTGACGGAGGAGTGGAAGGTGGTTCTTTGCCAACGTTGATTGCTGGTGAGCGAGACGGCGAGTTCGCCAAGTAAAGCAAAAGATCGGCTCCAGATTGTTTTGCGTTGACATTGAGTATGCGTTTCATTGGAGGTGGTGTTCGAGGAGGCGATGAGGAGAGAATGCTGCTCGAAGGTTCATTGGCAAAGGAAGGCATAGGTAGGTCATTATCATCATCGTCAGAATGAATATCGAACATAGGAGAGTCGTCATTCGAGCTATGTGGCATGTTGATGGGGTCCGTGTGGAAAAGATGGTTCTCTTGAAACGATTGTGTACGACTCAGCACAGGGGACGACTGTGCTAAGCGGGTATCTTGTTTCCAGGTCATATCATGAGACTCCTTGTCCAGTCTTGTATTTGATGACGACCTGACTCGTTTCGTCGTACCGAAGGGAGGTTGAGGGACTTTGAAAGTAGCATTGGAGGATCTTGAGAAACGGTTGTTCGCAATTGAGGGCAAGGGAGCAAAATCTTCGTCGGTGCCAGAGGAGCCATCCGAGGCAATGTCGTCCTCGAGAAACGGCCTCTTCCTCTTGAGCTTTTCTGTAAACTCGGGCTCAATGGTGGAAAGAGTTCGGTCTTGCCAGCCATTCTGGGCCTTGAAGCTTGCAAAAGCCAGACAATCTTGGAGATTTCGAGCAACCTGGTTCAAGAAAATTTTGTCAGTATTCTGGTGGGCTGGAGAAGTCGTGTGAGGTGGGTGGGCTACCTTTGCAATTTCCACTCTCCTCATTACCTTCTCTGCTACTTCAGCTGCACCAAAGGAGTGCTGGTGATGCTGTTGGTGATGCGAAGCCATGTCGTTACAAAGACCGTGAGTGACCAACATTAGGGATTGGTCCTGAACAGAGTGGTGAAGAAGGAGAAAAGGTACAGGAGTGTCAAATATGTATGTGGTATCGGTTCGGGGCACGTCAAAGCGCAGGCTAGGAAGGATAGTGCTTGTCAGGTCCAGTTCCAGTCCTAGAGGCTAGGGATCCGACGCCGTGACTCGTGGGGCCGCTTCTGGCCAGGGCAACGGGCCTATTGCGGGTGGTAACTATCACGTAGTAGTCTGGAAGATTGAGTATGAGAAGCTACCTAGGTATTGAAGGAAGAGAAGAATGTACCAAATGAGAAATGGTGGTCATAAAGAATCTCTGGTGGTTGCCCTGCTGGTCATTGGAATGCTAGGGCATGCCATTCACAACTTCTACTTTGGTTCAGTTAATTAAGGCAGTCTCCGCGACAGCCGATGCACTTGCAGATACTGAGGGGTTGAAGAGTTACAGCTTAAAGGCAGTTGCCCACTTGTCGTCCAAGGCCGCCTGTGTGGCTGGTGTTAGCCTACCGAGCTTCTTCGTCTTATCCAAAAGCCATTGGTCCTTCGGGCCTCAGCTGGCTCAGACTTCTTTTACTCCCTACTATTGAGGTTACTGAGTGGGTGGCTAGAAGATTGGCCGCGTGAGTGGTCTCATGCATCTTTGCCAACTTGCTTCAGCCATAGGCGTCCTGAAAGTCCAGTCCATCTCAAACCCACGGTTTTACGATGATCCAATCGACGCCTCAAATGAGCAATCGGTCTTGCTTGCTTGATCACTCTTGTTGAACCCCCCATATGGCGCCTGCAGATAACTCCATGCGAAGAGATCAAATTTGTCTCGCTCGGCTATCTCGATTTCCTGGCCTACTTTACGCCCGCCTCCTCTAATAAGTCCGGCCTCGCTATTCGCGCATGGACGTTTTGCTTGGCAAAGGTTCTGTGACAGTCATCAGCCATGAATGATGTGCTGTCAACCCAGTTACCGAGTCATGCCAGTTTGATACAGAGATTACTCCTTTTCACATCGGCAGGTTAAAGTATGTTATCAAGATTCAAGCAGATACCGGAGTTAGGCATGCCTGGATCTGGGGAAGTCTACCATAGAAGGCGTTGCACTAAACGCGCCCAAGATCAGGAACCGAAGACGCTATGCCGGTAACTAGCCTCTTCTTGTCATTCAAATCATTCATCATCAAGTCAAAAACCTGGTCATGGACTCGTTGGTTGCGGTTGTCTCGAGATGTCAGAAGCATAATTTCGGTATGATATCCAATGCCCTTTAGAGTTACATTCCGAACAATTCCATATCAGTGCACTAGAGGGAGAAGAATATGGTAAAGAAAAGAGCCATGCTTGCTCTTGTTAGGCGCGTGCGCCGCGAATGGAATTGGATGTAGGCTTCTCATCGACTACCATGCTCCAAAACTCATATACCTGCAAAGTCCTTCTATCTTTGAAGGAGTTCTGCTGCTCGACATGCACAAGGGCGTCGGCCGGGCAATTGACCCGGCAGACAATCCCAGTAAGGTCTATAACAGAGGGACAAGTCATCTCGAGGACGACGATACTTGTTGGAACTCCTTATTCGCCATCTGCAGGGCTATAACCCCTCATCCCAGTTTGTTGCATGCTGGAAAAGGCTGCCGTTGACGACAACCGACAAGAGCATGCTTCCTTGCATATAAGAGTTGACCACCTGCGCATGTTACAATTGCAACAGTCTTGAGCTGTGATGCGGTAGATATTTCAAGCAACGACTACCTTTCTGTGCAAATTGAACCAATGTCAAAATGATCGTATGGCGTGCCCTCGTCGAACTCACACGACCATTGTACCAATCTAGTAGACGGATCCTCTAGTGAGTTGCGCATTGGTAAACAAGCCATTTCCAGGTCATGTCAGCTGCGTCCAGTCGACTTAACTCTCGGTCGTTTGTAGTCGTCGTCAACGAGACGGAGCATAAAGTGAAACCAGGAGTATGTCCGCTTTTCTTAACAGTTTTCCCTCAACCTGCTGCGTGTCTTGCAGCCAGCGGAGAACAAAAGACCGATAGCGAAAGATATGGAGTTCGAGGGGCACCAACCAGAGTCTGGGTATGTGCCAGCTGCGTCATGCCAGCCCACTGGAGATCCGCGTGGTTCATGAATGGGAACCGATACGCCCGGGCACCAGGCCTTAGAAGGTTTAACTAGAAATCCTCCGGGGCTTGAGGCCATGAATAATTCACCTCCCTTAGGCGTTCTCTGGCCCAATGATCAATGCCCATCTCCACTCTCTTTATCATCTGCATATTTTTTCGTTGATTGCAACACTATTGCCGCCATCCCGCCTGCCGTTTCACATCCAATTCTGGCGAATCGCTGCTGCTTGTGTATCCGCATGTCTCTGCACAGATGGGGCGGCTACCCTGCGCACTGTGTAATGCTGCCCTCTTGTAGCCTCTTGCCTTACTTCCCTAGTGCCCACTAACCTCCGAAACATCTAACCTATTGGCCTTGGTAGGGTTGAACTAACTCATCATCATCACCATCTTTGCTCATCCTTCACCGGAAGCTACTGCTACTTGTCACTCGGAGTCGTCGTCGTTATCGTTGAATTTTCGCATTAGCAACCTTCGTTGCGCTCGACGACCACCTCACCTCACCGTCCTCATTCATCACCAACGCTCGTTTGTCCTTCTTCACCGCGAAAAATCATCCTTGTCACCTTGGTGATTACCCTGGTCGATCCTACGGTCCCTCCGGAAGAGCTCCATTGCACATGCATGTGCGTGCGGTCGTTACATCCAACCTCTTGCGACATCCTGGTCGTCTCACCGAGCTCATCCCCCGCAGCAATATCTAATACTTCATGATTGAATCATAAAATCTATTCTGTCGCAAACACTTAACGTTGGGTCATGCCTTTTTTCAAAGATCTGCGCAGGCGATCCAAGGCCAGCTTCCGGACCTCCGACTCCTCAACAGATTCCAATGGTACGGTACCAACTGCGAAATCTTCGTCTACCTTGAACTCCGTACGAGGCAGTACAACGCCGCCCTCGACATATCATGCCAATGGCTCCTCCTCAAATGTGCTGGCAACAGCAAAGACAAATGGTGACAGTCCGCCGCCCGTCCCTCAACGGCCGAGCGTTATGCTACCGAGCCCCTCGAATCGGAACAGCATGATAGTGAGTTTGAGAGCCTGCCGTATACCTCCCATGACAGAACTGACAAAGTACAGGCGCTGTCGCCATCAGGTTCGAACGGTACAATACGATCCCCTCTGCCTACCTCTGCATACGCTCCCAAAATCACGTCAATCTTGGACGGCTCTGTGGTACGATAAATATGCACTCTAGACGGTCTTAGCTCACGAAGATGTATAGGTCTACAATAAAGTGCTCTTAATTAATGGCGAGATCGGAGACCCGAACACGAAAGCCTTGGACGGTAATCTGACTGTTCATCACGATAAGGACGGGCAAGCCTTTGCACCCACCAACTGGCCAGTATCAGGCTCGTATTTCAAGGCTCTCGTCTGCCTGTCCCCCGGATGGAACAGAGTACGATTCGACTTCACCTCACCCAAACTCAGTTCCGTCAGCAGCGCCTCCTCTGCCACAGCACACAATTCCTACATCATGCTGAACTATTTACCCTTGAACAGTGCCCCGCCATTACAGCTAGTCATCCTTGCAGGCAAGGATTCACCCTGCACATACGATGCAGTCCCTCAACGCATAGAAAATGAAGGCAACGACCTCAACACGGCCATCAGGAAATTTCGAATGGCCGCTCACTTGTGGCAGGCTTTCACAGCTGAACAAATGTACAGACAAAAGTTCGGTCGACGATGCTTCAGGTTTGAGGAAGAGTGGCAGACTGGCACACTTTCCATGCGTGATTGGGAAACAGGCCAGATGAAGAACGAGACCAGGGTCCATGTCGTACGATCGGAGAAAACCACTGCAGAACTGCGCGATTTGCAGCGTGCACAGCAACACGCACCGGCCGAGAACAAGGGTGATCTTTACTCAATTGCTGCAGATGCGATCAAGAAATATTTCAATATCCGACCGGGTCAGAAGCAGTATGTGGCTTGCCTCCTGCTGGACTCGCATTGGGATCCGGAAGCCAACACGATACTTGGTCACGCTGCATTGGGTGGCACTGGAGATGATCTCGGTCTGGCAATCTTCGGCTCTCACGCCTTACAGAGTTATCCTTCTTGCATCGAAGAGGTTGTGCCGGCTTTCATGGATTGCACCAAGACAGACACCCAGTTCGTGGCAAACGACTGCAACGAGTCTGGTAGCAGCTGGGAGGCTGCCAACATCGGCATTGGTGCGCATCTACACGAGGTTGGCCACTTATTCGGCTGTCCACATCAGGAGAATGGCGTTATGCTGAGAGACTATGTGCGACTCAATCGAACTTTCGTAGTTCGAGAGGCATACTCAACAAGAACCAAGTCGCCAGGACTCAAAGTCTGTCGTCAGGAAGACGAATGTGCTTGGCATCGACTGGACGCGTTGCGGTTCAGATACCATCCATGTTTCAGGCTCCCAAGCGATGAACCTCTAGCCCAGGACGACAGCATACAGTATTTCCCTGTTGGCAACGGAAAGGTCATCTGTTCAGCGCCAACAGGTATTGCGTTTGTTGAGCTCTGGACCGAAGGCGATGACCTGTGCCGGCAATTTGTTGATTTTGCCAGCGCCGATCCTCGCTATAGCAGCATACCACGACAAGTGACGCTGTCGGAGAGTGATCTACGCAGTCGCCTTCCAGAAGACAAGAAGAAGTCCAAGTTGTCCCTGGAGATTTTCTGCGGCGGTTCGCGGAAAGAGAGGATTGATGATCTGGATGACTTTTTGTCCAAGAAGAACATCGTCAATCTTCCGCAGGTCAGACAAGCACCCAAACGGGATGAGGGATTGACGATGAACGCCTACAACAACATGCTGGGACTCGGCAAGTCCTTCGACTCGCGTGTGGGCTTCAAAAGCAAGAAACTGGGCCATTCGAAACTGGAAGGATCCCAGCCAGAAGAATTGATACTGGAAAGCACTCACCTGCAAACCAAACTCTTGACCTCCGTCAAGTTCTATTCTGGCTATGCACTTGACGGAATCGAATTCTGCTACGAGGACGGACACAGCCAATTGTTTGGCAAGAGAGGTGGTAAGGCGGGAGGTGATGAATTTTTCCTTGGTAAGTTAAGCACGGGTACGATTAAACTGTTCGATACTGATCGTTCTAGATACTCGTCGTGGCGAAACCATCCTCGGCTTCTATGTCCGAGCTGGGTTCTGGGTCGATGGTATCGAAATATTGACGAGCATCGGACGAAGGTCTGGTGTCTATGGAAACGCTTCAGGAGGTTCAGGGTATGTACTATCTTCCTCTTCCGTTCTGCTGATACTGACCATTGCTCACAGTCATACCTTAATGGCTCCTCGGGGTTACTCGCTTGCCGGCATTGCAGGCACTTGCGGAGCATGGATAGACGGTTTTCAGATCATCATTACGCGATAATACTGCTCGCGACATTACCATAATACTTCGACTGCGCAATACCCCCCACATATATCAAGCCAGCATTTTCAAGACCAGGCCATTTTCAGATTGCGAGGTTTCTACGACTGGTTGTCACGAACAACATTCCTGTTTTAAAAGGCTTAGCGTTGCAGTGAAGGACTAATTTTCTTTCCAGCAGCCACTTGCTGGTGGTGCAAGATTCGGCTACAACACGACGACCGCAAACGAAATTCGAAGTGAGAACAAAACACGATAATATTCTAATTGTGGAGCATGCTTTCCGCGGTGTGGGAGAACAGTCCTTGATAGACGGCTACCCGCTTCTGAGAAGCGAGGGAACGAAGAGTATAGGTATTCTGAAGGAGCATAACAAAAGGAACATACCAAGGCCAAGTTCGGTGGGCATGTCCTCATCAGCGACATTATGGAAGGTCGGCACGACTCCAATGCCTTTAAAGCCGAGTTGGAAGGTATTGGAATAATGATCAGGTTGATGACGGATCAAATATGCTTCGCTCAGTGTTTGCTCTTCCCTCTACGCGTGTTTCCCTTAGCTTGAAGGCGATTGCCCAAGTTTGCTTTTCTCCAGCTGGAGAAAGAAAGCCGTCTCGTCACCCAGCAGCGTTCGAAAGGAGGAACATCCTAGGGACCATTTGCCTAATTTCACGGGCTCCCTACCATCTCACTTCAGTGTCTCCCTGCATACTCCCCGCCCCAGCGGTTTTTCTACGGGGTACCACGCATTTCGGACGTGAATCAGTGCTCACCCGTTCACAGGTATGGCTTCTTCGTCGGGGAGCCATCACCACTGGGCGGGATTTCAAGGACCTTCAGCGCAACATTGGGGCACCACAAAGAGGCTGAGTGTTGTCCGGAAGTCTGGAAGCCAGATAGGAAAGTCTGAGAGTTTATCGGCGTCACAACGCTGTCCGGTCTGAAATACCACGGTGTGAAAAATCCCACGCGGGGAAATGTCACGGTAGGCTTTCTAAATACGTCTACGGGAATGGACGCAATCGTGCGCACTGGGCTTCGTTCGCTAGTCATTGCTTCTATATGCAGGCGGCCACGTGGGAAAGCGGGCAGCATGGGTGCATACCGGGCGCTGGAAACGTCTTCTTGACTGCCCTCGTAAGAGTGGATTGGTAAAGGAGTCGTGGAGAACAGTCGCATGATCAAGAGGCTCGAAATGCGGTACAAGCCACGACCAGGGCACCGAGATTCTGGTGATAATACCAAGCGTCCTGCTCATTGCTCGCTGCTCAGTGTGCATGGCTCACTGCTTGCTGCTTGCTGCTCGTGGCATTGCAGAGATGTGTCGTCGATCTCAGAGAGGCCAGGCTTATCATGGGGTCACTAATTGTGAATATCGGTTGGGCTTTGTGGTTGGATGAACGCAGAAGAAGGCCCGCAGGAAAGGGCATCAAGAGCATTCATTTACTGAGGTGCAGAATATCTTTCCTGTCGCTCTGGGAACTTGTAACTCTGCAGGACTCTTCGCACTGACCGTGTTCAACCGCTCTTTGGTCGTCAGTCAACTGGTCAGAGCGCTTCCATTATGCTATGCCAGCCTCCTGCTTTTTCTGCTCGATTGCTCGCAATGGGCCTGCTCCCAGGAGCTTGTTTCGACCTCGGCAAGGAATCAGACATGGGCACATTGTAGATGCTGCTCAAGGGCTTCGATGGTCACACCGCAAGAGCCGCGCATTCCGACAAATAAGTTGGCAAAGCAATCTGCTCAAGAGAACTTGCAAGTACCACGGTGATCCATCTTCGCAGATGTCGCTGTTCGACAACTCTATCGCAGACGGATTCTGGTGCGCGTGGCTCTCGAGCGTTCAGCCCGGCGCAACCACGTGAACTCTTCCAGGTCCGCCGGCCACAGTAGTCATACGACGTGGGAAGGGGTTCGATTCTGAGGGCGCTGCCAAAGGCTCAACATAGGATTCTGAAGTGGTCAGGCTAAAGGGGCTCGTGCTGAAGGTTCAACTGCCAAAGACTATACGAACACACAACAGCGAATTCAGGCAACTTTTGCCTTAACGCCTCAGTTCTCCATCGCTGGGCCCATGGGCATTCGAAAGACAAGCGCAGAATGCTGTCTTGAGAAAGCCCGAGCTCGAAAGCACGGGCCGTGAAAATGGTCATGTTAGTGGATGAGAAACATCGTTCTGCGAGTAAGTGCATTGTTGCTTTTCCGTTGGCGAACCATGAATGCGGTAAACTCACATCAAAACTCTGCCAAAAAAAGAAACATACTTGACCCAATTGAAGTCTTTCGTGCTGCCTGTTCGAATACGTTCTGAGTTCTACCCCGTCTGTCATCGAAAAGATCGGCATATACGAGAAGTAGTGAAGTTCTTTTCGAAATCTAGACCAGCAGTGGTTGAACTCAATAAAAGATAACGCGATTCTGGTCCCCGCATGTTCAGCCACAGTCACAGCCACACAGCCACAGTCATGACAAGTGAGACCTTTGCAGATCATGACCGGTTCCGGGTTTCGATCGTCCAAAAGTGTGGCGTCGAAGTGTGGCATGAGTGTGTGGCGCAGTAACTGTGGCACACGGCATTTCGATGTGGAGAGTTGACTTTCGTATTCTCCCCTTGCCCTTTCCTGGATCTGAATTCCCGTTGAGGAGCCCGCTCAAACTCCTCTCTGCCGATAGACCGTAATAATGGTCGGCAAGTCGGGACTGCCAAAGACTTACTTGTAGCGCTGGAGTCTTATTGCTGAAAAGTCAGAACTGGAACCCCACGAACCTAGTCGAAGAAACAGAAAAATTGTGCGCCGATAGCCACACTTGTGGTCGATTGCTGGGTAACTGCCGGGCACTTCCGTGTCAAGACTTCAGTTTCCTGTCTCCAAAGGCCCCTGGTCCTTGTAAGTGATTTACAGTCACGAGTGCAATTTCCAGCTGCACTACATCCTGCCGCCCAAGAAGCACATCGCATTGAATTACGTCGTCTTTTTGGCGCTCCCGTTCTGTTTGACCAGGCTGAGCAGGCACCGTAGTATTCTGACCCTTGACTTGCCTGATCACCCATCCGATCGATGGAGTTTGCCAATTTGAAAGATGGCTTCGCTTGCAACCGGGGATGTAGCGAAAGCGAGGGAGCGGTGTCCCACTCAACCATGGCGCGGGGTGCCACTTGTGCCACAACTCGTCTCGCCTGTGGCCTACCTGGAGCCCATTGGACGATGATAACCAGCCGTGCACGCCTCGTGGAGCACAGGCGCCGTAATGCTTTGTTAGAATTTTGTTCCATCCGTGTTCCAAATGTCTCGAATCGAGATTACCGGAGGGATTCGCAATGGCGCCGAGTCCACTTGGACTAGCACGTTGTCCAACCACTCCCATGATTTTCCCATCGCTGATTGTTGTTGTGTGGAGCACAGTCAGGGAGATGACCTCATCTTCGTTATTTACTGTGACGGTCCGCTGTCACCTCAGCGCTAAACTCCCCAAGGCTGGGCATTGCATCGGAGCTCCTGATCATAACTGAACAGTGCGACGGATCCCGAAATTGTCAAACAGCCGCCAGTCATGCCACCAATGGAGCATACGCGTACAAACCTTGGTGTTGAAAATGCGCATATGGCCGCCGAACGTTAATGACGACAAAGGGTGATGGAAAGACGTGCGATTATGAAGGGTCAGTTGACCATCGTTTATTCATGCTCTTTTCGTGCACCCGTCTTGTTTCATCTGGCCAGAGGCGGCAGCCACAAGTGGTTGGGTAAAGGTGAGCAGCGCATGATGTAATTTCGGGTGTTGCACCATGACCAATTTTGCGGTGTGTTTGGAGGTACATCAGGTGCATAGAGGCCAGCAGGGCTGAACGGAGAACATTTTAACCGGCGATCCGCAGGAGACTGATTAAAGAGCGCCCGGAACATCCAAGTGTGCCGCTAAAGCACGTTATCGCCATTGGAGCGTGCCATAGGTACCTATTCAGCTGAGTTATCAATGACTAGCACTGAGGATCTCTGCGAAACGTCAATCCGCAAGAGTTATCCATTACTGAATGGGCCGCCAAGCTGGCGTTGAGAAAAATCAACGGGCTGCCATTGGCGCAGGACGGATATCCGGAACTGAGGACAGGTCCAACGGATCGACGTTGAAGGCGAGGAGCGTCAGTGTCGAAAAATAGCAGCAGAATGACTTCTAGCCGAACACGTGCTTTGCAGATCAACGACCACTACCGTGTTAGTAGGGTCCCAAAGGCGACGACTATGGCGTTTGATATCCGGTAGACTCATAGTACTATGTAGGTGTGTGATGTGTTCCTTCTCGTACTCGATCTGATCAAAGAATATTCTCTTGTCTCGCGGGCGATGGTCTGAGCACGGGTCTGTGCCGAGTGTTTCATCAGGCCGCAATCTTGCATCCAGGGAGAGATGGGGAAATGAGAGAATCTGATGTGATTCTGACTTCAAGACCATGAGCAGAAAAGCGGACAGAGAGTCAAGCCACAGGTGGGTGGACGCTGGAGCCCGGTGAAAGCCAGCCGACTGGAGTGTGTAAAGTTTAGGATGGATTTTCCCGGACTCTGAAGAGAGCATTGTGGCATTGCAGGTCTGGCCGCCACAGTGTTTGCCACCGAGCAGCCACATCTTCTGTCAACCCACAAATGTCATTGATGTGAGGGACGCGTGGCTGTGCTCAATGCCGATCAGGTCGAGGACGATCGATGCAAATGCGTGTGGTGTGACCGTGTGAGTGGGTGTGGATGTTGCAGGCAGCTCAAGAGGGAAGTGCTGCATACTGCTGTCCTTCCCGTTCGAGGCAGCGACACCCAGGATGGGCCCGGCATTTTCGAAAAGACGTTTTGTCCCGCAGGAAGGAGGACAAGGCACCGATGTCCATGTCAGAGGCCGAGCGGAGAGTGTGAGAGATGAGTGCAGAGTGCGAGAGTGGCAGAGAGTGTGTCGCAGGCAGACGCAGGGATGGGGTTTTGGGGGGGAACAAGCCAGTCGATGGCAGAGCAGCCACGTCGCCTGACTCTTGACGCCACGCCTAAACCCTTTCGAAAGGTTCACTCCGGCTCTGCTCGCCAGCAAACTGAGCCACTGTCAGGCAGGACCCCGGCCATTAGCCATCAGTGTTAGGCTTCACAGATTAGGCTTCAGTGCTAAAAAGGTGGCCCCTGCAATCCTTTTGCAGCACCCAATTGGACTTGGGCCGTGTGAAGGACAAATACGGAGTAACTTAGTTACTTCGACTGTACTCCGTAGTGAGTGAGAGTACCCGCCATGGACTTGTCTGGCAAGAAGTCTATCTCATCTTTCTTTCTCCTACAACAATTTCCATGATCACTTTGCCTTATCCACTTCCCTTGCTTCACCATCCTTGCGCGCCCCATGGCCCCCGTCCCCAATCACGGCACCAGCTAAGATAGCTCAAGAGGAGCCTCCCAGGCCGAGGAAATTCTCGAGGGTCACCCCCGGTCGTTTTAGAAGATCCATATCCACGCTGTTCAACGCTCCGAACTAAGAGTCTAAACACTACCTAACCCTCTACCTCATACATTACACTTCATCTTCTGATCAGACTGCCTTATACGCTGGGCCTTCGTCGATCCCTCTGGCTATTTTCATCTACGATAATATATGTCGCCTCCATCCGATTGATGCAAAGGAACGCAAAGGTTCAGTTCGTTCCACCGTCCGGTCTACGCTAAGGGGTCTCGCTTGGACTCAGTCGCCTACTCTACATTAACAGGAGTCGACGCACGCAACAAGGCGCAGCACACCTCATCTGCTTCCATTCATCCTGGCTATCTTGAGATCATACAACTAGATGCACCAGATCTGAGTGCTCATCATCGCGTTCGACCATACGACGTCCGGATGTCGTTGATTTGACTCCAGCCCTCCTGGACCTTGCAGCCTGAGACACCGCCTCCGCCGCAAATGTTTCGCAATCGGTGCGTGTTTGCGCTCTTGATCTCGTTGCTTGTTTCACTCTGCTATTACCGAATGGACCCGCATGCTGACCGTCACGTTTCTGTTCATAGGCGCACGACGCAAAAACCCCATGAGGAATTGTACGCGGCCTTCAAGCAGACCTTTCCCGAGGTCGGGCCTGGATCATCCTCATCAGGTGTACATGGGGATGATGGGACTGCACGCCGATCATCAACGCTAAGCGAGGCGATAGTCGATGAACCAAACACTCATATGTGAGTCTCTTATTTGTTTTACTTCAACAACCATTCCTCTCCATTCTGCCCCAAGTCACACCGCCTTGAATGTCGCCAGCCTTTCACCATGTCGCCGACTCATCTGCCATCAGAGCATCAAGATGATCATGTCCAGGAGGCTGACTACTTCTCCAGAGGCTATGAGACACAACCCGACACGAAAGAACAGGATGCGACACCGAAAACATTCACTGACCCCTGGAGATTTACACCATCACTCATGGACCCCAACTCTTTCGCATTTTCCGCCTTCGCGAACCAGCCACCAGGGTACTACACACCGACCCCTGGTGGCTTTGGTACTCTCTATCACCCACAGGCTGGCGACCTTCACACACCTGGAATGGGCATGAACACGCCATTATCATTACCACACTCAGTCCATGCTCTACACGCCCAGGATCCTATGATGCACCTTCAGCATTTCAACCCTCACCTCATGCACCAATCTCATTCTTTTCACGACCCGTTCCATCAACAAGCGCAGCTACATGTGCCTCCACCCCAACAGCAGACCTTCGCTCCCCAGGCATTTCTTCAACATGAAGACTCTGGCTATGTGGGCATTGACGATACCCCTCCCAAGACGACACCACAACAGCAGCCTGACATGAGCGTGCAGCAACCCACTATGAATCAATCCGTCCAACCCATGACATCAAACAATGGCATGACCGGCCTGCCGATGGGTGAAAAGTCAGTATCACATATGTCCCTTGAAGTTCTTACTGACAAGTCCTGTAGATTCCGCTTCCACACCACGTTGAATGCGCCTACGGCGATGGTTCGACATTCAGAAGAGATCCCGATTACATACTTGAACAAAGGTCAAGCTTACACCATGTCAATCTGGGACACCACCCCACCCATGACCCATATGCCACAAAATGGGCCTGTCCAATATCGCACATATGTTCGAGTGTCGTTTGAGGATGAGCAACAGAGAGCTCGTCCTGGAAACTGCTGGCAACTCTGGAAAGAGGGTCGTGGATCGAACGAAGCTCATCAGCGTGGTGGCCGGCTTCTTGCTGTGGAATATGTGGATCCTAATCAAGGAGGCGACGACGAACTGCGCAAATCCCAGATCCAACTCGAAAAGGCATCGTTTGATGGCTTTGCCGTCACCTGGTATCCAAATCCTGTCAATGGAGGACCGGACTGTTCAGTCTCTGTTCGGTTCAACTTTTTGTCGACCGATTTCAGCCACTCCAAGGGCGTCAAGGGAATACCGGTCCGCCTCTGCGCTAAGACAGAGTTGGTCACGCCGGGGACAACAGTTAGCAACGAGCCAGAAGTCTGCTTTTCCAAAGTGAAGCTCTTCAGAGACCACGGGGCGGAAAGGAAGCTCTCGAACGACGTTGCACATGTCAAGAAGACAATTGACAAGCTCAAGCAACAGATTGCTCAAGCCGAAGCGGGCCTAGGCAATGCTGGAAAGAGGAGGCGAAGTGGATCAATGGCAAAGCCATCAGGGTCTCGTCCTGGGAAAGTCATGAAGCACAAGCGCACCTGGTCTGTGGATTCAGACGCTGAAGGGACCAGATTTACAGCAGAGGAAGACCTCCAGCTGAAGCTTGTGACCATGCAGGATATGTTCTCCTCGACCAGACCAGTCAGCATCCTCTTTTTGCGCGGCGACCCAGAAGACGACCCAGACTTATGCCCCGTGAAACTTCCCGGAAGCGATCCTGACATGAAGGAGATTGTAAGAACGTCGACCTGGGAGTCACGCCAGAGCGCTACCGACTCACCCACATCCGATGCAGGCTCACCCAGATCCAGCTCCGCTTCTCAGACGACACCGAAGAGAAAGTACGCGCAGATGCAGCAGCCGGCCATTCAAGAAGAGGGCGAAAGCGAGTACGAGAACGAGCCGAGCAGATCGGTATCGGCGCCCCGACCGATCAAAATCCTAAAAACAGAAACCGAGGCTGCTTCCAAGAGTGACCTTTTCGCTGTCGATATCGACAGTAGCTATCAGCCTCCAACTGAGAAATCCAGACGGCCTGGTAAGTCGCCTTTGTCATTTCACAGAGACCGAGCTAACCTCAACCAGTGGCATGCTTTTACGTGCGCCAGAAAGACGCCGTCAAAGAATATTACCGTGCTGTGTATTTGATGCACCGGACGGTCGAAGACCTCATCAGCAGCATATCGGACAAGTTCAGCATAGACCCTCTCCGAGTAACCCAGGTTACGCATGTCAACTCTCGAGGACTCCACATCATTGTCGATGAAGACGTGGTGCGCGAATTACCAGAAGGACAAGATATGGTCGTTGAGTTTGCGCCGTCTCAATCTGACGAGGCAATCAAGCAACAATTTGTCGCACCAGGCGCAACAACGGTGGTGGTCGACGGCGACTTCGGGCCACTCGATATTTCAGCATTGGATCCACTGGAGATGTGGCTTAATTACTGAGCCGTCGGACGATGTGCAACATTACAGGAACCCCAAAATTTGCATGAGATACCCAACTTCTCTTAAATTTAATTCTATCCATTACGAACACGACTACTTTATTGCAGCGACTTTATTTCCAACAAGCTCACAATTTGGGATGAGCGAAGCTACACTGTTTGATACCCCTTTTCATGGCGCAAAGCCCGACCGAAGGCGCGCATTGGTCTATTATCCTCAAATTCTGGGATCTGTACAGTTGAGCAACAACAAGCGGGAGGGTATTTTGTGGCACGCCTCGAAATCCCATGAGATTTTACACCACAATTTTCATTTTGAGTACAGCACAGGACGATCGAATGACGGGATGATATACGGGTCCCTAAGCGAGGTCCGACTTTTTTCATTTCACGAGATACATGAACTTTCGAGATACCCACATTGTCACAAATCTCTTCATATCTGACAGGATGATACCCACGCGGATTTCTGGTTAGAAGTCGCAGCGCAAATACCAATGTATTGGCCATCTTAATATTGAATACCGGGTTTTTTCTTTACGGGGTTGTGAGACCATGGCAGGCTTCACTATGTTTTGCCATGTCGGAAGCAGAAGTTTGACGTACGGCGCGCCCGTCACAGCAGATCTGACGCCGTGCATCGCAGAGCACACAGCAGACAGAGAGTGGTATGCTTCACAGGCCATTGCGGATAGCGGCCAGGTGGGGCACCTTGAGGTGGTATCAGCCACTAGTGCTTCTCCATTCTGCAGGAACGAATTTCTTTCCCGCTCTCGCCGACAGCTGGAGTGAGTACGGATATCATGGCTGAAGTTTCCAGACCCTGGGGGAGGATGAGTGTGGCGAAAGTGTGGAGGAAGCCGTTTGCATACGGTAATGAGTGGCGGCTATGTGGCAGTGCAAGGGAGAATGACAGCAAGCAAATGCCTTTGACAAGTGACACCACAGGGGAAGGGTCAAAGATGTTCCTAAGAATAAACAGCCTCGACCAGGCCTGCGGTAGAGCCCGGCGAGTCAACTGGAACATGCATGAGGCTAGCAGTTCGCATGGGCGAGCAAACCAATGCCCTGACGGCAGATAACGTTAATATGCCTGGTGACAAGATCTACAGGAGGTTTTTCGATCGGCCAGAACCCGAGTCAAGAATAGCTTGCAATACAAAAAGACAAGTGCTGAAAGCCACGTCAGCCTCAACCGATGTCCTTCACATTTCCGATGCACACAAGAGCTCGAGTAACGTGATAGGAGAAGGGCGACGATCATGACCGCTCCGAGTCACAATCGGCAGATATCGAGACTCTCAATTGCACCATACACAAAGGTGGGTTACTACGGTCCAAGTGTCCGAGATTTCGATTGGACCACGATCGCACGTATGGAGTTGGGCGTGCAGAGACTTCGATAGTCGGCTCATCCTGCTCTGGCCGCGAAACAGCCACAGACACCGCAAAGAGCTCGCTTAACGGTGGTCAGGTACCAAGCCGGCCAATCAGGTCGTCAAATCGGGGTTTCTCAGGCCAGAGAGGGGAACACGGTCGCAATATGCCAGCCACCCGTAACGAACACGGGACCACGAGGACAACGAAGTCGAAAGGAGATAGGCTAGAGAATGACCTGAAACAGGTCCGTTTTCTTCTAGGAGCATTTAGGACTGTCCAGTCACGATCGATTGTCGACATTTCATTCCGAGGCACATGAAATGGCATAGTGCCAGGGAAAGATAGTCGATCGAATAAAGGCCTACGTGATGACGACAGAGGCGGTGATGATAAGAGAACCGCTTGCACCGCCACACAGCCACACACACAGCGCCACAGTCTGTAGCACGTGTAGACACGTGCACTGTGCGCCACAGTTGGCTGTCTATCTCAACTTCATCGACTCTTGATCTAACCTCACTGTCGCAGAAATGTCAACAAGGGTGACTGTCAACATGTACCTGACTAAAGTATGTCAGTGACTGTGTCGTTGATACAGGAACGCACCTACCAAGTATTGATGTGTCCAACTCGTTGTCGTTGTCAAGTCTTCTACTGCCTCACACCTGCTTTGTTTAATTCCTGGTCGCGCCTACTTCCTTTTCAACTGCTGTCGACGCAGTTGCGTCGCCGCGGCGATGGCAGTCACCACTTTGCCACTTTGTCATGGCTTCATCGCCCTGCGAACCGCCTTATCCCAATACTGCCGCATCCCCATCGCAAATAGCCTCACAAATTTTGTTTCTATCTCATTTCTCTTGATATGCACTACTATTCATGAACTATTGCATCCTCGTAATTGCAGATTTGATATTCCTACCTCATAATCGTGCAAGATGGCTGACGATGATCACTACGCCGTGCTGGGCATCTCTCATTCAGCTGACTACGCCTCTATCAGATCCGCTTATAACAGACTCGTGATTAAGAATCACCCGGACAAGGGCGGCTCTAATGAGGCGTTCATCAAAATCCAGCAAGCGTTCGAAGCACTACGGGAACCCGTCTCTCGGGCAGAATACGACAAGAAGAACAAGATTAGGTCATTTCGTAGAAATGAAGAAGAGACGGGCAACAAACCTCAAGCAGCCAAAGGTCAATCCACCAAACCACCTTTCTCACCAACTGCAGCTCCCTTCAAGCCCTCTGCTCCATGGCCAAGATCACCACGTCCACCATCTACTCAGTCAGCTACGAACGAATCCTCATATGACCCCGCCTGGACTCAATATCGAGATGCGGCCGACAAGCCAAAGTCAAGACCAAGACGAAAGCCCAAATCAGCGGCGGAGCCGGAGCCCATCAAGAGGGGAAGAAGAGGTTCTGCGAGTTTTCAGAAGGAGTCAACCCCGACAACAACAGATCCGAAGCCTACGGCTGCGAGGGCGGACGACGTTCATCCATTCCCACCAGGAACGCCGTCATCCTTCAGGGGCGCACCTGTGAGACCGACAAGACCAGGCTCTCAGGAACCCAATGGCCCATCGGCGACCTCCCAAGCAAACCAACCGCCGACGAACCCAGTGCCCGCGAGCAGCGAGCCCTCTCCAACGAGCACTTTGGCCTTGGCCCAGTCATCGGCGGATCGAATCAAGAGAATGGTGCTAGCTTTGGACAATGGCGTGGGCCACTACATCTCCCCTGAGCTCTGGTGTCATTTGCAACACTTTCAAATGCGGCTGGTCAACCAAGCCTCGGAGCTACAACTTCGGCAAGCGACTGAGTTCAATTGCCAATTGCAAAATCGACTCAACCCAATATCACTCGAGCTGCCAGCGTGGGACAGTGTGTACTATGCCAAATGGGCAATGGAAGACAAGGAGGTTTTGGATAGGCTGGGACAGGTCTTTTTGCTTCTTACCGAAACTGCGGATGCACTCAGCCGGCGTAAACACCGTGGGCAGGAGGACAATCAGGGAATTCACAATATGAATGTGGATGACGATGAGATTTGCCGGCGCCTGGAGGATGTTATTGGTGATACGCTGCATGATCTGAAGACGTTCTTGATCGAAGTGTTATTTGTTGGTCCGAGCGGCCAGGGCGATGCCAAAGAGCGCTCCTAGTGGACGTTACGATGGCTATGTTGACTAAGTGGCAAGCAACAGAAGAGGATTTTGTGATCAAGGGGGCCTCCAGGCCTATTGTCGTTACTGTTGCTTGCCTGGGCCGTGGTCCTGGGAATCAGCTCTGTTAGATTGATTGATGCCTGAGCTACGAGAACGAGTATCTGGCTGTGGCTGTGTGGATTTGTGGCTGTGCAGTGCGCCACACTTACACTTCGCTTGCGGAGAAATACTGCCACTACCCAGGTGCCATTCGGTACTTCCTTCCTCCCACAGGGAAAATCCCAGCGACCACAACATCCCGGCCCGGAAATTTGATTCCACTGTTGCTGTACGTACATGATGGTTACATCTCTAGAGAAGGGACGCGCTACCTAGTAGTACACCACGTAAGTGCCGTGGTCGAGTTTTGTAACGAAGGAGGCAGTCCTCGGGGTCGATCGGCAAGAACAGAGATAGGGAAAGGGGTAGTCATAGGTTTGTTACCGATATGCAGGGTTCGGAGGGTTTGTTTTCGATCCTTGATCTTCCGAAAGACCTTGTCGAGCTGAAGACCGGCTGTATGGAATGCTATTCGTGCTGGAAGCGACGGCTGTGCATGTGCATATCGCTTCACTTCGCTTAGATTAGATTGCAGGCAGGTTGGCCGGGTTCGAGGATCGAGCATTCGAAGTCACAGAAGTCTGCATGTCCACGTTGCATATACGACAAAGTTTGTAGCGCTTGGGAGGGACGATAAAAATAGAAAAAAAGCACTCTTGATAACAGTTATGGCTGTCGACAAGGTTTCCAACTATACTCGTGATAGGGATGTTACCGACGTGGTCGAATTGTCGGGTTCCTTTGGCCAAGGATGTTCGAGTCGGATGATAGCCCAATTTAGGAGCGTGGGAAATATGTTCTCTCCCTGTTGTGGCGTCTTCGGATACTGGGAGTAGGAGGTGGAGATACTTTCCCAGGTGTTGCTGTGGTGGCTTGATGAGAGGACGGCAAGCCTGTTTTCCAAAAGATGTGGCTGGCAGCCTGTTCGAGCGAAAACGGAGGTAAGTGGTCAATATCTTACGGAGCCCTTCGTGATACAGCGTCGGGAGAATCAGCGCTTAGTGTTCGAGGGTGGTCCAGTCCTGTGGCGTGGAGATACCAGATTGAAGCCCGAGTCGCCGGCGTCAACGTCTCCTGGTAATTCAAGGTTACGAGGTAGGTGTGATGCTGTTAGACGTGCCACTTTCGTTGGGGAGACAGGCTCGACGGATGGCGAAACGTCGCACCGAGCTGTGCAGTAGTCATATCTTCGAGGTAACAGGTTCTTCCTGTGGCGTCAGTAGCTCTCTCCTAGTGTTAACTGTTCATTTTGCGGCGGTGTGGCTTCAATTGGCGCGGAGAGAGCAGAAGCAGAAGCAAGACGTGTTGGGTTCCTACAATTGCTTTCCAAGCGTCACATCAGGCGACTGCTACCTCGATGTGAGATCGACCACGGCCTTGCGGGATCAAGGATGTTCTGCTTTGCTCATGCCTGTTTCGTCCTGCTGCGATCAGAGCCATGATAAGGTGCGGGCTTACCTTACATTTTCAACCTACCAAATTCGGACGAACCGTATGGCTGAAGAGCGTCTGTGACGACCGTGGCTGCCTTATAATCCCATGCTGCTGCAACCAGTGCAAGTTGAAATCGTGCACAGTAGGTCCTTGCACCACGAAAGGTTCGATGTGGTGCAAAGTGATCTCGTGTTCGATGCAGGCTTGAGCGATTTCATCGTCATACCGTGCTGCGTGTATGCGTTGACCTTGTGGTGGTTGGGATGGTTCGCATGTGCCGAAGAACTCACCACGTCTTGACGGGAACAACATGACCGTTTGGCGCAGAGAAGAATCTGTATACGTGCTTGTACCTCACCACCGCCTTGAGAGCCAAGCGGTCATCTAACTCCACGATTAATTGTCCTTGATATATTGCAAAACTGGAATTTCTGCCACAACTTAACAATGAAGCTAGACGAGGTTCACCAAAAGGTGGTCCTCGTGGCCGAGTGGTTTACAACCGATGACATATACTTTAGCCTTAACTGTGAAAGTATTTCATTCGACTTCGGTTGCCCTAGACTCACCAGGGTTCGTTCGTTCCTCTCACAACCGAAAAAACCAGTACGGCTGGTTTTACTACCTACAACCTCCTGACCACCGGGTCAAGGAGTTTGGGGCAAAGTTTTTTGCTTTTTTTGTTGTTGATTGTCCTGAGTTGAATTTTCTCTTACTTGACTTTACGGAGTACCTCCTTCGCTGCGACAATATAAAATCTGAACAAGGTCGTCTTGGCATTGCAACATTTCTCATGAGCTATGGGCTCAATTTTTCTTTGGAGAATCACAGGATGCTACGGAGCGTATACTGTCGCAGCATAACGTTGAATGATAGCTGCCAGAATAAGAGGTGGTTGGCAGCCGCTGACGTGAACAAGATGTAAAGGAGAGACTTGCGAAGGACGTCCACCGACGTCGTGGCGAGATTCGAGCCCCTGGACGCCAAGCCACGGACTAAGCCCGAAAGAGCGAATATTCTGGGGGGCTGGAAAAGCGAAAGAAGACTTCAACTCTTGACCTGCTGTCAACTCAACTGTCAAACGCGTAAAGATCCAATCTTTTGAGGGCTGGTCAGAGAGTGCAAAGTCCCTCAGCCGGAAGGTCAGCCTGAATATTCTCGTCCCAGCTATTGCCACCTCGGGTACAGGTCCGACTCTCGCTTGTATCACGCCGACAGCCTGGCCAGATGATCTCGGTCAGGCGACATTTCATGCTTTTTGCATCATTACTTCGCGATCCCTACATGGCTATATCGAGAGGTTTGGGTAGGCTTGAAGAGAGACAATCTTACCGCAGGCGTTCGTCAATGGCTGCTCCCACATCGTGAGAGGCGCCTGAAGGACTCACGCTTACTTATGAACGATGGCCTGTGAGGTGAGCGCCAGTACAGGTTGCGAAGCTTATCACGCCAGAACACGATATGGATTGCTATCCGTGATACGCCCCGATTTCTGTGCCGAATGGGACAGAGATTGACCATGAGATCTCAATTCATCACCCAATCCGATATCCATGTTCGTTCAACCCCTGCCAGTCAAGGCCGAATCCGGAAGCTTTGACACTTTTGAAAACTTCTTCGACACTTGTCTTTGTCGCATGTGAACCCATTTGGCCCAGCTCATGACTAACCCGCAGTTCTCGCAGCCCTATCCGACGCTCTTTTCGTGGTCAATGCTCCCAGACCGGCGTGTTCTGACGTGAAGGAGTCGTGGAGGTGCACGTCCATCCTCAGCCTGGCCATGGCTCTGGTGCTTGGTGCATGGGCGCTCTCTCATATACGTAGAGGGTGGCCTGTTCGAGCACATTGTTCCCTCGGACCTCTACAATCAATGTCGATTCACCAGATGAGCTGACGCGGTTTTCCTGGACATACTCATGGCGAGTGCGGTGCAGGCGGATGCTGAATACCATGGGTCGTTGTTAGCAATTCTGACAATAGTACTCGTGGGTGTTTCATTGTTGGTGGTTTTAGTGCGAGGTATAGCACGATATCGAATCAGTAAGCTTGTTGAAGCCGCTGATATCCTACTGCCTTTGGCTCTGGTGAGTACATCTTCGATCGGAATCTCTGGGGGATTAGGGGCTGACCCGATTTCAGGTCTTTGCCCTCCTGCAAAGTGCTTGTGTGCGAGTAGCTCTATCGAGTGGCCTGGGCAGCCATCTCGACTCCTTAACAGCGGATCAGATATCATTATATGAAAAGGTAGGCTTTCAAGCAAAGTATACTGTGCTGCTGGCAACAATCTGACCGTTGTATAGCTGATCTATGCTGGAAATCTCCTGTTTCAAGCCGTACTTTCTTTGACGCAAGTCATTGTGGTCCTGCTCATAAAACATGTCGAACCGCAGCGACCTGTTCGAATTGGCTGCAACTGCCTCCTCGGCCTTATTGCAGTGTATTCTGCCCTCGCCCTCTCAGTTCTTGCGTTTCAATGTACCCTTCCCACTCCGTGGGTAGTTGCCACGAACAGATGCGTGGACCGCGTTAGTCACGCTCTCCCCAACCAGTCAAAGCCTTCCTCACTGACTCTATTGACCTCAGGAAACCTTCCTAACCGCCTTCATCGTCGCTAGCATTGCCATCGACGGTATCACCCTCATTCTCCTCATCATCATGATGTGTAAAGTGTCCACATCCCGAGATAAAAAGATATTTGTCTGCGCTCTCTTCGGCACGCGGCTGGCTTTGCCGATAGTGACTGTACCACAAATATACCATCTTCAGGCAGTGATTGTATCAAAGGACCCGACATGGGATTTGATCTCCTTCCAGACATGGGTACAAATCGTCATGAATCTGGGCGTCATTACCGCGTGTCTACCCTCTCTGGGACATGTGATGTGGGAAATGTGGACATTCGGGACAACCTTGAGATCAAGTTGGTCCGGTCAAAGTGGCAAGTCAAAAGATTTTGGCCACGAACTTGAAATCGAGCATGCTCCCCCAGTATACCAGGAAAAGCCTCACCACATCGATTCGCCCGGGCCAGCGTTCTATGGCGATGAGAAAGAGGACTGGACCGAGCACATTCTGTCCAGGGTGTACTCCATCGGCAGATCCGATTCGACCCAAGCGGTTGTCGGTGAGCACAATGTTCGTCAGCACAGCTTTGGTGGGCACAGGGAGCTTCCAGAGGTGCAACTTCCACGAACCGCACACCCCGCATATCCTCCTCCAAGACGACAACTCCATGGTTATCGTCTTCCAGACGTTTTGTCTCCCGTTATTGAACGGTCTCCATATATCGAAGGGATGACACCACAGATGCCCGGTCAGCACTGGAACCCAAACTACGACCGGCCGCCATACCCACATATGCAACCCGAGCGGACAGGACCACCGTCTTATGCAGCAAGTTCCCTTTACGACGAAGACCCGTCAGAGATCGATTTCTCCGAGATTGATATTGACAGCTATTATCTCGGGAACACTCAGACGCGGCCGACTCGGAGCGAGATCGCGTTGCAGAGCATGATTGATGATTTGCAAAAGGAAAATTCCACGGTTGATCCCGCAAAGAGATGGGAACATGGCTGGATTTGAGCCTGCTGGGCTATGGTGGATACGGACAGCTCCTTTCCCCTTCACGCGTTATATGACACTTCTCTTGTGATGTTGCCTATGAAACATGTGTCACGTTTTTTACGAACTTATGTTGGAATTGTTGTCAATGATATAACCAGGTCGGATTGAGATATGTTTTTCGTGCATGTTCATATGACAGCCACCCGAGAAATATATCTCTTCCACAACATACAATTCATGCTCTTATGACATACCGCGTACGACGTACTTTTGTCCCTGCCACAATATGGTTATACTGTCCTGGAAAGAGTCACTACCTCTTCATTTTGTCTGCAAGGCTCTGTACCGCTCCGCCCAGTGAACCATTCTCAGTGAATTGTTTTCCAATGGTTCCGTCCTTGTCCAGAGGGCCACCGACTTTCTGGGCCGTACCACCCAGTAGCCCATCAGTCGTGAATTGCTTGCCAATTCCGCCCTTAGAGTCAAGGATCGACTTGCCGGTGCCGGTGGAAGTGTTTAGGTCCTATAGGGCCACATCAGGTATTGTCAGTTTCAACCCCGAGGGCCTGAGTTGGGAGTTTCAAGGGTGGAGGCAAAGAGACTTACCGCTCGGTCAGCATGTTCAGGCATCGACGTCTCCTCGTTGAGACTCTGGGTCGTAGCCCTGGCTCCTTGTTCGAGGCCTGACATTTTGTTCTGCGCGGAATTTGAGGTGCTGTCGGTTGTGCTGGACGGTTCGAATAGTAGGCTAGGTTGGCTGGGCGACATCAAATCTCAAAGTATTCAAGATATTGTGTGATAGGAAGGCAACCTGAGGCATCAAGTTCCGGTCTCAGCGCGGTCTATATACCAGGAGTACGATGCCCCAGTGGCCTCGAGAAGGAAATATGATGTATGTCCATCATAGTATCTCCGTACGGGCCAAAGCAGAGCGGAGCGAAGGAGTGATGCCATGCGCATAACTCTGTGTGCTCCGTCCATTCAACTGCCAGCATCGTGCCATGACCTCAGCCAGGCCGTCAACGTCTTCACAGGACCTCAGCGGATTGCATCATGTTTAGGCATTTATAAAGTGTCAAGTAGGCGTCCCCGGCGCGGACATGTTGTGGAATATCAACGCGGGTGTGCTTACCGAGGATGATCGACGTTTGAGTTCATAGAACATCAGAAATGGGGATGGCAATTCAGATGACCATCATAACTTTTCCGTGATGGTCATCAATCGTATTGTGATATTATACATCTTCATCGTCTCAGCATTTCCACAATATGACCGTGAAGGAAGAGATTTTCTATTCCGAGTAACGTCTTTACAGTAGTCTGTACTCATACCCTCAGGCTGTGCCATTTGTCCCTCTGACTCCCACCCTCCCTACGCCGATACCTTCTATCGTTGTGAACGATGCTTCCACCCTTTGCAAACGAGACGCTACTCAAATGACAGTAACTTATCCTTGTTCAGTTTCATTTCTTTTAGATTGCGGTGGATAAGTGGATGCCCGCCGGGACTTCCTGGTTGGTGATGATGTCGAAGATGGAGGATTGACCACCTGCAGTGCCCGTATAGGAACGACCTTGTTGTTCTCGAACTGTTCCCCTTGGCCTTGAAGTACTTCTGCTGTGTCAATGGCAACTTCTGGAAGATACCTGCGGGCAGGTTCCGGAGTAGAGGGTGCAGAAAGCTCCGGTGAGCGTGTAGGGTCGGAGCCCGACACCAGACTGGGCGCGGTGTCGCCTGTTGCGGGAATGGGGCCGAGCACTTCGATTCGACCTCTTATAGTCTGTTGCCCTCCCATACCATGGTTGTTGCCCGACGCACTGCGTCGGGAGAGGCCCAATTCAATAGACAGATCAATCCTTGCGATATCTTCCAAGCGACCGCCTGAGCTGACTGGGTCGACACTTGCGATATCTTCCAAGCGACCGTCTGAGCTGACCAGGTCGACTCTTGCAACATCATGCTGGAGGGTCCCAGGAGGGACACCAGTAGGGGCCACGGTACGAATGGCGTCCACCGGCTCTTCAGTAGCGATTGTGAAGCTGTTCCTGACCACGTAGACATCGGCAAGTTTCTTGGCGGCAGCGACCATGCGTTGGCGTACTTCTGGCTTTCCTAGGTAGGTATTTGTCTTCACTTCGATCTCACTTGGACCATCCTTATCTGTGACTGCTCGCCAATTATCTAGTTTGATGCCATGAATGCCTGTATCGGCGCTGAATCGTTCAAAGAAAAACTGATCGGGAAGCATGTCGGATATGACGGCGAGGCGTGCAGCAGGTCCTTCTGATTCGGTAGCAATGTGAATGAGGTCCGCCACGAGACCAAGTGCGTTTACCAGACCGTTTGGCACAAGTCGAGTCCACCAAGGCCGCAGGGCTCCCTGATCGTGAGCCTCATAGAATTCTTCAGGTAACGTCCCGGTCCCAACATTGATCATGACCATCCGCTCTTCCTCACGGAGACCGTGGTTTCTGTGGTAGTGCAGTTTTCCCTCCCAGGATGGGTTGTTGGTTTCTCCTATCCCGCCATCCGTAAACGATCGCCCTCGGATTACCATTGGTTCAAAGTATGAAGGGGCTGCTGAGGTCGCACGTGCAGCTTGCCGTAGCTCCAGGTCACAGTCCAGCATCTGTTGTCGATAGGGGCCCTGGCACTCGTGGGTACAGAAGAAGATAGGATGCGGATTGGGTTTTTCGTGGCAGAGAACAGTCCCTTGCATACTGTTTGCATGCGCGCTGCGTAGTTTGAGATCGGGAGCATGCCCTTCTGATGCCAGCAGCTTTTCTATAGCTTTGCTGAGTGCTTCGCCCGAGAACTTTGACCAGTCGGAACCAAAAAGCCTTTTCAATGCTGGCCGTTCTTTCGCGAATATCTCGCTGGAAAGGACTTTGTATTGTTGAATGCACTCATCAATCGACATGTTCAACTTGACCATCATCAAGACAATCAATCCACCAGTACTGGTACCGACGGCGATGTCGAAAACATCTTGCGGATTCAGTGTTGGACGACCGTGGGGTACAACGTTCCTCCGAGCGAGCTCTTCGGTGACAAGGACGAGTAAGAGCCGCAAAATGAGCAGTGATGAGAGACCGCGCACTCCACCGCCATCCAAGGAGACCATCGCGATGGGCCGGGAAGGCGCCGCGTCTCCATCGGCAGCCTTACGGGCAACCTTACGGGCAGGCTCCATGACTTCGTTGACACGCCGTGCCAGACGCGAAGGCTAGCACGGGTTCCAGTTCGTTGTATTCGTATTCGTAGTCGTTATAGAAGGCTCTTGCAGTGGTAGATTGAGATAAGTGATTGTGAATAGGATGGATCGTACAAGAAGAGCACAAGATACAGAGCAATATAAAGCTGAACGAACCCTTGTGCATGACAAGTCACCCGCATACATCAGGGGGACAAGGAAAGGTCTCTGACCCCAGCATTCTGACATAACAGAAACCTCGAAGGCCACGAGGCTCTGCCAATGAAGTCTCTCCAGGCGCACAGTCTCGCAGACAAAAGTGCCATTATTTCGTTGACCTACGGATTCTGTCTGAGGCCGGATCGCTAAATGCAGTGCGGCAGGGCCACTGAAGTGTGCAGAATGTTGGGGGTCAGGCAGGGATGAAAGGTAGTGGTCGATTGTGATTGGACAATGGGTACATGGGACCATCAGGCTGCATGCTCATCTAGCGGCGAAACGGGCGATGCTCATGCGGGCTGAAACACCAACTGCCACAACTTTGTGCAAGGCGGGCGACAAAGAGAAGCCAGGCAGTGCAATGAGGCGAAGTTGCGCCCGGCTGATGACTAGGCAGTCTGATAGCCATAGATATGTTGATGTCACCAGGCGTACGCAGTGAAGAAGGGTCGGCAGGCGCGACAATGCTCAGGTGACCATTCTGCGCGGCCTGCAGTGTGACTTTAGAGATCAAAAACCCTCATACCGATATTACGTAGAAACAGGTCATGGGTCTGCTTCCACAAGTGTTCAAATAAGATCGCCTGCAGTAATCGTCGAAAGAGGCCACGGCAACAACAAAGAAACAAAGAATGAATAACCAGCAATCTCTCAAAATCCTTACCTTGGGTGAGTTAAATTTTGTACCCCGCTGTAACCTCGTGGCTGACTTTGGCAGATGGAGGTGGATTGCAGGCACTGGCGACACTGAGCAGCATCTGTGCAGTGTGTCAAGCAATCGCCAAAGAAAACAAAGCTGCGAGAATTCCAGCCCCCCACGAGCTGTTCGATATCATATGTGGTGTCGGCACTGGCGGGTAAGTAATTCCGAACCTGTGTCTGCGCCTTTCTGACATAGAATCTAGATGGATTGCATTGTTGCTTGGACGATATCGTCTCGACGTTGCAACATGTATGGCAGTGTACATGGAGATTGCGAGAAAGGTAGACAGCGATCGGAACACCTCCAGGTGGCCACGGCGAAATCGTGCTTTCAAGCTCGATCAAGACCAACTTGTCTCTGTGGTCGAGGATACGTTGCTGCGGTATAATTTGGATGCAACACTGTTGAGGGAAGAGTCGCCGGCACCAAACGTTTTCGAAAGAGGCCAAACCAGATGTGCACAGGCGTAAGTCAGGATATCCATTTTATGATGTTGCTGACTCTTGTAGATTTGCCGTGGGTATCAAACAAGGACGGAACAAACAAGGAACCGAGTACGAGCTCTTCAGATCATACAACCTTGAGGGCAAGTCTGCGAGCACGCTGTCTGGTCCAGAGCCCAGAAAGTGTCGCACTTCGCAAGCCTTCGCCGCAGTCGGAGCCGCCAAATTCTTCTTGAAGCCATACAAGGTTGGGAAGAGTGTCTTCTTCGACGAGACATTTCCTCAGTCACATCCCATCTCATCAATGGCTCTCGATGAAGCACTGACCGTGTATGGCCCTGACGTGGAGATTTCGGTCCTGCTTAACATAGGCCCAGGTATCCCTTCAGAGCAGGATTGCAAAACTCTTGACTCCATGTCCATTGGCCCTATTGCTCGTCTGACGAGGAAGTTTTCATGGCCTGGAAGGAAGGAAGCGTCGCTGAAAGGAAAAAAGCCGGTGGACAACGACAGCCAAAATGAGGTGCAGCAGCACGATTCAACGCCCAGCACTCCTAGCGAAAGTGCGCTGAGACTGGAGTGCCAGAGACGATTGGACATACGTGACCGGTTGAAGGGCTTGTATGGTGATTCTGGGGCCGAAAAGTACCATCATCTTGGACCGGATTATTCCTTGGAGAAAGCGTCTCTTAACGATGTTCATGCCATCCGACTGTTTCGAACTCGATCAAGGGAATCACAAGGCCGCGCGGCCGAGATAGGGGGTGCAGTGAGCCAGTACTGGGTCAACACGAGGGCTTGAAGGAAGGTTCGGAGGCTATGAGGACGTGGTGGTACCTAGACGCTGCTGCTGAGATTGTGACAGCGTGATGATCTGTTTACACCAGTCAATACATCAATCGTCAGCCAGGTCGGAACCAGTTGCCATTTAGCTCCGGGGCCATCATCGATCGGATGGGAAGAAGCGAGCCGTGAATTCGTGGTGTGCTCCGCGGACCAGACTTGTGGGATGTGAAAAGGGGGGTGTTTTGAGTTCGATTGTTCATCACCAATAGCTTGCGCATCTGAACACTGCAGTCTGCAGCTCGGAAGTACTGCGTTACAGGAACAAGGAAAGGGTCGAAGGACAAGGTGAAGTAAGCAATGACAAGCTCACTAGGGCCCGTCTCTGCATGGCTGCGTGGGTGATAGTTTGGACAAGAGTTGATGCTTGGAGTGGATTGTCGTGGGTGGCTTGTTGCTTGTTGGTCCAGTGGCCCTTGACTGCGCCCCTCTAAAGTTATGGCACCTACAACCCCGCCAATGGTCAATCGTCATCACCACCAAAAAAGTTGAATTGGCCTCCCTCCGGGAAGACCTTGCATTACACTCATCAGCCATTCATCACTATCCGAGAGGTACATTCCATTGCAAGCTTCGTCATACAAGTCACCACGTTACGAAGTTTCAAGCTGACCATAGCTCCCGCCCGCCCAATCATCACGTAGCTTGCTGTACCTACCCATTACCAGGAAAAGTGCAAACGTAACTTCTGTGTCTCAAATGCTTTGCCAACTCTGACCGCTTCGTCTTCATTACTTCCTCCTTTCTTGCACGTCATAATCCCGTGTTTCAAAAGTCTTTTCACCTTCAATCCTCTTGAATCACTACTTTGTTGCCCGTTGTACTATTCTTTCCTCCACCAGCCAGAATATTCAACATGGTCAACCTTCAGAGCGTCAAGCCAGACCCTCAAAAGGGCAAGGGCGTCCCAGACCGTAGAGCGTCAGTGGTCCCAGGCCTTGAACACATCTCGCTGGAAGCACCTGGAGAGGATGAGTTCTCCACCAGTGTCTATGGCTCCAAGTTTGCCGCAGAAGATCTCCCCAGCCACGAGATGCCCGAGAGAGAGATGCCAAAGGAGGTTGCATACCGCATGATCAAGGATGAGCTCAGTCTCGATGGTAACCCAATGCTGAAGTGAGTGTGTTCCGAGACTCACATAGGAGAATACGCTAATGACTGTGTTCTAGCCTTGCGAGCTTCGTCACTACGTTCATGGTAATGCTCTCTACCCTACGACGCTACCACAGACACTGATATGTTTTCTAGGAACCAGAGGCGGAACAGCTTATGACTGAAGCCTTCTCCAAGAACTTCATTGATTACGAAGAATACCCTCAGACTGCCGAGATTCAGAACCGATGCGTCAACATGATCGCCCGCCTCTTCAACGCCCCAGAGTCCGAGGATGGATCCAATGCAATGGGTACCTCGACTATCGGCTCCAGCGAGGCCATCATGTTGAGCGTTCTTGCCATGAAGAAGAAATGGCAAAACAAGCGGAAAGCTGAAGGAAAAGATGCTAGCAAGCCAAACATTGTCATGAACAGCGCAGTCCAAGTTTGCTGGGAAAAGGCTGCCCGCTACTTCGAAGTCGAGGAGAAATACGTCTACTGTACCAGTACCCGCTATGTCATGGACCCTGAAGAAGCTGTCAACCTCGTCGACGAGAACACTATCGGCATCTGTAGCGTTCTCGGTCTCACTTACACCGGTGAATACGAAGACACCAAGAAGATCAATGACCTGCTTGTTGCCAAGAATATCGACTGCCCCATCCACGTCGACGCTGCTTCTGGTGGCTTCGTGGTTCCTTTCGTCGACCCGAACCTGATGTGGGACTTCCGTCTAGAAAAGGTGGTCAGCATCAATGTCTCGGGTCACAAATATGGCTTGGTATATCCTGGTGTCGGCTGGACCGTTTGGAGATCACCGGAGTTTTTGCCTAAAGAACTGATCTTCAACATCAACTACTTGGGCGCCGATCAGGCATCATTCACTCTAAACTTCAGCAAGGGTGCCAGCCATGTCATCGCCCAATACTACCAAATGATCCGTCTCGGCAAGCGTGGGTACCGCAGCATCATGGCCAACCTCACTCGCACATCGGACTATCTCGCTGCTCAGGTGAAGGCTTTGGGATTCATCGTCATGTCTCCAGGAGGTGGCCGTTCTCTGCCTGTGGTTGCCTTCCGTCTGGACCCTGAGCATGGTCAGCTCTATGATGAGTTTGCCATTGCTCATCAGCTCCGTGAACGTGGATGGGTCGTCCCAGCCTACACCATGGCCCCACACAGTGAAGGTCTCAAGATGATGCGTGTTGTCGTTCGTGAGGACTTCAGCAAGCAGCGCTGTGACAGCCTCGTCGCCGACCTGAAAGCGGCACTACAAGTGCTCGGAGAGATGGATAAGAAGACAATGGAGCGTTACCAAGAGTACGTGTTCCTTCATTGTTTGTCAAAAACAGAATACTGATCTTGGCTTCTAGGCACATCGTCAAGAACACATCAAGAGGTAAGCACGCCAAGGGTACCAAAAACCCCTACAAGGATGAGAAGCACTCGCTTCAAGGCAAACATGGCAAGAGCCACCCAGTGTGCTAGATCATGCCCTGCCGTTTGTGATTCAGGTGGGCTGTTAAAGACGGGTGTCGGAACACCAAAACTTGGGAAGATGTGCAAATGCTGGACCCGTAGCTCATGCAGCAGTCACTTCTTGAAGTGAAGAATAAAATCAATTTCAGCGAGATCATTGAAGACGAAGTCCTGCAGCTGTCTATCGCAGTAGACTTAGTCATTACCTATGTTGAGGGCGCCTTATGCATCGCTACGGGCAAGATCGTTGAAGTCGAAGTCCTGTAGCCGGCTTTCGCAGTATCCTATGTCGATACCTATGATAAGAGCGCCATCCACATCGCTATGGACACTGTCGTTCGAGATGAAGAACTGGAGCCGGACATCGAGGTTGTCTTAGTCGTTATTCATGTCAGGAGCGCCATCTACATCGGCACTAGGTATGATCGTTGAAAATGAAGCCTTCCAGCTGCTTATCGAGGTTGTCTCATTCACTACCTATGTCAGGCGCGCCACCTGCAACGCAGTACCCTCGCAAATTCTATCGAGGTCGCCGTCATCTCAATACAGTCTCTCACCGCAGTTGCGGTACCAGTCGTCCATTAACTCCATCTTGGTTCCCTGACCCACGAATGCGCCATTGCCATAGCTGTCGTACACCCGCACAAACGTCGGCAAATGCTGGCCATGGACCATGCCTCTCGCCTCTGCCTTCTCCACCACAGTCTCATAGACACGAAACTGAATTCCTGCTTTCTTCAAAGCCTTTCCGGTCTCCTCAATCTGCGCACGCTGCATGATGCAGGCCGTGGTTGTGGGATCTCTGTTCTCGACGTATTCGAGCTCGAAGAGCTTGAGATCGACCTGTTCTGCCTTCCATTCAATGATCTTCTCGCAGAGGTATTGCATGCCGGTGACTGGGCAACCTGGGCCATCGATGAGGCGAAGCTTGAAGGATTCGAGAGTATGTGGAAGAGTCGACAAGAAGAGGTGTATTTGAGTTCGATGTCCGCCGGATTCCAGTTCCATACCATGAAGCTCAATCGGTCGATAATCACTCCATTCCCATATGCGCATGCCGAGCTCAAAGTGTTTGAGTTCGACGAATTTCGCCAGCAAATGCTTGAACAAATCCCTCGGAGTATCTTCCGTGCAGGTGCTGCCGAGGATTCTGGTGTAGTTGAATTTCAGCTCTAAGCGAGTCAGTGACTTCCCGTGGTAGTCACCCAGCACCCTAAGGAGATTCTGCATGTAAAATGGCTCTCCAACATCGTCGTAGAATGGCTCTGCAACGTCTTCATAGACGTAAGGTAGAGGATGATCATGATAGAAGCTGTTGGCATCTATGGAGAATGAGAACGTCCGGAGTGCTTTTGGGATGCTAAGGAGAGGGCGTAGGTAAACGAGGTGAATGAAGTCGCTGTGGCAGTCTTCAAGGCGTAAGATCTTCAACGGGCTAGACCTGGCTGGCTTCCAGAGATGGATAGTAAGCTCAGACAGCCTTGCTCCAACAGTGTTCAATTCTTCGAGCCTTGGAAGGTCATAGAGGCGGACGAGCTGATAGATCTTTCTGCTAGGTCGGTGTGGGTCTATCTCGTCGAAGAGGACCAATGTGCCTAAACAAAGCATGCATTTAGTGACCGTACCCAGAACATCGGTGAGAATCCGAACAACAGACTTACAAGAACGCAATGTATTCGTGGTCATGCTCTGGGCCTGGCGGCTTGTCGCATAGTAAGATTCTAGTCTTTCAAAATGGTCTGCATCCATCTCTTCTGGGTAGCGGAACAACAGGTCCTTCAGTCTGGGGAATCTCCTGATGGTCCGTCTTAGTAGCCAGAAATCTGGTGTGGGCATCTCTAGCTCTGGGCCAATCACAAGTGTCTCGACCATATTGCGTAGAGAGTCTTTGCTTTGGAGATGACGGAAGAGCAGCAAGTAATCCGACTTGGTGCGAAGGTGGACTTTTCGAAAGCGATGCGCTTCAGTCATGGCGTAGAAGTGCTTGCATGTTTTCGCGAGGTTGACCAACGCTGTGCGGTCGTCACGGATTTCGTCGACGATCTTGAGCGCGATCTCGTATGCTAGACAATCCATCTTGACGACTAAGCGGCCTGAGGACGCCGCTCTCTCGCGCGACAGCTTGACTGACGAGGTGTTGTGGTATGAACTGCACGACGTGCAAATACCTACACCGCGCTGCCTGCGCAGGCTTGCGCGGTGTGACTAGCGCCATCGCCATACCGCACCGGTCGCTGTGTGAAGCAACAAGGTGGTGGTGATGAGCCAGTAAGGCCAATATAGCGGGCGTCCCGGGGTATTTTGGACTCACAGACATCTACCTACCGCGTGAGAGTCACATCATGTCGACTGCAGTGCAAAGAAGTGCAGTACTGGCAGGTGGAATAGCACAGTTGCCCTTCCATACCATTGTCGTTGTCAGAGGAGGTGGAAACAAGATAAAGACTAAGAACCTCCGTCGGCGGAATGTTTATCCGGCAAAGCATAAATGGACAAGACGTTCAACCTTCAACGTGGATATATACATGCACCATCCTTTCTTCTCGACATTACCATTGTGAATATCTCGACTTGACTCACTTGAAAGGCTAGACCAGCCCCAGAAAACAATTCCAAATTCTACAGCAACATAAGGAACGCCATGATCTCAGCATCCCCTCTCGATTGCGAGGTCCTTGATGACCAAGTGCCGAATCAGCAGAATTTCCCGAGCAGTACTAGTCTGTATCTGGGGAACGCCCCCTGTACATATCCCAGCCCCAGCTCCTTTTCCATTTTCAGCTTCGGTACTTCCATCTCCTCCTTGACTTGCGGGGACAGTTTATGGAGGCGGTGATCGTCCATTACACATCCCTTCCACCTGGCAGCTCTCCAGGATTTCCTCTCCACCAGCGCTCTATGCCCACAGGACTTCTGCAACATGTACGTGAGTCAAGCCATAAAGCAAGGCTCACCGAAGAATCTGGTCTCAATGCCAATCACGCAACATGAATACGCATTTGCGGGGTTGTTCAAGGTAGGCCACCTCACGCTGACCAGGATGAATCGTCCAGTCACGTCCTGGCGATCCTTGCGTCTACAGGGTGACATTCGTCTAAACAAATTGCACCGCTGCCTTGGAATACTTCTTCAGTGGTCGTGACCTGACTAACCTGTTCTCCGCCGCGGCCCCGGTCCAGTCGAACCACGCGACGTTCAGCCACCGGACGTATGTCCTGCCAGCAAGGTCATACTTCTGTCACCGATGCATCCTTTTACATGCTCGAACGCAGTCATGACTGCCAACCCAAGATCGCGATTGGCACCCGCACTGTCCAGACTCCTGTGGAGGCCCCACGTTTTCTGACCCGGGTGACCTAACGATCTTGCAGCTGTCAGGAGAGGAACATAAAGAGCCCGGTAGCCCGAGTGGCATGGCTTGCCCGACCTCGTCCTCCTCGCCTCAGGTCTTCTTCCTTAGCTGCTGATACTGCCCCAGACCGAACAAACGTAGGTGTTAGACTCCAAAATGTCGTCCGCAGGCCGAGCAGACTCGTACGACCCGGACATGATCTCGGAGAAGCCGAACCTGTCGCACGTTGTCTCTTCTGGCGCCATTTCCATCAGTCCTGAACTCTTCGAGAAGGTATGCAGTGCACCCCAAGAGGCGCAGCCACATGCTAATCGAACATAACAGCTCTACTTGACACCCAAGACCCCGCATGCCGGCGACAACATCAGACGCTTTGCCAACCCTACTCCTCTAGGCTTTGTTGGGTGAGTACCCTCCAGGGTAGTATCTCTAAACCACACACACTAATGCAAAACCAGCTTCGTTATTTCTACAATGACCTTTGCAATGGTCGAGATGGGCTGGGGCGGTGCCTCGGGCCTGTATCCCGTCGTGTAAGTACATATTTCACCCGTGGAAATTACTGGCAACGCACCCTGCTGACACTTGTGCAGCGGCATTTTCTTCTTCGTTGGTCCAGTCCTACTCATTCTGACTGTCATCTTCGAATGGATCATGGGCAACTTCTTCTCCATGATGGTCTGCGGCCTTTTCGCCGTCTTCTGGCTTAGTTTCGGCATGTTGCAATTACCCACGCTAGGTCTTGGTGCGCCATACTCAACAAGCGGCACTGACTCTGTTGCGGGAGAAGCCACCAAGGCATATAACGCCGTCATTGCGCTGTACTTGATCATCTGGGGCTTCGCGCTGTTTACCTACTTCATCTTCACGCTCAAGACGAATTGCGTGTTTGCCGGTATCTTCTTGTTCGTCACGATCGCCTGCTGGGTCCTCAGTGGCGCGTACTGGAAGGTCAGCAGGGGTGAGTATGCGACTGCTCATACGTTGCAGGTGGTAAGTTGGCCCAAGGCCTACATGCAGAAAGAATGCTGACCATGTATAATGAATAGACCGGAGGAGCTTTGCTGTTCATCGTCGGTATTCTTGGCTGGTATATGTGCTTTGTGATGATGGCTGCTGAAATGCGTTTGGCTATCACGCTGCCTGTGGGCGATCTTAGTCATTTCTGGCCCAGAACTGATGTTGAGTTGGGTAGGGCTGAGAAAGAGGCTTGAAGAGACGATACAACACATGAGTCGAGTTGAAGGTAGGAGTAGCTCGGAGGTACATCAATGGAACAGACAACGGAGAGACCATGCCGATTGACGGCATGAGCAGTGCTTTGTACATGTCTTGACACAGCGTCCATGCATCTAGCTAATAACATGCTCCTTGCGGTCATTGTCACGGGGTCTGTGACAGGATGGTTTCCATGATAGAGTGCTAACCTCTGCTTCCCTACTGAACTCCCTCCAGCCCACATTACGTTACATGCAGAATCTCGACAATACCTCAGCCGGTTTGTTGACACGCGGTCATGTTCTCCTTAGCATGTCAATCATGCCCTAGAGCATCATCCGCCTCAGGTTTTTCAAGGACTCATTGCTGACCACATCCTCAAGCAGTGGAAGAAGTGACGATGGCGGTGATCGCGCTCGAGCTTTGACATTTCGCCTCGGACATGTCACAGTCATAGTATTGGGTGGAAGGGTATTCGAGACTCAGGTTGGCGAACTTGGTAAGGACATTGTAGGGATATTCTCCAACACTAATACGGTCTGGTCAGCCTTGTGTCACTCTCTGCGGGTAGGGCGTTGTAGTCCGTTTAGACTTGGGAAATTCCTCACCTGTTGTCAATGTACGAGTGTTGCAGGTCAAGGGTCAGGGCTTGCACTCCAGCCCATGGGCTGACGAGGACAGCGAATGTATCGTTATCACAGCTACCTGGCCAAGTGGTCGGTGGGCTTGCGTTGGCTGACCATTGAACACAGCAATGGACTGGCTCGATCTCGGGGGTGTCCTGGTCGGCGAAGTCGACTGTCATAGTTAGCAGCTGCCATGTTTACCAGGTAAGAGAGGTCTGGACGACTGTCTCGGAGCAACGCAATGGCAGCGAAGACTCACGTTCGACGTAAGATCCCTCCACAGAGTCTGGATTAAATTGCGACAGTGATGAGACAGTAATGTTTGTGAGCTCAAAGTTGCCTGAGAATGCTGAGATGGTAGATGTGAAGAGGAAGGCGACAGGGAGCAGGAGCGGCAATTGGTATAACATGGTCGCAGCGTCTGGAAGCAATCGCTTTGTAGGAATTATGGGAATTGATGGGTTGAGTTAACTTGTTGAAGCATGAAGCGTATGGATTCGAGAAAAGCGAAAGGACTCAACTGACTGATTTGGATTAGAACGGTGTGAGAAGGAAAAGGACTTTATATCTGCGCTTTCTGCATCGGGATCCATACAGCACCGAATTTGTGGGTTTCCATCTTTTGAGAACAACAATGGCTGCACCTTCAGCCACAAGTTTGTACAGGCATATTTACTCAATCGATGCTGTTGATGGACAAACATTGGAAGTGTGACGCTTGGCCAGCAAGTACAAGCCCCTTTGTTCGACGTAGTATCGCACGTTGTATCAGGACGGCTTCCTTCCTGAATGTAGCTAGACCAGGGTCGACTGAGACAGAGTCAGCTAGAACCTCAATAGAAACATCAGATCATGCGTACGAGCAGGGAAGAAAATGACAATGACTGGAGCGGCCCTTACATACTATCACTCTGGCCACCGCCCATCTGCTCAGTCCAAGATCGTTGGGGTTGGATGCAGTGCCAGATGTCCGGAAGCACTTCAAAGAAGGCTGCCAGAAATAATCAGTGTTACACGGCAGAAGAGCACGACAGGAAAGACATGTTGGCAACCGTCACCAAAACCAAGGCTGGAATTTTGGTGTTGACTGCTGGAAATGCGTTCGCTCCGCTCGGAAGAAAGAACGAATCAGCCTGTATCCATGAGCAATTCATTGGGAGCAAGAGAACCTTTGTGGCGCCGTGCGATAGGGATTTCGACCACAGCCTCTGAGAAGCGTTGCTGGCAGGTGAAAGAGCTTGGAGCCAAGAGTGCGAACGAAATGTCCAGGGCGTGCGTTTGCATACTTCCCGGGTATCTGAAGGTGGAAGAGCCCATTCCGGTGACTTCAGGGCCACGACAACCGAATGCCACTCGTGTAACAGGTACTACGTCCCACAAGTGACAATGCCTCCAGGACACCCCAACGAGAGCACAAACACCGCAATGACACACAACGCAAGTCCACTCACAAACAAGCAGAAAAGAGAAAGTTGCAATCAATTGCCGTGCATTTTCCGAAAGCCCACTACCATTGACTTCTGATGAGTATGTGTGATATCGTTGCACAGGCTGAGAAACACCAGCCATGCCATTTTGTTCGATCGAGGCGGAGTTCGAATTCCTTTGCCGAATCCACCCGATGAAACCCCAAACTTGACTGCAAACATGTCCATGATAGCAATCGCTTAACCCTTCTTCTTGCTGACACCAACAGTGCGACCTCTTCTGCCAGTGGTCTTGGAGTGTTGACCTCTGACACGGAGACCCCAGTAGTGTCGCAGACCACGATGAGCTCGGATCTTCTTCAGGCGTTCCAAATCCTCACGGAGCTTGCTTTCCATACCGTTGGCCAAGACCTGGTAGCTCTTGCCGTCGACAATATCACGCTGTCTGTTCAGGAACCATTCTGGGATCTTGTATTGGGTAGGGTTTTGGATGATGGTGACAATTCGTTCGAGTTCTTCAGTGGTGATATCACCGGCACTAAAACTTCCCATCAGTCCTGTCTCTTTTGATAATCCAACATTCGTGCATACCGCTTGTTCAAGTCGACATCGGCCTTCTTGCAAACCAGGTTGGAGTAGCGACGGCCGACACCCTTGATTCGGGTCAAGGCGTACATAATCTTCTGCTTGCCATCGACGTTGGTGTTGAGGAGACGAAGGATGAACTGGACTGTAGCGCATTGTTAGACTTGATCGAGCATCGACAGGAATTGGGATTTCGTACAGTTCGACTTCTCTCCGCTGACGAGAGCTGTGTTAAGATAGGTTAGCGAACGTCCTCTGTCAGTCCTGCGACGATGGTGCAACACATACACATGATGGGCTAGTCTCTTCGTTGAAATTGGCGATAGGAAACAGTTGCGATTGCGCAGTTTGTCTTCTCGACGTCGAGGCAAGATCGAAAAAGTTCTGTGGGAGGCTTGGCGAGAATGAAGGAGTTTAGGCTAGCCCATAAAAGACTAGCGCTAGATAGAGGCTGCTCACGTGCCGAGGTCCTTATCGATGGTCACATGGTGATGTCAGCGGGCCAATAACCAATAAATTGGGATGAAACGGGGTCGTCTAGCAACCAGCGAAACGAGGACAACAGGAACGGCACAGGCTGCTTCATTACGAGTTGCAGTTCGTCCAAGATCCGTATCTCTTCTGTTACCCTCCATCCTTCATCTCTATATCACTCTCATCACTCTTCTCAAACACTTTGTTTTCTCCATCAGTCTTGTGTCAGCTTGAAGCTCACTTGACCCTTCGGGATTGATTCCCGGATCACCTATCACTGCTACCTGTATTCGCTGCTGCCTTGACTGGCCAGATCAGACGATCACAAGCAGTTGCATTGAGCATCCTTCATCATGAAAGCTATCTCTGCTGCTCTCCTGGCTGGAGTGGCTTCGGCTGCCATCGCCCCTCAACAGCCTATCCAGTTCCCCAAGTCCTTCCCTGCCGAGGTCAAGGACGTCCTCGGAAACCAGCTTCATCACCTCAAGGATGCCCTCAAGGGGCTTACGGCTGAAGCAGCTGCAATCTGGGATGAGGTTGCTGCGATGTATCCCGAGGATATGAGCGCGGCCAGCTTCTTCTCCCTCCCCAAGAAGCACACCCGCCGTCCTGACCACGAATGGGACCACATTGTCCGTGGCGCTGACGTTCAAAGCGTCTGGGTGGAGAATGCCAATGGCGAGAAAGAGCGTGATATCGATGGCAAACTTGATACATATGACCTCCGGGTCAAGTCGGTCGACCCCTCCTCACTTGGTGTTGACACTGTCAAGCAATATTCGGGTTACCTCGACGACAATGAGAACGATAAGCACTTGTTCTACTGGTTCTTTGAGTCACGCAATGACCCCAAGAACGACCCAGTTGTCTTGTGGCTCAACGGTGGCCCCGGTTGTTCGTCCTTGACCGGCCTCTTCCTCGAGCTTGGACCGGCCAGAATCAACGAGAAGCTCCAGCTTGTCGACAACCCATACTCCTGGAACGACAATGCCAGCGTCATCTTCCTGGATCAGCCTGTCAACGTCGGCTACTCCTACTCCAGCTCTAGCGTCTCCAACACTGTCGCCGCCGGAAAGGATGTGTACGCATTGCTTACCCTGTTCTTTAAGCAGTTCCCAGAATATGCTAGCCAGGACTTCCACATTGCGGGTGAATCATATGCTGGACATTATATCCCCGTCTTTGCGTCTGAAATCCTGTCACACAAGAAGAGCAACATCAACCTCAAATCGCTTCTCATTGGCAACGGTCTCACAGATGGTTTGACTCAATACCCCCAATACCGCCCGATGGCATGTGGTGATGGAGGATGGCCTGCTGTTCTTGACGAACAGTCCTGCCAAGCCATGGACAATGCCCTTCCCCGCTGCTTGAACTTAATTGAGAGCTGCTACAACAGCGAAAGCGTCTGGTCGTGCGTTCCGGCAAGCATCTACTGTAATAACGCTCTGCTAGCACCTTACCAGCGAACCGGCCAGAACGTCTATGATGTGCGCGGCAAATGCAAGGACAGCAGCAACCTATGCTATCCCGAGCTTGGCTGGATTAGCAAATGGCTCAATGACAAGTCTGTCATGAAGGCTCTGGGTGTGGAGGTCGATGGCTACGACTCATGCAACTTCGACATCAACCGCAACTTCCTGTTCCAGGGTGACTGGATGCAACCTTTCCATCGATTGGTGCCTGGCCTCATCGAGAAGCTGCCAGTGTTGATCTATGCAGGTGACGCTGACTTCATCTGCAACTGGCTTGGTAACAAGGCATGGACCGAGGCGCTTGAGTATCCCGATCACAAGAAGTTCGCAGCCGCTGAGATGGAGGACCTCCGCCTCGATGGCACCAAGGATGGACGCAAGATCGGAGAAGTCAAGTCTCATGGCAATTTTACCTTCATGAGAATTCATGCAGGCGGTCACATGGTTCCTCTTGACCAACCTGAAGCGAGCTTGGAATTTTATAACCGATGGTTGGCGAAAGAATGGTTCTAGACTATCAACATACGGGAGGATATGGTGAATGCGGAGTGATACTGCGTTGAACCCTCTGAGAGGGTTTTCTGTTTGGTCGATGGAAACCGGTGTGTAGATGGGGTGTGCTGAGGCTACGAGGATCAAGGCGAAGCATGGATTGCCAGCGGTTATGTGCATTGTATATTCCTGCTGAATTGGTATAGTGAATCGGAGCAAATCCATCAATTGAATCTTCCCTTCTTCTTGCCCCCTCGCATTGCCGTGACTATTCACGATCCGGAGCGCCCCAGATCGATAGTGTGTATATCTACTGCAGGTGATGTGGTGTTTATCACGATTGCCCGAGGCGGCTGACGGTGGCCAATATTTCCAGGCTATCATGGTAGGTCGACAATGATGAGGATGGAGACACAAAATGTCGATTCTATTGATAAAGATGAGAATGATTGGCTGATATGCAAGTCATCGTCGACTGGGATTGTCCTCTCATCACACCAATCACTCTCTGTCTAAGCGCCCAGTCTCGATGTGGGCTATCTCAATCCAGTATCGTCTTCTTTCCTCTACGCGCCCGGCTGATTCTCCCTCTCCCACTCATCCAACCTATCTCGTTCCATCCTCATCCCCCTCTGCACCTCAACATCACACGTTCACCATATGGCCAACCCGGTGCTTGGTCCATATGCGACCAGATGGCCAGCGACCTCTCCACCGCCGCTGTTGTATCTAAATATTGCCATCCCCGACGCCTCTTCGATTCTTTCCCTCTTCCCTCACGCAAGCAAGTCTTGTTAATTTTGGTTGTGCGGTAACAAAGAGCTATTCTTGAAAAAAGCATCTCATTTTTGTCTTTACGCGTTTAATCATTCCTGCAAAGAATTAGTGTCTGGTACACTATTGATCTGAACACCCTGAACATCAGTCAATCCGAGTTTCTGGTTCATATCAAAACCTTACGACCTGTGGCATCTTGAGCTGGACTCTTCCTGCTACATTTCTTCACACCAAACACCAATCTTTGCAGACTCTGTTCTAGCACGAGAAGAGAGATCTTTTCTTGGTCAATCACTTTCAAGAAGGAAACCATCATCGTTGCTGGTCGACGGTCATTCTTTCTACTAATAGCTCTTACTACTGTTACCGCACACCAATACTTGCTGTGCCTCTCCAGCAACTTAATCAGTCAACCTATCTGCTTTGTTGTTGTCGATACTGCTGCAACGCATCATTTGCTTTTTTTTTTCAGCCACTCTGAATCGACCTAATCCATTTCTATCCCAAGCGAAGGACGCATCTGCATTACTCCCGGCGAGTAGTGCTTGACTTGGTTCAAACATCCCTGCAAGATCGCTGTGCCGCACGAAATCTGCAGCATAGCCTCACGACAGCCAAATCTTCCATTCCATTTGGCTTCACTGCACACCACAGTCCAACACTACATCATCACGTCACCTCCTTCGCCCCAGTATCAAGTGTCTCCAACCTCATCATCAACCACGCTGTGTTGTCACGATTGCTGGTCAATCTGTTCATCACTAAGAACAAAAGCACCTTTCTCAAACCTTCCTAGACATCATCAACACTACCTTGACGTGTCTGTTCAGGAAGCTCTGCTCCGACTCAATCCATTGTCTATACGGCAATCACTTCACACGTGGCCATTGATCTTCACACTTGCTCTGCCTCAACGACCTTTGTCAACTTACTAGCATCTTTAATCAACAACATCAGCATCAGCATCAGCATATCTAATTCAGTCAAGCGATTCATTACGACGACAGCTCTTCAGCAGCACGACGAAACACCTTCACGCATTGTCAGGAATCAGACGTCACAACGACACAACATCTTCTATTAACTTGTAAGTCTATACGCCTTCTACTTCATCAGGGCAAGCTAATCAAATGCAGTCGGCACATACTAATAATACCTGGACAACTTTTCGAAACCAAAATCAAAAAACAATACCAGAATGTCGTCACCAGCAGTGCAGCTTTCATTCACCCTTCGCACTTCTCCTAATGTCCGCACTGTCCATCTCCTGGGTTCATGGGACAACTACAAATCCCAACTTCCCCTATCAGTGGTCAAAGATCCTGGTGCAAAGCCTGGTTCCTGGAAAGGTACCTTCCGCTTCCAAGGGGCAAACACGCTCAAACTCGGCTCACGTTACTGGTACTACTACATCGTGGACGGCTACCATGTCTCTCACGATCCAGCCAAGGAGTTCGTCACCGAGAAGACAACTGGTCGGAAACTTAACGTCATTGACGTGCCATCCGGCGGCAAGGACAGGGACCATGGTAAAGCGGAACGTCCCTCTGTCAACACCAACGTCTCATCCAATCGCTACAGTCGGGAAGTTCCAAAAGGCCGTGCTCTAAGCCCAGGCAAGATTCAGCATCCCAAGCCAAGCAAGCCGTACGCTTCACGTGGAGTACGTGAAGCCGACTACGACGATTCGCCGATCGACGACCTTGACGAGCGTTTCGCAGGATACCATATCCACGACCCTGCCTCGGCATCGCCGTCTGAGATTTCGGACGACGGGTCTTCCAGTGGTACGGCGTTCTCACGTTCGTCTCCGTCAACCTTGTCGAGCGTGAGCGACCGCAGCTGTCGATGCGAGCGGTACGGCGTGACTCGGTCAGGTCAACGCGTCAAACTTGACTGCGGAGGCAAGCGATGTGGAGGATGGAGTTCATCGGAGTGCGACTCTACAGGTAGCGAGGAAGACTCGAGCGAAGACGAGCGCTACCAGAAAGCTCGAGCACGTGCAGACGCGGAGAAGAGAGCAGCAGCGGCACACGCCAGCAAGGGGCGTAGCCACCCAGAGGAGAAGAGGAGGACAGTCGTGGTGGAGAAGAGGCGGAGATGAGTGAAGCTGCAATTGCTAATAGTGAGGGAGGTGAATGAATAGTCAGGTGACATGACCGGAAATACCTCTGTTCAGGAGCCAGGTTGGAAGACAATTGCCACACCGGCACGACTGCAGCCAGGGTGATCAGGCACGGCAACAGCAAAGGACAACAATCATGCCTGATATGAGTTGTACGAAGTCAAGCCGCCCGTGGCTGGGACCGGACTCGGACCTGTGCCGCCCGCAAAGAGGGTCAGGCAGTTTGAATACGACGAAAGGGGGCCAATGACGTGTGAGATGAGAGACCCATGAGGCAGAAGTTGCGTGGACTATCCCAATAAAAATCGCACGGCGGGCATGCCGAGGATAGTCATGCATGGTGGGATGGGGTAAGGGAGAGAATAACGTCACAAGGCAAGACTGGAGGCAGATATTGTGGAAGACGGGGAATGAAGGCGGTGAGAGTGAGGAGGTGGGTGTTGGTCAATGATGTCCATGGGGGCCATAAGCGGTCTGAAAGTACTCTTTACATACATCAGATCGCGGACAACAGGAGATCAGCCCATGCTTGCATCACATACGTCCTGTTCGGAGGATCTTCTGCATTGTTTCCTTGTCCTTGCCCCGTACTGATTCTCGAGCTCAGTTTGCGACGCGTAGCTGTATTCCTTCGCCCATGGGCCAGTAACCTGATATGCAGGTAGAGGTGCTGGGAAATTGGGGACATGGTGCCCACCCTTATACGTATTCCACGGACTTGCCGCTGATTATCGTCTCGGGCGTCGATGATTGCTACCGTGTCCCTGCAGAGTGTGGGAAGTATTCCGTCAACGGCCTTGAGCTGCTTACATGTAGAATTGGAGTTCCTCATCAGTCTTGCACCAGTGTTTGTTGCACCATCGTGGCAGTTTAAAGTTTGCGAATGGAATGTCCGGGTTTGCAGGCAACGATTCTCAACTAGCGCACAGACACCGGTCACGGCAGGCGTACAAGTAAGGTAGCCAAGCGATAGAAAGATACGGTCAGCAGAAGGAGCAACGGACGTGGTTCGTGCGCGCACGATTCACCCGCTTGGATCCGGAAGGAAAGATAAGAATGAAGGACGACGCAGTAAGGATGGAGTCGCGCAGACCTGAAATGTCTGAAAGGACGAGAAAACAACAGCAGTATGTGGTAACGTGGTGGTAGAGTCGGTCGATGGAAGGGCTTGTGTCTTAGATCGCTCAACGGTAAGATCGACAGCCGCGCTGTTACGACTGCTGGAAACGAGTTTCGCGCAGGACATCACACGCTGAACCCCATGCAGCGTTGACGGAGCGAAGTCTGATGACCGGTTCCGAGCCTACCTGATGCCTAAGGGTTCTTCAGCCATCGGGTATCACCCCTTCAAGCGCTCTAACCATCAAGCCTGTTTCCAGAAAAAGTGGCACGGTCTGACCAGTGTCGATCCTCAGGTGCAAATAGGTACTGTTTCTTATTGTCGTCTCGAAGTCCTTCACACACAACGATAGAACTTTATGCATTGTTAGAAAGGAGGTCATCAGCTCCATCGTGTATCTCTACTAGCTTGCTGTCAAGCACCCGTTGTCGCGAACCTGCAGAACTTCAATTTGAATGATCGATGTACTCCCCGTCAGACGGTGCCACTTTTTCTGGAAACCACTTGCCATGTGGGAGAGTGGTTTGTCTACGATCAGATCTTCTCTTTTTGACAGCAACGTCTTCTGCTTCCTTCTTGTCTCAAAGCTCAGAGTTCCAGGCCGTTTGCTCTTGAAGTTCCAGGCTCTTTCATTTAAAAATGTTGCGCCCTCGAAAAGACGTGCAAGAATTCATGATCGAAAATTCGTTGGGGCTTTTGTGTTCGCGGCATCGTCATCAACGGAAGGGTCTAGTCAGCCGAAAGTTGCAGTAGTGACCTTAGATAAGCTTGCATGGTTCGACCATCAGACCACGTTCGCATAATCGCACGTTGGCGCCGCCATTCGGGTCTGGCCGTCAGGGTCTTTGATTCGAGCCCATCTTCGGCTTGGGCGGTCTCGCCTTGGGCTAGCTGCTTGAACGCGTGACTGATTAAGGCTCTCTCTGACTGCACTCGAACGACAGCCGAACATCCGCTCCATTAGAGTGAAGGGCCATTACTTTGGAGGTGAAAGAGGGTGCTGCGTGGTAGGACACTGTTCGCTTAAGTAGTCCATCAAGACAACGCTGGGAGAGGTCAAAGCCATGCAGACAGTGTCGAAAGAGAGAAGGTTGAACAATGATGAGCTGGCGAGCTCTGATCTAGATTTTGAAGCATATTAGTTGTTCGGACGAGAGGGAATTCTGGCAGCTTGTCATGCCACTTTGGTCGTGCGTTTCCTTACGAGATGAGTTGCTAGCGGGATACAGAGGTAAACGCGGAACCAAACCTTACTCTACCTGCTGATCGGCTCATTGAATACCGAAGTTGATGCTCTCTCTGATGCAGTAGTGAGGCCTGAGCACCCCGCATCTCTGTGCGTTTCTTTTCCTTTGATCCTTACTCCCTGTTGCCGCAGACTTACTACTTCCTCTCAGCTCGGGTCTCGGGTCTCGTCAAAGGTGGGCGATCATTCATGTGCACATGCATCCAAGTCGGCTAGCTTGAGCCTCGCTCTGCTTTTCGGTAACCACAAGGACATCACAGGGCACCATCTGTCGCATGGTCGTGGTCCGAGGCCAGACCAATGATTGCCTCTGATTTGAGAAAAGCTCCTGATGAGCATACAGACCATACCTGGTTGTCATCTTGGCTGTAATGCAGCGTAACAATGCACCTTGGAACACTGTCTTGTGAAAATACCCCTCCGTACCAGAATAAACATACTTTCATTTGCTCCATTTTCGCGCAGCTTCATCCTGGTCCATTCCCACAGTATCCTCCTCGTTTCCAGATCACCCGTTCGCCCACAGTTCACTCCGGTCCAAGGTTGTCTGGACCATGGAGGCAGGTTGGCTCCAACTCGAGAAGATTTCCTTACACCCGTCAGGAGACGTAACATCGGATCTCCATCTCACGCGATTGATTGGATCTAACCCATGTCGGTCCACAGGATACCCAGATACCTCACAGATCTCGGCAGCTTCGGTCAGTGAGAATGCACAGTGCATGCTCGGCGACTGAGGGGTTTCCGCTCATCCTGAAGCTTCGAGTCTCAGGTCCAAAGGATCATGAGAGGGGTTGATCAAAGCTGCCAGTCTACATAAGGGCCACTTTCTCCGTGCATCATGCCATCAACTCCCTCGCTCCAAGTCACAGTAGAGAAGCATACCATCTCCTCACTCTGTTTACCAACATAAACTACCTTCCACTACATACACCTTTCCACCCAATCAACATGTCGTCCCACAAGATCCCCGAAGAACAGTGGGCGCAAGTCATTCAGAAGACTGGCGGACCTCTTGAATACAAGAAGATCCCAGTCGCTAAGCCCGGCCCAGAAGAAGTCCTCGTCAATATCAAATACTCTGGCGTCTGCCACACCGATCTCCACGCAGTCAACGGCGACTGGCCTCTTGCGACGAAACTACCACTTGTTGGTGGTCATGAGGGTGCTGGTTACGTCGTAGCTCGTGGTGAGCTGGTTACGGACGAAATCTGCAAGATCGGTGAAGCTGTCGGTGTCAAGTGGCTCAACGACTCCTGCTTGTCCTGCACCTTCTGCCAACAGTCCGACGAACCCCTCTGCCTCACCCCCAAGCTCTCCGGCTACACAGTCGACGGTACCTTCCAGCAATACTGTATCGCCTCCGCACGACACGTCTCCCACATCCCCGAAGGCGTTCCCCTCGACGAGATTTCACCCGTCCTTTGCGCCGGTATCACGGTCTACAAGGGGTTGAAAGAGTCGGGAGCCAGACCAGGACAGACAGTCGCCATCGTAGGCGCTGGTGGCGGGTTGGGAGCTTTGGCACAGCAATATGCAAAGGCCATGGGTCTGCACACCATCGCCATTGACACTGGTGATGACAAGAAGAAGCTTTGCGAACAAATGGGATCAAAAGTGAGTTTCTCGGCGTTCGTACGTGAGGATCAATACTGACTGCTCGGAACAGCATTTCATCGACTTCTCCAAGTCCAGCGACGTTGTCAAGGACGTCAAGGCCGCTACCAAAGACGGCCTCGGTCCCCACGCCGTCATCCTAGTGGCTGTCAGCGAAAAGCCCTTCCAGCAAGCCGCCGAATATGTCCGCCCCAGAGGTACCGTCATTGTCATCGGTCTCCCTGCCAAAGCCTATATCCGAGCACCCGTGTTCGAGTCAGTGGTGAAGATGATCAGAATCCAAGCCTCATATGTCGGTAACAGACAAGACGGTGAGGAAGCTTTGGACTTTTTTGCCCGTGGCTTGATCAAGGTGCCATTCAAGACGGTGGAGTTGAAGGACCTTCCCAAGGTGTACGAGATGATGCACGCAGGCCAGATCGCTGGACGATATGTGCTCAAGATGCCCGACGCTGAATAGACTTGCAGCTCAAAAGTGAGGTCATGAGGAGTTTGAATGAGTCGGATCGATCATCACGTGGCGGTTATGGTTATGATATGATATGAAAAGGATCTCCGACGAACCTGGGTAGCATGTATGTGTATGCTAGACATTTGATGACCCATTGCATTTGGATATCATCACAAGTGACGCCTCGCAGACTCTCTCGAGATGGTGATAAACGAAAGGATCTGGGGCCTGATCGAGGCGGACCAGGATTTCCCATGATGCCCGGAGCAAAGTTAGTCCGTTCCGATGCACCCCTCATAGTCTACCGCCAAGCCGGTTTCAAACAAAAGTGGCACCGTCTGACAGGGAGTCCATCGACGATACAAATCGGAGTTCTATAGGTTCGTGATAACGGGTGCCTATACAGCAAGCTAGTAGGGATACTCGATGGAGCTGATGACCTCCTTTCTGACAATGCATGAATCTCTCTCGTTGTGTGCGAAGGACTTCGAGACGACAATAAGAAACAACACTCCGTTGCAGTTGACAAGCGACACTGGTCAGACCGTGCCACTTTTTCTGGAAACAGGCTCACCGCCTCCTCCTGGTTTTCCTCTTTCACCAAGCCATCGTCTCCCAACTTCTTTTGTGTAGTCCTTCTCTACTAATCCAAAAACCTATGTTGATGCCACCATGGTATTTTAGTCAGCGCAATCGATGATCCACAAGTGGCTTTGGTCAGCATTTCAAAGTCGCGCAAGATATCAGTCCAAGACTCTCTGTGCAGGCGATATCCGGCGTCAATGGCAGGGCGATGCAGGTGGGGCGACACTTGAGACTGACGACCAAGAAATGAGTCAGCCTGCATATATCCATCTCCCACAAGCAGTCCAGCCTGGACTTCTCATTCGTCATTGTACAACTAATCACTCCGGCTTCCCTTCGATACGCTGCAAGAGACACCGCCGCCTGGTGCAACAGTGGCTACAATGAACTCAAAACTCGTCGCACTTGGCCGAGTCGGGAAGTACCTCTTTCCTTATCAGGCTTTTCGAGGCGCCATGGCGTGTTGCCCAGGCTTCTCCTCCTCGTCACCGTTGTAAGTCCAACTATAAGACGTTACCTAACCAGCAGGTCTTCTGATCCCATTGGCCGTTTTCGTGTTTGGATCACATGATTATGGCCACCGAACGAAACCAAGCACAACCTAAAGGGCACCTTCCTGTACTTGACCAAGGCCGAACGTCTATGAGAGAATTAGCCCATAGAGACGTCCAGACGGCGTATCATCTACAGCCTTCGCCTCTTCATGTCTGGGGTGTTGATGTGGGATTAAGTCCAAGATCAATCTTCTGATCTCCCTCGCTCGCTGACTCAACCACATTCTCAAGTATAATATCCCCCCAGGTGAGAGATCGCGGAGCGCGACATCCTGCTCCGCCACGTGCCTGAAGTTCTTGCAAAATGAAGAAGTCCAAGTTCATGTTCATCAACAAAAACCCTGAGTCCGATTCGCTCTCTCACAGCAACAAGAAAGAGCGCATCCAAATACACAGTCATGTCCAGAAAGACCGCCGGTACCACAAGTCCCAGAACGGCATAATCATCACAGCTCAGCTACCTCATCTGCAGCCTGGTCGTGCCGGCAGCAGCTCAGCAACCTCCAGTGGCCACTTGGCAAGCGAGAAAGGGGTCGAACCAAGACATTCCAAGAGGAAGGGTTCGAAGCTACTTCTCAGCCAAGTCGGATGTAATGTGAATAGTGGCAATAGTGGACAGACGCAGCCACAGGACGCGAACATCGATCCTCTTCTCTGGGTAATGTCTCAACACAACGACTCGAACCAATCATCTCCAGACGGTATTCCGGTATTTCCAGCTTCAGCAGAAGAAAACTTCGACCCCTTCGACGTCACTTGTGTCAGAGTCGACCAGTCTATACACAATCTGCTCCAGTATTTCCTCAGAGTCCATCATCCTGCTACATGGCATCTTGAAGCTGGGAAGGAGCAGAATTATGCTTTTCGATACGATGCCTTGTCAGTCATTCAAGGCTGTCTACACGATCAGTACAACATGTACTCGTTGTTAGCATCCATGTCCAGCTACATGACGTTTATCGATGCCATACCACCTTCGGGTCATGGCAATTTCTACATTCACAAAGCTCTGCAGTCTTCCCAAAGATACGTTGAAAGCCGTCAACCACTAACCAGCAGGACGATTTTCAATACTTTCCACCTTGGTTGTGCAGAATGGTATAGGTACAATGTCGACGCGGCGGTCGTGCATATGAAGGGTGCGAAAGCAATGGTCGACTCACTCGGCGGGTTGGGGTCACTACAGGGTCCGCTCGTGGAGCTACTTCTCAATGGCGACGCATACATCGCAGCCGAGATGAACCGAAAGCCACTCTGGTCCCATGCCGATTTCGAGCCCGGTGAAGACCATCCTATGATCGGTTATGCCCTCCAAGAACTTCAGAGAGTCCAGTCAGGCAAGGTCCGGACGGCAGTTGGCCTGCTCACGTCCACACAGCAAGAGATCGTCCCGTCAAGTCTACGATGGATCATCCTAGATCTGACGGTCGTGCTGTCAGCACTGAAAATATCTCAGTCGTCGGCTCGCAAGGCCGACAAGTTACCCAAGGGTGGCCTGCACTGGATATATCTCCGTAACCTAGCCATCAAACATCGCCTCCTGGAAATCGATCTGGAGGACCCCAGAAGCGAAGCCATTCGCATCGCAGTGCTCTTGTGGATATATATGTGTTTCACATACGCCGGACGACGGAGATCAATCAAAATCATTGCCCCTTTCCTGCGGCAGACTCTGCTGAGAACATCGAAAAATGATTGGACTGGCCACGAAGAAGTCCACCTCTGGACGTTGTGCATCGGAGGTCTCTCAGCTACGCTAGGTAGCGACGAACACACATGGTTCCTGACGGAGATCAAGGACAGTCCCATAGGCACACTTGGCGATTCGGAGGTCATCTTCGACGTCCTGGTGAGCTTGTCGCATAAATTCTTCTACCTCGAGTCGGCGCAGAAATCCATACTGAAGGCTCTCGCACAAGGTATTTTTGCCACGACCCCGGGCAAAGCGGCATCAAAAGCGTGAGTCGGTCCAAACATCAAGAATTTGAACAACCCCGCGCACTGAGGAATGACAGAGCATACCGCCAGATGACAAGCGTGGCTGGACGCGCGCCTCCAGCTTCTTCCTGGAAATCACGAGGTCGCGCTCCTCAGGCTACAAATGCGACCCCAGAGCTTGGAAGTGCTAGAGAACAGATGGACGGCGACGCCGGCTCAGTCAGGTCCAGTATCATGTTTGCTTCTGAGTAACTGGGCCAGCGCAGTTTCTGGGAGAGGGGCAACATCGGCCAAATGGCTGCCCATGAATCACTAACCCTCCCCGCAATCTCTTCACTACGCACACTCATACTCGGGGAGTTGGAGATCGAGACCCCGACCACTTCCCGACACACCCCCACCTTCAACTGCGATTTCCAATGCATCGGCACTTGTACCTTTCGACATTGTTTCTTGGGTGTTATCTCCGACCCGTCATCACTGCCTTGTTTACTTGCCGGGGAAACTGGAGTAAGCCTCCATCTCGGAATTTGTGTGGGACGCGAATATATTACTTTGCAGGGCAGCAAAACTGAAAGCACCACAGTGATCAGCACCATAACCTCCACTGACAGAAATCTAGCTCAATCAATATGACTACCAACGGCACAAACGGCGCCAACGGCAGCAAAGCCTCCCTCTCAGCCTTCGATACCTCCTCCACCATCCCTCTCTGGCTCGATGGTGAGCAAGTCACACTCTCCTCTACATTTGACGTCGTCTCCCCTGTCGATCATAAGACATTGTACAAGTGTTCTGCAGCCGACGAAGAGGATGCGCTCAAGGCGATAGAATCGGCACAGAAGGCTTTTAAGACATGGTCGAAGACGAAACCCGGCACAAGGAGAGACATTTTTCTTCGAGCAGCAGAAGGATTCAAAAAGAGAAAACCCGAGCAGGCGCACTATGCCCACACTGAGACAGGCGGACCGGCGTCCATGACTGACTTTGAACATGGCCTTGCGTACGAAGCGTGTCTGAGCGTCGCCGGTCTGATCCAGCCTGCCCTGACTTCATCAGCACCCGTCGTCCAGGATGAAGGTGCCTCTGCACTTGTCGTCAAAGAGCCCTATGGCGTTGTCCTAGGTATTGCGCCTTGGAATGCTCCTCATGTCCTTGGTCTGCGCGCTTGTTTACAACCATTAGCCATGTACGTCACCTTCCAATGGCCGTCCGCCGAATCCATGCTAACAGGTCTGCAGGGGAAATACCGTGATTCTGAAAGGTCCCGAGGCCGCACCCGCGACATATTGGGCCATCGCCGGGATCCTGCAAGAAGCCGGCCTCCCAGCAGGCTGTCTGAACACACTCTACCACCGACCCGCAGATGCGGCGAAAGTCACCAGCACGCTGATCAACCACCCGGCCATCAAGAAAATCAATTTTACCGGCTCCACGGGCGTGGGATCTATCATCGCATCTATGGCCGGCAAGCTCCTGAAGCCCACTGTGATGGAGCTTGGCGGCAAAGCCCCGTCAATTGTCTGCGACGATGCCGACATCCAGCATGCCGCCCTGCAGTGCGCGCTCGGCGCTTTCATCCATGCCGGACAGATTTGCATGGCGACAGAACGTATTTTCGTCCACGCCAAAATCGCAGACGAGTTCCGCGAGGCCCTGAAAGGAACGATGGACAAAGTCTTTGGCGAGGGGGGCATGGACGTGCCACAGCTGGTTACATCGGCGCCGGTCGAGAAGAACAAGAAACTCCTCGATGATGCCATCTCGAAAGGTGCAAAGGCAATCTACGGCGACCCCAAACACCACGAGGAATCTAAGACTAAGATGCGACCTGTCATTATCGAGAACGTCAAGCCGGATATGGACATCTATTTCACCGAGTCCTTTGGGCCGACCGTGTCACTGTATATCGTCAACTCGGACGATGAGGCGATTGCCATTGCCAATGATACCGACTATGGTCTGAGTAGTGCCGTGTTTACTGAGGACCTGCGTCGCGGGCTACGTATTGCCAGGCAAATTGAGAGCGGGGCGGTGCATATCAATAACATGACTGTTCATGACGAGGCGGCTTTGCCGCATGGTGGTGTCAAGAAGAGCGGTTTTGGGCGGTTTAATGGTCTACCGGGCTTGGAAGAGTGGGTGAGGACAAAGGTAATTACGTGGAAAGACTGATATGTTCATCCCTGAATGTCGTTGTTGGGTTGCAAATACCCTGTCGACCGGGACTTGGGTCAGGGTGGCTGTTCATGTATATGATCATACTATGCACTCTCTATGCGAAGTTCGTGGTGCAACGTATAGTCCCACTGTCAGAAGATATGAAATTGAGTTCGTAGTGAGAGAAGAAGAGAATATCAAAACAGCATGTTATGCGTTGTGCGTCGTGTCAGTATTCTCAAGGGAAAGTCATTGAGATTCAACTTCATGTGTTTCTCGCTAATTAAGTGACGCATCCTTGGTATCTCGTCAAGATATACCCATTCCCAACGCCTCAGCATCATGTGAAAAGGTAGCCATCTTCAACCTGCCACGCCGTGTATCCTTCTCAGTATCCAAGGTAAATCCCGTTCCTTGTTCATGCGTGTCCGACCACTGGGCAAATTGCGCCCTTGGGCGCGTTCTCGACGCTTGGGTGTATGTGCACTTTGCCCTTGTGGTGACCCAGTGTAGCATTCGTCACAGGGCAGACATCGCCATCCTTTGCGTCTGCGGTGGAAGGGTGATCTGGAGGGAGGACGCTCGAGACAGTGCCAACGACTGGACAGATGGCTTCGTCCATCTTCTGCTGCTCAGGACGGCTGACAATCTTGGAAAGGGCAGGGCAGGCCCCAGCATTGGAAAGATCAGACGAGTTGTCGAAGATTCCAGGGTGTTTGTGAAGGTTGTGGTGATGGTCGGTGGTGGCCTTCGTGACTGGACAGACGAGACCAGGCTGGTCCGCGTCGAAAGAGGGGTGTTGGGGAGGGAGGACTGTATTGGTCGTTCCAACGACTGGGCAGACTTCGGCCATGGTGATAATTGATTATGGAGGAATGACTAAACGTGCACAGTGTGATAAGTAGAGTCCTGCGAAGATGAGGCTGTAGTGAAGGAAAAAGAAGGACAAGTAGGCCAGAAGAGTGTTGGAAGGAAGTGCACGGGCAACAGGCAGTGTAGTGGTTGTGGTCAGGCGGCAGACCGCGATAGTTTTGATTATTGATTGACTGGTTTGGGTGAGAGGATCAGCCTTGCAGGAGTGAGCGACGTCACTCTGCTTTCCCCGCGACCCAAAGGGGAATTCCCGATGGCCAATCAGAACCAACTAGTTGTAAGCCCATATGAGGCGAGTACAGAACTTCTCAGACCTTCACGACTCTAGCCATTGCTGAAGGAACCTCACTGAGCTTCATCTGCTCGGAATCGCCCATTGGCAACCTTCCGCCTCGGACATTGACCTGCATCGCCTGCGCCAGAAGCTTCGGGTGCCCAAGTCCACTGTCCCTCTCTGATCTCCATTTGACAAAGTTGTCCATCTCAGTCCCGATTTTGACATGCTTGTTATCATGCCGCTGGACATCGACTGTGGTATATGGAACGGCTTTTGACCCAGAGACATGTTGTCCGGCGATAATTTCGCGGCTCTCGGGTGGATAGTCGTGGCCCGTGTACAGCTTAAAGTGTGACGGTAGAGCGAGTAGCTTTTGCATGGATTGATACAGATCGGTGGCTGATCCTCCTGGGAAATCGCAACGAGCAGATCCAACATCTGGATTGAAGATTGAGTCTCCCGTGAAGACATTGGATCCAATCACATATCCAATGTGGTCCGGAGTATGACCAGGTAGATGGATGACCTTGGCTTCGATGTTGCCGATAGCGAATGTCTCATCGTCGGCAAAGGTATGATCGAAAGCGCCTTCCAGGTCTATGGCAGGAATGTTGTAGACCTTGGACATGGTCTTTTGAACCTGGCTTATCCGTTCACCAATGCAAACCAGAGGCGACGGTGATGTGGGCTGCCGTTCCGCAAGAACGTTTTGAAGATAGCGAGAGGCAGTCAAATGATCAGCATGAGCATGAGTTTCGAGGATCCGAGAGACGGTATAGCATTTCCCAGCGACCAGATCGAGGATCTCATCGGCTGCTCGCGTGGTGATCTTCCCAGTCGGCTTGTCGTAGTCGAGTACCGGGTCAATAACCACAGCTTCCTTTGTTATTTCATCGGCCACTAAATATTGCCAGGTGCCAGTAACAGGTTCGAACAGAGTATGAACTTTCGGCTCCATGGTCAATCTTGCAAAAGAGTTTGCAGACTCGAGGAAGAAGACAATGCTCTAAGCGAAGGTCAGTGATATATGTAGACACTGTCTATCCCTCTGACATTAGCCCTGCTTCTGACGGCTTGTAAAGCATGTGGCGAAGAAATCATGAGTAAACATCCCCGAGTGCACAAGGCTGGCTGACGTTCGGCTTATAGATAACAGACCCCGATATGTCTTCAACGAGGGATCAGCCGGGGACACTCGTTAGCCCCATTGATTAACGTCAACCCAATCTGATAGCCACGCACGGCACCTCCAGAGTATTATGTGTATGAGTACGACCGCGTGGCCCTCGGATCGCCGAGCCCACAATTTGACGTGTTGACTGGGATAGAGTCTTGTTCCCCGATCATGGGGGTGGTAGCCCAGCTGTTGGCCGCTCTTGTCGTGCCGGGCTTCAGCAACATCGTAGCATATATCTCGGCCCTCATATGAGGTCGGGGTACTTATTCTAGATGTGTTGATGGTGTATGTGGAGAGACATGCAGAGAGGCCGAAAGATAAAGCTAGCCATCGATATCCGTGGATCCGAAGTGAAGTGACATGTGCGGAGAAAGACATGAGTTTCAACCTGCGAACCCTCACAATATCTCTCACTGATGGAACACCTCCCGTAACAAATTCCTTCGCGGTCCCCTCTCATCATGATCTCCAAAGACATCATGTCGGCGACCGACGACATTCTCAAAGAAAAATACCCCGCGAAAGCTCACTGTCGCCGCGTCGCCAAATACCTCACCGACGCAGGCTTCCCACAGGATGGAGTTATCTACCTCGAAGCCCAGAAGACACACATGGTCGAAGATGACGACCAAGCCCAGCACTTCCGTCAACGTCGCTATTTCTTCTACCTATCCGGCTGCAAACTGCCTGACGCCTACATAACATACAACATCCCACAAGACCACCTCACACTCTACATCCCACCGATCGACCCCGACAGCGTAATATGGGCAGGACTCCCTGAGTCGAAAGAGGAGGCTCTAGCTAAATACGACGTCGATCACGTCCTGTACACAGATGAAGTCAACGCCGCCCTTGCGGCATACGGCCCGTCGCAGAAGACCACAGTTTACGCGATCCCCGAACAAGTCAGCGAGCACATCACATTCCTCCCCTTCAAAGCCACCGAATTTACATCCCTCAAAACCGCCATCGACGAATGCCGCGTTGTCAAAGACGCCCATGAAGTCGCCCTGATCCGCAAAGCCAACCAGATCTCCACGCTCGCACACATTGAAGCCTCCAAGGTCGTCTTGACTGCCGAAAACGAACAAGAACTCTACGGCGCCTTCATCGGGACATGCATATCACACGGCGCCCACGAACAAGCATACCACAGCATCTGCGCGAGCGGCACATCATGTTCAACTCTGCATTACATCCGTAACGACCAACCTCTCCGCGAACGTCTCAACATCCTCCTCGACGCAGGCGCCGAGTACGATTGCTACTGCGCCGACATCACACGCACGTTCCCCATCAACGGGACATTCACGCCCGAATCCAAAACAATCTACGATATCGTTGACGAAATGCAAGCCTCGTGCTTCAAGCTGCTTCACGCCAACGTGAAATGGGAAGATGTACACGAGAATGCCCACCGCATCGCAATCCGCGGATTATTGAAAGCCGGGATCTTAACAGGCGACGAGACCGAAATCTTCGATAAACGAGTCAGTGTCGCATTCTTCCCCCACGGTCTAGGACACTATCTGGGCATGGACACGCACGACACGGGCGGCCACGCCGACTACGACGATCCCGACACATTGTTCAAGTATCTCCGCGTAAGAGGCGAAGTGCCCGCCGGTGCCGTCATCACTGTCGAGCCGGGCATATATTTCTGCAAATTCATTCTCGATCCAGTCCTAGAAAATCCCGAGTTGAGCAAGTACATTGACCAATCCGTGCTGGACAAGTACTGGACCGTCGGCGGCGTGAGGATCGAAGACGACGTGCACATCACACAGGATGGGTACGAGAATTTGACGGACACCCCGAAGCTATGAGACCTCTTCACTTGGGCTTGATAAAGATACAGCGATGGACTCGAATTTCAAATATGGTAGCTCTATGCCATTGCATTTGACGAGCCTCTGATTGCAAAGCAGTGATCATCCGACGCTGTATATGAGGGACTCGGTAGAGATATTGAGCACTCATGCCCATTTGACCCCGAGGCGCTCCCCACGTTGGACGGTGCCAGTTATCCTGGAAACAGGCTCTCTGTCTGGGAGAGGCAGTACGACGACGATACAAGTACATAGTCCAGCAAGTTCGGGATAGCGATTGCCCTGACTTTTAGCCGGAAGAAATGGACTTGGAGCTGATGCGCTTCCTCCTGCCAAAGACTGATGCTATATCGTTGTGTGCGAAGGGCTCCTGGACAACAAGCGGAAAGGTATCTGTTTGAACATGAAGAGCGACCAAATCTATACATCTTCTTCCTGCTCTTATTATCGCGACGACGGTTGAGTTCGTCTTTTCTGCATCGGTCAATAACGTCGAGGCGAATGTGCTCTGCGCCTCGACGATCTTGTCCCGTTGGTTCTCTGCTATGTCGGAGCTTTCGTTAGACATGGTGGGCAATCTTATTGTTGAGTAAAAAGAGGTTCAAGGACTTCAACACCATCAATGGGTAGACATGGGTAACTTGTTCTATATAGCTAGAATGTCCATCGCATGACTCTCTACTGAACTATCGACAAAGTGGAGTGCCAGGACTAAAAAATCTGCATGCCATTCGGACTTTCATGTAATAGTGTTCTATATTGTGGACTGACCATGCCAGAGATAAGACAACTGTTTCTCTCCACCATTTCCTTTCCTCGTGAGTCGTCCCATTGCGGCCTCAAAATCTGTCGCAACGCCATTGATAAGATAGCTTAGCGAGGTTATATTGATCTTTGTCCAATGATATATGCTTCAGAGAGCCGCGCACCCGCATTTACTGGCACGAGGCTCCCGTGCCAAGGCGCTGCTGTATTGCTTGCGTGCGCTGGTTGCGTATGCAATGGACTCCACAGGATGCCAGGTCACCAAGGAAAAGTATCCTATCTGGCAATGTCGAATACTATGTCAATCGCGGATCTCGTCGCCTGTCAAGTAGTAAGCAGTAAGTATTTCGCGTTGAGAGGTGGTAAAGTCTCCAGACCTCGTGTGCATGTCTATGGATACAGAAACTCCGTGGCGAAAGTACTGTAGCTTGAAACTAAGTCCTTGGCCTTGACGAGCGCAAAGAGGTACAGGATGTCCGCGGGAGTAGGCGGTTTTCGACGCGAGTGTACGTACACAATATTTTGTGCTTGAAAAAGGCTCATGTCAATTTGTGTCTGCGAAGTTCCCCGGAGAACAATTAGACAGCAAAGCTCGTCTTGATCCGAATGTGGACGTTGAAGCCCTGACTCATGGGTCTACACGACGAGCCTGTTTCCACAAAACGTGGCACCGTCTGACAGGGCGCACATCGAAGGCACAAGTTCGAAGTCAAGCTGGTTCACAACAGCCGAAGCCTTGACAGCAAGACAGAAGCACTTTACAGTAGAGCTGATGGCCTCCCCCATACCAAAGACCAACACTATATCGTTGTGTGCGAAGGTCTTCGGTATGACAACAAGACCGGCATCTACTTGAAGCTGACCAGCTACAGCGGTCAGACTGTGCCACTCTTTCTGGAAACAGGCTCGACGACAAGCCAATCCCTAGAATAAGCGGCACTATCCGAACCTTGTAGCTCGTACAGTCTCAATCCGCTATACTCCATAACTCTTTCTTGTCTCTATCCCACTGTCTCGACTTCTACGCCCTTACCCTCCGCTCCATTGAGGTGATAGTCCTTCGTGGTATTCCAGATCCTCCATTCCCCTGCATTGACAGGCTCATACAACCTCTGCTCCGCACTGCTCAGTACAATCGGATCAATCATGGTCTCCGGATCAGGATGCACGAAGAACGGAATACTAAATCTCGCTGGCAGCACATCTCCCACATATTTATCCAGTGACGGCGCGACGACGCGATGTTTCGTCGACTTCACCCGTCCATTCGTATACCGCGTCAACAGCTCCGCGATGTTGACCAGCACAGTCCCTGGGACGGGTGGTGCAGGCACAAACTTGCCATCGTGATAAGGGTCAATTTCCAAGCCGCCAATGCCGTCTTGGAACAACAGTGTGCACAGTCCAAAGTCGGTATGCGGCATGATGCGAGCGTGGCCTTGCTCCTCGATCACTCGCCGCTTGAGTGGTGGATAGTGGATCAGGCGCATTTGTGGGTCTGCATGTTTAGTGACATGTGTGAAGAAGTCGTCGCCCAAGCCCAAAACCATAGCGAGACATTTCAGCACGTCCATTGCCAGACTTAGACATTGTCCATAGAAGGTGTCGAGCTTTGTCTTGAAGTCAGGTAGGTGAGTCTCATCCGGGCACAAGGTGTTCGTGAACCGCCGATGCTCGTAGCATTCTTTGTGGTCGTTAATGCCTTCGGCTCCGTCGGGCGTATAGCCCTGGTTGACGCGCGCTTCGCTGAGTTTATAGTTGAGTTTCTCCGAGAGAGGGAGGTCGAAGAAGGTTTTAGCCTGGCACAATCATCAGAAATGGATATGGATTGTGGCAAGTACTTCCGGGTCAGGGCGTGGTAGTGTTGATAGGGATAGTGACAAGGCTGAAATGAAAAGGGGGTCTACGGAGAAAGCATAACTCCCGGTGCCGCGTGGGGAGACTTACCAACGCGAAGATCTCATCGACTCTTTGCTGTGGAATACCGTGGTCTTTCAGATAGATGAAGCCCACAGTCGAGAACGCATTGTAGACTTGCTGAGCAACTCGTTGCTGGTCAGCTCGGTTTCCGGTGAGGAATCTCTCGAAGGAGACGATCGGAATAGCGTCCGTCATGATAGGCGATCTGGTGTTTTGCGGAATTCTGGAGAGGATGAGGATGTGGTTGCAAGTTGCAAGTCCAAGAGCCTATCGATGAGCTGTTACGCAGATTGCATTCCCGACAAACACAGATCACTGTTTCAATGCTGTGGAGTGGACGACCCCATACAACAAAATATATGAGGCCTAATATCTGAGGTTCGGGGCAGACCACCCTCGTGTACGCTCCGGCCTTCAAAGACTGGTCCAGTGCGTGATCAGATAGCAAGATTGGGGCGAGATTCGAGAGATGGGGTACTGTTGCCTAATTGATGCTATCAATGCATGCGATGCATAACTAGGTACGGAAACGCATGAGCAGTCGAGGTAGTGAGGAAAGCGACTCGGTCAAAAAGATAACGAAGTCTGAGCGGGGTTGCGCCCCAGTACACATGATACGAGTACCACCATTATTACGGGGATGTCCACCGTATGCCAACGACACAGGTCAACAGCCAATCACGGATGCCGGGCTGGTATGCCATAGTCTATCATAGTATGCCGGCTTTTCCCTGAACCACGCAGATCTCTACCACTCTTGGTAAATGTGAAGAGATGTACGAGCATACTACAGTATGCATACGGCGAAACACCGTGCTTGGCTGCTGTTGATTCGACTGGTTGCTGATCAACATCGTGCCGCTACACTTGGACAGCCTTCAAACTAAGATGCAGCAGATATCGCCAACCAAATGACTCGTATCTGTACCAGGCTTCCTGTACCATATCAGGAAGTCGAGCGTCTTTCATGCCCCACGTATCTATGCCTCGACGAGGTGTCGGATCTCGGCGCAAGACTCGCAGTCATGGTAAAGGTGTTGTTGCGGATATTATCACGAACTGATAAAGCCTCAACACATCAATTGACGACTGTGCAGTGCAATCGCCCGGCAGATAAGGCGTCTACGGATCCCAGCAGCATAAGGCGTGGTCGAAGTTTTTCTACTCGATGTCACCGAAGACTCTGTCCACGATTGCACTTCCTCTCTCGTTGCGACCACCAATTCCTCCTGACTTTGTAGGTCCAGCTCAGACTCGAGCGGTCATGGCGCACTCGCAGCATCCAAGGAATCACCTGTCGCGATGTATCCCGAAGTCTCAAAATCTACTCCTGGCGGCCATAATCGCCGTTTCAGTGGTAGACTCGGTACTCCTCGGCTACGACAGTAGTCTGATGGGCAGCCTGAATGTAATGCCAACATACACCAACTACTTCTCCTTGATCACAGCAACCAAGTCCCTGAATACGGCGATCTCATATGTTGGCGGATCGTGCTCGGCCGTTGTCGCTGGCTTTGTGATAGACTGGATCGGACGAAGAAAAAGCATCTACCTGTCTGCCGGCCTGACATTGATTGGCGCTGTCATTCAAGCAGCCGCCCAGAACATTGGAATGTTCATTGCTGGCCGATTCATAGTCAGTGAGCACGAGTAAAGATTTCTGCAAGACAGAATATACTGAATGCTATCAGGCTCTGGCCTCGGGTTTGCGCAGACAGCATGCCCGACATACGTGGCAGAGACTGCTCCATTCAAACACAGACCCCTTGCTCTAGGCCTTTACTACGCATGCTGGGGCGTCGGCACACTTCTAGCTTCGGGAGTCTGTTATTCAGTAAGTGATGGTTCATATGGGATGGGGCACACTAACAACATCTAGACTCAACACTACTCCTCGACGTGGGCATGGAGGACTCCTAGCTTGGTCCAGATCGTGCCGAGCATCCTCTGCTTCATTGTCTTGATCTTCCTCCCGGAGTCACCTCGATGGCTCATAGACCAGGATCGCCATGACGAAGCATTGGAAGTGCTCGCCATGGTCAACGCTCATGGAGATAAAAACGACCCGGTCGTTCTTGTCCAGTATCGAGAGATTAGCGACACCATCGCTTTCGAAAAGAGTCGAGAGCTGTCGTTCCTCTAGTCCTTCACAACTAAGGGAAACCGCAAACGACTGCTCATTACCGCGACCTTCTCCATCATTGTTATGTTGCCGGGCACCAATATCATCACATTTTACTTCGGTACCATGTTGTCTGAAAGCGGGCATCGAGAATCCAACCACGCAGCTGGAGATCAACATTATTCTGACCTCGTGGACTCTGGTTGTTTCACTACTGGGCGCCTGGTTTGCTGAGCTGCCATCAATGGTGTCAAACGTGACTGTCTCGCCCGAGTCGACGGTCAATACTGGAGGAATCGCCTTGGACCATTTCACATTTTTCTGATTTCGATTGATATGGAAGGAGCAAGACATCTCTGCAGCCTCCTTTCTCGAGAACAACTTATTCGAGCACCTAGCAGCCGTTGTCCTCCAGGGACCAAAGTAGGTGAGATATTCGTACAACAGCTATTGGGAGAAGTGGAAATAACAAGGAGACTTGCACGGTGAGACGACCTCACTTCTGCTCTCACTTCTGCTCTCACTTGACCGTCAAATAGCTCGTACAGTGAATGCGGCGTCGCTTCCGACCAATCATATCGCCATGAAAACAGCGTGACGAGGAGGTCGCCGGCGAGCATGTGATAGTTGTAGACGAGCATGTGATCATCGGCAGGCCTATAAGTAGGTGCTTCCTCGCTCTTCTCAACCTTCATTCTTTCCTATCACTGCCACCACCACGACCGACTTCGTTCTTCTTCGCTCTACTCAGCCAGCTTCCCTCGCAAGCAGACGACGGTCCGTATCTCTCGGCGGAGTTGCGCCTCTTGCTGTCGCTAGCTCACCGGATTCTCACCTGCACGTTCTTCTCGGCCAGTCTTCAAGATGCCGGAGTACGATTTGGACGAGTCTGGTAAAGTCGATCTTGCTCAGTATGGTATTCCTCCGTATGAGCCTGAAACCTCGCCATACAACAGGGACAGCCTCGCCGAGTGGGAGGACTCCGACACCGAGCCTGATGGGGCAGATGACAGCACCGACAGAGATGTCAGCGATGACGACGACACAGGATCAAAACCCTGGACAGTCTCGAGGCTTGCTGAAGTTGAGGTGCAGCTTTCTTCATGGGGGAGAATCCAAAACCCGCTGAAGGCCAAGTATGCCAGAGAGATTGCATGTTTGAGATTCGCCGAGCCGCCCACCGAAGACGAGCTTGAGAAGGAAATCAACTTCATTGAGAGCATCGACTCTCTCAATGTCGTCAGAACATACAAGTCATATGGCGATCTCAATAGTGGTGACCCGATGTACCGGCAGTTCCATCCAAAGGGGTCAAGGTTTTTTCCAACTTCAAAGATCGCACAGTGGGTGCGTGGGGATCAGGGAGCGAAATACTTTGACCCCCCGGAGGCATTTGACATCCGCTGGGAAGATGATGGACCAGAAGATATTATCTGCGCCGACTACGAATTCAATCGCGGACTTCTGGGAAATCCAAAACATGTCCCGACCGACTCCAAGGCAATCGCCGAGATCTTCGCATCAGCGATTCAATATCCGACTAAATTGAAGATTTGGCAGCTCTACATCAACATTGTCCGAGAGAAATTGAACTCGGGTCACAGATTGCTGGACCTGGTGCTACCTCGGCGGGAACCACCTCTCAAGGAATTAGATGTCAACAACCATGTCTGGGCAGCCATAGAAAACCGAGCACTATTCAAGGAGGTTCGAAAAGTGCGCGACTGGTTTTACATTGAGGCTTTCGACCTGAGCAAGAACCCGATGCTGGCCGAGGGACCTTTCGCATGCCCCGAAGAAGATCCTACAGGCGACTTTAGCATTGAGGGGGTCCCCCAGTACTGGAAGTTTTGGGTGTCGAGGGACATCTCAGGCCCTGTCAACACACAGCAAAAACCGGCTAAAGTTCCAGAGCTCGGCACAGCCGATCTCAATGCCCTCCTGAACTCAGCGCCATCGGCCGCCACAGAATGGACCTCTACTCAGCGGGCGCGATGGGCGACAGACAGAACCGGAGAAGAATGGGATGACGGTATCCGGGGGTGGACGGGCGCCGACAAAAAAAACACCGAGCTGCTACGGCAGCGCCATGACAACATCCCCTACAACCAGTTGAGAAACGACAATCTCCCGGCGTTTTTTCGCAAGTTAACATGCAAACAAGCGGGAGACCTCGTACGAGCTCTAAAAGAGGGCAAAGTCAAAGACCTGACTCAGAGTCAGGCAAAAGAATACTGGCCTGAAGATTTAGACTCAGGTGGCAAACTACGGGCTAAACGAAAGCCGTGGGCCGATAGCTACCACGGCCCAGATCTCGGTGCACTTGCACCAGCGGGAGCAAACATCGGCGGGAGCGATATAACAGGCAAGACACCCTGGGAGCAAAAATGTCCGAGAACCTTCATCTCCGCCGGCCGCTTTATGGTCGAGGACGTCGATTTTCGACTGCCAGCTAGAAAGCAAGCTACCGTCTACCAAACACAGATCTCGAGACTGGAAAGTGAGATCAGTGCGCTTAAGCGAAAAGCCACTGAGCCGCCCACACCTATAGCCTCTAAGCGGCTAAGGACGTCTTCGATATCCAGCACCGTCAGCGAGAGAGGACGCACGATCAAGGAGCTCGCTGCGCGAGACCGCGATATTTCGAAGTTGAAGTCCGCAAATGCAAAACTCATAGCCGACGCGGCAGCAGACGCCGAGTACCACGCTACACAGCTCGCTGACCTCAACGAGGAACTGAACATTGCGCGCGATGGTATGAAGGACCAGAACGATCTCGGCGCGGAAAAGAAAGCATTCGAGGAAAACAATCAAGAAGTCACCGCTCTTTGCTCGCTCCTAAAGATGACTGTGGAGGCTTTTCAGGCCCGCCTGTCAAAAAGTCAACAAGGTCTCAAGCCCGACCTTAGATACGATCTGCAGGCCTTGGACTATCGAAATCCGCGGTTACAGCCAATAATCGAAGACATTTTCGGGCGAGCAATGCCAGAAAAGCTCGGATTGGCGCCTACCGGCCCACAACCTGAGCCATATCATGGAGACTCGGAAAGCAACGCGTTTACACTACGCGAGAAAGTACCGCGCCCAGCTTATGACAGACAAGGGCTGTGGCGAAGAGGATGCCACCGAGATGGTCAAACAGGAGATTTCTAAGTATTTGGAGGATCATGTTCTAGCCCCGTGGATGGGGAAAGGATGGACTCACCTGGCAACAGACGGAAATGAGCCAGAAGAAGAGGAGTCACAAGATAAGGTACCCGAGGAAGAAATATTCTAAAGGTCGGCGAGCATATGGAAATAGGGGCTGATGGTCGGCGATTTGAGATCGACGAGCAAATGGATACTGGGCTGGTGGTCGGCGTGTTAGAGGTCGGCCAGTAGATGGATATTGGGCTGGTGGTCGCCGTGTTGGCGGTCGGCGAGTAGATGGACTGGGCTGGTGGCCGGCGTGTTGGCGGTCAGCAAGCAAGAGTATCGTGAGCTATATCGCAGCGAGCTTAGATAGAGGCAGGGCTTTCTATTAAACGAACGAACAATCTTAATAGTTCTGAATGATGTCCTTTATTATTATCGCCTTAACTATAGCAAATAAATCGCAATTCTTCTACACCTATAATAAGGAGGATTATCTCTTTATTAGTTAATTCATCGGTTTTATAGCCGGTATTTTTATGATAAGCATAAACCATTGATAGCGACCCATTCCAATATCCAGTATAGCCTCTTTCAGCAGCTCATGGCAAGGTTGATTGATCATTCTCCAATTATGTATCCTTTAAAGAGCCGCAGACCCGTATCTACCGGCACGAGGCTGCCGTGCCAAGGCGCTGCTTGCGTGCACTGCTTGTGTGTGCAATAGACCTCCACTGGGTGCGCGAAGAGCTTACTAAGGAAAAGGATTCTATTGACATAAACAGAGGTTATGTAGTGATGTTGGCACAACCTATCAAGCCTGTTTCCAGAAAAAGTGGCACCGACTGACCGTTATCGCTCTTCAGATTCAAATAGATACTCTCCCTTCTTGTCGTCCAGGAGCCCGTTGCACAGAACGATATAGCATTGATCGTTGGCAGAAGGAAGGGCATCAGCTCTACCACCCACTGGCTCGTCTGGTGTAATGGTAACGCAGCCTCGTATATATATAAAGAGTTTACTTTGCTCTAAGCTTCGGCTTAATGCTCCCTCATCAGAGGGATGCGACGACTCGCCCTGGTCAACCATCATCCTACGGGATTGATAACCGCGGTCATTGGCGTGGTGAGAAAGCCCAATGACGAGAGTGCGGCCAAGACCTGGCGATACAAGTCAAGAGCGAGTTGGTCCGTGGTGTGGAGCCTCAAGTGATCTCGGGTCCATTTGAGGAGTATCTCGGCGCGAGAAGCTTGAAGTCCCTACGCCACGGGCCGTGTTTGAGTAGAAACGATGGCAGATCTAGGTTCGAGTCCTAGGAGGAGCCAAATTGCAGCGGGAGTCGCCATTATCAATAGTTTTCATGAGATTCCAGGTTACGAGGTAGATGTACTCGCCGATGACGGTACCAGGTCTTCTGGAAACCAGGTTGCCGAGTTACAAATTGGACTGGCACATGGATGTGTAGTGCACATCCTAAAGACCATGTCCATGTCGAAGTGGCACACGATTGGCGAGGGCATGGCAAGTGGCAACAAGTGGTAAACTAGGTATCAAATTGATTCTGCAATTTTCGTAACATAAAACTAAGCCCTCCATCATTGACATGCCATCTTCATCATGTTGATAAAACTACACTGGAGCCCGATATTTGTCATGGCCAGAGCCTGTCCGCTCAAGCAAACACATCCTCCCTGTCAGCCCAAATGTCCTCCAGCTCGTTGAAACTGCTGAAATGAATGGGTCGATGCTTGTCATCGTAGAAGCGCCGAGGAGTATCAATCTTCACATAGACAGGCCTCTTCTCGACCGCCGAAAAGCTCGCGCCCATAAAGCTGTAGTTCCACGTCTCGGTCTCCGGCACCAGGAAGTACCCACGAATCTTGTCCGAAAGCAGTAGCTGCACCTTCTCGCCGAACGAGGTCGAGAATCCCGCCGGATTGTCTGACTGCGTGTCCTTATTGTTCGCGCCCCACGTGTAGCCGGCGGGAGTCAGTGACCAGGCTGAAAGGGACACCGAGCCTGGCGTGAAAGACACGGTGAGTGTAACTGTCTTCTTGTCCCATGACGAGTGTTGCGCCATCAGACGAGCGTGCTGCGTTACGTCCGCAGCACTCATGTATGACGTCTCATTGCCTGAGGCTGTATGAATGATACCCAGGGGCTCCATGTTCTTCAAGTACTCGTGCTGAGGAAGCTGGTGGGGCAGTTGCACCTCACGAGTGCTGCCAACTTGAGGTACCATGACAATTGTCTTGATTTCCTTGACCTGGTCATTGTCTGGCGGCGAAGAGCCATAGAGATATCCTGCCACTTGCACCCGCAGGTCTCCAACTGTGATGAACTTCTTCAAGATATTCTTCGGTAGGATATAGGTGTACGCATCCTCCGATTCGTGAATGTCATCACTTGAAATGTAAATGTTGTTGGCACGAGTGCGAAGGTTGGAGGTGGCAATGGCCCGAGTTCGCCATTCAGTCTTGGACGCGAACGACTGTTGCTCATATTGAGAAGTGGTCGTCACAATGATCTCTTCGCCACGGACATTCTGCGTCTTGGTGGTTACAGCGGTCAACTGCTGTTGTTCCAGTTGCTGCTTCTCGATTTCTGCAGCTTGTTGTCGTTGCATTGAGGGTGCGGAGACTTCCATTCCTAATATGATGTCGCGGCTATGAAACGAAGAGTCAGTAAATGGCGTCTGGAGAAAGTGGGAAACAAGAAACTTGTGCCCAGAGGCATAGTATTTCGGGAAGGGGAGACTTACACCTCAGAGCTGGTGAGGGACTGGACGTTGACATTGTTCTTCTTTCCATAATCGTTCAAAATCAGATCTCGAAGTTGCACCTCAACCTTGATCCAGTCCTCGTCGGACAGTGTCGGCCAGATGTGATGTGCCTGAGTGATGACCGACTTGTCGGGACGCAACAGCAGCTTGGTCTTATCAGTGTTGACGTGCAGGGCACGAAGAATGAGGATCAGGCGGGAGAATGCTGTGTAGGACGAAATGGTCTTCAACCACTCATCGTAGAGGTTGAACAACACCATTTGGGGCTCCTTGGCCTGAAGAATCATGTCTGCCAGTTTCTCGACCTTCATCGCCGCCTGGAAAGGTAGTTGCAACTCTGAAGCCCGGATAGAGATATTGGGGAAGTCGAGCAGATGGACTTCGAGCGGATCCAGCAAACCCTTACGGGTGACGATGAGTTGCTTGGGCTGCTCTTCGACGGGCAGGGATCTGATAAGCGCCGCAACCTCTTCGGCAGTCTTCCACTTGGCCAACTGACCAAGACGTTTCTGGCCAGCCCACACACTGGTGTGGATGATCTTCAGGAAAAGCTGTCCGGTTCTAGGGTTGAACACGAATACTGCTCCGTTGATCGGCTTGGTCGTCAAGTTACCCTCGAAGGTCTTGTGAATGGTGACACGGTAAACGTTCGTGTCATCGATGAACAGTTGAGTCTGGTTGCTGAACAATTCCGAATAATTCTGCGAGTTCAGGAACTCCTGTGTGCTTTCTGAGGCATACAGTTGGAGACCTTTTCGGATACGCTCGCGAAGCACATACAACGCCGGATTTGCTTTCATGATCTTCGCCATGGCCTGTTGGACCAATGCCTTCAGACCAGGGAAGTATTGACCGTACGCCGAGTAGAGATTGTATGCAAGATCAATACCAACCATGAGTCCAGTGGCGGAAGGATAGATACTCATGCTGTCAGTGGTGTAGTCGAGGTACTTTGCCCGGACATATCGTTCAATGTCGTGCGAATCATAATCTGAGGTTTGTTAGTCTCGAAGCTCAGGGAGCAACGATGCAGTTTCAGAATTGCTTACCTCCGTAGCGAAGCTGGCAGTCTACCCAGAACTTGTTGGTCGTGGTGGCCTCGATCTGATCTTTCGTGTCGAAAAGCAACGATGGTCGAGTAACGTTCCACTTGTGGCTGGCAAACAGCAGAATGTCTGCGCAGGAACTGTTCATCTTGTACGACTTTCTGGGATGGATCGTCTCCTTCTGAACAGTCTCAATGCCAAGTTGTTCCAGCTCTTGATCGAACACCTGGCACAGGTCCATGACCACAGATTCATGGATCTTCTGCCATAGATGTGCGCGGAAAATTTGAACTACAATTCGTCAGCATATACCATTATCGAGGGAGGGGCTGCAAAAACTGAGCGAGATCTTAAGCGTAGGGATCTTGCCGTGCAAGAAGATACCCGTCAAGTCAAGTTGGACCTGGAAACCGACATAGACATCTACAGTATTGGTCAGCGTTGGAACGTCGACGGTTATCGGAGACAATGGACTTACTAGCTCTGTTGATCGTTGGCGACCACCACAAGGTGAAACGACGGTTAGGGATCTGGTTGAGACCGGAGCGCTGCGCGTTGGTAAGTTTCTTGTATTTCATCGATTCCTCGAAACCTGGAAAAAGTCAGTCATGGATTGCAACGGCAGGCACCTCGAAGGGAAACGACTTACCAGAAGCTCTTTCCCAGAAAAGACCTTCCCAGGACGGGAATGCCGTGGCTTTGAACAGAGTATGTTCTAGGATGGTTTCGACACCACCAAGAGCTTGAATCACATCCGTCCGGTAGGCATTCAAGTTCCACAATTTTCCGTCGTGTCTCGGACTGGTCCACCAGAAGGGATTGCTCTTCATCAACGAGTACTGCTTGAACTCGGTTCGGGCTCTGAAACCCTTGTCGAAGCTGAGTGTACTTCTGTCCTTCTGAAAAAGAGTGTTGATACGTGGCAGACCTCGATCCCAGCTGTCCTCAAGATCTTCGAGTGTAAGACGACGATTTTGCTGGTTGGCCTCCAGACGCTTCTGAGAGTACTCAGTCCACACTCGTTGCGAATCAATGAACTCGCTTTCCCAGGGCACGATATAGCGGAAAATATTGGGAATCAGCGTCTCCTCGTCGTGAGTCATACCGGCACGATAATGCGTAACTCCAGTGTCCGTCTGTTTCGACCATCGCTTGTCGCTGGTCGGAATGAGGATGTGAGATCCTGAAATCATACCCAGACCACCAAGTTCCTTTGGTGTATAGAATACCGCGGGTGGGAAACGCGAAGGCATCTTCGAGTTGAGACCGATCTTGACACGAGTCTGAATTTTAGTCTCGCATTTGACAATAGTGTCGAGCAGATTGACGGTCGAGACAGCGGCTTCTCTGTAATACGTGAAAAGTGCAATCAACGTCGTGTTCCATTTGTTCGCAATCTTCGTGAAAGTAGTCGAGCCTGACGACATCAAGATCTGTCTGATACGGTTGTTGAACTTGGCAATGTCCTCCTCGGTGACCTGCAAGAAAGCGTAGGCAGTACGTTCCTTGGTCTCATTGTTGGCCAGAGCCCAGACGCTGTCCTTGATCGGGAACTCGTCATTCTGGTTACGGAGCTTAGGCAGGATTCTGACTTCGAATCCGCACATCGAGAACAGGAGGTTGGGGTTGTCGCGCGAGTAAACACTTGAAAAGGTGTCATCCCACTCAATCGTGGTCATGGAGCGAGGCAGTCTGTTCTTCAAGTCCCAGAAAACAGCGCGACCGAGGTTGACGTCGTGTCTCATCAATCGCATACGAGAGTCACGAGGCCAGCACTTCTTGTTTTTGTAGCCAATAACATTTTCGAAGTTCGGGTCCGGTTGCTCGGTCAAGAATCGTTGTATCAAGTCCTTTGATTCTTCAGCAGTGAATCTGAAGAAGACCCAGATCTTGTCAATGTATCTTGTGTACAAGCGGATCGGATGTCTCGTCTCCGTCTCGCGGTCTCGGAACTGCAGGAAGTCGTTCGGGCTCTGAGGTGGACCAGCAAGCTCACTGGCTCGTTGTAGACCAAGCAAGAGCAGATCAATTACCAGGCCGTAGTACTGGAAGACGAATCCAGAGAACTGTAGACCTCTGATCAAGCCGTAGCTGTTGGTATGATTCATGTCCTTGTAATTCAGCTGGACATTGTTCTTGGACGTGATGTAATCTGCCAAGTTGTGATCCATGATCAGTCTAAGCAAGCGATTGAGCAGGGTCAGATCAATCTTTTCATAGACCTTCGAGAGCTGAGTCTCGATCATGACGTTGCATTCACCATCGGCAGTCTCCCAAACATTGGTCAGGTTGTTGATGCCTTGCGCCCATTTGTAGACCAATAATGGAGGAACCTCGGAATCTGAAGGCTTGACCCACGATGGGAACAGATGTCGTTGGTCGGCTTGATACCAGAGATACTGATCAAGGTATGCATCTGTGATCTTCTCGATAGGTTCCACATCATAGACAGGATTGATCGAGCTGTAGTTATCATTCATGTCGATTCCCACTTCCTTGAATGCTCGCTGTGTTAAGAGGAAGCGCTTGATCCTTGCGAGCGTTGTTCCAGGTGAGTCGTATGCCTGCTCAATCAAGGCAAGTTCTTCACGCTGACTCTGGTTCAGTCTGCCCTTGACAGAGTATGCTTCTCGTAGTCTTTCGAGAGCGAGAATGAGAATCTTGGTGTCGTGCTTGTATGAGACACTCGGGAACGGGATTGGTGAGAACTTCCGTGACTCAAGCCAGTGCACCGTGGTTGTGTAGATAGCCACGGCCTCTTCCGAAGAGACATAAGGCCCATCCTTGAGATAATTGTGCTGCCTCTCCTGCTCAGACTTCAACCACAATCTGGTCAAGCGACCCAAGTTTTTCTTCGCGACAGTCTTGTCGACAGTGGCACCTCTCCTGATTCTTTCACGGTTGTAGTGAGCCACAGAGATCCACCAGTCGGCCTTGCTCTTAACATATCGCAAGATGATGTTCTCGATCGGTGCGGGCAAGCCAGGAACCTTCCAAGGAATGTTACTCTTCCAGCAACGCCATGCCTCGGACAAGTGCTGCAGCACAGTGTTAACCTTGTTCTGTCTGATACCCTCAGGCATCATGTCCATCAAGTCGGCCATGACAGAGGCACGCAGCTCCAAGTCGAAATGTGATTCGACACGTTGCTTGGTGACTGTCTTTGCAACACCCTTGCTGTGACGACCTTCAAACTGTCTTGAAAGCAGATTTCCGAGCCATCGCTCTAGTAGTGGGATGATACCTCTCATGAAGAAGAGCCAGACACGCCAGGCCGGTGCCCAGAAACCACATCCAGGTCCTTTGCCGACTGGACCGGAATTGAAGCGGTAGTAGATCAAATGCTTGAGATCCTTGCATGACCGAATCTGATGCATGAGCTTGTACTTGTATCGGTACATGCCGGTGAGCTGTCCAACGTGGTTGAATGCGTACAATATACCATCAGCCAACTGGAAGGCATCGATGTTTCCCAGTCTGTATTGGACTTGGGCGTCGACAATAAGCTTCGTCAATCTCAGGATTTCACGCATCAAATGGAAAGCGTTTCCGAATCTCGACTTCTTTCGTTCCTTGGTTGTCAAAGTCTTGACAGGCTTGAGATTGAAGTTGTAGTCCAAGTGCAAATACGTCAAGTTCTTGCGATGAATGAGAAGATTCAACATATTGAAACCTTGCCGGCACACCTGTAGACCTGCTTCTACCCAGTCGATAGTGGTCTGCTGGAAGAATTTGGTCTGTTTCAGAGTCTTGAGAAGATCCTGCTTGTTCTGAGCCTTGGGCTTCTTCTTGTGCAGCTCGTTCAGGACAAATGACTTCAGCATCTTCTGATAGGAAACTCGGACTTTGACTGGCTGACCAGGTGGGCAGTGTTCCAGGTACCACTGCTTGACCAGCGGCACGTCTTGAGCTCGAACCATCTTGCCCGACCTCCTATCGAAGGGGAAAGGGGCCCACCACAAGGCGATGGCAGATGATGTCTCGGAAGTATACAGCTCTTCATCAGCAAGGAAGGGCTCGACGTTGCCTGGCAGCTCGAACTCATCATCCTCGTTGTTGCCGGCGCCAAAGATTTCGTCTTCGTGGCTAACAGTGATATTCTTGGGTGCGACTGATCTCGATGAGATAGGGTTGATGGCTGGGTCGAAGTAGAAGGCAGGGAGGTTAGGGTCTTCGGAGCGGACATAGACGACCTGTGGGTGTGAATACCATGAAATCTTCACACTCCGTGGCAGGGAGTTGTAGAGGTATGGGAACGCCACTCTGTACTCCGTCCGGATTGGAGCTCGGAAAATGATACGGTCAATCGCATTGAACTCGCCGAAATCTTCATCGTTCGGGTCGATATCCTTGTAAAGAGGCTCGAAGCGTGGTCCACCGGGAATGGCGACGTTCAAGGCTTTCGCCGTGAAGAAGCTCGGCCGGTCAAACATATGAAAATAGTTCTTGTCGACCACATCGCTCAGTATCTGATGCGATAATCTGTACAGTGTCGCCATCTGTGGCAAAGACAGGTTCCAGGTCTTGTAACTCGGTCCGCCAACATGCGACGTATCAAGCAGAGGTCGATGCTCGTAGAACCATTCATAGACTGGACCATCTTCGTTCTCGTCCAACTCCATCTGAATCGGCTCAAGAGGCTCCACGTCTTCAATGTTTTCTGACCAAGACAGAGGAGGTTCTTCGTCGTCGAAAGGAGGAAATCGCATACGTTTGAAATGTCTTCTGTCGCTCTTTTCTCTTCTCATGCACACCCACATGGTCGCCCACTGGGCATGGAATACTGGCTCAATTACTCTGGGAATCTCGTTGACCAGTGTCAAACAACCGTTCACGTGGTACAGAACTTTGACTTCCCTGGCACTCTCCCACGGCATGGGCATGTTTTCCAGGAGCTTGAATACGGCGTGAGGCATGTACTTCAGCGCGCCCAGGTAACTGCGTTTGTCGCTGCTGAATTTCTTCTGACTGACATCGCCAATATCTTTGACGATCTTGCGTAAATGTTCCGGCGGCATGTCAGCCTTCTGTGTCTCGACGAAGCCACCCTTTCGTTTCTCGCCGAACCTGTTGCGCTGTGACCGGAGCCATTCCTTCTTCTTCTGCGCAAACTTTGCGGCTTGAGGATCGACTGGTGGGCGATAACCCGGCGGCGGAGGAGCCATACCAGGTGGAGGTGGCGGTGGTGCACCAGCACTCCATCCTGGCGGCGGAGGAGGTGGTATTGAAGCCATCCTGTCGTTAGGTGGCTGGAGGTGTCTGTTGTAATAGAATGGATGAATTGACTGTTCAGACCCGAACGTGTATTGTGAGGTGTCTTACCATTTACCGAACCTCACTTACTCTCTGCTTCGGCCAGGAGAGCAAGAGTGTTCGGTCTTGATGTATCAGACCGTCCATCCACCGGGACGAAAGAGGATGACGGGGACTGATCTTTTTTCACACTCTGAGCAGATGGCAGAATGTTGCCTCTAGCACCGCGATAGAATATTTTGCGGAGACCCACTCACGTGATTAAGCGAGCGGCTCGACAGCCCGCACTAGTCTCCAAAGGGAGAATAGCGAGCCAAGACTTCACGTTCCCACAGTCTTCGAAATTTTGAGATTCGAGAGAGACCGGACAACGACATCTCAATAAACCCACGAACACCACCATCTACCCTGCTATCCATTCAATACCGTCGCAATGGCAGGCGTCAGACTTCAATACCGACGACGCAACCCGTACGTTCTCCCCCTCACCACAATTGCAGCAGCACGGTCGAGAGACACACGAACAAGGGACTAGTACTAACATTCGATCTAATCTAGTTACAACACCTCCTCGAACAACGTTCGTGTCATCAAGACTCCCGGTGGCAAGCTCCGACTTTTGCACATCAAGAAGCGAGGAACAGCTCCCAAATGCGGTGACTGCGGCATCAAACTCCCAGGTGTAAGTCGCTTATGATGTGGTGGAAGGCGTGGTGGTTATGAGGCGAGACAAGACCTAACAGATACCGTTCTATAGGTCCCAGCCCTCCGACCCAGAGAATATGCCACGACATCCCGACCGAAGAAGACCGTCCAGCGCGCTTATGGTGGATCGAGATGCGCCAACTGCGTGAAGGACAGAATCGTGCGAGCATTCCTGATCGAGGAGCAGAAGATCGTCAAGAAGGTGCTTAAGGAGACGCAAGAGAAGAAGACCGGAAAGAAATAAGCGATCGATGAAGGAACAGATAGGGTGGGAGTCTTTTCAATGATCAACAATGGGCGCATTGGTTTGTTATGCTGGCTACCCTGTCAACAGCAAAACCGGCTGCCGGTGCCAGACAAGGTTCGCAGTGAACATCTTTCATGCACGACCACATTGCATCAACTGGGTATACATCAGTTTGCATCGCACTGTTCCGTGGGCCGTTTGCAAGCTGCATCGAGGGAGACGATTAGATGGCCGCAAAAGGCGTCCAAAAACATGTCCGTTCAATGATATCACATGATCAATTGGCCATTGTTCATTCCATTTGGTCTGCTTTACTCTGTTGGGCATCGACTCCCACGTGTTAGTACTTGTCACCGTTTGCGGCACTGGCCTGTCACCAGGTCGTGGCATATGGCCAACGTCCATTCAAAGATTACCGTTTCTGGTGAGTAGGTCCTGAGTCGCTCAAGCACCACAGCCGAAGTGGTCTGATCGTCGAGAGAAGTCGCCTGTAGTATGCGAAGCGCATAGGAGGTGGTTCCACCCATTATGAGCCAGAGGCCCAGAACACCACGACGACCAATTCATGACCGTGAACCCTTTACTACATACGATGCTTCATTCTGGTTGTTGTAAATGCACACAGAAGTCAGCCTTTGTCTTGTGGAAGATGCTCTTCTCGCCTCCCTGCCTGCTTAATGCTCAACCACATCATCCCACAACTGTTCGTTAATGGTCTCTGAGATGGGTGGTAAGTCTGACATGAATTCTTGGGGCAGGCATGACTGGAAGTAGTACCAGCCAATTCCTGTGTTCCTTCTGCTGCCCTGGAGTAAAAGCACCTACCTATCGGAGCAGCAGAATACCTCTCACGGCAAATGCTTTCGAGCGGCATAGTGGCACTGCACAACGGCTTACAGTACAATGCTTCAGCAAGGGGTCTTGCAACCAGACTCCCTCAAATGGACAGCGCACATGTGAGCCACTTGCTCTTCTTTGAAGGCTGATGTTGCTGGATTCGCTTCTGTGCCCGTCTTGTCATCCTCGAGGATTTGCCTATGTTCACCAGCAGTGCAATGTAATTGTCTTGATTCAACAGACCAGGCGGCATTCTGGCCTCGTCCAGCAGAGGTTACACAGGTGACACAAAAGCCGCTGTCAAAACTGTCATATCTGCTGATATCCTTGGAGTTGGGGCTGGTTGGATGTCCATCGGGGGATTTCTTGTCTCCTGGAGATCGCGTGTACCACCACGAAGGCGGGGAACTTTTTCATCAAGAAGCAAATAGATAGCGCAAAGGCCACCAGACAATGCTAGGAAGCCACATCCGACTTGAGGTGCAGCTTCCATCTCTGCCGTTGTAGTATGTCAAAATCTTGAAGACATTGAGCTGCTAGCAGTCGTTGCATGGGGCTTCGGAATCATTTCGGGCTGACGGGGGCAATGACCTTAGTGACACACGGGCTGCGACTGATTAGCAGAACCAAATCTTCCACATCCGGCCGGCAGATCGTGGATAATATAAAAGACGGCATGCGGATTCTGTGTGCATTGGACTTTCTGCCTGACGCTAGCCGCCCGAAGGTAGCATACCTTCCTGCCTTGAACACCAGGTTGAAAGATGGTGGTGCAGGGTATAGTAATGATGAGATCCCCTGTCTAACAAAGACCTTGGACTTACCTCTGACGTTGGCACATAGCCGACCTGTGGCAACGCGTGATGAGGACGTTGACTGAAATGTTAAGGTAGCGGATATGCCACGATATTGACTCGCGGAACCTCCGGTGGCGGGCTCCCGCTCCGTCACGGCCAGAGGCCGTCAATACTGTTCCCACAGCCGTAAGCGCAGCTGCAGGAGGTGACTTGAGGGAGTACTGTCGATAGTCTTTTCCAAGCAGAGTGTGTTCGTCGATTGGCGGGGAATTATTGGCGCATCCATGGACAGTACAGTGCTTGTACATCGAGGTCCTCCTAAGATAGATTGAATGAGGACATGACCATTAACACCTTGCAGCCGAAGGGACTGTGATACGATGCGAGCACTTCCTGACGTTGACCTGCTGTCTGCTGGCCTGTGGCCAATCCGAACTTGATGAATCCCAGGTTGTTTTGTCATACGTTACCTGACATATGTCAAGCACGTTTTGAACGACCAACAAGGTCCAGGATGTGCGGGGAGCTGCATGACAGGATGGCACCCGCACCAGAAGTGTCGTACCTCGTCAAGAAAATGTTGTGGTCTCGCTCCAGATCCTGATAGAAGCGATGCTTTACCTCGATACTGAGAAGATCCCAAGGCCGCAGAGAGATGATAAATTCAGATTCGTATATCCATAGACCTGACGTAGTAGGAGCTGTACCTATGCTGCTTGTCGATATGAATAAGAGTGTGTTCAGCATCTCAGTGAAGCCAGGAAGGGTGCCCCTTCATGTTTTTCGCAATGGCGGAGTGTCCTCGGATGCAGAGCCTGTTGGTCAGACAAGCAGGAAAATACCATGCCGACTAGAATGCTGCGGCGGGATTGTATCCCGCATCTCTTTTCGGCCAGTGCTCACTTTCGCCGTGCAGCGATCGTGACCAGGGGTGACCCATGGACCAGTGGCCGACCGTTGAATCTTCCTCCCACAGGCTCCCAGATTGAATTTAATTCCGTTCAGAACAATCCTGTCAGCTCCTGGTGTGCTTTACCACAACCCTGCCAACTAGATTCGTGTTCCAAGATTCTGGCCATGTCGTTGTTCTGTCTGTCGATGGACATACTAAAATTCTGTTTGTGCAAGACCGATGAAGTCATGTACCTAATAGCCATGGTGAAACTCGGCGGACGAGGAGGCTGAAGCTGAAGGAGCAACACACTCAGCCGGATTCAACTGGTACAACGATCGACTGATCGGTTCCAACATGAACAAGCACTGTGGTAGAGGCGATAGCCCAAGGTGTAGATTTCGCCTCCATAGACGAATCTACACCTAAGCGAGAAGGTTGAGGTTGTTTGTTGGACTTTGCCTGCATGATCTTGAGGTCATAGCGAGGACGGCTGTGAAGGACATGTGAGAACGATGACCGAAAGACCAATGGTCTCCTCGATGGATCCCTCGCCGATCGATCTTTCTGAGCGCGTTGGAGCTGAGTAGATCTGGCCACGATCTAGTTCATCGCGTGGTTATCTTTTCCAGGCGATGCTGGGATTGGCCTGTTGAAGGATTCACTGGACCAGAGGATTAATCCCTTGTCCCCTGCGATCCGATTCTCGAAACAGTTCCTGGCAAGCATGGCGCTGAAGATGGACTGGCTGCTAAATAGGGTATAGATGATCCGAAATGTCCTTTGTGCACGCCAGATGAAGTCTTGACTAGCTTCAGGCCGGTTCGGACCGTTACGACACTGTGGCGGTCTTGAGGTGAGATTCTGATCGATCAGATGTGGAAAGCTGAGCTGTGTTTCGGGGAACGAATATCGTGCATTAGTGTGAAGAATTGCTGCAAATCTCGGACATGGTACTCAATCACATGAAAACAACACCCTGAATAAATGTCATCCCCGGGTTGTCTCGACATAAAGTTTCTGCAGCTCCAAATGCGGTTGACAGTTGACTTGACAACCGTGGTTATCTCTATAGGACCCATAGCTAACGGTCAACCGTGAAACAACCCGGTACAAGATATCGATAACGAAGCGTCATCTGCGCCCTGAGGCGAGGTTGATGATAGTAGAGAATAAAGTCGTTTGCCAGCACAAAGGTCACCGGGCTGTAAATGGCGTAGGTGTGCACGAAATGAGAAAATGATGCTCTACACATATACGTGGAATGGTAGCGATATCCCAGTGCGCTGTAGACCCCGGCTGTCCATACTGGCACTGCATCAGCCACGGGTCAGGGGTCCCTTGTCATCAGGCTCCAGCGTTCTATCGGAAAATGGTACGAGGTCAGATCCCATGAGGCTGCAACAGCAAGAGTGCTTTAGGTGGAGAGTCAGATTCGCATTCGTAGATGTCAGGGAGAAGTTCAGATGTGAATCAGTTAAATCGGAAGTAGCTCGATGAAAGCCCCCCGGGTCGTGACTGCTTTGACTACTCATGTATGATACAATTACAATCTGGCATGCTGCGGCGCATGTCGACCGTAATGCAGACTTCATTGAGGCTGCTAGCGTGCCTTATTCGCTCAGGTGTCCTCATCTTGATCATCCTGCATTGGAGGAACACGTCCATCAAGCAAGCCATAGAATGCGTAAGCAGAGATCATGCACTACTGCCGGCCCCTTGAAGTCCACCAGCTCCACGATCATCTGCTGGATTCCGAACTTCCCTCGTCGTAGAGATTACGCACATCAATCTCGGTACCCAATCCCTCTTCTACGGCAGCAACACGAGCCAGACCTCATTGGGTATGAAAAAGCGGTAGTTCAATCTCGGATTGCTCATGCAAAGGCCGCATAAGCATACTCTGCAGACGCCAATCTTCATCAGAGTAGTTCATATGCCCGGTGCTGAGGTCGAAGGAGCTTTGGGGTGAAATCGACATATGTTGACTCGTGACGTCGGGTAGTGGTGCGCTGTCATGCAGAGAAGGCACTGTCCAGTTTCTGACAGTGGGATGTAGCTCCCAGTCATAATTGTGGTAGTCGCTGACATCCGAATAGCAAGGCGTGGCTGGGCTGCCCGACATGGGTGTACTGGTGACATAGGGATGGTCCTGGCGCCGCTGTCTGGCTGCACGACTTGCAGCTCGACCGCCCTTTGCTCCTGATCTCTGTCGCTGTATTGCCGCAACCCGGTGTCCGAGCCCTCTCTTGCCGCCACCAGTTTTGCGATATCTCGTGGTAGATTGCACTCCGTTCTTGATGGCGTCTTCAGTCAGTATCCAAACGCTGTTGGCTTTTTTCGAGCTGCCACGGGAGTGATCTCTGTCATTCTCGAATGCCTGTGCTGGTTGTTAGCAATCCGAGTTCGACATTCATAGCCACGAGACTGACCTTATTCATTGAAAGGTTATGTCTGATACTGTTTTGCCATCCGTTGGACCCGGATTCTTGAACCTTGGTGGTATTCTGACGGAACCAGTCGTAAATGTCTCTTAGCATCATTCTGTGCCCTGGAGCTTGCTTCAACGCCTCATATATCAACATGGCGTATGGCTTGTCATCGAACGGTTCATCGTCTTCTTCGATGGCCATTGCTGGTAATGAGTGTGGAAGTTCCGGAGTGGTCGACCAAGCACTCATGGTATCGCTGTCATCATAATACTGATACGTCGGATACGGAGGCGATACCAGGCTTGGAGAGCATTGCAAGACTGGCGGTCCGCTTATCGCCATAGGTGCACCATATCGGCTGTCAAAGAATTGCGGGTAAATTTCCTGCGTCGTCCATGTAGGGCTTATCTCCAGGTCCGAGAAGTGTATCTGAGTGGTTGCCGGTGCAGGGTGGTCAAGTTTGGCAATATATGCGTTGCATGCCTGTTCTTTGACAGCCTCAAGCTCAAGTGCATGGCAGATGTCCAATGAGTTGTGTCGCGGATAGTAATGTGACTGATGCGTTTCAGCCATGCTGTACTGGATACTGTGATGACTGGGCGCTCTGGGCATAGTGTCGGCGAGATTGGCCAACTCAGCATCTCTCAATCTGTCGTACGGCGCATAACCGTCCGGGAGGCCTTCTGCCGTCATCTCTGAAGCACTTGTTGTAGAGGAAGGAGACAAAAGTTCGGTGGAATTGCAAACTGTCTCCTGCAGACTCACAACAATTCTAGAAAACCAGGAGGAGAGAAGACTTCTTTGCGACAAAGTCTTGTGCGAATTGCAAGACGGAGGTAGAACCAGAGTATAAGGGAAGATAAAGCAGCTGAGGCAAAGTGCATGGCTAGATACACATTATTCAGAGCAAGCAAATGGTTCTGGAATGCATCTGAGACTATACATGAAGATGGGGAATCAACGCAAACAGACAGGGATAAGGCAGGGACGCAAGCAAAGGGTTCCTGATCTGAAGCCCATATCCGTCATGCGGGATGGAGACTGAACGACCAGGTTCTCCTGGTGGATATTGGTGCAGTACTGTACTGTATCACATCTATCCAGAATCATTTCAGGGCGTGTTGGATGTTTCCTAACCAATCAGTGGGGGGACGGCATGCGGAGCCTTTTGTACAACACGATGCAGCTCAACGGCTTGTCATGAGACGGAAGGGTGCAGGCCATTTGCGCTCAAACTGCCAACCTGCAGTAAAAGTCCACTCACCTTGCTCATGCCGCGGCAAGGAAATTTGACTTTGCCTGTCTCTTCTTTCTAGGGGTTGAGGTGGAAGTAACTCATCAGAAAAGCCACGCTGAATTCTGAAGAGCTCGGGATGGTGCCCGCAAAACCAGGATGCAAGGCTGAGCAGTCCGGATCGTACTCTGTTCCACTCAAAACATTGAGACCGCATATGCTGGATAAATAGACAACAAAGAAAGGTGGATTGGCCCATGCATCGCTTCACAGGGTGTATGCCTTCCGTCCGTCCACCTGCATGAGGATAGTCTGGTGCAGATGGTGACAAGACATTTATTTTCCTCACTGTTGGGATAACCTTGTTGGCAGCTTCATAGATGTCCAGCTGAGGGGATAGGCTATTGTAATGAGACTCATCCTTCGGCAGCGGCAATGTTGACTAGGTTTATAAGTTTCTGTTATGGAAGCTGTACATGACTGAGGGATGCTGTGGGAAGAGACTTTTTCTCGATGAATGGAGACAAATAGCATATACAGTAGTAACCTCCATGATTAGATAAGATGGGAATCCTGGTTAGTATGGGAAAAGTTATTCCGCTCGGGGGCAAATTGCTCCCGACACCGAAATCACAAGAAACCCACCCAATGGGATGTAGAGGAAGCCTCGCTACGCCAATTGATCCCTCGCGCTGACGACCACAACCACGACAACAGCAATTGCTGACTGTGTGCCAGAATCAGCTATTACCTCGCAAGGCCTAATTACTATCGCTTTCAATTGCGCTATCGGCGTGACCCAGTACCAAACGCCCCCAGTCAGTCTGATCCAACCCATCCGCGAACATCCTAAGACTTGCGACACACTCAGCCTATATCATCGCTGCGGCGGACGATGACTGCGGCCCATCTCTCCTCTGCCAGACTACCATATCGCTGAACGATCCCACCCTACGCCATGCCGGAAGTCGTTCGAGGCAGTCGAGCCAGTTTACAGCTCGACCGCGACGGTCAACCTCTAGAATCACCGACGCGAGAGGGAAGAGCCGTTCACTTTCCAGGTGAAAGTCCGGCCACAGAGGATGTCCCTTCCCCTGGGATCAATCATGCCGACTCCAGGCTCAGCATATCCTCTGGGCGAAGGAAAAGCAGCTTTCAGCGGCGGAGGAGACCAACCCAAGACATGACCTCACCTGAAAGAGCCGCATATTATGACAGCCGGGCGGCGACAAAAAGAGAATTCAGGAGGAGGGCGAGCACACTACAAGAATACTATCAAGAACATCCCGAACTCCTGCCGCAGTTACCGTTTACATGGAGACATGGCTGGAAGCGATTCAAATTGGGCTTCACCATATTCATCATGGTCGTTGATGCTTGCGTGCTTCCAATTGTGCTGTATTATACCATGAAATTCGCCGGACATGTACAGGGATGGATAAGTGAGACCGCCTTCCCTGTCGCTCTGTTATGTCACTGACAAAGATACAGTTTTCGCAATCGTGGCCAGCATCTGGGGCGGTCCGACGTATATGGAATTTGCTGTTCGGTCCTGGCGCCTGATCAAAAAAGAGAACTTCTTTCGACCCCTGGGATCGTCAAATCGATGGGCATTTGATATCACGCATTGGATCTCGATCTTGACGATTGCGTCGGTCACCGCTTTTCTGATTATTGGCAGCGCGCCGCATATCGTATGGATACGCGTCCTGGCAATGCCTGGTCCCGCAATTTTGGCTTGTATAGGCGGAAGCGTCTTCGTCATCACCATGTACAGCCTCTCCGGGTGGAAAGCGCCATTCCGAATCAGCTCGACATCAAAAGGAGGCTCAGTCCACCCGGGCGTCTACTACCTGATGGAGGACGTCGTCGCCGTTAACGCCAGCGCCGGCAGACCCTTCCGCGAAGCGCTTGCTGCCCGATACAATGCGAGTCCCCGATTCAGGAAGATGCTCATGGATCAGTCCTTGTTCTGGTCGATTCCAGCTGTCATCATTGCCATCGCTCTTACAGTGGTCATTATCATCCATCCAATCTCGAAAGAAGTAGGATATGGCCTTGGTATGTACAACTTGAAGGATCTCTAGGGCGTTCCTGCTAACCTATACTCAGGCTGGGGTGTTCCTTTCGTCTGGATCGGCATATGGACGGCAATCTCCATTCCATGGATTCGCAGGGATATGCACAGGGAGACAATCACGTGGGAAGAAGATGCTGGTATTGTGCCGCAGAAGAAAGCGGGGAGAGCTCATGACGCACAAGATTCACATTCTGAAGAGAATAAGCTGCCGCACCCGGATAAGGAGCCTGAGCCCGAGCCCTGATCCGTCATGATCCGTCATGATCATTGTATGTCTCTTTAGTCACAGTGGAGTTGCGGGCAGGCTTGTCGGGAAAGCCCAGGAGTGCCCACATGAGCGTTTGGTTCATCTTCGGTATAAAAGAGCTGGAATGGTAAATCTCTTAGCGCACTAAACATTATTAATGTGATGACAGATACTAAGGTCTCTGAATAGAACATATGATATACGGGAGTCAGAACTTTACAAGACTGACTCGAAGGCTTCGTGGAGACTGTCCCGTAGAGCAATCATGCTGCTGCGCAGTGGAGGCACCAAGTTCATTTACGCAGGTCAGCCCACTTCAATACGAGGTTCTTTCTGAGTAAAGGCTGCCGAATGTAAGCTGCATCTGCGAGTCCCCAAACCAATAAGGGTACGAAAGCAGATTAATGTACGTTGATACGCATGAACACTTAATATGTGTCAATATAGCTTTCATACCCTCAATTTTCTTCGCAATCGACCATAGGATGAGTCAAAGCAGGACTTCCCGTTCGCTCAGTCGTACTTAAGCCTCATGCCGGTATGTCAGTAGTTGGGTTCGTGAGAACCAGCGAATCCGTACTGTTGATTGTTTTTGCATTTTTGTCGGCATGAATCTTCGATGTTTGTGTGTTCTTCTTTGCTCGCGAGGCTGGCTTTGTGGTGGAAAACCATGGGTTGCTCATACAATCTTTGAGGTAGGGTCCGCCTCTGTTTTATGCATATTGTCATCTATAAAAGAGACATATCGCTGTGGCATTCCCTTCGTGGACAATCTACTTTCTATACACAATCCTCTTGAAACTGAAGTGCAGCGTCAAAATTCCCTTCTCAAACGTGCTCTTGAACCCGCGATCATGTTTCGCCGAGTAGTCCCAATCTCGGTCAACGATGCGGAATGCAATGTCCTCGTACGGCGGCCCCGACATGAACCGTATGATACATGTGTCTTCCTCGCCGGCCGGCGCCATGGTTTGGCCCTTTTTGCGTCCTCCTTCGCGAATGATCTTGTAGGTCGGCGCCTTGGTCGGGTCGATAAGGTCCGGGTAGAAGATGTGGAACTTATATCCCTGGACGACCTTGGGTGGAGGATTGTCGTGGTCGTAATGGGTTTGATTGTATTTATTCCACTCGTATCCCATCTGCACGCGGTTGAAGTACTTGGGTTTGCGGGGACGATGTTTGCCGCTCCACAAAGGCTTTGAGCCTGTTGTAACGTCCTCCTCGCCTGCAAAGATCTCTTCGTCTTCGTTGACGCCCTTGGCGACTTCCCGGTCGAGAAGCGCTTTGGTCGCCGATGAAATGTCGTCGTTGCCGGTGCTGCGATCAAAGCGACTGGTAGGGTCGGCGTGGTGAGATTGTCCTGTTGGACGGGAATGACTGGTTGTCTTTTGTTGTGTAGATGTCTTGGGTGCTGGGACGTAGCCCATGTTCAGGACCTTACGTCTGCTTGATGCGACGTCCTTCAAGAATGCGCTTTCATCGATCACTTCCAAGCCTTTGTCTTTGGATGGGATCTCGAGTAACGGGTCTGGGTCGAGTTCTTTCGAGTAGGCGACAGGACCTGTGCTTTGCACTCCAGCATCCCGCAATGTTTGTTGAGCTTGTAGCGCTTCCTGTTCGTTCACCTCCCTCAATTGCTTCAACCGTGAGTCGAGCACATCTTGGTAGACCTTTTTCAGCTTGGCTTTCGCTTTCCATACCAGCAGGCTATCCAGAAGCTGCTGCCAGTAGTCCGTATCAATAGGCTCGTTCGAGTCCAGTTTCGTTCTGATCTGTCCCTCCAACACCTCCAACTGTTCGTACGTCTTCGGTCCCAACAGCTTGTCGATATCGGAAGCAACAGAACTGACTGCTCTTCCTTCTGGTCCACCAACGCGCAGTCTCTTCTGCCTATCCTTGCAGATGATTTGCATTGTTCGCCAATAATCTCGATTCTTCCTGTTCTTCTCCAGACTCATGTATGTTTCGATGTCCTTGCGCAGATCGGAGAGTTCTGTTTCATCTAGGCCGTCAAAGACGCTGTCTGGGTCGACAAAATCAAGTTCCTTTTCGTCCACCTCATCGTCTAGGGGATCTCTCGTGGGATCGACCACTCGCAATGTTACTGCCAGCCAGTCTATAGGTTTGGCCCGACCTTCCTTGACTCGAATGTCTGCTTTCTTCTTGGCCTGTTTCAGGACGAAATCGTCTTCTTGTGCAACCCATTCTCTCATCCGCTCATCTTCTTGCAGCTGGTTTATCCTCATCTGATCCTTGTGAGACCATCTCTGCTGTTGGCCGTTCTCTGGATTTCGAGGCGCATCTCGTTCGCGGTATTTTCGCTCATTATCGTGCTTCCGCCATGGCGGGGGTGACTGAGACCGCTTTCTCTTGCCCGGTGAGGCGTAGTCGCTCATCTTGTCAGAAGTTCATACGTTGGGCGTGGCGTTATGTAGGTTGCGTAAAATGCCCTGCGTCTGCCTACAGACAGAAAAAGTCGCCGTTATCGCCTAAACTTCGGCTGAGGGGACATGACTGACGTTGATGTCAATACCCTCCCACTCTCCCTTGCCTCCTCCTTCACATTGCCGAACGCCGTGGATGAAGTTGAGAATCAAGAAGTGCAGCTACCGCGACGTATATGGTCCAGTGGCCTAGGCGAGTGAATGATTGACGGCTACTGAGGGTGATGTTGAGAGGCTGGAGTCTCCAGGGCCATGAGTACATCTGCAAATCAAGCCACCTTCGGACATCGAGTGCACCTCTCGTTCTACCACCATTACGAGGTTGCGTAAAGGCATGAAGGAGGAGGCTCTTGCTTTCTCAAGTCCATGACAACGAAGCCACACGAGCCACTAGCCAGGATGAGTTCCGGGCAGACGTCCAAGTCAACCTACACTCAGGGTCACAGTGCCAGCGTTGTTGCTTCGCACACATCCCGCACCGTCGAAAACTCTGCTTCTTTCCTTCTTCCACACCTTAAGCCGCACTACAAGATTGTAGATCTCGGGTGCGGTCCGGGAACTATAACACGAGGGTTTTGCTCGTTCGTCCCACAAGGCTCCGTCACTGGGATCGACTCGGCAGACTCGGTCATTGAGCAAGCTCGCTCACAGGCGCCTCAAACGGAATATCCCAACCTCAATTTCCGCGTCGGGGACATTACCCAGCGCTTACCCTGCGATGACAATTCAGTTGATGTGGTCTACACGCATATGACACTCCTGCATGTCCCTTCGCCTGTCCAAGTGGTTGAAGAAGCCCGCCGCGTCTTGAAACCAGGCGGTATGTTGGCGATGCGTGAAGCCGACCATGCAGAATGGGAGCCTAGCACGCCCGCACTGGACAAGTATAATAACTTATTGTTCGAAGCTGCTCGATCGACTGGTGCTCAAGGGGCAGGTGCAGGTCGAAGGCTTCATGTGTGGGCTTTGCAGGCTGGCTTCGAGAGGTCGAAGATGTCCATTGGCGGCGGGGCGACTGTATATACTGCACCTGATGAGTCGAAGTGGTGGGCGGATGTGCATGTTGGGCGACTTGAAGGTGAGGTTGGCAAGATGTGGCTCGAAAACAAGCTTGTCGACAGCCAAAAGGATGTCGACGACATGAAGGCCGCTCTAAGAACCTGGAAGGAGAGTGATAACGCTTGGTACGGCGGTCTACAAGGCGAGGTGATATGCTGGAAGTGAGCATGCACTATCGGCTACCCTAGATTGCCATGGACAGTCGGCCCAGTTGTGCTTCTTAGGAACAGATCTCAGATTTTTCGACAGATCAAACACTCCTGTCGCCGTTGGTCGTCTTCCTCCTTTCGCACCTGTAACTGCCATCCGACTGGGGCTGTCTGCTCAGCGAATAACCGAGCTCTCTGTCACCGCGATCGAGACCGTCTCTACCATCCTCCGGCTTCGACTCTGCCTTCATCCTCTTCTCCACCTCCTGCTGTTCTAACCAGCCCTGCAGACCTGGAGCAAAGAACAATTTGCCTTGCCAGACGCCTTTGTAGAAACTCATCAAGGCACAGAACAGCCACAGTACCACCACGGCAGTACTGCAGGTTGCACCCCATCCTTTCATACCGCTGCTACGAATGTCCTGGCTCATTTCGTTCCACGCATTGGCATACACGCCACAAGGGAAAACGAAGCTCCAATATCCAACATTGAACGTCTTTGGCACCCTCGCATATATCGAGAAGCACGCTTCAACCAGCAAGAACGAGGCTAGCCCGAGTAGGAACAGGGCGACGATGATGCCGGTCCAGTGGATGCCTTCAGCAATGGTGGCCATGGTCGCCGCATCATTTGGGGGCTGCGGAGGACGTGTCAGAGTAAACTTATGCTCTCTAACTTGACTCGCCAAACCGACGGCCAGCTGCTGGATGGAGTATGCGCCCATGCCGAAAGGGCCGACTGGGACAAAAGTACTGATGATAGCCACCCTCGGTGGCAGGCTGCAGCTCATCAATCGCCAGATATGCAATGAGAGAATGACCAACGACATTCCCACGCCTACGGACCACATCAGGAATGAGATAACCAACACAGTGATGCTGTTCTTGTACGCGAGGTACGGTGAAATGGCGCCGCCAACCGTGGAGTCGACGATGAGAGGGATGAAAGTCAGGAACCATGCCCCGTTGAGATCATTGAAAGAGTGCTGCGGTTGGCGCTCGTACATGATGAAGAGGCCGCCAAAAGCCACGAAACAGCTCATTGCCGCGGCAATCCAGAACATGGCTTCGGCGACGTACATGGCTGATGAATGGTGCGAGTAGAAGCTGACGATGCCGAGGATGATGGTTTCGAAGGCCACCGCTATTGCTCCGAGGTAGCTGGTCTGCGAGAAGTCTTGGAGGACATTCTTCGCGACGTGTGGATACAGAAAGACCCGGAGAACGCCGAGGGTCATGAAGAAGGTGAAGATGCATATATCAACGATCTATATAGCGTCAGCTATGGAATCGATATCTGAAGTCGCTGTGCTGTACCCAAAAGAGGCATGCTATGGTCGTGAGCCATTGTGCCGAGTAGGGAAAATGGGTTAGCAGTTGCGTGCATACGCCTGCATTCCGCCGTCAGTCTTGCTCAACGGAGGTACATGTGCAGGCACATATGGGGCATCTGGCACCTTACCCGTTCCCATAGGTACAGTGAACCATGATGGATCGGCTGTGATGATGCGCTGGTACAGGAAGTTAGTGAGATGGCATGGATGGCTGTGTGAAAATCTACCTCCTTCCAGTCCTCCACGCTGCACCACGTTTTCAGGTTCGGCTTCAGAGCCGACATCTCTAGATTGCCCTCGTGAGTCTCAGCAGATCATGGTTCCTTCAACCTGTCTGGCATGTCCAACATCTCATGCAACAGCTACCTGAGTATACACGACAAAGTGTCATAGACGTTGAAAACCTTTGTAGTCAATTTGGGGGTTTGTTTAGGTGACGTAGCGATCCGGCAGCAATATCCGCGCCTAAACACGGGCTTTGAACCATGGCCCAGCACCAGCGGATATGCCGGATAGGCGGCATCTTTGTGGGGTTTGTGACCTGGGGAAAACCTTCTCTGTGCTTACCCGTGCCCGTCGCGTTGTGAGGGACGGGGTATCAGTTTGCGTCTCGAGAAGAAGAGCATCGTATCGTGCATCGTCGGCATTGAGAACATCTCTTTGTTGGCTTGTTTTCGCAAGAATGGCGGATCTCGTCAGAGCAGCAGCATGCCACGTATCTCCAGTCTTTCTATCGGCCAAAGCGACCACCAAAAAAGCCATCGGACTCATTCATGAAGCGGCTAATCGCAAAGCAAAACTAGTCGTGTTTCCAGAGACATATATCCCAGCGTTTCCGCTATGGAGCTCCCTTCGTGCTCCAACAGAAAATCATGACCTGTTTCAGCGCATGGTGGAACAGTCTATCCTTGTCAACGGCGACGAGATGAACGCGCTGCGCCAGGCGGCTCAGGAAACGAGCACGATAGTGAGCATCGGTATATCAGAGAAGGTGCCCTATAGCAGTGCCACGCTCTTCAACTCGAACATCTTGATCGGAAGTCATGGCGAGATCCTGAACCACCACCAGAAGCTCATGCCGACATTCTTCGAAAAATTGACATGGTCGCCCGGAGATGGCCATGGGCTGGTAGTCTCGCCCACGCCCTTCGGGAAGATTGGGAACCTGATTTGTGGAGAGAACACCAATCCACTGGCGAGATACGCTTTGATGGCGCAGGGCGAGCAGATACACATATCCTCGTGGCCTCCTGTCTGGCCTACCCAACACTCGACTACCCAGGGGCAGGAGCCTACCCCACAGAAACAAGGAGCCAACTATGATAATGTGGCGGCGAACAGAATCAGATCAGCCGCGCATTGTTTCGAGGCCAAGTGCTTCGGGATCTCTTGCGCGGCATATCTCGACTCTCAGACCGTGGACACCGTGTCTCAGGGAGCCAAGAATGCAGATCTTGTCAGGCGAAGTCTCGAGACAGCACAACGAGCTGTGACAATGTTTCTAGATCCCACTGGGACGTTGTTGCCTGGTTTCACGGTGAAGAATGACGCGGAGGCACCGGTGGACTACTTGCAGACCGAAGAAGGTATACTGTACGCAGACATCAATCTTGATGACTGCATCGAAGGCAAGCAGTACCATGATGTTGTTGGTGGTTACCAACGTTTAGATGTGTTCGAGTTGAGAGTCAATCGTACAAGGAAGAGTCCGGCTATATTCAGCGACGACAGCCTCGCTTCAGGAAAGTAGGTGCCATCCCATATGGTGGGGATTTGGCCAAAAGACGGATTTTACTCCATGAAGACGGCGCAGATTCCAAACAAGTGGTCCTGCACGAGAGTGTGAAAACGAAGCCGTGACGTTGCAACCCCGAATGGTTGACACGGTGTGTGAATGCTGAGGAGTTGACAATACCTGACTTCCATGAATTCGAACTGCCTCACCCATCAGTCACCACTCACCAATCACCAGTCATGCAGACTGTTCACATCGTCCTCAGTGACAGCCATCTGGACAATGACACCGTATGTCCAAGCTCTGAAGATGATCTCAGACAATACTTACATCCTTTTCACCTCGGTACCATTCCAGATCACCCCATCTCTTACAGTCGTACTATAACCATCCAAAATGATGACACCATCCTGGATAGGCCGCGACCAACCCTTCAACATGGTCAACAAAATGAAACAGTCAGGAGTCGAACTCACCATCGCCCTCATCCCGCGCCGATGCTCCATCACCGACCCGGACGAAATGTGCGACAGGCCACAGCCCGTAGCAGTCCACATCGGCATCATCGTCCACGGCAAGAAACCAATCTACATGAACAAGATCAAGACACTCAACGAGACGACCAACACGGCGAATGGACCTCACTTTGCATTCATCGACTCAGAGACCGGAGAGACGTGGTTCGCATTCACTCTGGACGTGTGGAACGAGGGCGATCTCGATGCGAGGAAGGCGTTGGCTGTGATCACCGGGGAAGATCTGTGCGATGCGCGTATCCGGCTCCTCGAGCCCAAGACGGGTGTGGTCTACAGACATGTGGTCGATCTCACGGTGCTGCCGAAGTACGAGGAGAAATGGAAGGGCAGGAGGCTTAGGCTTGAAGTTCGGCAGGATGCGCGATTTGGTGGAAACGTGCCGACAGATCTGAAGAGACATGGCGAGACGTTGCCGGTGCCGATCGTTGGGGTGCCGTTGTTCGTGTCGTCGTGGCGCAACGAGATTCCTGTTCTGTGAGAGTACGGCCGGGTATGAAGTGGTGGGGAGTTGACGGTGTGGAAAGAGGAGAAGAAGAAGTCGTGGATGATATGATCAATATGGACTAGATTGAGAGTGAGGCTACGAAAACAGGCAAGGAAAGCAATACCAAGTGATGCACACAGCAGACTGCAAAGCCCCTGAGTGCCATCTCATGGGTCACTAGCGTGCGCATCGTCAAGGCCCGGACAGTGCTCAGACGTTATGTTCGAAATACGATCATATGGTGATTCGATAGTCCAAATGACATCGAAGCTTGGGTTATATGAGTCAATCAGCAAGTTCATCGAGAATGGTGGCTTACCGATCTTCTGGATAGACGGGTGCATCTTGGACGCCAATAGCCTGGGCAATACCTTGAAGTCTGTGGTGCTCCCAGCATATCAGGATATTTCCCGGGCCTTGGAAGGCTTGAGCAGCTTGTGCGACACCTGCAGCATCATCTCGGTGGACTTTGTGGGAAAATTCCACGTTCGGCTTGAGAGAGTCTGCGAGTGGTTTGATGGTCAAGTAAGGGCGATCTTCTTTGCCGTCTGGGCCCGTACAGTCAGTCACTTCTGCGAGTGTGTTGGAACTCATTCATCATACCATCCTTGGGACGTTGAGCAATGATGTACCCAAGGATGTAAGGGCTGCTGCTTCCAAAGACCTGGACAAGGGCTTGGGAACGTTGAACACCCTGCGTCGAAAGACCATCCGGGTCTTGTCCATTGGGTAGTTTTGGTGGCTTTTCACCGTGTCGAATGAGATAGATGATGGGGCTTTGAGGCGCTTGGGATCCCTGTGAATGTGGTTTAGATTGATATCCTCCGACAATTTTCGAAACATACCATAGTAACGGAGTATTGAGAGTAGTGCAGACGTCTTGGTAGAACTTGCAACCGAGTTGGAAATGGAGCACACGACACTGAAAGTGAGATCTCTCGTCCACGACTTATATATATGAGCGGGTCCACGGTCCTCTTGTCCAGACAGAAAAATGTGGCGGAAACACGCCGAGCTGAGAGGAACCCTGGTCAAAACTCGTATGCAGCTGATGTGCAGACATTTCAGACGCCTTTGTCCACGAAGGTGCCGCAGCATAAAGGGCCACAACCGAGGGCTGAATCGAGCTTGCCTGTGCAACCATTGCGATTATCACGCCCTACTGCCTGATCAGTCATCTGAGCGCAAATTCATGCGGTACGCCTGATAGCAGCTGAACGACATGCACCAGGCTTCCACAAAGTGCTTTGTCCGAGGTATGCTTTGGACGTCATTTGAGAGGAGATGGAGACTTTCCACTCAGTATGGAGCAACAATAATGGTCTTATGAGTTGGGTTGCACTGGTCAACTAGTGTCTTGCTCTGGCCGTGCTACAGTAGCAAAGCTGTGATCGTGCGAAAGCCCGAAACGCCGCAACGGTTGAACGGCGGCATTGTAGCATCTCAAGCCTGCTTGATGTAGTGCCGGTCGGTCTGAAGCTGTGCAGCTTCACAGACTCCTTCTCAACTGGATTTCTTACAGAAGAAGATGAGGTCTTCGACTTGGAGCTTTTGCGTGTTCGCGCCCTTCTTCCCGATACCGACAAGGCTGGGGGAGTGTCAGGGCAACTTGGTGGGGGGTCAAAGAAAAGGACAACCCCTCACGGTCGGCGATTGAGCCTGCCACGTTCAAAATCCAGATGCCGAACGTAGAGAAACACTTTGGAGAAGATGCCAATATCTCTTCGCCGTATATTACTGCTTTCACACGTTATCGCTGCTGTCAGGGCTCTGTCCACCTTTCGTCCTAAAGCACGACAAGTGCCTTATTGAGGTTCTTCAGATCTTCGTGCCAGAGTACTGGAAATTTCAGAATCGAACTTGTTGACCCATCATGGCGAGTCTCGCAAAGCTCTTCTCGTTGGAGGGCAAAACAGCCGTAGTAACAGGTGATGACACCGAGATGTCTGTGTTCTTGAAAGTCACTGACAGGGTCGCCAGGAGGAACGAGAGGCATTGGTGCGGCCATGGCCGTGGCTCTGGCTGAAGCTGGTGCAGATATCATCCTCGTCCAGGTGAGAGGAAAACGATATGTATGTAGGGTACATATAAGACTAACCTCGATAAAACAGAGAGATGAAAGCGACAAGAAGACGTATAATCAAATCCTGGACCTTGGGAGAAAAGCGACCATAGTCACAGCAGATCTCTCGGACCCATCATCTGTGGCCAAGGTCATTCCAGACCTGGCGAAAGCTGGACATGATATGCACATTCTGCTGACAAGTGCCGGTATCCAAAAGAGGCATCCTTCCCATGAGTTCCCTCTCGAAGACTGGAACTCGGTATTACAGGTCAACCTTACAACGGTGTTCACGTTATGTCGCGATTTCGGCGCATATCTCTTGTCTAAGCCAGAGCCAACATCACGATCCAGAGGCAGTATCATCAATATTGCTTCTCTTCTTACATTCCAAGGTGGAGTCACTGTGCCTGCATATGCAGCCTCGAAAGGTGGAGTGGGACAGTTGACGAAAGCACTCAGCAATGAATGGGCGAGTAAAGGTATTCAGGTCAATGCTATTGCGCCGGGATATATCGACACCGACATGAACGAGGCTCTGATCGCGAACGAGACGAGGGCGAGGCAGATATTGGAAAGGATACCGGCAGGACGATGGGGAAAGCCTGAGGATTTCAAAGGTGCCGTCGTGTTTCTGGCTAGCAACGCAAGCACATACGTAAGTGGTGAGGTTTTGACGGTCGACGGAGGTTGGATGGGTCGGTAAAGGGCGTTATTCGCACTCATTCAGCGGCAACATGTTACCAGTACGTTGAGCTGGAGTTTGTGCTCGCAGCGTCTGGACTTGAGTGAAGGAAAAAGTTGACGACAATATTTAAGTGAGTATTGCATTGCATTCAAAGGATGGAATCAAAAGACGTTCTGGGGTGGGAAATCTGCGTCATTTGAATCAACGTCACTCTTGCTCCAGAACCTCCAGATCCTCCTAGGACCTTTTCACAGGAGGGTCTACACTGCTCTTCCGGTCAGGGGGCAAGGGTATATCAATAACAAAAAGATGCAAGTCCTCAGTTTCATGATCATTTCGACAACATGGTACCCAACAATGATTTGTGCGCAAGATGCCGGACACATGCCAACGTCGATGTTGAAAGAGCTCCGGAAGCCCAGACTGCTCCTAGCACGGTCCCTTTTGACCAGAACAGAAAAAGGATAAGAGGACGCCTTGGAAGGTAAGCTACAGCAACGATTGAGAGATGGATCGCGGCAAAAGCTGGGGTGATGACCTCGAGACCCATACCCGCTTGGAAACGATTCTCAGGATGGTTGGAGTTACTGAGGCCTCCGTTTGCAGGCCTCAGTTTGCTCATGCATCTCAGCAGCCATTTGTGACGCTGACGACGGTACGCTCTTGAAGACTTCCAATAAGGTGAATAAGTTGACCGCCTCGTTCGGCTGATCCTCGGTTTCTGTTTCTGCCAGTCTTGTTATTCATGCAGGCGCGCATGTTGCATGGTGTTATTGAGTGTTATTCATGCATGTGTACAGACAGGAGATGTCTGCTATGTGGACACTGCTCATAAGTCGTCCACTATTCCTTGGGCCACAAAGAGCCCCCTCCGTCTTCCTTGTCCACATCATCGAACAAAGAGCTACTGATCAGAGAAACAGTGCTTTGTGCCATCGTGTTGTCAACAAGCCTACCCGGCACAAAGGCTCCGTTTGTGCATCACCGTTGTTCAGAGACAAAGGGAGATCAAGACTTCTGCCTTGGTCCACCAAAAGCTCCATTTGAAGACTAATGCAAGCACGCGCCCGGTTCCAGTCGTCCGCCATACTGATCGATCGAAGTCATCCGTCGAGATCGTCGAGACCAACACCATGGAATCTTCTAGCAAGGTTGTGCTGGACACAATCTCTCAAACACCACCAAACATCGTCTCCCTGATTCACCACGAGTCTGTGAGGGATTTGACAAAAGTCGGGCTGCCAACGTCCAATTTCACTCTTGAAGCGACTGGGAATGCTACATATCAGAATTCTAGCATTTCGAACATTGTGAATCCGCCGGTCACGCCTCCTTTCTACACTGGTCTGCACGGTGTGAACCTGATACTGGACAATCAGCTGGTGACAGTCCTCTGGGTATCGATATGCGTTGCAGCCAGCGTTGTGTTGCTTATGCGACTTGTACAGCGACTTGTGGCATACATCCGGAAGATCTTCTGCATGGCCACGAAACCTGCACAGCAGAGGTACTACGCCATAAATCACTCGATGATCTGGGCATGGTCAAAGAAGCAAGTCATCTATGCTCCACTTCTCAGAAAAAGACACAACCGGGAACTCCAATTGTCAAGCGCTACCAACTATGGCACACTGCCAGGTCGAATCCACTTCCTGCTACTTGTTCTCTACGGGCTCTCCAACATGGTGTATTGCTTGCTCCTGGACTGGAAGACTGTCGAAAAGGGCGCCTTATTCGCGGAACTGCGTGGTCGAAGTGGCATTCTGGCAACGGTCAACCTCATTCCTCTGGTGGTGTTTGCTTCGAGAAACAACCTCGCCATTCCGATCCTCCGGGTCAGCTTCGACACCTTCAATCTGTTTCACCGGTGGATTGGGAGGATCGTTGTGGCTGAAGCCATAGTTCATGTTCTCGCATGGATGGCAGCTTATATTCAGGCCAAAGGGAAGGATGCCACTCCGGCGGTCTTCAACAACAACCCCTTTCTCCAGTATGGTCTGGCAGGATTGATTGCGATGCTAATAATGGCCTTCCATTCCTTGTCACCTCTCCGGCACGCCTTTTACGAGACCTTCTTGCACATCCACCAAGCTTGCGCATTTCTCGCTCTGCTTGGAATCTACGTCCATCTGGAGATGGCCAGCCTACCTGCATTCCCTGCAATACGAGCTGCGGTGATATTGTTCATTTTCGAACGCCTCGGCCGCTTGGGCAGGCTGATCTATCTCAACTTTTCTTGGAAAGGGGGCATCACCACGGTATTCGTCGAGGCATTACCCGGGGACGCCTCCCGGGTCACATTTCAGCTGCCGCGACACGTCAAAATCCGACCTGGAAGTCACGTCTATGTCTACCTTCCAACGGTGTCACTGTGGATGTCACATCCATTCTCGGTAGCCTGGACGAACATCGAGTCAGAACCCTGCACTACTCGGATGGCATGGGAAGTCCCCAAGACACCCAACTCACTCGAAAGACAGGCAGTGCCTTCCAGGCTTTCCCAAGCACCAACGAGTGTTTCTCTTGTCATGGTCGCAAGGACTGGAATGACACGGCAGCTCTATCAGGCGGCACGACAACAGGTTGGTGGGAAGCTGCATCTAAGAGGGTTTCTGGAAGGACCTTACGCTGGCCACGACTCACTCACCAGCTACGGAACCGTCGTCATGTTTGCTGGAGGCGGAGGCATCACGCATCACCTTGTCCAGATTCGGCACCTACTGGCGGGTGCCCAAATGCAAACCGTGGCGACACGCAAGATTGTTCTCATCTGGTCGATCCGTGACACTGTGGCCATGGAGTGGGTCAAGCCATGGATGACAGAGATTTTGCACATGGAGGGTCGACGGGAGATTTTAAAGATTGTCGTCTATGCCAGTAGACCCAGCCAACCGATCAATGTGAGCAAGAGCAAGCCAACCATGCAGATCGTGGAAGGCAGGCTTGATCCGGGATCTGTCCTTGATGAGGTGATTCCTACCAGAATTGGGGCTATGATGGTCAGTGTCTGTGGGCCTGGAGCACTGGCGGATGAAGTTCGAGCAGCAGTGCGTAGTAGAATACACCTCGCAAACGTGGACATGAACGAGGAGAGCTTTACCTGGTAGAGGATTGTGGCAGCGAAAAATGCTCTGCACGGACAGAAGCCAACGTAGCTAGAAATCATCATAGAGAATGAATAGTGTCTATCCATAAACTCAGCAGCGTAATAACGGGCGGCGATGACGAATCTCGAAGTCTTGAAAAATAGTGTACACGTCGACGCATCCATCTCCCACGTGGTCAGACTCTGCACAGCCCCTCTTCGTAGAACGGATCACGCGCAATGCTAGAAGGAGACTGTGCGACAAAAGCTTCGGACGTGGCGGAGGACGAAGACTCGAAGGGTTCATGGCGCGCACTCGGCGGCGGCAAACAGGCGAGCCGAATGGGTTACACAGGTACGCACAAGGGTAACATGTGGAAGACAGAGAAGAATAGATTCGACAGCCAAGCGAAAGAATGCGCGGCTGACCAACGCCGAGTATCTTCCCTATGGTTGCTACCTAGAGGCTTAATGGATTAATTGACGCGGCATTTCTCAACTGTGCCATCCAAGACAAGGAGAAGCTGAAGAAGCATATGATAAAGACCCTTGCATCTACTTGCTCCAATTTCTGCAAGTGTTTCGCAATTCCCATCTCGCATCTTTGGTTCTTTGGCGGGTAAAGCGATCCCTGACCGTTCACTGCCGCTGGGGCCTTGAGATCTGAAACCCTGGTCTGGAGTCGCCAGGAAGATCACTGGATCAGTCCCTGCGCCGCCTACAGCCGATCCCCTGCGTGTTCCCACAGTTTCCTTTATCCACCAGATCGGATAGCCATACTGTAACCTAGTCTGGCCATAGCCCACCTTACCTGGGCGTGCCTAGACGACTGTTTATCAAGCTTCAAGTTCAGCTCGACGGGATCCTTCCCTCCAACGATCCTATTGAGACTACTCACACCCTCCCCTCAAGGCGAACACGCAACATAAGTCCATCAAGATGAAAAAGTTCCTGGGCAACATCAAGAAAAAGAGTGGGAGTAAGCAAACACCAACATGACCGGCCACCCTGGACAACGCTGACCCTGAACCATAGGTCCAGAGCGCAATGGAAGTTCCCCGGTTTCTCTACCTCATGGTGATGCGCCAGAGGCGGTGGTTGTTCGTGAAGTGGTAGGATTGCCCAGAAGCAGCTGTATGAACCAAGTCCACTGACTATCGCCAGACGGCATTTTGCGAATCAAGCGCACCCAACTCAGCAACCGCCGGCGAAGAGTACCTCCACCTGCCAGCCATTGTCGACGCTGCAGAGTCCAGTCCTACCGCGGCGAAAGAGGCAGCTGCCACAATCCGTCGTTATCTATCAAGAGAACACAACAATCGAGGCTATGCACAGTACAACGCCGTCATGCTAAGTCGCATCCTGACCGACAACCCTGGCCATGTCTTCACACAGAACTTCGACGTCAAGTTCGTAACGACTGTCAAAGAACTCCTGCGCGAGGGAAAAGATACCAGTGTACAGCAGATTCTCAGAGAAACGTTGGACTACTTTGAGTTCCAGAAGGCACCTGGCGACGACGGCTTGGGACCGTTGATAGAAATGTGGAGGAAAGAGAAAGGAAAGCGCAACAACGTTCGCAGTTCGGTAGGTTGGGGCTCTTTGGAGGCGGTTGGCTCGGATCATCATGCTGATTACCAACAGCAATACCGAGTTCCTCCTCCTCCATCCGGACAGTACACTCAGTCGTCAGGCCGAAGACGCGATGCCCTGCCACCCCCAGACGAGCTTGTTTCCAGAATTGAAGAGGCGAAGACGACTGCGCGACTTTTGGTGCAGACCGTGCAGTCCACACCCAGCGCAGAGTTGTTGTCTACCGACTTGGTGCAAGAGTTTGCGGAAAGAGCAAGATCCGCTCAGAGAAGCATTCAAGGTTACTTGAATTGCCAACATCCTGCACCGGATCCAGACACTACGCTCACCCTGATCGAGACAAACGACCTGCTAAACATTGCCATGTCGAAACACCAAAGAGCGGTTCTTCAAGCCCGCAAGTCTAATGGACTGGCGACGCCGAGTCCTCAGCCAGAGCAGGAACCAGCGCAAAACCCCCTCTCGATGCCGCAACACAATCTAGGTCAAAATGTCTACAGTGATAGCTCTTTGACTGACCAGAGACCCTATGCGACGTCTCCCCCTCGTCGGCAAAATCCTGTCCCTAGTCCACCCATCAGCCCTCAAAAACAGGATACTCACGAGCAATTTGCACCGCCACCTGGACCTCCTCCGGCGTCCCGACGACCTACGGGAGCGCAGACGACCGGCTTCGACTACGATCATGCAGATTCGGCGTCTGAACAACGACCTCCAGTGCCAGACCGGGCCCGCCCACCTACAGATTCGTACGTTTCGACATCCGCGTATGGTGTATCCGAAAACCCGTTTGCGGATGATGCATATGGAGAGGGGCCAAACACGTCAAAGACGTCAAACGGCTTGATCGACTTCAGTGAAGATACACCGTCCGCCCCATCTCAGCAGTCAGTGGGCAACCAGCATATTAGTGAACTCGCCGGAGACCAGCAAAGACCGGGACCGTACAGTTCCGAGTACAAGCCAACTCCGAGCTACATGCATAGACAGGACTCTTCCGTGGCGAATTTGACCATGCACGGCGGAAGTCCACCAGCTGGGTTGAATGGACAGGGGCAGAATGGTCCCCACGAGACCGGGCCTGTAAGCCCGGTCTATGAAGCCGAAGGAGTCGGTCGACGAATGAATGATTTGCGTATTTAGTAGAGTAGTGCGTGAGCGAGAGTCAGCGATGAATATGACTGTTTGGATCTCATTGAAAATCAGATACCCTCACGTAGTCGGTGTAATAGAATGATGACCTGTTGCAGATGCCACTGTACCTACGTATGAGATTATGCTGGACCGCCGCTTGAATATCAGAATGAGGCATCATATCCGCATTTCGCACGTGGGTTGCGATGATGTGATGCCCGTCAGTGACAATCCAGGATGGGAAAGAGCGACAACAAGTCGGTGAGATACCTTTGATCATCCCTTCAGTGAAAATATTCTTACTTTTACATTTACTCATCCCCTGGTGCTAATGATAGCTCGGACAGAAACCTGCACTTGGTGTAGGCTATGAGAAGTCCATCATGACCTCCATTGTACCCGCCCCACCTTACACGCAGGACGAGCTCAAGAAGCTCTATCCCCAAGGACTCGAGCTTCGTCTTGTGCAGGTCCTGCTGCGGCATGGTGAACGAGCTCCCGTCTCTGCTCGCTTCCAGAATGTAAGTGTCCCTACCGTCGCGAGTATCTAGGACAACGGGCTCATTGTTCACCTTCTAGGCTGGCCTCCCCGCGTATTGGCCGTACTGCAATGCTGCACAACGCCTGCGATCTGTGGTCATGACCACAAACGACGTATCGAAGTGGGATAATCTACAATGGAGAAGAAGACTCGAAACATTCGGTGAGGATGATGGGCCTATCATCGCTGCTGGTCCAGCCGGCGAAGTCGACGGAATCTGGTATGCAAGTATGCAGCCGAGATGGAATACAAGTACTAAACGCTCAACAGCCAGCTGGGTGAACTCACAGATAAAGGTCGCGACACTACTTACGAGTTGGGACGACGGCTGCGGCATCTCTACGTGGACCAGCTGAAGTTCATGCCCAAGCTCGTCGCCAACGCCGATCTGATCTACCTTCGCGCAACCCCTCTGCCTCGAGCTCTCGAGTCCGTACAACAAGCCTTCTGGGGCATGTACCCCTTGACAGCACGTACAGCCGCCTTTCCCACCCCGACCATCGTCACGAGAACCCCCGCCGACGAGACCCTCTTTCCCAATGACGGTAACTGTCGACGCTTCGCCCAGTTGTCCCGCGCATTCGCGCAACGTACAGCAGAAAGATGGAATGATACCGATGAGATGAAATATCTGACGAAGTTGATTGGAAAATGGATGCCCGAGACCTCGAAGAATGTCGCGGTTGACTCACATCCTCGCTTGTCCGGCATCATGGACACGATCAATTCAACCCTGGCGCATGGTCCCGAGACGCGGCTGCCTAAAGAGTTTTACGACGAGAAGGGACGTGCTATCATTGACCGTATTGGCGTGGAAGAGTGGTTTTCGGGATACAATGAGAATCGAGAATATCGCATGCTCGGGATCGGAGGTTTGATGGGCGACGTGGTAGAACGCATGACTTCCAAGATCGAAGGCGCCGGTCTCAGTATCAATGAGATCGGTGGTGAGAACGGTCGTCTGGGTAAAGGTCGTGGAGGTGAGATGGGAATTCGTTTCGCCATGTCTGGATGCCACGACACCACACTCGCAGGAGTCATGACCAGCCTGGGTGCATTCCACGGTGAAAAGTGGCCGCCCTACACCAGTCACGTCGCGTTTGAACTGTTCAGGAAGAAGAGCGGCGACGAGAAGGCGGGACCTGCAGATGCAGACTTCCTCACACCCACGACGCCTGCATCGACGGAGCCGAATGCACACAAGGATGCAACAGCGAAGCCGGGCTTCTTCGCGTCATTTTTGGGCCTGCGCTCCCCACAGCCCGAACCTCTTTCGACGCCAGGACTGTCGCCACATTCGTCTATAGAACCCTCTACGCCGCCGAAAGATCTCATCGCTAGGTCTGCATGGTCAACTCTGTCAGAATCCCAGAAAGAGCGAGTGGATGGGTACTATGTGCGTGTGCGATTCAATGACAAGCTCATGAAGATCCCGGCCTGTGCCAAACCTGGAAACAACTACGAGGGTGATGAGACGATGTGTACGTTCGAGGCATTCAAGCGTGTAGTTGATGGCTATACGCCGAAGAACTGGAAGGTGCAGTGCGGGCAGAACCTCGATGGGCCTGTTGCTGGTTTGGTTTCACCAGCGCAATGGGCTGGACAGATTGAAGAGGAGAAAAGCAACAAAGCAACAAACCCGCCCGTGCGTTTGTGATCCATGAACAGTGTCCGCTGGAATGAGATACGCATGAAGGACTGAGCAGACATATCTTACCAGGTTGAGCGCCAAAAGACCGGAGTCTGGTGGCTTGGAAAGAAGGCATGGCCACGAGCCAAACAAAGGCCTGGGCGTGGGTCGATACTAGAAAGGGGCATGAAGAAGCTCTTCATGTGCCTTTGTTCTATCAAACGATGAATGATGAAGGCATTCGAGAAGAAAAGAATAGCAGTGTGTCCCACAGTTTTGACGAACTGATTGAGACGTCGCTGCGAGATCATACGTCTATGAATATGGGGTTGAGCCATTCCACGTTTGACTCTTTGTTACTCGGACGGATCATTGAACGGTGGCTTACGCTACGGCAAGACTGTCTAGCTTAGCTATTCGCAGGAAGCTTAGTTCATCTCTCAGTAGGTGCTGTCCGTCCTGAAATCGCAGTCTTGTCCTGTAGTCTCGTGGTCCGGTCACCATCCCCTCATCGTTATCCTTTTCACGCTTAGATGATGTACACGGCACATTCCTCAGGTCCAATGCCCCCTTGCATGAGGTGCAGATCTTGATGGGATTGAGGGGTTTGTCCATGAAAACGTATTGAGGGTGTACAGTGCTTTTGAACCGTGGATGAGCATCAGGTGTGGAGATCTAACTTGTCATGACATTTGAATTATTCATTATCTGCGTACACTGCCGGTGTGTATCTCGTAGTCTTCACGTTCACCTAGGTCTTATCTCCCAAGGTACCTTGTGTGTCGACTGTGGTCCACCGTTCATCGTCTTCATCACTTCTGCTTCGTCTAGTAGGTGAACATCTACCAGCGTCCCCACCTCGCCTGCGCAAAGAGTGGATCTTCCTTGTCCCTTCGCGGATTGGGGTCGACGGCGAACCTCGTCTTTTTCAGTCCTTGGGTCTGGTCACGTCCAGAACCAGGGCGAGGATGCTTACGACTCGGCGTGTCGATGTCACTTGTCATCTCACCCAGTGTCGGTGTCGCGTCTGTAAGCGGCTCTTGTTCTCCCTCTCCCGCGAGTTTTCTGTCGCCGGGAGTGTGGCTGTGATCGGAATCGGTGTCAGGATTGATTAAACTTTTAAACAGGATCCTTCCCTCCGAGGCCTGCAGGTATCCTACCTCAAAGGCCGTGCTGGATGTGATCAGCATGGGACATCGACGCTGTGTGTCGTCCTCGCGAACGCACTCGGGAAGCCAGGATACCGAGTAATTTGTGCTGGTTGTGTCGATGGGGAGGAGGCCCGTTATCGGCCCGAGACGTTCTTGGTACCAGGCGTACAACAGGGGTTGTCTGCGCGCTGTGAGGATGATGAGGACATTGGACAATGTCGGATGCCAGTGAATTTGTCTTATGAGATGTGTGAAGATGAGGGCTGTGTGTGGGTGTGGACGTGGATTGCTACCAAAGGTGGTGTGGTCTTGTGGTTTCCAGAGAAGCAAGGTTCGAGGGGCGGAGCGGATGCGCGTGGCGACGAACGTGTGGTCTGAACTGAGCGATACCATATCTATTTGCGTTGACTCTGGCGTCTGCTTGTCGGGTTCAGTGGGATCGAACATGCCTGACAGTCGGGTGAAGATTGGGGTTGGATCTGTTGGGGACGTCATCTCTTGCCATACAAAGGTATCTGACCCGTCGATTGTCTCCGGGTGGGTGAAAGCTGTGATAAGTTGTGTGGATATGCTCTTTGCGGATTGGTATCGAATCAGGACTTGATTCTGGCCGTTGGCTGCGATCTGAATTGACCGATCACCGTCACGGCGCCATTGCCAGTGCATATGGCCAGGACCTTCGGTATCGACAGCCAGGGGGTGACCAACACGAGGAAGATGTGTTGTGAATGTGCTTGCAGAGATGTCCAGCTGTTTCAGAGGGTGGCCTTGTGCGGTGAAGAAGGAGACTCTCACACCGTACGATGGCGAGTCGCAAACCGCAATGACGGGATCACCTGACGGACACCATGTTATGCTCTGAGCGTCTGAGGTACTGCTGTCGAATGATCGGTATATTATGTTGTTTTCTTTTCCCAGTTCGAAGACTGTTATTTTGTCGTGGCCTTCCTCCCGTCTGAGAAGAGCGATCTGCCCGTTATGAGGTGCGACTGCGAGGCTTCTGGAATCAGGAAATTTGACATGAGGTATATCTTCTCGTTGTGGCTTTGTGAGGCTGAGTATTGCGGCGGTGCCACCGTATTCAAACATGACCAGTGCCCGGCGATGGTTGAAGGCGAACTCCGCACGGATGACCTTGCCTAGATGTCCTCCCAACTCATAGTCGGCTAGGATATTCGATGGTTTGGAATCCTCGTTGTCATTCCTTGTCGGCATCATCTTTGGACTCTTGAGGTCCGTGCTCAACGCTATCAGGCGATGCCCATTCGATAGGAGCAGCCATCTCGTTCCAACATCGCACTCCGATGTCGTGTTTGAGAGTATCTCGTCGGCGTCTGTTGTGATCCCGATAGTCTCCGGTGACCAGCGGAGAATATGACATCCTTGCAAGAATGCCCGTGTTGGTTTGGGTGTTTTGATCGCCGTAATGAATCTCCGACTGTGAACTGCTTCGACCAGGTTGATCAGGTGGACCTTCTGGTCTGGTGCTACGAGTGCGAGCAAGGTGCCATCTGGGGACAGCACGGGCCTCTGGAGAGCTTTGCCATTACTGGGAGGTAGCATGATGTCTGCCGTTCAAACAAGGAGCGACGTGGGAACAGGCACAATGTGGGTTGTTGTTTTGCTGAGGTCTAGAAAGGAAGCACAACACTCACCCCTCCATGACTGTATCGTGATTGGCATGACGGCATCCTGATGCCCATTGGGATAGTAAATCCTTGTTGGTGATTGCCTGTTTTCAGTAGTCACGTCTGAACATGGGGTTCATCCTTTGTCCATCGCGGTTTCCTCTTTACAATGGAAAGGGCGCGTTACTGGAACTTGAGACGCGTTGTGGAAAACGCGATATCACGTGCACTCTTGGCAGAGATCTGGCCAATCACTCCAGTTCTCTGTACAATACTACAATCCCCTCCTCCAGAGTCGTGCGCAGGATTCATCCTGCGATCTCTTTGTCAATCATGAATGAGATCATTCCAATACATTCTTTCTGTTCAATGGTTGCTGCCGCTCGTACGGACGTACGTACGATGTGATTATATAAGGGTTTTGTACCAAGCTTTGAGATCGAAGATCGCTCCCCAGATTACTGATCAACCAGCAGTCGCGGTGAGACTGACTGCTACGGCTTACGGCAGTTTCCAAACGCTTAGATGAACTCGGAGCAACCTATCATCCCGGTGAGGTAGTCAGTCGCCTTGGTCCCCGAGGTATTATGACTCAGCTAGCAGGCGCTTCGATGATGTGTCACAGGCCGATGCCTCGCATGCCAACAGCAGCCTGTTACTCAACGTACGTGAGCTCAACGGCACCAAGTAGATCGACATGAAGATCGGCAATCGTGGAGAGTCTCTGTTTTAAACGTTGTTTGAGTACGACGGGATATTACTGATCCTCAAAGGAGCGCGTTTTACACTGATGTCGAAGCCCGACATGCCTGCTGGCAGAAGGGTATAAATCCAGCACCAAGGCCGTCTCGTCAGGCCTTCTTTTGGATCAGTATATCACTCGAATCCTGAAGCTACTTGATCTATCAACGGTCCGCAAGAATTCCGTGCTCAAAAATGGAAACCATTGTTATTGTCGGCGGCACAGGCGCGCAAGGAGGCGCAGTCGTCCGGTATCTCTCTGCCACGAACAAGTTCAACGTACTCGTATTGACACGCAGTACCACCTCTCCACCAGCCAAGGAGACTGCTGCCCTCCCTAACACCGAATTGATTGTCAGCAATGCGTCCTTCGGCTATGACCTGGAAGTTTTCTACAAGGCAGCACAGCAATCACAATATGCTTTCATCAACACCGATGGCTTCGCCGTTGGAGAGCAGGCCGAGACTTATTTTGGCATTCGGCTCTTCGAGCTTTCCCTCAAGGCCGGAGTGAAACACTTCATCTACAGCGGTCTTGACTACAATAGCAAGAAGTCCGGCTACGATCCAACACTCTACGTTGGTCATTATGAAGGCAAAGCTCGAGTTTCAGGTATGTAAGGCGAGCCCTCCTCCAGCGGCCTTTGTACTGAACCGTTCCAGAGTTCATGCGTGCTCAGCCTAGTAGTCCTATGGCTTGGACCGTGCTCAACAGTGGACCTTATATTGAGATGCTCCAAGAACTCCTGCTGCCAGAGATCGGAGACGATGATGTCGCACGCTTCAAACTACCAATCGGGCATGGAGCTGTTCCTTTCATTCACCTGGACGACTTCGCACGCTATGTGCCATGGATATTGGAACACCGAGAAGAGTCGAATGGGTTGATCTTGGGAATAGCCACGGCCCATGTTGCAGGTCCAGAACTTGCCAGGGCTTTCACAGCTGTCACAACTAGGCATGCCGAGTATATCGACGAGCCGAATGACAAGTGGGTTACAGCCAAGTTTGGGCACCTTCCAAACGGGGTCGACACAAAGGTTGGTGCGCTAAGTGTCAGGGATCCCAACTCTCTATTGATGACATATGGCGAGAACTTCTCAAACTGGTGGAACCTGTACAAAGCAAGTGCGGACAATAGAGGGCTCATTCAACGAGACTATGCGTTCTTGGATCGCATACTCCCAGACAGAGTCAAGAGTGTAGAGGACTGGATGAGAAAGGTGGATTATGATGGGACCCATCGCCCAGTTTTCAAGAGTGAGGGAAGGGTCAGGCAACCCCAATCTGGGCACTGATTCAGGGGTTCTTTGTGTCCATGCCAACATCAACCATGTCCTACCATCCACAACAGAGACGCATGACATTGTCCCAACTAAGGATCACGAGTTAGCAATCGATAACAGTTGTATGCTCTCGTTCTCATGTCTTGGCGATATCAGTGCAGCAGTGCAGCAGTCCGCTGGCTGATAATGGCAGTGTCCCGGACCTTCGCCTCCATTGATGCCGCCTTCAACACGTGTTCGGCCGCCAAGGCGTGGATTGAAGGTGACAGACTTTCGAACGAGTATCTATATATCAGTCGGAGGAAATGCATTCCCAAACCAGGACGTTCTAAATGCTAAGAGCTCTCTAGAAGTGTGAGTCGTTGTTCAGACAGTTGGAGAGATGAAGTTGCTGACGGAGAATAGATCAACATGGCGAACAACAATGGAACGACGTCGGCTCACGATCAAGAGACGCATTCTGCTGGCGATGTTCTCGCCCGGCTCTCCCGTCAAGCCATCATATCACCTGAAGAGACGGAATTCAAGGCAGGCTGGGACACTTGGATCAGCAGGTATCACAACATGGCAGAAGCGGCAGATGTTTTAATGAACATGAGTCGGCAATCAATGGACCGGTCAGACAGTACGATCACAGCAGAAAGCACAGTTTCTGTGCGTACACAGGAATCTCCTGAGTCAACATGGTTCCATGCTCTACTTCAAGAGCAGCCACTCAGGGATTTCATCCGTCTGGGCCTCAAAACCGCCAGCCTTGACCGAGCAGCCGAGCGGAAAATTGAGCTTGTCCTCCTTGTTATGACTGCAAGATCCTGCGTACAGGAAGCTTGCTGGTACCTTGACGAGAATGACTGGGACATCCAGCGGGCAATTTCTCAATACCAATCGGACGAAATGCAGCGAATAATCAATCCCAGTCAATTGTACCTTCAACTCAATCGACAAGCAACCAGCATCACCTCCCAGAACTTCAACGAGAGAATGTTGTTCATCGCAGTTCCAACAAGCCACAATGGCAAGTTCTTTCCTGGCCAATTCGACGTGAATAACTCTGAACATCTCCGAGCCCTGAACCAATGGCAGGCTGATATGACACGAATGCTCCGTGGACCACCAATAATACCGGACATCGTGCGAAAGGGGTACAGTCCAGTCGAGCAACGATTCATGCGAAACCGCTTCGCCAACGATATCACAGCATTTCAGAACGGCGGTCTAGCAAATTGGGTGGCAATCACGAAGGAGTTCAAAGATGTTTTCCAAGGTCGGTACGTTCCTGGCGAGACAAATCCGTGCCCAGAGCGCATGCGAGGAAGTATCACGAATTACATGATACGCCACTTCAGGCAGGGACAGACGGGGCAGGTTTTGGCCAATTACAACGCCGCTTTGCGCATTTTGGCTGTTCGAGAGCAAGAGCAAGGGGAATACGATGCAGTTCGAGCTCGCTCCATGCCGACTGCATCGATATTGGAATGGGATAGTTGGGATAGCAGCAGCGATGATGCAATGGACTGGGAGTAGTCTACGTGCCTGTACCCAATCTTGACCAAGTCTGATCTTGGGAGCCTATCGGGCTCAAATGAATACGCCTGCTCGATACATCCTAGGAGTCATTCATCCGCATAGTTGGGTAATTAGCCCTTTACATTCCGAGAACCTGTAAACTTCAACGGTGCAGGTATATCGCTTGCAACCCGAGGCGCCGCCAGGTTCACCGTCGAGGGTCCAGCTATGCCGCGTAGATGTGCTCGCTGTCTAACGGCTACCACCTATGCTATAGAACCTGCTGGTTCCTAGGGCCCAATGGGGTCAATTGTGGGAAGGCTACCGTTTCAGGGGCAACGCTGGCGCCAAGACAAACAAGGCACATTCCTCCAACACCAAGAACTTGTTTGGACAGAGTTTGTAGACTCCACGTAATGCCTCTAGGTGTTGCTGTTGGACAAGCATTGCAAACAAGTGCACAACCTACACATCATGATACAGAGGTTGAGTAGATGACCGCAGGCAGATGTAGCAAATACCAAACATTCGCTCTTGCCGGCGTCGTTGCGACCAATTCAAACCTGCAGAGATCAAGGAACACGGTGTTTGCTCGCAAAGAACAAATCACTCCAGTCAAGCTTTGCTTTCATCTCCCATGCTTGTACGTGCTTGTGTCAATGTTCGGTGCTTGCTCCAAGTGACACAATACGACAATAAGCCCTGGCAGGGTGTTTGCCAAAGATAGGGATGCGTCGCAAACTGCATGCTTGAGATCGCAGAAACGATCACGATCTGTCCTATAAAATGGCCACACCTTTTTCGTTCACATTTCAATCTCTCATGGAGCAATTTCCGCACTTGGAGTTCAATATAAGTATATATGAAGAGCATTTGCTGACTGGAATGTGTGGCGGCTGTTGCTACGCTGGACTTGCCACTGACGCAGAGCCTGGATGCTCATGCAACTGGCACTCCCGGTCCACTGGTACTTGGCTGGACCACCTGACTTACTACGTCCAACCTGGCCGCACTTCAGTGGGAGGATGTACGTACGGTGATGGCTCTTACCGATACCACTTTGACTCGTCCATGGTGCAAACCTGGGTCCTTTTGGTTATGGTTTTTTGTCTTGCTCCGTGTCGGTTTCTCTTGTTGCATGGCTTCGCCCTAACCTTGGTAGGTAAGTACGCTTCACATGTCACCTGCAGCATTCCAGCTAACGACGGTATTCACCGACCCAGGACCGCAGGCAGTGCGTGACAAAGGTGGACTAGCGTACGATGTTTTCCAGAAAGGAATGCGGTGCCTGCGGCGGCACTGTTTTCTTTTGTTCCACCACAAGGATTCTCGTCCATATCTGCAGACTCTCCACCGTCCAGCGACAACGTCCACCAGCAGCCATTGTCCCAGCACAGTCTGTCTTCTGTCAAGTTGAGCAAGATGGCCAAAGGCAACAAGCGACGAGCTCCGACCAGCCCTGAGGGTCAACCACCTGCAAGAAGACAGAGGGTTGGCACTGGTCAAGGAAACAACAATAACCAGGCTGTTGCACCTGGTAGAGCTTCCGCCACTGGACAGGGGCTCACGACAGATCTGTTAAACAATGGCAATCAGGCTGCCCAACCCAGAGCACCTCCTGCCCCAGCCCAACGTGCTTTGCGTGGACCACTGCCGGTCGACAGACGAGCAGCATATCCTCCAAGGCCGGCACCAACCCCAGTACCACGGACCGAAGCTGAGATAGAAGAGCGCATAACAGCGCTCAGGAATCAGCTTCGATACCCGCATGCAATTGCGAGATTGATGCTTGTGGGATTTCTGAGTGGTGCAGGTTGGGACGTCAACCGGGCTGCGGCAGTCTTCTGGGAGGGTCACAATCGATACAGTCATCGTAAGTATTCTTCTTTTTTCTGAAAAGCTTTGCCATTGAAGCACGAACCTTTCGCGGTGTCCCTGTTGTTACCGATGCAGTTTTACTGACGATTCGCAGTGAATCTTCCTCTCCTTGGGGCTCCAACCCAGAGCAATCAACCTGCTCCTCAAGCTCCCATCATCCACCGCGCTCAACGAAGTGGCGGCCAGGTACGCCGAGGGGATAGCGTTGAACAAGGAAGGCTCCGCCTCCTTGTTGATGTGCAAATGGGCCTGAGAAACAGCATCTTTGACAATCGGCCAAGGCTACGCACAACCAACGCCAACATGACCCTGCTGTGCCATGAGCAAATGTGGGACAATGACGAGATCACCAAGGTGGTGAACGGTCTCAACGGCGACTACAAAAAGCTGAGCGAGCGTCTTGACCGCCTGCGCCCCCAGACAGGTCACCAACCTTCCCGTGATGAAAGATTGGCTCTATTCATCTCCATCACCTCCACGAACAGTTGGTACTCGGCAAGAGCACTCCTTGAGAGCCGAAACTGGGATCTTGCCCTTGCCATTGACCAATGGATTCGGCAGGGCGGTATCCGAGTCGTTGACCCACCAACAAACATCAAGGAGGATCTGCAGCGCAAAGGGAAGAGGTCATGGAATGCCAACAAGCCTCGGGAGATCATCAACGGCGAGTTCGACGATGATGACAATGAGGAAGAACCTCTGGGGCCCCCTGACAAGAAAATCGAGGGAGGCGACTCTGGGCCTTTCAAGGGACGACCTTCCAGCAGCACCACAAACCGAGTGCAACGAACTGGCTTTGTGATCGATGACGACCAGAAGCAAGAGACCAGACCGCGTGCTCCAGACGCATCGAGACTGCGTATCGAATATATACGAAACGGTCGCTACGGCGTTGAACACTTTGACGGTGCCGACCCTAACGATGATCAACGGGGCGTGCGCTCGAGATTCAGCTGGAACGACGGTGATACCCAGCCGGAGTTCGACTGGAACAATCGTACACACACCTCGTTCCTCAGCAAGTGGAGATCCGATCGTCTCCTGAAGATCACCGGGGAAAAGAAGCGACTTGAGGTCCGGACACCCTTCAACAAGTACGAGCGGGACTGGCTTCGGGAGCAGGAGGCGATCAGGACAGAAGAGCGGTTCTACGAGCTTGCACAACAAGATCGCTTCCAGAGCGGCATCACCAATCAACAGGCCTGGAATGAGACACTGAGGAAAGCCCCCTTTGACGGACGTCCTTACCCAATGCCGGCGGCAGAGCTTGATGCCCTGGCAGCGCGCTTCAACCAGCAATTTGGGAACAGAACGATGTACACCAAGGTCCTGTGGGATGACAGGACTAAGAAATACGTCTACATCCCGAAGGACATGTCAGAGGTTGGGGAGGTGCCGCGTCCTCATCGCACGTCTTTGGTGATCGGCCAGGAGCGACGCCGGATCAGAGCGTACGCTAAGCATTTCCATCTGACATACGATGGTAATGTTCCTGGAGGTGGTTCACCGGACAGTGAGTCGGACTCGGACTGTTATGAGGACAGGAACGCCTGATGGTCTATGATGGGAAGGGAGGAGTCTGTCGTCTTTGATGGGTTGTTTGGTGGTCTTCAATGGTTGAGGGGGGCAAGGTATCTGGTCGTCAATGAGTTGCTTGTGGTCTGGACTTTGGGTGAGGTCAAGACAGTGTCAAGAGAGGATTGTTAGATGAAAGCATTATGGTGGCCGCCACTTGCAAACCATTCTGTTCTGGGTTGCTCCGGTCGTCTTGTTGTACCAAAATCTGTACCAAGGTTGCCTGCTGGGAGAAAGTCTGAAGTAGTGTTGGTAATGGCGCTTGCTTTCACAATGATAATGTTACTGGCTACTTTACATGACCCCCCGTTCTTGGAAATCATGATATACGTGTTGAAATGAGTAGAGCTTGGATCAGGCCTACCCCGATGTGATGGAAAGACCTGTCGCTAAAAAGGCTCAATACACCTTCATCATGAATGGTCTTTTTGCAACATAGGTACGAGCCGGCATCGGGGCATTGACATGCATTTGTTCGGTCACAGTCCGTGAGTGGCCCACAGTATGCAGATTCAGGATATATCGCGTATCCGAACATTTACGTTCGGCAAAACAAGGCAGCGGACCTATATTCTCCTAACGGTTGCCCACTTTGTAAGTCCGAATGGCACTTACTTGGTAAGGTCAAGGCGATCATTGTGTGTCCTCCTCGATTTACCTCCTTGTCGACGCTGTTCCGACGGAGGATCTATATCCCGCTGGTAACCTAGACTTGGTCGATGCTCGATAGTCTCCAGTTGTCGAGGATGAGACAGTCATAGTTTCTTCACTAATCAGTCTCATCTCGACGTAAGAATTCCCAGTTATAAACACCTACGAGTCCCCCCGTCCCTGTTCCCCTCTGTTTCTACTTCAGAACACTCACCAATCAGCCGCACACACTATCGTTCAAGACTTGCTTGTCTCCTCAACAGATTGAAGCACCCATTGAGCATCTCCTCGACAACAGCTCGCTTTTGTAATAAACATGGACATCTTGCCGCGCGGTTCCTTCAACGTCAATCCCGCGACAGGGGTGGACTTGGCCATCTCTGACCACGTATCTGACTTCCTCTGGGCTGTCACAGCCGTCTACACAGTCGCCTTTGTAAGTCTCTTTCGCGGCGATCTCGAAACCATAACTTCGTTGACGCTTCACGTTCAGTTTATCATTCTGGTCCCCTCTTTCACCGCTCCCGAAAGCAAGAGAGTTTTCAACTACACTCTGTCCATGGCCCTTCTGGTCGGCGCAGTGACATACTTTGCCCAAGCATCCGACCTGGGTTGGGATGCCGTCGAGCAGTCCAATGGTCTCACCAGCCAGGTCTTCTACGCAAGATACATCAACTGGGTCGTCTCGTTCCCTGCACTGGTCTTGTCCCTCGGTCTCTTGTCGGGCATCTCATGGACCACCATCATTCTGAACATTGTTTGCTCGTGGTTCTGGATCATCAACTACCTGATTGCCGCTTATACCACCACCAGCTACAAGTGGGGCTTCTTCGCTTTCGGCACCTTTGCCTGTGTCATCCTGGCCATGAGCACCATCAACGAGAGTCGCGAATCGGCTGAAAATATCGGTATCAGTCGCGACTATCTCATTCTGGCTGGTTGGGTGACTTTGATATGGACGTTATACCCCGTTGCCTTTGGTCTGAGTGATGGTAGTCATGTCATTGACGTCAATGGCGGCTTCATCTTCTTCGGGGTCCTCGACGTGCTCCTCCTACCAGTGGCATCGATTGGGTTCTTGCTTCTGTCAAGCCACTGGGATTTTGCCGCACTGCAATTGGACTTCAGCGAGTATCGCGGCGTGCGCCATAGCAGGATTCCGTTGGAGAAGGGCGGTTCTTCTGATGGGTCAGATCGTCCAGGACCAGCCGAGGTGTGAGGCGCAGATCTGCAAAGTGTCTGACCAGAGCTTCGTATCAGCCTTCTTAGCGTTTCCGAGAGACTTGCATTCTGGTCAATTGACACCTCAGTTTTTGAAGGAGGATTGCTGCGGTATCACTTGGCAAATTCGTGTTTGAACAATTCTTTTCTTGTAAGGAGGAGTTTGCACAGCATCATAGACATTTAGACAGGAAGGGAGTTTTACACAAGTCCGGTAATTTGAAAAGACATAGATAGAACACCAATCTACACAGTACTGTATGAAAATCGTTGATCGTTGTACTTCACCAGCTAGAGCCTGATCGTCCTAATTGTTAGCAGTGCCCAAGGGGGTCGTGTAGGAGGCATCTCACGCGCTACCCATTCCAGTGCGATGATCCGACCTCATGCATGTGATGTGAAAGACCGGCTGTCACGCAGGGTAGACGGTGAGCAGTGGGACAGCGAAATTGCGGGGGATACCAAGCACGGCCTGAGCAGATTTTCCTTGCAGTCATTTGATCGTGAAGTGGTGAGGCCTTTTCGATTTGGTACGGCCAGCGCTGGAGTGCATGGAAACCAGGCCGAACCGAACGCATTGGAAATAGCGGAATGGTACGTGCTCCACACTGACCGGCCACAAGGCACCATCGGTCAAGCAGGTCAGCAGCGGTCTCAACAGCTGTCTTAGATATTTTTCTGGTTCCATCGAGACCGCCTTGGTCGGACTTCAAAACATCATACCATCCACATTATTCAGCGGCACAAGTGTGCTCCACGACTCAAGATCTTCATCCGGCATGAATCCGAAGAAGTCATTCTCCTGTAGATATCGTATTAGCGCCTGGAACATGGAGAGTTAGACCGTAGTCCGAAAGGATCACTGACATAGTATGGAAAAGTGTTTGTGTCGTCGAACTCCACAGGGTCGATCATTAGATTTGCAGCTGCGGGATTCGATTGGATTCTTGTTCCCTCGATACCCATATGCGCAACATTGTTGCCTTGGATCCCTGCATCATGCTCTACAGCCAGGCGTGCCAGGTGGCACAGATCTCTGACGAACATTCGCGATAGTTCAAGTCCGGTGACGAATTCAAGATTGGAAAAGTATCCGAAGGCAATATCTGAGTGAAACCTTCATCAGTTCTATGGTCTTGTCATGAAGGAGAACGGGTATGTATGCACGATATTGGATCAATACATACCCAAGAGCACAAGGTCCGACGAAACCGTAGGTGCAGTAGTGTCTCGTAAGATGTGCATGAATAGGTTCATAAAACAGTACACGGGCGTGTATTTTGCAATTCTATGCAAGAGTCAGCGATCCAGTGACAGAACCTTCGGTCACCGAATTGGATAAAGGGCAACGGGAAGCATTACAAGAGAGAGCAACCACCGTCGATATGTACTTGTCTGGTTGCCAGAATACCTGCACGCGAAGCCTGGGCCACTTCTTTACAGGAGGCCTCAACGTGCGAAGTAGCAGCTGCATCATTCGATAGGTAAGCCGAGATGCCTAACCAAGGGTAGGTCAGAGGAGTGTTGATGTCCAGCACCAAGCAGAAGTAATGGGACTGGAGTGATTGAGCCTGGCGTAAGGACAGCCCTGCTGGTATTCGAGAGGTTTCAAGCGGGTCGTCAAGACAGATGTCGTGCTGCACCGAGAGCTTGAAATCTGCAAGGTCCTTCCTCAACTTCCGGACGGTCTTGATCAGCTGTTCGGTTGTTTGTCGGAGAGCGCGGGCGCTTGACAGGCGCTTTCTAGCAGTAGAACTCAGCTGCATCATTTTGATGAGTGTGTGACAGTACAAAGTGTCGCTTGGTAACCCACTGGGCGCACTCGAGGATACGCGACAGCTTATCTCGTCATCGTCCATAATCTCGTGAGGTTAGAGTCACCGAGGTATAAACTGTGCTGAAGAGACATACCGAAGGACGCCCCGACCGGGAGCAAATGTGTTTTTCCAGACAGTAAATGGACCAGAACATCCAGTTCCTGTGGGTGACTTCTTGCGGCGATATTTTCCAGGAATGGGAAGGCTGTCGATGCAATCCTTTGGAACAGGCGAGGCGCATGGCGTCCGTGCATAGAGTATATTGCAAAGACTCCTTACCTATGCCCTCACTGAAGTATGCCTGTTGAGAAAGATCAGATACACGGCTCAAATGCTGAAATGGATGATGCGTACCATTAATATTAGGGTCTGTACGCCCATCAGGGATGTATGCAGGAACAGATTCTCGGTATGCATGGAAAGCGCATTCTCGAAGAAGCCCAATGAGGCTTGTAAGGTTTCACGGAAAGTTCTCTTTCTTGAAAGGACTATGCGGCACCCGTGAGCCAATACAATGTTGCGTAACGCGTACCACGCTTTATCATCGGTCATAAGGTTCCGTATCCCACTGAAATGTGCGCGTAGCCGAGCTTCAAACAAATTACGCTCGACAACGCCGAAAGCCTGGTCCAGCCCCTCTTCAAAGTATGCTAAAACAGAACGTTATTCTTCGGCTCAATAGGTTTGGACGATGTTGAGAGTGAACTTGCCGCAGGTGTATTGCCATGCAATCTCGGGAGGAGGGTCTGGCACTCGGGAAGACGACAGGCTGTTACTCATTTTGAGCATGCGAGCCGAGTTGTGGACAACACGTTTCACTATGCTGGCATAGTCTTTTGATTTCGTGTTGAGTATCACCCAATCTACGGCAGGCTGAGAGCAAACAGACAGCATACAGCGTGGGCCCGTAAACCATCAGTCCATGACCGGCGTTTTATGCGCGGTGACTCACCATAATACTCAAGGCTGAGCTTAATGAATAAGTCAGTATCGTGGTAGACCACACGGAGTAATGAGCCTACCGTGTCCGTGGCATGGAGACTGTTGTCCTCGCCGACATCTTGATCATCAAAGACATTGATCGAGGGTTCACGATCGTCTTGTGGTGTTTCTGTCTGGCTTTCAGACTGCTGAGGAACGAAGATGAGTGGCTGCGATAGCACATTGCTGTAGCCAGCTTGTACCGGACGAGGCTCGTTGTCCTCGTGCGAAACTACGCGACCATCGTGATTGAGGCTCTTCTGGATGCGTGGACGACGTCTGGGTGTGACGACACATTCTTCGGCACGATCCAGGCAGTTGGCGCAGGGAATGTTCCCATTGCCTGCTCGAATAGTAAGCATATTCGAGTCCTCGGGAGCATACACTTTGTGTACTTACACCGGATCTTCTTCGCCCTACAATGATTGCATGCGACGGAACGCCGACTCTTAGCCGGTAACTGGACAGGATCGAGGCGAGCTGGGAGCTCCGATGCCATGGTCCAGATGTCCGTAAAGCGAGGTTGTCCTTCGCCTTGGCGGGCCGATCAAGTCATGTACCCGAGAGGAGTGCCCCAGCTAACGGTGAAAAACAGCAACGCTGGCAGGCCAGATGGACGTCAGAAGCCGAAGCGACTAGACCGAAATTACTTGTAGATTTTGGTTGGAGCAACTGTCCCTGTCCCTCCATTGGTGTTTGTGAGCTATGCCTAATTCTTTCGGCAATGCCTAGAAATGCCGAACAGAAGAGGTGCTTTGGACTCGATCACTCGCGACCGGGGAGGAGATTTTGTCCGTCTGGATGAGGATGCGAGGCACTCATATCTCGTGACGGGTGGGAAAAGAGATGGTGGACATTGGATTCGAGAAAAGTTTAGGCGGTTGGAGTTGAGTGTCACGTCTACGAGGCGGAAGAATCTCGAAGTCGATCAAATGACAGCAGACTTTCAGTTGAAATGACGACATGCCAGTGTACATCTTTATTCGATCTTTTGATTGTTGCCTTGTCTACTTTTTGTTGATCCCCAATATAGCTGTCAACTCTCTCCAGCGTCCTCGAGCGTCCCATATCCAGTCACGAATGTCATGAGAAGAGCTCATAAAGCTCGCAAGTTGCTTGAAGGAGACAGGTGAGATGACTCGCAGACTTTGCGCAAGGGACATTCCTCTTCTCGAAAGCTATCCCAGGCAGAGCGCCCTTGAGCTACTGCAATCTATGATCTGCTATGAGTATCGCCCAAAATATCAGTGCTTTCTTTGTCCAGATATATCACAGCATCAAAGGTTATTGTACTGCTATGGTTGATTCGAACAATGGGAACAAGGGCATCTCAGATCACGTGACCACAATTGGGCTTTGTCGCGAGGCTGAACTCGAAAGGAGGCATACCCGCAGCCCGTCTCTTTGTCACTGAAGTGCGCGATCAATGGATGCCCGCGCCTCGCGAGAAGGTATTTGATCAGTGACTCTCCGCTCATCTCTTCCTGCTCTCTTCAAATATATACAAATACATTTCCTGACACCCACAACTCTTTGGTAAGCAACAACCACAGGCCGAAAATGCCTCCCAAGCAGAACAAGACTCCTGGAGCAGGTAGCAAACGTAAACGAGGCTCCAGATCCAGCCCTTCCACTCCCTCATCTAGTGCTAACACTCCTAACAATGCTCAGGGTCGTCCTTCCAATGTTAGCCGGGCTACGAGGGAGAATAGAATCGATAACTTCCGACAGCGCCTCTATCCGCAAGTCACTACTCGAAGAGTAATTGAAGTCTTGCTCGAAACTAACAACGACGATGCCGAGGCTGCGTACCAGCAGTACATGGCTGCTAGAAGACAAATTCTTGCCAATCTAGGTCACCCTCAAACCGCCCAAGCCAACGCTAGCGACAACGAGGACGAGGAAGAAGGTGGTGAGCAAGGAGAAGATGGAGAGACAACTGCAGGGCAGGTCCAGGCCCTGCCAGACGCAATTGAACTCCTAACTGAGACAGATATTCCGTGGAACGCAAACACCGAACAAGAACGTCGAAATGTAGCTTACACTCTCCGGGAACATGTCCGAGATTCAACCCTGTTCACCGACACACTTACTCGCACCGAAGCCGTCCTGTGGAATCACCTCCAAGAGTACGATATTGCCACAGCTCAAGAAACCTTCCAAAGCGTCAACCACGTCAGACGCCAACTCGCAAGAATCTTTGACAAAATGAGAACGCCACTGCAACGTGATGTCGTGCATATGAAGACACGAGGGACTGGAGGAAAAAAGGCTCAGGCTGACGCCAATGAGGAGGAAGAAGAGACCGAGGAGGAACGAGCAGCAGCCGAGGAACTCAAGAGAGTCTCAATGTCCCAGGACGAGAGACTCGCTGAATTCATCAACATTACTGGCCGTCCAGACTGGTATTCGCTGCTCCTTGTACTCCAAGCACACAACTGGAACCTTGTGAGGGCCGTTGAGCAATGGTACAGAGACGGGGTACCACCTTATACAGATCGTCCAAAGCGCTATCCAGGCCAAAAAGGTGGCATTCAAAAGGAGGAGTATGGGATGAGACTTGATTATATGACCGGAAAACCCATGACCAAGCCCAGCCCTGAGGATTGCATACCATCAAACTTGGAAGCCGATGATGACGACCAGTGGCGTGACGAAGACGACTTTTTTGATCCTGAGGAAGAAGGAGACAGTGAGCTCGAGGAGACACCCCCTCCACCACCAACCTCGGAGAGCAAGAACAATGATGACCGTAAAAAGCCAGGTTTCACAATCAACAGACTCACCAAGCTTCCGTACAAAGGAATGCCGAATCCACGAAGGTTTGTGTTCGAATACATTCAGAACGGCAAGTACGTTTCCAACATCTTCGAGCCAGAGAAGTTTTACTTCCCAGAGCGAGGTGAAGACGAAAACCGCCCTCCCAAGACCAACAGGAGAAGCAGCAAGCCCCGGGACAAACCAGTGCTCTTCGACTGGAACAACGGCAAACACATCACGTTCTTGACCAACTGGTATCGTCAAAACCTGCAACGAACAGTCGGCACACTCCGACGAGCAGCCCATCAGACCTGGTCCGAGGCCGAGCGCCAATGGCTTCACGACCGCATGACGGAACTCTTCCAGAAACACAAAGCGAAGAACCCCAACAAGTCTGACGACGAGATCCTTGAGCACATGCACGTCGACACGGCGACCAAAAATGCATGGGAGAAAGCTTACAACGAGGAATTCGTGGGTACCAAGCAATCCGGCGGGATTCGCAAGCCACGTAACGCGGCCGCCCTGATGACCATGCGCTCGCGCGATGCGCGTATCTGCGAGGACTTCCTGGTCAAACCTGATGACACGTACTTCACCAGACGCAAGCACAATAGAGTCAACGAACACATGTCCCATCACGAAGTTGGGCCCGATCCGTACGGACAATACGACTTCACTGACTTCGCAGACCTTGATCTGGAAGGTTACATGAGGACATCCACGTTGATCGAGCAGGTTGACTACGAGTTGTATTTCACTGTCGATCTCAACGAGCGAACATTCTGGTTCTGGGGTCGTGTCCTTGCTGCCATCACGGAGTTGTACATGACTCGTATGACTGTCCAGGACCAGGCCGTTGCCATGGAGCTTTTGAACTGGGTTGGCTTGCCTGAGATTGATGTCATGACCATGTCTGAGGATGAGGTCTTGGAAGCAATCCGAGACATTCGCGACGCGGCACCACTGGAAATAGAGCGCAATGATGTTGAGATGGAAGACGAAGATGCAGAGAGTGACAGCAATGAGGGAACTCCCCGTGACGTCCCCGATGGAGCGTCGCCGTCTCATGGTGACGCCGACGAGCCGCCGGCGAAGAGACAACGACTTGAGTAATTGAGGGGAAGTATATTGTTCTGCAAAGAATCTGTTGTGTCGAAAGGTGTCTTTATTACGAGCTGGACTCGCGGAGGAACCTTTTGGTATGAATTGCTTCTGGGTATCTGGATGGTTGACTATGTTACGTTTTTCCTTGAATAGGTTGACATTGTACAAATACAATTGACTTTGAGACATTCTTTCGTTTCAACCGCAGACCAGAGCGGCTTTTGGTGTTTCATTCGAGGCGTTTCGAGAGGGAGTAGGCTGACCATCGTACTCATCGGTCCGTTGTACTGGATCGCTCTTGGTCTCGGTAACTTCATTCATGGCTAGTTTGGCGACTTCCTTCTTGCTGAGCTGAAGCGCGCCTACCTTGATGGCTTCCTCTGGTAACGGCCGTATGTACGGCTGACACACCCACCATGGTCTCTTGTAAATTGCTTCTGTTTTTTGTTTGGGCGTCATCTCCTGTTCCGGAACAGTTTCGGCCTTGTCTACCAATTCTTTCGAAGTCGCTGATTCTTCCGCTTGATCGAGTGCGTTCCTGACGGCCTCTTCGACCATGGCAAGTACTCGTTCGAAGCCTTCCATCTCCCCACACCTGGTCCTGGCCAAGGTATCTCGAATATCCGTGTGTTTGGAAACTAAAGGTCTCAAAAGTTGGAAAAGGTGACCTTGCATCACTTTCAGGTTTGGGTCCAGTTTGAACTTTTTGTCATCGCCGCGCTTGCGCTTTTTGTTGTTGACCGGCTGATTTTCATCCGATTCAGTCTTCTTTTGCTCCGAACTTTCTTTTGGGTCTCCGGGTATGTATAACGGGGGGCGTTCAGGACCTGGTCTTTCGAGAGAGTATGTGTAAATGATGTCCATGTATCGCCTGAAAACTGCATCGATGCGGTATCCACCTTTCCCATCAGTGTCGTACCAGTACTCTCGCGGATTATGCTCCCTTGGCGGCTGAGCAAAAATCGTAGGATCGCACAGATTTCCTTCGGCGCTCATGATACCGTCAGCACCTGTGGCTGCTAGACATGCTTCAATGTCTCCTGAGTTCAGAATGTTGCCGTTGGCGAACAAGACTGTTTCGGGCGGCAGATTATCACGTAAGTAGCGTATCATAGACCAGTCTGCGATGCCGGTGTTGTGGCCCTTCTGCTCACGCCGTCGTCCGTGGACCGTCAATATGCTTGCACCGGCAGACAGTATCATCTTCGCATAATCGAGTGTCTTTTCGGGTGTCTCTAGAATCCTCATCTTCGCTGTTACCGGTACCGACAGTTCGTTGTGTAGCTTGTTGATCATCTTGTAGATGCTGTCCCAATCTTCTTGCAGGAAGGCCCCGTAGTGACCACTTTTAGCGATGCCTTGTGGACATCCCAAGTTCAAGTCCACCGCGTCACAGTAGGGAGCTGCATACTCGGCTGCTTCTAGCAGATCTTCCGGCTTGTTTGCGCAGAACTGTACGAACAGCGGCCTGTCAAGTTTTGGATTGCCATCTAGCCAAAGAGGCGCAGTCGACTTCTGTTTCGACTTGAGGCTCTCCCTGGTGGGTCTGAAGTAGTCATCTCGACATTTCGGATTCCCGCCAAAGAGACGGGCGTGGAACATAGGTGTGTAGGCTAGCAAGGACTTTGAGCGGTCTTCATTCAGAAAGGATCGGGTGAGAAGTCTCCAAGCCTGAATAACGAGTCAACAAAGATCGATGGAGGGGCGAAAGGGTAGTGGAGGGGACGGACAAATTCTGAACGGTCAACCATGGGCGCAACGATCATCTTGGGACTCCCAATACTCTCGTAGAAGGCTCGACCGAGGAGCTTCGCAGAGGGGTGGCTTTCGCCAGAGGAAGTCGCTTGCGCCATGGTTCGTTGACCGAGTTGCGACAGACCGTTTACGATCCTTGCAGAAACCGACCTGTACATAAGCACATTTCGAGCCAACGAACACCTCCCCGTGGCGCTTAAATCGCCGACTGCGCGTTGAATAGCAGCAGGCACAGGAGAACGTGGCAGTATTGTAAAGAAGGCAAACAAGACCCAGAAAATAAAATCATCGTCGACTACACGTTTGGCGTTCATACTGTACCGTACATTAATATCTTATCTACACGTGACCTTGTCGGAAAAGTTGCCCATAACTCATAGGCTGTTTCCCAAAAGAGAAAATCCAGGCTGTCAGACGGCGCACGGAATATGGCGAAATTGATCATCCGAAATTGTCTTTTGTCCGTCATTGATGGAATTCCATGTCATCGATGGTGCGACGATCTGCCTGGTAATTCCACGAGGGATTGGACAACAGCCATGTCAGTCTCCAAGAATATTCACCTCATTGAAGTCCAAACCAGAGGTAGCCTGGCTTGCGCATGCTCTACTGTTTGTCTGCCATGTCTTGGTTGCACATTCGCCTCTCTTCTTTTCGACCTCCAGCTACGGGCTTCCGCCATTCTGGTCCTGACAAGCCAGGCCTCCCCACACATATCTTGCAAAGTGTTTTCATGACCTATGCTAATCACATCCGTTGACCTCCGGCGAATTCTGACAGACAAAGCTGCCAAATGAGTCACTGAGGTCCATTCCACAAACGTCCGGTTCCCCAGGATATGAGATTTCGGCTTGTTCGTCGTTATTCAATGCCCAAACAGGTTCATTGCAATTTGCGTCACTGCTCGCACTATCAGCCTCGCCCAAGTCGACAATTGTTGGTGAAACTATCTATCTACGGGCTCCTGTACCTGAAGAGGATGCAATAAGTTCCTTCATCGGGACCTATTGACCTGATTGAATGATTCTGTTGATGCGCAGACATCAGAATCCTGTGAGTGGACTACGATATTTCGGGGCTTGACAACTCACCCAGTTGCTCGTCAAAGTAATGCACACATTCGAAGGAAAGACGTCGTGAGCACAGATTCCTTGCCATCCTGCCTCGGTGCAATAATAGAGCTACCATGATCAGTTACATGGAAATTTCGGGGGGCATGTTATGGTCTCAACCTACACCACAGGTTCCATCCGCCGTTTGGCTGGTGTTGCAGGTATCTGCGAGTTGCAAGGCTGTGGCAACAAGTGCCACAATGGCGCAAATCCATGGCATTCTTGGTCCGGCAAGGCTTCAAAAAACGTGCAGGCAGACAAGGGGGCCCTCATTTGTATAACTACCCCTGACCGGGTTGTTTGTACACCAACAGTTTGCTTCCCCCGCAATTGCATAACATTTCAATTCTCGGAGCCGTTTTCGGACGCTCGCAAGGAGTTTGACAAATATTCACTGGAAGTTGCCAATGAGACGAAGATCCAGCACCGTTCGGCTTCAGGTGTCCGATCAAGCAAACATTCGGTGTCGGCGGCCTTCAACGACCCATCATCAACAACAAGACGCTCACTTGATGCCCGAGCCTCTCACATCGACACGGTGCAGTACCGCTTCTCGGGTTGGTTCATTGCGCCAGGACTACACCCCGATCTCTCGAGCAGACCTTAGCCTCTTCCAGGTTGGTGAGGCCGCTGCCAAAGATTCTGTCGATCCTCTTCTCTCGATCCCACACCGTCACCTGCTCCCCATTGTCGTTCCGCTGCTTGAAATATTTGATGCGGTGCTGTGGGATCCACTCTTCTTCTGTGAATTCGGAAACCCAACTGGACGCTGGTATTTCTTTGATGCCAGTGAACCGCTCGAGGTAGCCAATGGTGAACTTTGAGGCATCGAGACTATCATCCCAGTGCATACGGTCAAGCACATCTGAAGAAAGAAATGAATAAAAACCATCCAGCAATGGTCACTTCACCTACCATGGGCTGATCTCATCTTCGAGGCCGTGGTCGACATTGTCGTCGTTGTTTTCGCAATCTTTTCGCGCCGTCGAGGTCTGGCATAGTGTTGCAACTCTTCTAACCTTCTCAAATCCTCTCTCTCTTCTTGCTCCTTCTCCTCTTGGATCTCCCGAATATGTCTCTCTGCGATACTTCGGAGCTCCTGAATAGTATCTGATGACGCTTGGATCGTTTGCGCTGAAGCTTCGGTCATAACGGGCTTTCAGTACCAGAATGGAACGGCCGTCTTTGCGATAATACTCGCAACATGGGTCAAGTGGTTCTGGTAAGTGATATAAACGCCATAGCAGACGTTTGAGACCATTGTGGCGGAGCTTTCATTGGTCACTGGATGAGTCACTTGTCAAATACTATGGTAGATTTGATTCGCAGTCGTGACAGGGGTCCCAAGATCGTTCAATGAAACCACCGCGCTGTGATAGCCATCCAAGATATTGCGCGAGGTGCAGTGGTAGTTCATGAAAGAGGGTTTTCTGAGTCACTGAGGTTGGGGCTGTGTCATCGGACGTCCCTGGTGGGAAGCGAGGCCGGCCTTTGGAGGCTGACAACGTCTGGACCTGCACACCTCAGGCACAATCCATGTCTGTTGCACTCCCATGGAATAAAGAGAATGTCAATCCTCTGGTGTTCTGCCATGCACAGTAGCATGTCCTCTAGTGGGGTCAAAGCAGTTGGACGTCGACCGCTCCCAACGCGTAGCCTTGTCGCGTTGAGCACACCGGCAACGACCACCCACATCGTCTTTCTGCACATTCATTCATGTGAGTGCTCGTCAAACACCTCAACGCGTCTTGAGACCAGCGAAGCTACCCTTCTGAACATTTTTCTATACTCGCGCCAAGCGGTTCCTCTTGGGATTCTGTACATACGTATTCATTTCAATTCTTCAAATAAGAGGTTGAAAACAAATTTGTCCATTGTTGATGCATTAAAACCGTTCATGCGAGACTGTTCAGTAGACAAAGCATAATCAGTATCAATGTTTGTCGAAATGTGACCTGGAAGACGGAGTCGAGGAATGAGTCAAGACGCACGATGACGCCCGACAGTCCAGGTAAAGACCGAGGTTGGCCCGATTTTGCTCTCTCGGTCGGCTGCTTGCTTGACATAAATCGTCCTCGTGGCAACATCAACAACTTTCAACATGGGCAGATGGCAGGTTTGAAAGAAACTAAGTCATATCCAGAGGATGTGCTTGTGCCGGGCCAGCTGCAGAGTGTCCCTCAAGCCATCTCGACCTGGGATATCCAGAGATGCGTACTGGAAATCAATATCTCAATTTCGAGTGATCGAGCATGTCGTACCGGCTCAGCATACGAGACACTGGCCGAGAGGCACTGACGTCGGCTACGAAAATACTTTGAGGATTGCAGTAAAGCAATATGTCCCGAAGAGCAATAACACCCCTCAGATTGGAGACGTCACCTTTATTGCTGCCCATGCCAATGGCTTTCCAAAGGTAAGTGGCTTGAAACAGTGTGCTGTTCGTATTCTAAGACAATGAAGGAGCTTTATGAGCCCTTGTTTGAAGAGCTGCAAGTAAATCTGAGCACTCTTGGACGGAGAATACGTGGTATTTGGATCGCCGACATTGCTCACCAAGGCCAAAGTGGCATACTCAATGAAGAAGCATTGGGAAATGATCGTACGTCAAGCATGAGAGATTTCGCACTTTCACTGACGCAGAAGAAGCCAACTGGTGGGATTTTGCAAGAGATCTCCTATTCTTGATCAACCAGAAGCAGGATCAAATGTCTCAGCCACTCGTAGGGATCGGCCATAGCATGGGAGGATCACAGTTGTATGGCTGACAGCAAGAGCAATTTCATGGCTGACTTTTGTAGGGCTCAGCTTGCCTTGATCCACCCTGGCTTACTGCAAGCTCTTATCCTGATCGATCCGGTCATCCAGACGGAGAATCCCAGCAAGGCATTCGCTAAAGCCTCGACATACCGACGTGACCTTTGGCCATCGAGAACAGCAGCAGCACAAAGCTTTGCTAGTAGCAGATTCTACCAAGCGTGGGATCGGCGCGTGCTTGAGAGATGGGTTAAGTATGGTCTCAGAGACCTACCCACCGAACTCTACCCTGAGCGTGGAGACGGCCAAGAACCTCCAGTGACCTTGACGACCACCAAGGCACAAGAGGTCTTTTCGTACTTGAGGCCAAAGTACTACGGCTCTTCAGGTATCGCCTCGGAGGACGACCGTGACGTGTACGGGGACATGCATCCGGATGATGTGGAGAAAGAGTATCCCTTTTACCGTCCGGAGCCTGCAGAGATCTTCCGCCGGCTACCGGAGTTGAAGCCACCGGTTCTATATATCTTTGGGAAGTCCTCGGAGCTTGCAACACCTACATTAAGAAGAAAGAAAATGGAGACAACTGGAATTGGAGTTGGAGGCAGTGGTGGAGAACGAGCAGGTAGGGTCAAAGAGGTGGTGTTGGAGTGTGGCCATCTCGTGCCCATGGAAAAGGTCAGTGCTTGTGCAGAAGCCGCTGCTTCATTTACAGCGTCTGAGGTAGATCGCTGGCAGAAAATGACTCAGGAATGGCAACGACGATGGCTAAAAAGGCCTCGGAAGGAAAGAATTGGCATAGACGACGAATGGAGGGAGATGATTGGGCCAAAAGCACAACGTTCTTGATGAAACGACAAGCACTCTCCTGATCGCAAGGGGATGATCATATCGGCTGTGCCACTGTTATCTGAATTATTGAAGTGTTCAGGATGATTTGAAGCTGTCGTGGACTTCAGCAGTGAAGACAAATGTTGTCTGATTGAGGAAGGTTTGCCTAATTCAGTCACGTGAAAGGATTGCACCTCCTGCGAAGCAGTTTCTGCATCTTTTGGACAATCTGCGTGGCTTTACAAAGACTCCGTCACATCAACATCCACAAAGCGCGTTTCTGTGTACGGTCGAGCAACACGGCGAAGCCATCATGGTATGTATTTACTTTCATGCAATCGTGCAGTTTAGAGATGAGTATTCTAACCAGCATCAGGTTTACAGCTGGGATCCGCACAAAGATGTCTGCTACAAACTCTACATCGAAGAGCGCAAGGTATGATTACCCTCGCTCACCTTTCTGCTCAGTCCAGCTAACAGCCTTTCAGTCCCTTGAGGATATCATGCTGTACATGCGTGATAACCACAACTTCGCGCCTTCGAAACGAGCCTTCCAGACTCAATTCAAGCGATGGGATTTCCCCTCGAAACGCAAACCTGCCCATCGTAACGAGGATCTTGTCGAACGCGTGAGAGAATTATGGGAAGCCAACTACAGTCAACGCAATATGCTTGCAGTGCTTCATGAGGAGGGTCATGACATCAAGGAACGTGAGCTCATGAGATTACGCGCCAAACATCGATGGTTGATGCGAATCCCAAATGGTACCAAGCAGACTCCTGCCGACGAAGATGAAGCTTCACTCGAGGCGCAGTTGATCGCAGCAACCCAGGACGAGTCCACTCTCGACGAATCCGTTCAGCTCACTCAGTCCGGTCAACCAGATCGATCGGTCGTCCCGGATGATCCACCCGAGGATTTCGTGCAGCAGCAAAAGGAGAGACTCGAACAGCTCAAGACAGTCAGCGATGACAGATTGAAACACAAGAAGCGTCGTCGAAGAACCAAAGGTTATGCTGGGCTTCCTGCCGATCCGCCTGGCCCTCCTCGATTCCCCTCAGAGACAACACTTGAGGAAAGCAGAGACATATTGGAGTTGAATGTCAAACAGTACAAGGCGATCCGTGATCAATTCCAGACCATTTGTGAAGAAGAGCAGATCCTTCAGAAGACCGTCGCAGGAGCCGAAAAGTGGCAGGCTGTCAAAAATCGACTTGTATCTGAGAACATTCTCCTGCAAGATGTATTCTCCAAGGATACCGGCGATGCGGAGGCAACTCAGAAGAAAGACCTTGCTCTCGATGTGATTTGTACTGATGTGACCAAGCGTCTTCGGACAATGGGACGACGTCTGACCATTCTGGAGTCGAAAAACGTCCTAGCGATCAACCCCGAACAGGGCCGACAAATTCGTGGTCGCTTTTACGACATCCTCATGTCCACACATTACACCAGCAAGATCGAGATGGGTCCCGAAAAGTGGCAAGAACTCAAGGATGGCTTGATCGCCAGTACACCACTTTTGCAGCAAATCCTGGCTCCAGGCGAAGATGATCCAATGCACGAAAAGAAGAAATCTGCTTTGGAACTGATCTGCCGGGATGTCATGAAACGTGTACGGGATGACCGAGCGAAGAAGAAGGGAACATTCCGGAAGAATGCACCCCAGACTCCAACTCAAACGGCAGACCATGTTGACGAACCCACTTTCGATGGTGCCTATGCTCCCTCTCTGCCTGCCAACCCCTTCAGTGAGATTGCAGCCGCGGCGCAAAATGCAGATCTGTCAGACCTTCAAATCGACCCGCACCTGCTGCAAGTCGCTGATGATATGGGCTCTCCACAAGTTTCGACCATGACGCCAGTGTACATTCGTCCATCCCCGGGGTCGACACTGTACAACAATACTAAGATGTGGTTGGGATCATTGTCGAGTCGAACTGTACAAGAGCTTCATGCAATGCTTGCGAATAAGTATCCGAACGCAAAGCCGGCTCGTATCGAGGGAATCGCAAAAGACGCCAGTGGCGAGATCCCATTTGTGATTGATGAAGATGAGGAACTCGACGCATACCTTGATCATGTTCATGGGCGAAAGGCCACATTCGTTGTCTTGCTCACCAAAGCGTGATCATTGATGGTTGTGATGTGTTCCACCCGGGCGCGGACGATATTTCTGCAGTGCATTGAGATGTCGACCACTGGACGATCGTGGGTCGGACGTGTTGCACTATGCACTTTGCGTGCAGTCTTGCTTGAGCTATCCTGGGGCTGAAATGATCGACTAATTCTTTAGTCTTCGACTGTTGCAGATTAGGGGCTTTTATTGTGGAGCTGGAGACGGGATTCCATGGTCACACATCCACAGACCTTTGGTTCATGCGATTCACCAGCTAGGACGGACGTTATCGCTCGAAAATGAGCTTGATTCGTTCACAAAATGGATCGCACTATTCATCATTCATTCAACCTCCTCGGAGCATTCTTTTCACGCACGTTCTCCCCACAGCTAGTTGATATAAGACTACAAGCACCTTCTCGGTACCATTTCCAGCCATCTTTCGGTGATTATCTTTTCGGCGTCGTGAGGACGCTACCCTGATGGTCTGATGAATATTCCCCCGTGAGTATCAAGCCGGAGTCATCCCTTGCTCCGGTGGATAGCTACCGCAGACTCTACGCGCGCACGGGAGGCTGTTCGGTGAAAAGGGAAGCAGCAGACATGGCGAATACTTTCTCAATGGACTCCATTCTTCGACACCGGAAGGACGTTGGGCATGACACGGGGCTGACCCTGGTGACATTCCACTTTTGTCTGGAACAATCAGAGATCGCTGTGGGAATAAGCACCGACCGGTAAGTCATGGGGAATGATCGTCAGCCAGTCAAGCACTTCCAATAAAGGCGGAGTGTGGTGCCCATGAGGAAGTCTACAAAGACCAAGTAATCCCAACCTAGGTAGGCTTGTTCTTTTCCTCCCCATCTTCGATTTAGTAAGATTCTCTCGAAGCATCCATCATGTCTCCTTCCAAGCTCGAGACGATTTCCTTTGATACATTCGCCAACATCGTCAACGGCCAATCGCGTTCCTCAAAGACAACATATCATGGCGTCGACCCTACCACCAAGCAACCCAACTGGCAAGCCCCCGTCGCCAGTGCCGAAGTTGTCGAAGACGCCGTTGCCGCCGCCAACAAGGCCTTTGAGCAGTGGAAGACTACGACCTGGAAATTTCGCTCAGCGCGCATGGTCCGCTTCAAGGAGATCTTCGAGGCTTACAGGAGTGAAATGGTGGATTTGTTGATCAAGGAGACTGGAAAGCCCCCAGCCGGAGCCACGATTGAGTTCGACAGCTGCTTGGCGGTGTTTGACTGGCATATCAAGATGGAGGAGCCCCAGGGTGAGGTTATCGACACTCCGGAAAAACGTGTCGTCAACAGATTCGTGCCGCTTGGTGTTGTTGCTGCTATCTGCCCTTGGAATTTCCCTCTCATTCACGCTATGGGGAAAGTGTTGCCGGCGGTTCTAATGGGCAATACTATCATTGTTAAGCCCAGCCCTTATACTCCGTGAGTTCATCATGCTTTGGGAACTGTACCTAGAGGGTTGGTATACGCTGACACATTTGCCGCAAGGTACACATTTCTCAGGTCGTCGAGTTGGCCAACCAGATCTTCCCGCCTGGTGTGATCCAGGTACTGGGCGGTGACGAGAAATTGGGCCCAGCGCTCATCGAACACCCTCGTATCCACAAGATCGCTTGCACGGGGTCGACTGCTACGGGAAAGAAAGTCTTGGCTGCTGCGGCCAAGACTGTGAAGCGATGTACATTGGAGATGAGTGGGAATGATGCGTCGATTGTGCTGCCAGATGCTGATATTGGGGAGGCGGCGCAGAAGATTGCTCTGGTAAGTCAAGCAAACCTCAACCTTTGTTTGACATTTGAGCTGCATGTTTAGAAGTATCAGTGACTGACCCTGTCGTGTTGCAGGGCGCTTTCATCAACACAAGCCAAGTCTGCACGGCAACAAAACGCATCTACGTGCACAGTTCGATCTACGACATCTTCCTGGCCGTATTGGTACAAATCGCGCAGAGCCTCAAGGTCGGCGCTCCTGACGAGGAAGGAGTTGTGCTCGGCCCGGTCCAGAATGAAATGCAGTATGAGCGTGTCAAGCATTTCTTCCGCGACAGTCAAGCTGCGGGCTACAAATTCGCGCTTGGATCAGGCGATGTGGCCGACTCCAAAGGGTTTTATGTGCACCCAACGATCATTGACAACCCGCCTGACGAGAGTTTGATCGTGCAGGAGGAGCCCTATGGGCCGATCGTGCCGGTGTTGAAGTATGATGATCTCGAGGATGCGATTCGTCGGGCGAATGATACGAAGTCCGGATTGGGCGCGAGTGTTCACGGGAAGGATCCGGAGGTGTTGGCCCATGTGGCGGAACGATTGGAGGCGGGGAGTGTTTGGATCAATGAGTTGCCGTTCCCCAGTGTTGAGGCGCATTTCGGGGGGTGGAAAGAGTCGGGGATGGGGACTGAGTTTGGGAGGAATGGGGTGTTGGCTTATGCTAATACTAAGGCTATTCATACTTTCAAGAGTATCTGAAGGTTTGAGGGTGGCGGGCTATGTACAGGTTATGAAGATATGGACCTGAAGAGGCGCTATGAGATGATGGTACTTGGACAGGTAATCTGAGAATATGACATTTGAACAGGTATGATTACATGAATATGAAGCTGTCGACACAACCTGGGGTCTGGACAAACACCACTCAAGGCTTAGCATCTTGTGGGTGTAGGAGGACGGCCGGTTTATAGCTTCGAGTCTCGTCCCTTTCGATCGGTGATGCTCCCCATGTCGTCGCCACTGGTGGGATCGTTGTCGCTTGTTTCGGCCTTGAGACTCACGGGGTCACCTAGCATTGAGCGATTGCCCTTTTTGGCTTCATTGAGGTCCTCGTTGGCGATGTCTTTGAGACTTTTCTTGTCGTTGTCCTTGTTGGGCCGGTCTTTCTCCGTCGGTGAAGTGTCTGACTTTTCGGCCTTGAGAGACACAGGGTCGCCTAGGGCTGTTGGGTTGGATTTCGCTGAATCTTTGAGAGATTTGCCGGCCATGATGGATGGTGTTGCCGGAATGATTTGTCGAGATTAGTCTTTGGATGATCGGTCCCTGGAGGTGTTGTTGATGCTCGTGTGGGCTTCGTGGGGTCAGTAAGGGTCAAGAGCTGAGTGTTCAGGATGAGAAGCTGGATGATGTCGCTTGAATCCAGTGGTGTCAGAAGAGTACATATAATAAAGACTCAATCTGCGGTAGACGTTAGGTTCACTTTTACCATGATGTTATGTCCCAAGATCGGGCCAGACCTGGGGTAAAGACCCAATGCTCTGACGTCTTCCATTTCCTTAAATCGTCCTACCAATAGATGTTGGACGCCGTTTGCTTCACCCTTAGATTTGTGCCGAGGCCCGGCACAGGTTTGTTGTGTATCTCTACGCCCACCGAGTTGCAAAGATCTCTGTGTCGTCAGCTCAGTTCCTTCAGCATTATCACTAACACGTCTTGGTGATGGCCTCGCCCACAGATTGACTTCCATCGCCTAGTGAAGGGCTAGAACAACGGAACGATACCGCGGCTCCGGAGGACCACGCTTCTTACACCTAAAGGCCACCAATGACATGTGCAGAAGATAAGAGTCCCCGCCTTTGATCCAGAATGTAGGAGATACCTGGTACTGACTCGACAGCACTCTCTAAAAGGGTATTTGATGCCATTTGCCAAAGCCGCGCTGACATCAACGCCTTGAAGCTTCAGGGAACAGATGCTGGTTTGCCGGTAGGGTAGAAGAATCCCCCATATACAACATCGAGCGAAGGCTTTATCGTCTCAATCCTGGACTGCCTCACTGACAGCATTGTCTTACCTTGGTCGAAGCAATTACCTGGATTCAACAATGGGTAGCACCGAGCCAGCCACGACTTTGCGTATCGCCGCAGCCCAATATGAGCCCGAATGGCTCGACTTGCAAGCTTCGGTGAAGAAGGCTTGCTCGATCATCGATGAAGCTGGCAAGGAAGGGGTCAAGATCTTGGGATTCTCCGAAGCGTTCATCCCTGGATATCCTGCTTGGATATGGTAAACACTTTCTTCACCAAATTTGGCCACAACTTTAACCATTACATCAGGCACCGACCAGTCGATCCGGTCCTGGCGACAAAGTACATTCAGAACTCATTGGCCGTTGATTCGGAAGAGATGCGAACAATCCAAGCTTGTGCAGCAAAGAACAAGGTAGTTGTGGCTTTGGGATTTTCAGAAAACGACCACAACTCGGTATATATCTCTCAAGCCATCATTGACAGTGACGGCAAACTCCTTATGAAACGCCGAAAACTCAAACCTACCCATATGGAAAGGACCATCTTTGGTGACGCTTCAGGTGACAGCTTGACGAATGTTGTTCCAACTTCAGCTGGGAAGCGGCTTGGGTCATTGGCCTGCTGGGAACATGTCCAGCCTCTGCTCAAGTATCATACTGCAACACAGAGAGAGGACATTCACGCAGGCGGTTGGCCGCCACTGTCACCTCATGCTGGACCCGAACTGTGGTCAATGTCAGCCGAGGGTTCGATGAGCCTAGCTTATGACTTCTGAGGTTAGCTAACGTTCTCAGGATGTCTCAATCTGTCACGAACTTATGCTATCGAGACTCAAACTTTCGTCATTCACTCAACAACAGTGATTGGAGAGAAAGGCATCGAGTCCATGGGAACAACGCAAGCAATGCTCATGAATGCTCCCGGTGGTGGCTACTCAGCTGTCATCGGACCTGATGGACGCATGCTATCGGAGCCGCTCGACCCCAAGTCGGAGGGCTTGGTTATCGTGGATATTGATCCGAGCATGTCGATCATGGCAAGAAGTTTTCTCGATATTTGTGGTCACTACAGCAGGCCAGATCTGTTGTGGCTGGGTTGTGATACACGGGAGAAGAAGCATAAGATTGATACTCCAGCTGCTCCTGTCTCGGAGGGAAAAGTTGGAGCATGCGGCAAGTAGGTGTGGAAGATGATGCTCATGCTCATGTCTTTTTCTTCTTCTCTCCTCTGCTTGCATCCGTGTCGTCATATTCCTTCTTTTCTACCATACCATCAGACCAACGGTCCCAAGCACACTGATTCCCAAGCCAGTCCAGCCTGACAACCACACCTGTCTGTTGGTCAACATGGCACCGGTATCCCAGATCAGATGTTTCAATCCATGCACAATGTGGAAGACAAAGGGAAACCCAAAGAAACCCTTGACCGCCAGACGGGTACCGAGCGAAAGGCTTCCGAACCATTCCACCAGACTTGCGGTGTCAAGATGCCAGCCCACTAGCGGCGAGATGAGATATGCTGCCCCATAGAGGTATATAGGTGCCGTGAGAATGATGGCACAATTGCGCATGATGGCACCTGAAACCCAGTGGATCTGAGGCTGGTAGATGGAGAGGTGAGGACTGATAGGGCGGGAGCGGCGCTGGGAAGCCAGAAGCATGTCATTTTGGGCTGCCGTAATGGCCTGGAGTTTCGGTTTGCTTTGGGAGTCGGTGGTAGATAGCCTGCCTAGATCGTTAGGAGTTTCAGAACACCGAAGGACTTGGACACATACCGATGGTGCAGAAGGACGGGTGCGGCGCAGAAGGGGGTGCTTCTGACTCCTGCCCTGAGTCTCAGTGGTCCATTGCAAACGCTATATACTGCATTGGCAGACGTTAGTCCTGGACTGAGCGTTCAGTGTGACCAACTCACGTCCTCGTTTCAAGGGATTTCCCACGATTCGCGACGCCATTGATAAGTGAGGTTGAGAGATGTCCTCCTTGTGAAGAGCCGCGCAAGGATTGTGCAGTGTAGAGACCGAAAGGCTGAGGCAAGGACGAGATGAATGCTCCTTCCCTGCACTGTGGAGGTATATTCGTTCAGCCAATCATATGTCAAGAATTGCGGACTTGGTCTGAGCGTTTTCGAGGGAGTCTAGCCGAAGAAGGCTTTCTTCATACGCCGATAAGTTCCGACAAACTCTTTCCCACTTCTGCCTCTCCGTATCATCACGCATATGAGGTCAAGACGGCGACAGGCATGCGAAGGGTGCCACGCACGCAAGTCGCGGTGCTTGCCTGGCAAGAGCGCCGATACCTGCAAGAGGTAAGAGGTGACAAGTTCACGAAAACGCCGCTAAGGACTTCAGATGCGAAGAGAACGACCTCAGCTGTGAGGCTCATGAAGCACGCACTCGCAGACGGAAAATCCCAAGGTTTAATGGCCAGTATTTGATTCTGGGGCATCGGTTGACACGGTTCTAGAAAAGAGTTACGTTTTGTCGATGTTGCCAGCAAGCTCCAAGCGACAAGTGAGCATAGCTTTGGCCATCAACTCCTCGTCGCCCTCCAAGTCCAAGCTGTTTCACCCAGCAAATGGCCTGCATTGGAAACACTGACCCATGAGCGAGGTCAAGAACTGTGCGAGCATTACCGGAGACTCGCCACTGCAGTGCCTTTCGCGATCTACCCGTCCTCAGTGGCACCACAAAAACTGCTATCGACCTCTCCTATATTGCTTCTTTCAATCATACTCAGTGCCAGTAGTTCGTGTCTAGAGCTTGAGAGGCATTGCGAGGATATATTCCGGCATACTCTGGCCGACCGTGTCATCATCAAGGGACAGCGCAGCCTAGAACTCCTGCAGAGTCTTCTCACTTACCTGATCTGGTATCCCCATCGATTTGATCCTTCGACGCAGCAATACTACCAGTTCCTGCAACTCGCGCTAGGCATGGCGGCAGATCTGGGTTTGTACAAGCAATTCAAGCATGGGAAATTTGCGCAAGCAATCAATGACCTGAACACAGTCAGGACTTTTCTTCTTTGTTACTATCTTGGCTGTGGTTGTGGTATCCTTGGCTTCGATAGGCCGGATGTCATGCGATGTGTTGAGAAGTTGAGGGCTGCAGCAGGAGTATTGGCGGAAGGCTCGGACAACCCGCTCGACAAGGAAGCACCAGCTATCGTTGAGTTGATGCATATTGTGGCACAGCAATGGGACTGCTTGAGTTCCACTGATACTGCAAGGTTGGCGTCCCTGGACTCAACAACAAGTCAGGAAATGTGGAGAACGGCTCATTACAGGTCTACCCTGTCGTCAGCTACCAAATCAAGTTATCACTTCATCTCGGCTTACAGCATCATCAAGAGCGCAGGATATCGATCCCTTCCAGCACAGAAGATTGGGACCTGCGTGGACCATCTCGTGGCTCTTTTGTCAAATGTCCTTGATCAAGACATCTCCTACCTTTTCTTTCTGGGAGGAGTGGAATGGGGACATGTGCTGACGAGTTTGTTTCTCCTGCCAAAGCTGGAGACGTCTTTACCAGTGAAGCCCACCGAGCCAAGGACAGCGCCACTCACGTTTCAGCACGTTGGTGACTTTCGAAATCTTCTTCATAAGATTCGGTCTGAGACCGATACAAACCCCACTCTCAACGCTCCCCATTTCTCCGACTGGATAGAGAAGATCCTTGCAGCCGTGGAGAAGCAAACGATATCTCGGCTGCATTCTCCCACAGCCGATGCTGGCTTAAATAATGAGGAGACAGCACATGAGCTCGTCAACTCATTTGTAGACGATGGAAAGCACGATGGCTCCCACACAAACGGCAATACACGTCACTCGCAAGAATTGGGCACAGAGGACTTCTGGGCAGATTTCATGTCTGATTGGTTACATTGGTGATGGGCAATGTTCAGCAGCCCAATGTAGATGATTTGTCTAGACGTTCCCTCCATGGGACTGGATGCAGACATCGGCCTCATACCCAAATTGGCACGCTCCAATATTCATACTCAAGGTCAAACTACTATCCCGCGTTCCAGTCATGAGATATCGGCGCAGCTAGTTGAACACGGTACGACTGGCACCAACCAGCACAATTTTGATGGAGAAAGTCGCTAGACCTCGCATCTGCAACTCAAATTGAAGTCAATTCTTGTCAATGACATCAAGTTACGGAATCAGCCATTGCGCGAGGCGTTGGGCCGATCTTGTGCGGTATGTCCGGGCAGAGACGTGGTCCTGCGTGCAAACCACTCAGCAATACAGATCCACATTTGTCTCAGCTTCAAGCAGAAATACGGTGTGTCTTTCTATACCATCCGATATTCGGCTGAAAAAGAGCACGCCATAGGATCTCCTGGTGATGGCTCCTTGGGCGTCCGGGGTCACGATGAAGAGAAGGCCAACGGTGTACTTTGACCATAATGACATAAAACTTGTGCGATACGGAATGGTGTGTTTGAGGCTTTCCTCTCGGTTTGGTAAGCATACGGCAATATCTACCCACAGTCATTCTCGCTGTCACACCGTGGATCCTGGGCTGGAGACGAGGAAGCAAACATGATGTGGGCCCCTGATCACAAACATGTATGCTGTGTGCCTGAACATCAGCTGTATGACATCTTTCATCCGGACGGAACAGCCAATTACGCAGCAAGCGCAAGTGTTCGCATGTCTGAATACGATGTCCATCAAAGCTGTCTTATATCTCCTGAAAATCCCTCTCTGATCAAGTTATTATCCTCCCATTCATCATATCAACATCCCCTCCGTGTGAGAGACCACCCTGTCACCCACAGAAGCATCTCTCCACCAGTCGGATACAGCCATGGCAGCTTTCTCATCCGTATGGGAACTGTCCAGGACAACGAACGATTTGATAGGCATTTCAACAGGTTTTCTTCAGGCAGCAACGACTGACAATGTTCAACCCCTCGCATTATTAGCATGTGAAAGCTTTGGAGCTACTCTGCCCATGAGCTACGAAACCCGCAAGACTGTTGGCGCTTTGTGCTCCCAGGGTCATCAAAGCCAGATCATCGAGCATTTGAAGTTTCAAGTGGGATGGCGCAATGGTGATAGTGGTTGGCACCTTTCTCGAAGTGATGCTGGCCAGCGGTTCCTTGGTCTAGCAGCATGCCTCCTTACATTTGACCAGTGGTCTGCTGCGCAGACGTTTCAAGAGCTCATCATTGCTACTGCTGCCGATAAGCTGCTCGTGCCCACAGCAAGACAGCTTCAAGACCTTCTCACGTATCTCGAATCCCGGTTAGGGCGTTCAGACTTTTCAACTAACGTCGTAGGCTGGCAGCTCCATATCGACAATATGAGACGGCAAAGCATGCGCACGCATTACGCACCATCGGGTGCAGTCACGCAGAAGGTTGTCGAAGCCCTGTCCAGCCTCCAACGCCTCGGTGACCAGAGAAGGCACAGTCTGAAAATTGAAATCGTACATCAGGAAGCAGCTTGGGTGATAGCACTGATCAAATGGCTTTTGGGTCGTCCTCCAAATGTTGAATATGGCGGCAGTACTCCTTTGCTAGCAGGATCACAAGTGACTGTCATCCCGTGTGATGAAGGCTTTGAAGGTGATACCGACGACTGGGACCTTGATCAGCGGCTCCAAATTACTGTCTGTGACCGATTTGACAACATTCTGGAGCTGATCACAGCGGGAGACCCTAACCAAGATTTCATCGGGTTAGTGCCGGTGACCAGACTTGCTGAGTCTTTCGTACAGTACTTTGGTCCCCAAGACTCTCCACGGTGGCTAGCTGCCGTTGACATGATCTCTTACGGATGCTCGGCACTCTTGAGACACGTTCGAAAAGGAAAAGATGACAAAGTGAGTCGGCTCTGTCATGGACTGCCTGGTGATACCTCTGTCAAGACAACTGCCAAATACCCCTTTGAGTCCGATATCTCAGAAACAATGGCACGATTCTTAGGACTAGAATCGACATTCATGCTCAAGAAACACCCTCCACACTACTCTGAGCACATCGAGGCGATACAAGAACTTCAACGAGAATTCCTTGATCTCGAAGACGATATATTAGTTGTCAAAAAATGTATCGCAACCATTTTTGCCCTGTCGCTGTTCGTTCCAAACCCCAGTCTGCCGCCACTATCTGTTCTTTACGAGAGTCCCGGATGGACATCAAGAGATGGATTTGAAAGACCAAGATTTCTTCACGAACGTCTTTGGGGTATCTTGCAGGATATCGATGTTGCTATTGACGACAGAGCAGGAGTCGACAGAGAGAGAAATGACACCTCCAACAACAACTTCGATGCATCCCCACGTCATCTTTTCCAGTCTGCTCTCCGGCTCCTTGGTCACCAGGTTTCTTCGGCGGAGTCGCTGGCCATGTCCAGTTTCAGCGGCCAGACCGTCTTTCCCGAGATCTTACATAGCCTGGAGCTGCAGCACGAGAGCCGTGTACGGCTCTTCTACATGCACGGCGTATCTTGTGGAAGAGTGATAAATACAGCCAGGTCACAACGCACCATTATACGGACAGTGGCGAACGCTATGATGACATGGGATTGCTAGAAAGGGGCAATGCTACACCACAGCCTCTGAGCTTGGAGAAAGACGTGCCCTACGATGGTTTCACGAAATGCGAGTTGACATGGCAAGTCGAATGCCGCTACGACAAGCTAAGCATTGCGCTGGGTTCCAATTCCAACAAAGATGAGGTCAATCCAATGGTACCATTCACTACGATGGACGATGTGTTCTTTGTTGACTGCACGCATGATCGCTATACACGGTTTCCATTCACTGACGGATACTATCATAATGGGCCAAAAAGCTTCAAGGTCGTACTCGTTACTGCTGAGGGACCCAGCGTGCTATGGGCCAACTTCAGAACCTATGGCCAAAATCTCGGCATAGTCTGCAGTGATAACAACCACAAGGCTAGACATTACGCACTCTGCAAAAATTCGGGGCATCGCGGTGGTACGTGGGAATGTATGTGTGGAATGCTGCATCAAGGTTGCTTTGAGGTCGGAGGACTTCCTGATCATCTGCTAGTTATTAAAGCCGATTTGAGATCGAACTGACTTGGTGCATGTCTGGTTGGTAGAAGAAGCTGAGTAATGAAAGTTGTTTATTTTCCCTGTGTGTTGAAAAATCCGTTGCTCAGGTTTACTTGCCCTTGCTGCTTACCTTTGCTCTCGATTCATCAACTCGCACTCGAAGCAAATTGCCAGACGAGCCTGAGGCCAGGCTATCATCGATACATGTCAAACAGTGTGCATGATATGATACATTGAATTCTCTGTCCTTCTACAACTACCTATGTACTTACCACGTATTTATAGGTGAGAGAGGCATCATTTACCCACTTCCTACAACGTGATTTACCCACTGATCGAGACCTCGTCGTCACCCTTAAACGCTAGTGTAACAAGGCGCTATCAGACCATTGAATAGTGCGGGAAGCCGTCGCGTAATCTTGCCGTTTAATATACCCGCCTAGGGAAGATCTCGTCGTCGCCTTCGTGGCTTAGTGTTATACTATGTAATATCGAGATTCTTTCCTATCTTCCTAGGACTCTATATAAACGAACTTTTTTTTTTTTTAAACTCTTTTCTTTTCCTCTCCTTATTCTATCGCGGACGAAGAAGATTATCTTTCGTTATAGCTATCGTCGTCGCTACTACTAGGCGTTAGCGTTAGCGTTAAGAAGTCTATTCTTAATATTCTATAGATTAAGCTATTATATAAATAATTCGAATTACTATCGAGAAAGCGCCTTAGTAAAGCTATCGATAATTATTTAATTAGTAAGAATCTACTTAATCGTAATCTTATCGTGTTATACTTTCTATCTAAGCTAATACCTATAGATATCGATATATCGTAGATAAGTATTAAGCTTATAGCCGTACTTTATTAAAAGACGAATAGCTTATAGATTATTAAAGTAAATAGTAGACTTTTACTCGAGATTAAGATTAATATCGTTAAATAGTTATTCTTACTAAATTATTTTACTTATCGTATTTAATAAGGCGAGTAATTTAGCCTCGATAAAAGAAGTTATTACGATCTTTTACTTAAAGGCTCGTTAGTTAATTACTTCGCTAAATAAGATAATAATATAATTATTTAAGCTTCGCTAAGAGTCTTTATTATCGACGAAGAATATATTAAATATATATTCGAAGATATTACTAAAGAGTATAAGTAAATACTTAATAACTAAAGTATATATATCTTTAAGATATTTAATTACTTTATTAATAGCGTTAAGATACTTTTAAGACGAGTTTATAAGGAACTAAGTAAGCTTTAAGAATACTAAAGAGATATTTAGTCTAGTTATTACTACGACAAAGTTAATTAAGTTTATTCGTTATTAGTAAATATAAATTTACTATAGCGTAGTCTTATTTTCGTTAATTAAAAGAGACTTAATAATAATTAGTATAATTTATCGTTATTAAGTAAGTATAATATAAAATCGACTTATAAACTTATCGATATATAAGTTCTAATATAACTATAGCTTATAATTAGCTTTATCTTTAATAATTCTAATACTTAAGAATTAATTAGTATCTTTAATAACTCGAAAAGTAAAGCGTTTTTAAAGTTATTAAATAAAGTTATTAAATTATATTTATTAGCTATATTAATAAAGTATTATAATATTATTAATATAAAAGAAAATAATTAATTAATTATTTCGTAGTAAATAATTTACTCTTAGTACTTCTTTAAGATTAAGCTCTTTAAGAGCTAAGATAAATATATTATATTATAATAATAGTAATTATCTTAAGTCGTATAATACTTTAAGTAAGTATAAACTCTTATCTTCTTTATTATATTTTTCTAGATAGTTGATATATACTTCCTTATTGATCTTAGAGTTAAGAAAGATATTAATAATATTAGCTTAATAGATCTCGAGATTAAAGTAAACGATAATTCCTATTAATACTCGAAAGATCTTAAGTATAAGAGTAGTCGCGTAAGCGTTCTTCTCGTTTATTTAAAGGTCTCTTCGTATATAGATACGAGCCTTAAATTTATTAAGATATCTATTAATATTAAATTTATAAATAAAGATTTATAATAGAAATAGAACTTATTTATCTTTAATACTTTAGCGATTAATCTCTTTAATCGTTTAATTAATTAAAATAGCCTTTTATTTAGTAAAGATAGTCTTAATCTATTCCTTACGATAAGAGTATTATAGTACTTATCGTTAATATTTAGGTAATAAAGAAAAATAATCTCGATATATTTATTATATACTTTACTTTTATTTAATAATAGTAACGAAAGTATAATAGTAATTACTAACGAAGTTACTTTTTTATTAAAGAGTCGCTACGTAAGCTTATCGACGAGTTAATTATCGTTTACAACGAGTACTCTTAGGAATAATATTATTCTCTAAAAGTAATACTATTATCTCTATAACTCGTAGTATAGTATTAAGTTTCTCGAGAATTCGACTCTTCGATTAATTAGCTAAATTCTTCGACGGCTCCTAATTAGCGGAATTAACCTTAAGTCCTAGGGTTACCTTAGGGCTTAGAAGATCTTATATATTTAAGGCTTAATTCACTATAGTTATTAAGACGTTCTTTTAAGTCGTATTTTAAGCGTTTTTTAGTGCTTCCTAATTAGTCGATTATTATTAATAAAGTACTATACGTATAATAATAATCGTATTCTTATTATTCTTTAAGTTCTATTACTCTTAGTAAGGCTTTAAGTTAATAAAGTTATTGATTATCTTTACTATATTTAGTATCTCTCTTAACGTTAATCGATCGTTATTAAGATTATTAAAGCTATATAATATTAACTCGTCGAAAATAATATTTCTAAATATAATAATTTAGTAGTTAATAAGATTCTAAATATATTAAATATTATATAATTAATATTCGATATAGTAGCCTATAAAGACTCGTTTATAAAGCTTATCTTTTCTTAATATTTTGTTAATTAGGATATAAGCTCGATAGCTAACTATATATAAATAATTTAGCCTTAGCTTTTTTTTATTAACTACTTCGAATAATATTTTCTATCTTAATACTCGAATTAGTATATAGTTAAGTACGTATTTAGTTATTTTTACTAACTTAAGCTATAGTATTATAGATAAATATATATATATATATATATATTACTCTTACTCTTTAAATAATTATACTCCTTAAGCGTTCGGCGTTACTATTTTACGTAAGAGTATATAAGGTCGATCGTTTAATAATAATTTCTTTCTTAATTATAAGTTTATTAAACGCTTTACTTAAAGAGGTCTCTTCGTCGAGTCTTATAAAGAAAGAGATAATTCTATAGTGATTCTTAAATAAGGCTAAATAGACTCGAATAATTAGAATATAGTTCCTTTTACTCGAATAAGTATAAATATAATTAAATCGAGTCTTATAGTTATTAAAGTAACTTATATACTTATTATTACTATAGGCTTCGTTAAGAATAGCTAAATTATATAAGACTCGTTAATATAGTTAAGTTATAGTGTTTTTATACTTAAGTCTTCGCGAAATAATTTCCTTAGCCTTAGAAACACTATAAGCTTAGTACTCGATAGTTATTAAGATATTCTTAACTATAATTTAAATCTCTTCGATATTCTATAGTAGCTAGTTAATAGTCTCGATATTAGAGTATCTTATAATTTAATACTATTCTATCGCTATATAAGTCCTATTATTATACGGCGCTATACTTAAGATAAATATTAAGTAAATTAATTAAGTCGTTATATTTCCTAATACGAAGTGTTCTTTCTATTATTTAACGTAATAGAGATACTCTTTATCGCGTTATAGACTTTCTATTAAGTTATCTTAGTATACGCCTTTTACTATAAGGCGTAATAGAGAGATAATATTATTTATATATCTTAATATATAAGTAACTTCCGTGATTATTATCGTCCTAAGCTCGTTATTAGTAGAGACGTTAATTACGATAGTATCGTAGCTATCGATAAAATAAATATCGATATCGTATTATACTTTATCGTTAGATTAAGTAGGGTATATTACTTAATACGATCCCTTCTTTTCGTTATATAAATAAATATCGAAGCCTAAATCGATAATTTATTTATCGATAAGAGAGTATCTCGCTATTATCGAGTACGCCGCCGTAAACGTCCCTAACGACTACTTTTCGCTTATCGAAGTATTACTAATATCGTCGAGAGAGATATCCTTTTAGATTATCTCTTTACTAGTCTTTTATTTAGCTCTAGTAATTTAAGAGGCGAAGAGAGTATTAGTCTTAAGCTTATTTTCGAAATCTCGTTAAGTAGTAACGTTTAACTTTTAGTATAATAGTCGTTTTATCTTATTTACGTAGTTATAGTCGATATATTAATATCGTTATTCGTAAAAGTATTTAAAAGAACTTAATTATCTATCTTAAAAGATTACGAATAAGATATAAAAGACTCGAGTCGCTTTAGTTACTTTATCGTATAATCGTAATTATTTAAAGAGCTATATAATCTTTAATAAATTATAAGAGTAGTTATTCTTATCTATAAGTAAGGCTAATCTCTAGATCTTAGCTTAGGTCTCCTTAATACTTATAATAGTATTAAGAAAGTTAAGAACTAGTCGTTTAAGACTTACCTTAGGAATTTCTACTTTTAAGGCGTCGATATAAGTAACTTTCTACTTTATTAGCTAGACGTTAATATCTTTCGCCTTTAGTATTTATTATAGAGCTTTATAGCGCTTAATTACTTTTGTTTTCCTATAGAAGAATATAAGTAATAGTTAT